CCCATTTTTTAAATTATAGAAAACATTAATAAACCTCAAGCTTCCTTTTTCCTATTTTTTATAATTAAAATCCAAAAAATTCACTCAAAAATAGGTTTAAAAATTAAAAAGTCCCTTATTTCTAAAGCATATACCTTCTCAAAGAGTAGAGATTTCCACTGCCCACGTGCAAGCTAATGTTTAGAAATCCAAAACACACAATTTTTCCAAGGAAATTCCTATGAAAATGTATAAACAAAGATGGGTAAAGCTTCCCCCGTCATATACTATTACATCGAACAGAGTTGAAGGGCAGCTCTGGGTAGTACATATCTTTCTATTTATAGGGGGCAAAAACACATTCATGGAGATCAATTTGACCTTTCCATTCGAGCAGATCGCTTACAGAATTTCCTGCATCAGTCTGGTTCTTGGCCAACCATTAACTCAAGGCCAAATGCAATTGCATTTAAATGTTCTTTTGACTTTGTTTGTTTACCTTATGTAAGATTAATTTTTAAATTGTACCCTTAAACAAGCTTGCAGCATCATTTAAACTTGAACTTGACTTTGAATAAACGTTTGAGGTTTGATGAACCACGACGAAAAATGCAGCGCAACTCACGGGAAATTGGGAAATACCTGGCAAAGGTTTTTTTTTTTTTGGTTTCCGCCCAATCAGTGATTTCGGTGATGTGATTCAACTTTTACTTTCTGGCACACTTTTTTGGCTTCTCATTAAGCATTGAATTGGGCAACTTTTTATTTTACTTTCGTTTTTGTCGAGTAGTTTATTGGCAAACTCATTTACGTTTTTTTCTCTTCTTCAAAATTTCTTTGATGTTCCGCCAAAGAACAGACGAAAATTGGCTAGGAATTATATACCCAAAAAAGGAACATAAAGTTTAATATCAGACCGCAAACTTAATTACTTTTAAGTACTTTTGCCAATCAAACAAGGCAAATAATCTTAAATAAATACACGTTCTATGGCCTCTTGAGAAATGAGGTCAGCATTTAATCTCATTATTTAGTTGACACAAATGCAAACATTGTCGACCAATTTGCTCTTCACAAATTCCCCATATTTTATTTAGCTCAGTTTATACACAAATTAATTATAAACTGCATTCAGCTAAGGGGGCTCAGGGGATAAGATTGTTTTGAGCTGTCAGAAAGTCAAACACTGAGTGAATGCAATTCCAACAGATAATTTATATACATTTTATTGCTATTGCACTTGGTCTGTAATAAATTGCTTTACCAATGTGAAGGTCGATTATAGGTAGTTTTTCCTCAAGTGAAATGAAACGTATCTAAACGAAAAGCAAATTGTACGGATCCTACAATGTCAACGCTGCGTATGAGCAATTTGTTTTGGCTCACCAGCACAGCAAAAGCTACCCACCAAAAATTAAGTAATATAAATATAATTTTGAGTCATAGCAAATTTGCGAAAATAAATACATTTAATCCTTTTGTTTTATTTCGGTGACTGCATATTTTGTGATTGTTTTGAATGCTCTTTAAATTGATAAAACTTTTGATAAATTAAAGATTTTTTAAGTAAAGAAATTGTATGGTATTAGTTTTCTTTTTCATAAAATTCAAAACCAAGTTTGCAGACCTTGAAAATTAGTTAAAAATATGTAAAAATAATGCTTAAAAAGTATATTTGATTTATTCCACATTTCCATTTCCTATTCCCGTCGAAACAAACTCAAACTTTTCATTAGACTTCCCAATTACTTTCAACTTGTATTACCTGGGGGACTCATAAATAGAGCTTAATGGTTTTTAATGCCGCAGCTGAAAAGCTTTTTCCCACTCTATGCTGTCTAACATACAATATGAATAAAAATACACACATAATGTACCACTAATACATAGTTTTACCGTGTCTATATATAAACGATGTTTAACCTTAACATATAGCAGACACCTTCAAATGAATTTTTCTTGAAATATAAAAATAAATATGTGTACTCGATATATTCGTGTGGATATATGCTCTCGCCTGATTTCTGATTTTGCAGCTACAAACCGTATCTATAGCCTATGGCCAGCTAGGTTCTGATTGGGATTGGGATCGCTTGTGCTTCTCAAAAAAAAATCAAACCAAAAAAGAAAACCAACATCGACCCACGCAGATGAACTTGAAAATTAATTGTTTCTGCAGGCCAACAATTGCAGATAATGAAGGGGTGTACAAAGTATATATACCTATATACCTTATATATAAAGAGATATGTGTACATTTGCTCAATGCCAGTCGAGGGGTTTGCCTTCCATAATTTATTTGGCTTTCGGATACTATGTGCCTGAAAAACAGATTTTGTTTATAATTTTATTAAAATTGAATGCCAGACAAATTTTCTCCTTTGGACTGGAAAATTGAGAAATTTTTTCATAGAAATCTACAATAATTTCTCATATTTTGCTTGCCCCATATATTTTTTTTAAATAAATTCATGTCTATTTCCTTTCATCTTGTTAATCTCCAAGGACACAAGGGTCAATGCAGTTAATTCTATTTTTATGGAAATTGCACAGAACTAACCTTGAATACTGTCACGAATTCTGTCTGCTGATGGATTGATGATGGCCAGACAAACTGGCAAAATGGGAAAAAAGAATGAATATTTTTGTCACTTATTGGTTGAGACTTTAAGAGTACATTCCCGCTGACACTTTGGTTTAAAGAACTTAATTTAGAAAACCATTAACAGTTAGCCAACGACCGGCCACTTCCTTCCCCTTTTTTTTTTCGAGGGCAGAAGTCACTCGTTTATCAATAGCCTGCTGACGTCACAGAGCTACAACTTGTACATCCTGTTTATTATTTTTGACTTTAAGTGTATACAAAATGTATATATCCACATAGAACAGAAAGCCATATATTCTGGCTTTGCATTCCATTCATGAAACGCAGGGGAAACGATTGCGATCATTTAACAGTCCCAAACAAAAATATGTAATAAAAAGAAAAGTATATATGTGTATATATATATACAATTATACAAAGTATATATGAATAAAGATTACTCAAGTCTATTTGGCCCACAGATGACAGCACAAATGTGGACAATGTTTTGATATGTTTGGCACAAGTGTTTCTCTATATTATTATTATTTTTTTTATGGGGTGTCTGCCTCCGCCCAATACCCAAATGTTAGAAGGTCGAAACTGAAAGTTTCATCTATTTTTTAGACTGATTTTTTTCTCTGACAGTTGGTTCTTTCTGTTTTTTTTTTTGGCTGTCCAATTCTTAACTTGTTCTTTGTCTTGTAGTTTGGTTGTTTTTTAAGATTTCTGTCTTTCTTGCTTCGTTTTTTTCGGTTTCTTTAGTTCACACATCATTAAATGTTATAAATATTTTTAAGAATACATATATCACAAAGATTTATCTAAACGTTTATCTATGTATAAAAAAGAAAGACAGAAAAATAGGCAAAATACAGGAAAAAACAAAACATTAAATCGATGGAAAGTTGACGTCAAGGGATACAGTTCTTCCTTGCTTTGTTTATATGAAATTCTATATTTGATTAAAATGAGTTAAGAAAAACAATTTGTATTCATTTTTTAAGTAAATAAATATAAATAAACTAACAATATTACTTGCAGCTGCACATATGTCCCTTTAATCCTTTTTTTATTTATGAAAATCCTCTCTACAAACGCCACATAAATTCTACTTTTCTGTAATCAAACCACAATATTTTCCAAAGCAAAAAACAAAAACATAAGCGGGAAATTCAAATAAATTGCTCTGATATGCATAAATTTATGATTTCTGTACCGATTTACCATGGCTGGGATTTATGGGCGAAGGGATAATGGGCCATGTTCAAAGCGCATGAAATGACTTGTGACACAGCAAATGGCAATAAGCCATAAACAAGACGCACTGTGAATTATGGGGGCAAAGGGTACAAATGAAGACTCTTGTACAAATTGCCACCTGGAACATGACTTTTGAGCTTTGGGGTGTCCTTGGTCTGGGATCTAGCAGATTCTGTAATTTGGCCGCAATTGTTAGTTGGTTAGCTGGCTCAGAATTTCCCAAAGGCAATGCAGTCAAGTGCATGACTCCAATTTCTAGTTGGCAAATTGGCTTAGTTGCCAATCGAGACGAACATATGCGGATTGCATTCAAAAGAGGAAACATATGCCATCAAATCCCCCATTCATTTGCGCCGTGCCGATGTGCCGTTGTGCCGCCGTGTGGCAGATATAGTAGTACCTCCTCAAGGTGTCGGAGTGCAATTTATTCTTAGAAGCCATGGCCAGAGGCAGGTGCATTTCTTTGAATGTGAATGCAATTCAATTAGCCCAGATTCAAAAGGGGAGCGAATAAATAGCAATTGTCCTTGCCTCTAAATTGTGAGCACAACTCAATTGGACCTGGCTAAATTAACAGATCCTTGGCCCAGGCCGGCAATTAGCTTCGTCCATGCCCAAGGATAATGAACTGGGCAATAGGAAAAAAGTCCAGTTCCACCACTCAAATGTCATCTGTATACTCTCGTATATAAATGAATGATTTAATGAGTTTTATATATGTACTCGGCTTGCTGGATATTGCACTTACAGTGAGGCTTGTAATATAATTACCACAACTAATTGAAAGTACTTTATGGCTGTTTCTTTGGCACTGAAGGTCAATTTATTGTGGCTTTACTATGAGTTTGAGTTGCTAAGAGAAATGTTAGAAAGTTGGTTTCTGAAATAATCAAGATTCGCCTTTGGAATTGTTGAAAGAAAAGTAGTTAAATCAGGAAATCAATGTCTATGACTTCTACTGCACTTTTCTAATTATTGATCTGAAGCCAAAGCAATATGAAATCTCATTTATTTTTTAATTATTTTACAATTAGCATTTCTGATGTTGATTTGCAAATAATTCTTAATTAATACCACAAACGTGCCGCCATTTCGCGACTTCCCATAGACCTTGGCCATTGTTGGTTTAGACTGATGAAGTGGCGTTGAAAGCCATGGCGAGACAGTTGCCACCGCGGATGAATAGACTCGATGGATTCGTTGACACGCTGAATCAACAGAATGATGAGAAAATAATATGATTCTTGCTGGAGTGGAGGCGCCGACAGTCTGGTCCATGGAAACCAAATCAGGCATTAAATTTTGAATCATTTTTAGGGGTTCAAGTGGATTCCCGGAAAATGCCACAGTTTTTCAGACAAATCGAAACCAGCTGGGCGTATGTGTAATGCAAAGTCACACCGGGGGAAAATCCATAAATTGTATTAAAAAGTATGCCAAGCCATAAAAGAAAAGCCATTAAAAATGCGGAAAGAGCCAAAGAATTTATGTCGGAAATGTATGTCAAGGATCTGGACATTTATTTCTATATTTTTGTGATTAACTTCTCTGCCTTTGGATCATCTAAAATATTTGTATACATTTAATTAAGTCAGTTAGCCAAGTTAAGTGTCAATCAATTGACTCCGTTTTTGGTTACCAGTTTCAGCCTTTAATGTCAGCCAAGTAAAGCCTAAGGAAGTGACTCCCTCAGCCTCAAGATGTACGGACTGCTCTTGGAGAACCTCTCCGAGTACATAAAGTCTGTTTATGGCGAGGAGAAATGGGAGGACATCCGACGACAGGCTGGCATAGATTCGCCCTCCTTCAGCGTCCATCAGGTCTATCCCGAGAATCTGCTACAGAAATTGGCCAAAAAGGCACAACAGGTAGGTGTTACACTAGCTGTGTTTCGTTTTGAATTCCATCCTTATCCTCCATAGGTACTGGGTGTCTCGGAGCGGGAGTTCATGGACCAGATGGGCGTCTACTTCGTGGGCTTCGTGGGTCAATATGGCTACGATCGCGTCCTCTCTGTGCTGGGTCGCCATATGCGCGACTTCCTTAATGGACTGGACAACCTGCATGAGTACCTGAAGTTCTCGTATCCACGGATGAGAGCACCCAGCTTTATCTGCGAGAACGAGACCAAGCAGGGTCTGACTCTGCACTACCGATCCAAGCGTCGAGGGTTCGTCTACTATACGATGGGACAAATCCGAGAGGTGGCTCGGTATTTCTACCACAAAGAGATGCACATCGAATTGGTTAGGGAGGAGATCCTCTTCGACACGGTCCATGTCACCTTTCAACTGACCTTTGATAATCGGGCATTTACCCTGGCATCCTTGGCGATGACGCGGGAGGAAAAGCACCTGCCCATCAGCGCCCATGTGCTGTTTGAGATCTTTCCTTTCTGCATGGTATTTGGGTGGGTTCTAAACTATTTCATTACTTAATAATATTTTATTTAATTTTAATAAATCCTATTTAATTTAGAGCTGACATGGTAGTGCGCAGTATTGGAAACTCTTTGATGGTCATTTTACCAGAACTTTTGGGCAAGAAAATAACTGCCTGGTTTGATTTGGTTCGGCCACTGATTGCTTTTAAATTCCAAACTGTAAGTTTGTATCTTTTAACGTCTTGATATCCATTAACCTTAATACATTTATCAGATACTCAATCGTACCAATAACATATTCGAGCTGGTCACTGTGGACCCAGTTACGGAGAGATTTGACGTCCAAAATGAGGATTTACTTCAGCATGAAGATGGCAGTGAACCGGAAAAGTCATTAAGATTAAAAGGTAAAAGGAACTTTTTAAAATCACATTTAAAAATCTTAAGATCTACACTTTAGTTTAATAAAAATATATTTTGATTTGATTTTGGGCTCTCATTCAAAGATATACCCATTTGATGAAGTAATTTTGTTTCCTAAAGACAAGGTCTTCTTTACAATTTCCAATTTAATTCGATTTTGATCTTATTTTCCGCAGGTCAAATGGTTTATATGGAAAACTGGCGCATGATTATGTTTTTGGGTACTCCGGTTATGCCAGATCTCACCTCATTGATAACCACTGGCCTATATATCAACGATCTTTCCATGCATGACTTCAGCAGGGATCTTATGCTGGCTGGTACTCAGCAATCCGTGGAACTTAAGTTGGCCCTGGATCAAGAACAACAGAAGTCCAAGAAGCTTGAAGAGTCCATGAGATTGGTAAGTCTTATATGGAAAGTTAATGAAGAAATTTCTCATAAATATTTTCTTATAACCCTTAGCTGGATGAAGAGATGAGAAGAACTGATGAGCTTCTCTATCAGATGATACCCAAACAAGTGGCTGATAGGCTAAGACGGGGCGAGAATCCTATTGATACTTGTGAGGTGAGTTTAGATAAATAGATGAATTAAAATATGAAGTTAACTTAATTTATTCCCCTACAGATGTTTGATAGTGTCTCCATTCTGTTTTCGGACATTGTAACCTTCACAGAGATCTGTAGCCGCATTACACCAATGGAAGTGGTATCCATGTTAAATGCCATGTACTCGATCTTTGATAAGTTAACAGAGCGGAACTCAGTGTACAAGGTAAGATTTCATTACTTATTTATTTAATATTTATAAATATTTTTTAATTTTACTTAAAGGTGGAGACAATTGGAGATGCGTACATGGTAGTGGCGGGGGCCCCAGATAAGGATGCCAATCACGCCGAGAGAGTCTGTGATATGGCCTTAGATATGGTGGATGCAATAACCGATCTCAAGGATCCCTCAACGGGCCAGCACTTGAGAATACGTAAGTTGATTTATGTAATAACAACAACCACTAATAACCCCTATGACTCCATCTAGGTGTGGGTGTGCACTCTGGTGCCGTGGTGGCTGGCATTGTAGGTCTCAAGATGCCCCGCTATTGCCTCTTTGGGGATACAGTGAATACCGCCTCACGAATGGAGTCCACCAGCATAGCCATGAAAGTACACATTTCGGAGTCAACAAAGGTTCTTATCGGACCCAATTACAAAATCCTCGAGCGAGGGGAGATTGATGTAAAAGGCAAAGGAACTATGGGCACATATTGGCTAGAGGAGCGCGAGAACAGGTTGCCACTCCAATTGACGGCTGCTATTCAGGTTCAACCTATTTCTCCTGTACCGTCGACGCCCACACCGAAGGCTAAGGCTATAATGCCACCCGTATCCAAGCCATTGACTCCATTGGCTCCCGTTTCTGTTACGGTGGTTTCTATGCCAGTCGCTCCTGTTCCTTCAGTGGATGTGGTGGCGCCTTCATCTAGCATGTCTGGTATGGTGATTACAGCAGCTGCAGCTGCTCACATGACTCTTCACCATCAAGCGGTGGTGGCGGAAGGATTAACTGGAAGTACAGGAGTTGCTGGTTCTACAGCAGTAGGAGATATAGGAACTTCCTTATCCGGAGGAGGAGTTTTAGGAGCAACAGGAAACGAAGTGGCAGGTGTACCACCAGATGACCGCAACAGTCGTATCTACTCACCCGTAACCTTTAAGGACGTGGCTAGACGCAGTGCAGCCAATTCCCCAGTGAGGGGCAGTGCAGGTTACTCCTATCCGGACCAGGAAAAACGCCGCGAGTCTCGTTCCAATTCCACTGGCCATGTGTTTATGCGTACTCCATCGGATATATTTGGATCTCTAATTCTGGACACTGAGGAGTTTCTCGAGGATCTGCAAATCTCTCGCAGCTCCCTGGCTAACAACAACAACAATAATGCGCCAGATTGTGGATTTAGTCCAACACCTCCATTCCGGATCGGCAGTGCACCACCAAAACCAAGACCCAGTAACCCGGATAAGTTTACGCCCGAGGAACTCGCCGCCATGGATCAGCTAACGCCTCCGTCAACAGCTCCGGCCAGGGAAACGGCATCTTGCAGCAGTGCATCCATGGATCGCGACAAGGCCGCCAAACTCAAGTAAGTTGTTTGGAAATGGGGTTAAAGAACTGTCAGACAACTCTAAGTTTATTAGGAAAATTACCTTTTCCAACAGCAGCAGCCTTGATGCAACTACACCGACCGCTGTGGCTACCATGGTCTGTCCAATGCGTTCCAAGTCGCCACCAATGCCACAGAAGCCGTTGGTACAGGTGGTACAAGCTAGTACCAGCAAACCAGACACCAACCGACCAGGATCAAAGGATTCAGTCTCATCCATTTCCCTGCACTCACCGCCTCCACATCGATCGAACTCGGCCCCAGCCAGGTGAGCTCTCGCTAAGTTTAGCTTTTATTTAGAAAATAACGATCTAATCCATTTTTAAGACCCCATTCAATGTCAAAGGCGGCACGAAAGGCCTTCCTGGCCGCCAAGCAGACCAAGGCCATGGAGAAGCTGGACAAGATGATCGAAGAGGTACACGAAGTGGAGTCCCAATCGGCAACAAAGGCAGCCAACATGCGGCTGGCTCTCTTCGGCCATGACGGAGGTGGTGGGGGCGATTTAGCCGCCGGTGGTTGTCCACTCTTCCTGCCACCACCGCCACAGCAGCAACAACGCCTGATGCCCAGCTCCATCTCAGATTCCGGTCTGTGCAGTCATGGGTAAATGCTCCTACTAACTGATTCGACTTACCCATTAATTAAATAATTAATTATAAAACATAGTCACAGCCATGCTCCGAGCTGCCATCACCTAGAGCCGAAGATGAGCAACAGCCAGAGTTTCCAGCATTCTCCACGTGGCGGAATATCACATCAGTGCTGCAGTGGCTTTGGACACGGAAATGGACGTCACTCGCACCGAATGCACTCAAACGCCTGTCGGATATTGTAAAGAACTAAGAAGGCAGCACCAGCACACCTTTACCCAAAATCCAAGTCCATATCATGTATACTCTTATACTCTGATTCTGCTCAATGTTCCTGCGTGCTTTTCGGTGTAGCTACGATAAATAGTCAGCAATTATTAGGGCTTAGTTAGATGTTGAATCTCATAGTGTATAGAATAGAATAGTAGATAAAGAATGTACCTACATGTTATGTATAACCAGACTATATAGCTGGTCAAGCAGGGCTTTAAAATTTGGCAAGTCAGTGTCTAAATATGTTAAGAATCTGTAAAAACTGTTAACACTCTATTATAATCGAAAGATTTCAATTTCTTGACCTCTAAATATGACAATACCAACAGGAAATCAAACTACAAAAGGGAAGACATTTTCCGTACATTTTCATGAAACCACCTGAGGCAGAGTTTGCTCACAAAATAAGCTAATCTAATTATACATAAATGTATCATAAAATCTCTATATATTTGTAGTAGCTAAATGGTTAAGTAGATTATATGTCAACACGAATACCAAATAAATGTTTCCAAAAGGAATTCTGAGTTACGAATTTTCTAAATGTTTTAAATCAAATAACCATCACAGGAAAAAGCTACACAATATAGCAAAAGATTTAAAAGAGATTTTGTTAATAAATTTCTGCTTTAGACTTTCTTATTACATCCTTTATTAAGAGATCTTAGGTTGACAGTTTAAAAACTATAAATCATCAAGATTTATACATTTTTTGTATTGTTTTCAAAATAAATGCTTTCACTTTGTTTTCTCTTTTAACTAAATGCAGATACGACTGTGAGAAATGAGACATAGGCTTAGATATACAAATTATGGCAAATTAAACTAGCAAAATAGTGTGAACACAATGAACTTAAATGCAAATATTGTGCTACTTAAAATATCTTTAAGTTGTAATCTTTCTAATACTTCATCTTTGGTTATATTTAACTTTCTTTACATTGCACTATTGGCATATCACATCAGAACTTATAATGGCAAGCATACAACTCAAACAAAAATTTTACGAATGATACAAGTTAAATGTACCTTAATAAATGTATATATATACACTTAAAGCGTAGGAGTTTGTCTTTAAGATTGACTAGACTTTGTTGGGCATTCAAAGGAATATTTCCTTGATTGCTTTCGGTGGGTTTCCTTTTAGGCCCGCTCGACCATTGGTGTCTGGACGACATCTTCATTGGAATAAATGACCGAACCATCTAGCGTCTCAATGGTTTGTATTGTGGTCTTACAGTAAAAGCACACCTTGGAGTTCATCATGTGTTGCATGATGCAGTCGCTGCAGGACTGGTGCTTGCAGGGCGTGAAAACGGCAGTGATGGGTTTGGCGCAGCATATAGGACACAGTGAGTCTTCCGATGGCAGTGTTATGTCCGAGAGCAATGTCTGCTTCACGCGCAAACTCTCGATCAGGCTGCGCACATTCTCGATTTCCTCAGAGGACACATGTGAGGGAACTAGGAAAATATTGAGGAATTACATATTTTCATATTATTTTGATATACTCACAATCATTTAGGGCAAATTTAAGGATTGGCGGATCTGCCCGAATACGTTTGGAGTTGTTGGGTACGGGCACACGTACATCATTGGTCAGCGGATCAATGTGGGGCCTAGAAGAGGGATCAAAATTACCCCGGGGTATATTCTTCTGCTCCAGCAACGGTGTTCGTATTTCTCCCAAAGCAAACTCTAGAGTGGCAAACTGGAAGCTCGGATCGGTGAGAAAAGCTCGGGACACTCGCGTCACAATCTGTGGCCTCATGTCAGTCTCCATCTCTTCCTGCATCAGGGCTAACAGAATACCCAAAGCAGCGGTCACAATGGGATAATGAGTAACTGCATTAAGATCAGCCGAGCACATGTCCACCACGAACTGAAAGCATCCCGGTGGTACTGTCACCCGGGAAAGCACTTGACTGATAAGCTGGCAGATGCGATTTAATAGAAGATCGCTATTCGGTCGAGATTCGTCAGTAACAACCTCAGGAGCTGCTGAGATAACCATTTCGAGGCATCGCATCAGCGAGACTGTCAGCTCAAAACACATTGAGCAAATCTTAAGCTGCTTTGGCTCAAACAAGGTGTTTTCCTGCCTTTGAGCTGTGTTTTGGATCTGAAACAAAGATTTAATATAGTTTATGTACATCTTAAATCGCTATCCACAAACTTACCTCCTGCAGCAGTAAAATAAATTCAGAAAAAGCCCAGTTTAATTGGCTTAAGACCGAGTTTAGGAAGGCAGTTGCGAAGGGCTCGTCCTCTCTCAATTTTGCCCCGATCAGACGCTGAAAATGCTTTGAGGGATTAGCCGGGGCAACGTTGTGCAGCAGTCCCGTGTGCGTCTCGTTTCTAGAGCGACTGCGACACAGTCCCTGGTGGAGGGGCAGCGACCCTCCCTGCCACACAGATGGCTGGCGGGCATCCTTGTAAGCATAGCCCTCTCCCATCCAAAAGCGCAATAGGAGCCAATTGCTCTGACCCCAAGCTCGATTCTCATAGGGACGCAGTAGTGCTCGAACTAGACTTGCCTGCGCTCTCTTCGAAGTTCGTTCCAAGGCTCGCACTCCGGACTTGTGGCAGGTGAGTGTGCCCAAAGCTTGCAGCAGCGAATCCTTACAGGAGGCAAGAACAATACGCGGATCTGCTGAGTGAATGCCTAGAAACTCTGCTGCAGAGTTTACGGCGCACTCCGCATCTGAGGCCTCAAATTGAGCTCTCAAATCATGGTGACTAAAGTCCATCACGGCATCTAACAAAATAGGCAGTGTATTTATATACACTTCAGGTACGAAGGAGAACAAGGGTCCCGTGTTTGAAGCAGTCTAAAATTAGATGTTTAATAAGATTAAAATTGGTAATTAATATCGATTTTCTTACCGTCAGAGTTCGCAACATTCGTTCTAGTAACCACAAGAGCAGGGATCGCCTGTGACCATTTAGAGCCACTCCTCTCAGCCAGATTTGTTTTCTGGACAGTGCTATCGAGCGTGTCTGAAAATGAAAGAAGTGTTATTTTTAATTTTTTAAGTCTTTAATGTTTTAACTCACTGCAAAAACATTCTGGCGCTGACTGAACTTGGTCCGTAGCTCGCCCATAACGTGCTGATGATTCTCGTTCATGCAGACATTGGCATGCTGCTCCAAGGCCACCAGCTTACGTTCTATATCCTCTCGATAAAATTTCGTCTCCTTGAGCACTTCATTCAGAGCTGCGATCTCATCTCTCACCGTGGCTATCTTTACAATATATTTGTGACCCGCTGAGTAGTAAAAGATTATGCAGAGGTCAAGAAGCTCGCAGAGACTGGCCTCCATATCCACATTGCCCGGTGAAGTATCGGTGCTGCCATGAGGTCTTGCATTTAAGAAATGGGTATACGTGGAATTGTTGGCGCCCTGAGTGTGTCCAACTACCGCCACATTGTTGATGTTCTCCCCCAATAGATAAAGCGTGGTATCTGTAATTGAATTAAGATAGTTCATAAATATTCAGGTTTCATAAGCCTTCACAAGCTTATACATACCCACTTCATTAACCCTCAAGTTTTGGCGATCATCATCATAAATTTGTTGAGCACGAGCCGCTCCTAATCTAGCATCGATATCGCTCCGATGGACCTTTCTTAAATGGGAGAGGACACCTCCAACGCGATCAAAGTGCATGTAGTCAAACGAACCATCTATGAAAAAATCGCTGTTCACCTCCACATTTTTGGTAGGCAGTTCATCTTTAAACATCGCGCGCGTCTGATCAATAAGTATGCTGACAAAGGCAAGGGCCACAGGTGCATCCAGCGGATGCTGGATGCTCGATTGCATGAAGAAAAAGGCATGGAAGGGCTAGAAAAAGGAAAACATGCTATCAATTTCCAATAAACCATCGGTAACAACATATACCCTTTGCTCCATGCTGAGATCTATTACATAGCGACGCATTTTGGACAAGAATATTGTGCGACTTGACGGACTTTCCCGTGTCCCATCCGAGTTGATTAAAAGAGTGGTAAGAAAGTCCCTTTGCGCCGCATATAAGGGTTCCGTGACCTTACGAACCTTCTCGACAACATTCAGATATTTTTCCTTGGGTCCATCGATTCCCTCCGTCCAGGCCATACTGTCAGGCAGCAGCTCTTCCATGATGTAGAACTCCAGCGGGTGGATGTAGAGGAAAAAGGCAAGACTAAGAAGGAAATTATTTAGGATATTAAATTCATAAATTAAATCTAAAACAGATCGTACCAGTGCTTTTTGAACAGCTTTCCTTCCAGCAAATATTTTCTGGTCTGCTCGTGCAGACAAAGGCAATGCAACATACTTATCGTCTGGCGATGCTTCTCATAATCCAAGCCCTGGATTGTATGCGTAAACGTACCCAGCAAAGCGTTGACTAACTTCCGTAACACAAACTTAATCTCGTCGCCCTCCATGTAGTTCCAGAAAAGGGAAAGCAAACCCTGGAGCACGCTGTATCGATTCTCCTTCTCTGCCGCCAGAGTTGTTAGGGAGGAGATCCTGTTCAGCAATACGTCTTCGATGATGTATGGATCAAATATCTCGTTTGTGAACTTTTCAATCAGTAAGGTAGCAAATATACAGTAAACCGTCTTCTTGGTGGAAACGCGGGCATCGGTACCGTTGTCTATTGACATTCCAGATTGGGCATTGTACTTGGAGAAGATGCCGGCCAGATTGATCAAGTAATTCATCAGCAGGTTCGCCCTACGCAATTTAAGGATGGGTCGAGCCATGAGCGGTTGGAAGCCTAGTACCGGATACATAAACGGACGATTACCGAAGTTCGCCTCGATGCCTTGCGTATAGCCCAGGGATATAGCTGCGAAGAAGGTGATACCCGGTCCCTTCTCCAACTTGTTGAATGCCACTCCCATCGAGCGTCCATTTCGGTAATATTCGATTTGTTCCTTGTCGACGTCGATGGTCACGCCGATAATGTCGCCGATCTGCCATTTGTCGCCGTACCTGAAAACACAACAAAAATATTAATTTTTGTATGTATGAATATAAAAAGTTTTGAGACAATCTAATCGTTAGCTTACTTCTTGGTGGATATATGCCAGATCTGCTGCTTGCTACCATCATATCCATAGCTAGACTTGGTATCTCCAACGCCGCTGTTTTCGTTGAATTGGCAGCAGTTTGAGGCCCACCCAATCTGCATGACGCCTTTAGTATGTAGGTGGATCTGAATAAGGAAGAAGAGTTCTTAGTACGCACGAGCAACCCACACTCCTCAACCCGAGTCATTGACCGCTGGTCAACCACCGCCAAAATCGACAACTCACTCCCCAATCTATACAAACTCCCACTCCCCATAATAGCGATTACCTCATACATCCAGCGGCCTCCGTACACGCAACAATTTGCCCGAACCGTATTGAAGCTTCCTTGAGAACGCAAGGCCAGGCGGTCCGAGGACACGCGTACCGTGGTTGTATAGTCTACATCAAAAATGGTCAGATCCGGTCCAATTCGGCTCTCCGTCTCCATATAGAGGCGTCGAATTTCCTCATTGCTGTCAGTCTGGATTTGTTGGAACTTGTCATCCAGCCATGTTCGCACAATGATCATCTGCCTAAGGATAAAGGACTTGTTTTAGTAAAGTTAAGTCCTAAAGGTTAAGGACACTCCTACTTGGTCACGGACAAATCGGCGAGCTTCGCGGGCCTCGGATCCGGAGCCGTCGAGCAATTAGCGCCCTCCAAATCATCGTCTAGGTCTGAGTACAGATTGTCGTGGTCGACCTGCTCGAATATATCCTCGTTGAACACTTTCACGAATAATTTTGATATCGACATTTTGGCTCTGTCATTTCAATGATAGCTTTTTAAGCAATACAAATTCGAGTCTGGATATGACTGGAGTTCGACCCCCACAAAAAAAGGAATTCTTTTGCTTTAGTGATGGCCAACTCGCGCATTCCTTGTTAACGGTGGCAAGTATCGAATCGCGTGAAAAGCCGATTATTGTTTAATAATTTCAAATATGAAGAAATTAATAGTATGATTAAAAAAAAATGGAATGAGTTTCAAACATAATTAGTTTAAATTATTTAATAGTTGGCCCATTAAGATAAGGCTGCGATTTCATTTAGAAATTTTAAAATTTTTATCAGTGTATGCTTTGACTTTTGAAAAGTCTTCTAAACATAGTTTTTTAAAACATATCTTTCTTTTAATTAACTTCATATATTCATAATAACTTAAATGAAAACTTGTGAATCCACCCTCTCTAAATATCTTATAAATTCACTCCTCTCTAGCCCTTTCATACTGCTCTTTCGCATAGTATAAATCCATTTCACTCTTATGGCGCCAACAGCTGTTTAAATGAAACCCATCCACGTTGTACAACACTACACTATTCGTATTCAAGCGATTTGCAACACAAGCCGAATCAAAAAAAAGTAATTCTCGCAATGTAAGGACGTGTTTTTGGTGCTCTATTAATTATGCTAATTAAATTATAAGTTGGTGTTGATTCACAACAAATGAATCACACAAAGGACAACTCCGCTATTGAAAATTGAGTGTTATTCGTGGAACAGTTGTACCTTTCAATTGATTGACAATTTGCTGTCGTCAGCGGCTAAGTGTTTCTGATAGTGATGCCCATCTGTGAGACACAAACTAGCTAGATCCGGCGGAAAAACGCTAAGGCAATTAAAGCGCCAAGTGAAACGCAATTGAAACAATGCTCATAATGGCGGCTATTAAACAAATAAATTAGCAATCACACAGTTAACCTTGTGCCAATAATAATAATTTACAGTATAGAGTATGATAAATTAAATAAGCCGAACGAAAAACCTATAGCTAAAGTGGTCAGCTATTCGGCGTGCAACCGTTAGACTTTGTTGTTGTTCCGTGTGCCACTAAAATAGAAATTCGCGAAAAAAATAGAAGGGAAACAGAAATCAATGCCAACCGTTCGAAAAAAACAAGACCATTACAACATACGTATCTGGGCATAAATGAATATTAGTTCTGCTTATATATATATAGTATATACATATATACTATAGCCTAGGCAATTGATTTATCTGCTTGTTCTCGACCCGTTTCTTGTTTTATTTTTTTGCGGAGCAATCAACTCGAATTTGCATGTGTGTTTGAGTTTGTAATTTAAATTCAAATAAGTGAAACTGGAAATATAAATACGTAAATGTATTAATAAACTGCTGGCAATGTTTTGAATGGGTTTAATTAATTTTAACAATCCACCCTCGCAAAATTCAGTTTCTTATCAATTCTCACATTACAAGTAATGAAAGACGTAACGGACCAGCTTCCCAGGAATCAGCATATGTTTACATAATGATTGCATTTGCGGGTTTCTTATTTTTTTTCCCCACCCATTATTTGCGACTTGGATCTTTTAATATCCACAATTGTGACGTTAATGAAATATGAAAAAATATAAAAATAAGCAAGACGCGGGATTTGCTAAGCAAATGGGAAGCACAGCAAAGTCAACGAAAAAAGATACCCCAGACTCAATTCTGATTCATGTTAAATAAGATGGTATCATATGGAACCCCCTTTTGTTTTCTCTAGACCAGGATATTTAAAGGTCTCAGATACAGTGATTAGTCAGTAAAGTATACAATTTGTATCAAATACCATAGGGTAAATCTCAGATAAGAAAAAGGTAGCCTTATTAAAAATGAATCATTTAAAGAAATCAGACATAGTTTTCACCCAAGAAATTACATAGTATATTTTTATAAGACCATTGGGAAGATATTATGTTACCAGTGGTCTCAAAACCTAATTAACTAATCAGTATCATAAAAGGGAAATCACACTCCTGATACTGAATGTTCGCAACATCAAAGTAAATTGCCACCTAGCCACAACCCTATCAAAAATATAAATATACATGTAGTAGCCAATTATTGTTCAACTCTATTTCTCTGCTCTTGGTCACGTAGCTGTCTTTTTTAATACCCTATCTTTAATAGTCCTTTAATAAAAATATATAGTCCACTTTCTGGTTATCATACATATTCAGACTTTCACACTTTCTTTAGAGTAACTATATAAAGATAACAACAATTATCTTCTAACAACATATCTAAGAATTGCTCTCAGTTATTTAATAACATTTATAATTAAAATTCATATTTAAATACCTATTATAAATATTTAACAAAATGTGCAATTCATTTCTAAAAGTTTCCTGCTTGTGGCTTAACATCACAAATAAAAAACTGCGATCTAAACAAAGCGAAATACAAATATTTACCGCCGACAGAGTAACATTAGACTTTCCAGATAAAGTATCTAAACATACAAAAAGAAGACCCCATAAGAGTATCCGGTAGTGAGCATAAAATCGCATTCATTCTTAAATAATTCTCTGACCATTATCTAATCGATAGTTGAGTGCTCTTGTCTCTGACGTATTAAATGGTCGCACGTTGTAGAAGAATATGTTTCGGCAAAAACTGTGTTATACTGGGTGCCATACTCGGCTGAGAGCAGCGACTTTGATTGACCATATCAGACGACACTTGACGCAGTGTTCGCTTATCTGGGCTCCGACCTTCCCCGGTCAACCCCGTACCCCACCGAAATTGAGCCCAGTTTTGACTTGGCCAAACACAGACACGGGTGATTTTCTGTTTGCCTTATACAAATATAGCCACGGAGAACACTTGTTGCCCGATTAGCCATAAACATTGTGCCTTACCCCACTATATATTTTACTCCATGTGAGCGAGAATCTTAACCAGACCACTTCATTTCTTTGCAGTCAGTCGAGGGCAACGGACACGTAAACGTTTAAAGTTCAACGGATAGCACCCAAAGAAGACACGGAGATTTGCATGAGGCAGGAATAGAGGAGCGAAAGTTCCCAACCACAGACAGACAAAGATGTCACAAAACCAATCCTACTTCTGGCAGACGACCAGACACAATGTATACCTGAAGCGCTCAGCCAAATGGCACATGGCGCTGGCCCTAATGGTGGTGCTCACATTTGGCACAATATGTGCAGCAGAGGCTCAACCGGATAGTGCGGACGATGCAGTAATTGAAGCCGGAATACAGGGCGTAAGCTAGTCATTTTACTTTTGGAAAATTATTAATCATTTTTTCGTTCCACTCAGAAAATTGAGGTACAAGGAGATTTAAATAAGCCAACGGACCTGAGCAATTTAGCGGAAAAAACAAAGGATGATAAGGATGGGCCAAAGTCGGAGATCAGCTTTATCGATGCGTTTACCGCATCGATCTCTATTATCTTACTAACAGAACTAGGAGATAAGACTTTTTTCATAGCTGCCATCATGGCCATGCGCCATCCGCGTTTGATTGTCTTTGGCGGTGCCATCGCCGCCTTGGCTCTAATGACGGTACTCTCATGCGTATTTGGCATGGCAGCAAACTTTATTCCTAAGGTAGGTATATTATAACCAATTTCTGTTGATTACTCTAACTTTGAATACCTCTTTTACCCTCAGATTTATACGTATTATATCTCAACTGCATTATTTTTAATATTCGGTTTGAAAATGCTGTACGACGGCTACAAAATGAAACCAACAGATGCTCAGGAGGAACTCGAAGAGGTTCAAACTGATCTGCGCAAGCGCGAGGACGAGGTAAGTGGTCTCTGATAGATTCCCCCTGTATATAGTAGTGGTGCTATATGTTGCAGTAGTTTTTTCTAGATCTTAACTTTGTTTCAAGTAGTTGCGCTTCTTACAGTAATTTGTTGCTGTATTAGTAATTAGTAATTAGTTTTATTTTTACTGCTTTGTTAATAGCTGCGCTTAATTTGTTATTTTACTATTATTATAACCATAACAACGGGCAATTGTACAGAAAGAGAAACAGAACAATTGATGCCATGCCAAAGCGATCACTTCATATATATGCCCCGCTTTGGTTTTCCCGCCTTATTTAAATTTAACACTATAATTTTGCTTGACACGAGAGCCGCGAGCAATAACAAGCAAGCAAATACTAATCAAACACGATACCAAAGCTTTTCATAATTGTAATTACACCTTGATTGCATGCTAATTAAGAATTTTTTTATAAGCCGCTAACAAAACTCTACGGTTTACCTTTATTACACAAAATAATCCCAACCGATCAGCCGAATGGCGTGTGAGACAGCGTCAATGAAATACCACCGGGGTTCCCACATACTCTTTCTCTTTTAGCTCCCGAATCTGTCTTTTGATTTATTTATAATCAAACATTCAAAATTCACAATCATATTCAAAACACATTCAAGCCTTTTGTGACTAATTTGCACGATTTGCGCATATCAAATACAAGCGAGTTTCAAATGTTTATTGATCAAAGCAAATTCGTACTAAACCCGAATATCGTTTAAAAATGGAAAAGCTTTTTGCCAAAAACGAAAAAACTCTAATCAAAATCGAAATTTTTGCCAATCAACTCTCTAGCTAATGCAAATTTTTAATTGTTTTTCCTTTATGCAAAACGAAAATTAAAAAATTTGATATAACGTTGCCCCCTGAAAATGTTATCACAACATGATAACAAAATCCATATATTGTGTGTTGCATTCAACTTTGAATGATATTGGCTGATCTGAATGCAGTTGATGCGGAAAGCCAGCCGAAAGTATGAAGATTCTGACGCCAAGCGAAAGAATAGCAACTCGGACAAGGAGGATGCCAGCGAGCAGGCGCTTATCCATGGCCGTAACTCTGTTTCTACAGGTGCCACTACAGTAGGCGATGCCGATATGCAGCACCGCCAGCGAAAGCAGCGCAACCACCTCAATAACAATAATAGTAAGCAAAATAGCTGTGATAAAACTGGTAACGATGACGAGGACCGGGATCAACACGAATCGGAGGTATTTCTCAAGGAGGGCGGACGGATTGTGGAGCAACTCAAAATGAAAACATACCACAGCAGCCCGGCTCACTCGGCAGCCTCATCGAACCAGACCGAACAAACCAACTCGATTGCCGCTTCCACCACCACCGTCGATGTCCAGCAGGCTGGACATCCCACCGATCCGTCCCTAGGCGGTGCCTCGGAACTACGTGCTCCGTTGGCCGGATACGATAGCATGAATAGTCTCAACGGCAGCCTCAACGGGGACTCCCCACCGACCAATGGCTCTATCAAAGCACGGGTTAGGCCAGAAATAGTATTCCCGTCAGCCCCACTACCGTGTTACCCGTTCAATTACTTTTTGTGAAATTGGAATTGATTGAATTTTTATTTTGTGGGCTTGGCTATTGTAAGAACTTATCTTTTCCAAAAACTTTTCAAATTCCTTTAAAAAAGCAGTCATATTTTTTTATCAATTCTACTTCCTTAAAATGTAATTAGAATGAGGTCCGGTAATCTAATAACTGACAATTGCTAACGTTTGTTGTTTCTTAATCATAATCGTTTCACATGCTTTTTGCCCAAAAAAAAAACCAATTACACTCAAAAGTACCCATTTAAACCGTGACAACACTTCACAGTCAAAAAAACATACATACGAACATCGGTTATTTTTTAAAAGTTAACTTTAAGTCATCTGTCATTTGGTTTTGTGGCCGCTGTCTTTAATTGCCCATTGATTCCGTTTCACTTCCATTCGAATCGCACACATTTCACCAACGATTTTTCTCTCTGCATGTTGTTATGAAGTGATCGTTTTTTTTGCTTTTTTAGTTTATCTTTTGGTTTATTAGCAGGAAAAGTGGTGTCCACGTTTTCTTGTTCAAAAGTATTTAATTGTCTTTATAATTTGCTGTTTTTTCCCTTTGTTTGCGCACATTTTCATCGAAATTTGCAAGCTTCCCTGTGAGTCCTTACTAATCCTTAATCGTTAAAAATGATTTTGTGTTACAGCTGGACCGTGATGTGAATGCGGCGCTGGTTAATGACGCCGAGAGCGGTCGACGTCGTCCACAAAAACGAAGTGCTACCTACTTCACCATGCGTATCCTTGCCCAGGCCTTTACAATGACCTTCTTGGCCGAATGGGGTGACCGCTCCCAATTGACCACTATTCTTCTCGCCGCCAATAAGGTAAGTGGACTGTATTAAATCATTAGTTTGCATATCTTAAATATGTTTAAACTTCTTATTGCAGGACGTTTTTGGCGTTATTTCTGGCGGTATTATTGGCCACTGCATCTGCACTGGCCTGGCTGTGATTGGTGGTCGTATAGTGGCTTCCAAAATCTCTGTACGCACTGTCACCATTGTTGGTGGCATTGTGTTCATCGGATTCGCCATCTACGCTGTCGCCATACCTCCGAAAGACATATAGGCGTAGCCATGGTACTACCGACGAGATAGCCCGTTGACGACCCCACATTAATTGAAAATTTAGTTTTAGTTAATTCCTAATAATCCCCGTTTTCCTTTGAGGAGCCTCGGGCAATGCTAGGATTGTATTGATTCATTTTGAGATGAAATGCATTCAAATATTTAACGTAGCTTTGCTTGCAAAACAAAAAAAATTAAGAAACCAAGGAAAAACAAAAGTGCCTTCTGTGCTTTCCGCCTCGGCCATGACATACAAATTTAGTTCACACAATGAATTCTTCTGTTTCCAATTTCATAGTATTGCTTTGATTTAAACGTTCAGTTTTGAGTTCGTTTTAAGTATTAAAGATGATTGTACATATGTGTGCTAGTGCGACCAGGTGGCCTAAGCTCCTCCGAGTTGGACCCTTACCTACATATCCCACATCCTTATTTGCCTATTTGTTTACGTAGCAGTGTTTACTTAATGGAAACAACCAAAATGTAACTTTGTAGATTTGATTATTTATGCGATTTTTGTATGAAAAACTTAGTAAATTGCGCAAAACTTTTGACTTCTTATTGTGTTTTTAATGGAAAGGTAAATTAAACTTTAATTACTTATTGAAGTACGCTTTCTTGTTATGGGTATAATTTATTATCGTTTAAGTATGTTATAAAGTTTATATCGTCATTAACAGTCGAAAAATAATTTGGTTAGGTTATTTGCAAAGTTGTAGTTAGTACCTGTAAGCTACCTATAATTTACAGCTTCATTGTTTTAGGATCACGATAGATGCCCGTAAATAGGATTGATCTTGAGGTGCGATCATAGATGACAAATAGGAACGGGTGGTTGCACTCGAACTTGGCCGGCTCCACCGGCCTGGCCGAGCGGTATGTGAAGAGAACTGTGGCAGCAGCCGCTGTGCTTCCTTCCTCGTCAACCTTGATCTTGGCCACGTGTTTGGAATCGCCGATGGAAATAGTCTCGGATGTCAAATCATCAAAGGTAGCATTGGACTCGTCAAACATTTTGCTCAGTCCCATTTTGGCAAGGATCTAAAGAAGACAATATCGCTTAGAATTGGGTTAAAATATAGATTACAAAAATTTCGACTTACTGGATTCAGTTCCAGGCGCTGTTCGAACTCGAATTTGGGAAGCGAAACTTCGATTTCGCGGGGCATGGCCTGCTTGAGCGAATCATCGAGGGTATCGGCATTCAATCGGGAAAGCACATCTTCCAAAGAATTGCTATTGAAAGGCGGCAGGATAAGCACCATAGAGATGTCCGAGTTCTCATCCGGCAGACTATCTGGCTTCTCCTGTGACTCGAAGACGGTGCGGTAAGGTAGCTGAAGCACGTGGGCGCGAAGCTGCTCATCGACGTTTAACAAGAAGGTTCCCTTTTGCTGCATCATGGAAACCAGAGAAAAGTTCGACGGAGATGTGTAGAAGGGCATAGGAACTGTCTTTTCCTTTTTAAACTGGCTGAGCCACTGACCCTTCAAGTAGGCAGCGTTAGCAAGAACCAATCGAGTACGGGGAGTAATTTCATCAGCACTCAGCATATCGCGGATTTGATCGTGAGTTTGGTTAGCAATCCAATCGTTGATATTCTTGCGCGACTCCTCCGGCTGGCTCTTGAAGTCGAGCTGTTGGATTTCCTCAGCTAGACGGTTCTTTGCACAGTTGGTCAAATGCAAATCATTGGCAAAGAATATACGGTCGGCGGAAGAGAACTCCAGAGGCATATTGCTCTGTCGCTCCTTGCGGCTCTTCTTCTCCACAACATAAGCGCTGCGCACCACTTCCTTGGATTCAGCCCAATCTAAATGAAGCACCTTAGTCAGCTCCTTCTCTGTTTCACCAGAGGATCCAAAATAAGCAAGGAGCAGAGCGTGATAAGTGCTGTACGGCGAGAAGAAGACATTTTCGTTGGGAGTACTCTGCCGGATGACATCTAGCATGGATACGGCAAAGTTCTGTTGGCCCTTGTAGAGATTTATTCTCTTATCTAATAAGCTTGGGTCGGGTTCAACAGCGCACAGACCCGCCAAGGCGATGGCCGGCAGGACCACCATCAGAGATAGACTGAGGATATTCATTTTGTAAAAACCAGCTGGAGGTGAAGAGAATAAATAACATAATTAATTAGTTTGCTTTTTAAATTCAAATTGTAGGACTTTAGGGTACAATTTGAAGTAAGTTAACTGAAAGGTTTTAAACCCCACTCTTGATGACCTTGTACTGCCTACATATCATAAATTTTGTGTGTTCGTGACTGGCATGGAATCCTGCATTTATTTTACATTTTAAAAATTAGATTTATTTGACAACGAGAACTTCAAAAGCGCACTTCAGTCAGACAAATTTATGCAGTTCCCAGAAAGGGTTGATAAATCCATTCAAGTCATGACAATAAAATGTCACAAAAAGCTTTAAAAAACAGTACAGTGATTTCTGTTAAAAATCCCCACTAATTATGGGAGTAGTTAAATTAGAATTGCCAATTTTAGCTAATTAGGTAATTGGTATTCGTTTTGTTAAGCAAAATAACTCATTTGGGTTTTCTGCTTACATAAAGTCAGTAGAAAAATAAAGAGAAAAGTTGTAAGTCTTTTTAATTACCGATTTTAGGTAGAAGAAAACCCCAATAGTTTTTAATGTTCCCAAACAAAAATAAGTTTAAATTTCTATTAGAAGATAATAATTGAGAAACAAGATGACTAATTCATATTTTGAATTATACAAAATCTTTTTAAAAAATATCAAAACGAAATTCACTGGCGTGGCTCATTTAATATCGCTTTAGGCTGATTCACCGAAAAGCTTTTCCAGTCCATCAAGTCGTTAGTTATCTTCGGACGACAATTGCAACATCTCTGCAGACGGGGCTTAAAAAAAAGTGAAAGTTTCCGCCGCTCTGCACTCGAAATTCGCAATCCGAACATAATGAACCCCATATGCACCGGAGCATGAAAGAGCGTTTACAGGTCGTATAGGGAGCTTTATCTCGGCTGTAGCTCCAATTTTTGTTTTTACCAGCTGAGCGATGACGAAGTCCTCGGTTGCGTGATGCAGCCGCAGAAATGAAAAGCGCTTTGTGTAAAAATAAAAAAAAACCCAAAAATTAACATTTCCGATAACCGGTTGCGGATCCCACCGGCGGCCTAAAGCACTATGTAGTATATGATTCATAAACGGCACAAATTGTTGTCGTTTCGGATTTTAACGCGTATGATCATTGTTGACCCTGTATTGGCGATTTTGTAATTGCTAGGCAGTCATTGTTACTCGTTTATTTTTGTACCCCACAGACGTAACGCTTGTTGTTTCTGCACATGCGCGCCGCCTTTTTTGTCCGCTCTTGAGGTTTTTTGGGAGAGTCCCAAAATATTGAACAACCAGTTTCAACTGATAGGAAGCGGACATGTCAGCCTAATTTAAGCTGCATTGAACTTGGATTAATTGGTCTGTCAAATATACTTTAAAAAATAAGCACTTGCGTTTGCAAATTCATAGAAGTGATTAACCATTTATTAAGTACTGGGATCACCTTCCAATCTTTAATCATATTTATTAAGTAGCCCTAAGGAAATTCCAAAGCAAATAAAAACGAATATAATTATGGTATTTCTGCGAAATCCGATTTCTGACAAGATGGGGTTTTCCATAATATTCATAGATTGGGGGGAAATGTATGTTTGTCACTTAAATTTTTATTTTTCTTGTAAATTTTTCACTTTTTATAGATTTAAATTCATTTCCTATATAGACTCTATTAAGTTTATAAAAAATCGCTGGAGTTGTTTTATAGTTTCACACTTAAGAGATCAATTAAATAAAGTTTCAAGGGAACTTTTTATAGCTTTCGTTATGGCAAAAAATCCCACAAATATAAATAGCGCAATTCACCGCCTCATTTAAATTGCGTGCAATATACATACATACAAATATATTTATATATATGTAAATACATACACATATATAGATATGTGCAATCGTTTACAAACTGATTAGTAAATAGGCAACGCATTAATATCAACCCGATTCGTTAAATGGTCATCACAAGCTCTGGGTGAACTGGACAAATGGGGACAAACACTTGACGAGCACTGGGAAATACCTTCTTTAAGTGTAGGTTTGAGTGGCACCGAAATCGTACTATTAGTTGGACCGACTGCACGTCCGTTCAACTGCGGCTAAAACTATAAACTGAATCCGTTGCCTAAGCGAAGGGTACTTAATAACGCCAAGCGCAGCTTTGTTATCGATAAACGGTATACGATATTCGACATCCAACAGGTGATAGTAACTTTTCAAACGGTCACCCTAACAAATGGAAAAATGGTTGCCTTCAAATATAGTGATTTTTCTCATTGAAGTTTATCCCCTGATTCGTAATTTATCTTTCTCTTACAAAAAAATATTCTGTATAGTCAGAGTTTAATAATCCGAACCCCAAATATAAAAAATACACCGTAATTTCAAAAATTTTGGGATGTTATTTGTGAATATGCGGAAATCTACAGTAAAAATGTAGATTTTAGATATCTACCATTTACAACAGACGTTTGTTTTTAATTCAATTACATGGAAAATATTTTGATTTTCGGAATTATGGGTACAAAAATAAATCCTTTTAATGCTTCATTTTCCTTGGATCGCTATACACGCCGGCGAACAGAATTGTTTTTACTTTTTCATCATAGATGAGGAACACGAACGGATGGTCGCATATAAATTTGTTGGGATCAGGCTGTTTAGCCGAACGGCTGGTGAACAGAACGGTAGCCGCCGCCGCTGTGCTTCCCATTTCGTCTACCTTGATCTTGGCGAAGTGCTGGGCGTCATCGATGGAAATGTGCTCAGGAGTTAGATCTTTAAAAGTGGCACTGCTGTCAAACATATTAGTTAGGCCCATACCGGCAAGGATCTAAAATTGATTCATCTGATTAAAGGGTTTTCTAAAAGTTAACAATATTTTTACACTTACTGGGGTCAGCTTCAAACGCTGTTGGAATTCGAACTTGGGCACTGCCAGATCAACCTTTTCGGGGCGGGCCATATCGATTAAATTACCCAGACTCTTGGCATCCAGACGGGATATTACATCATTTACGTTGACTTCATTGGAAACCGGCAGAATAATCACCATAGATATATCGGATTTGTCTTCAGGTGTGGAAATGCGTGTTTCCGCTGACTGGAAAAGTGTTCGGTATGGCAGCTTAAGGATTTGGGATTGCAATCGTTCGTTGTACGTTATCTTGAAAGTTGCGGTCTGGTGCATCATGGGAACCTGTTCATGCTCATATTCGTTAATGTAAAAGCGCTTTGGTATGGTATTCTCCACTTTAAACTGGCTTAGCCAATCGCCCTTCATGTAGGCGGCGTTGGCCAGGACGAACATCGTTTCAGAACTGATATCATCGGAACTAAGCATGTCGCGAATTTGATCATATGTCTTATTAGCAATCCAGTCGTTTATTAGGCTGAGTGAATTCTCTGGTTGATACTTGAAATCGATCTTTTCGATTTCGTTGTGTAGAATGATCTCAAATGTTTTATTCACCTGCACCAATTTGTCTACAAAAATGCGGTTTACAGACGACAATGTCAGTGGACTTTGGCGCGAACGCATTTTATCCTTAACCTTGCTTATTGTATAAGCGCTGACCACCTGGTCCTTAGAAGTAGCCCAGCCTAGTTTCAGTACCTGTGCCAGTTCTGATTCCGTGGCTGCGGAGGAACCAAAATAGGCAAGCAGGAGGGCGTTATAAGTGCTGAACGGCGAGAAGAAAAGGTTCCCAGTCGGATGGTTCTCCCGGATTTGTTTAATCATATTTATGGAAAATTCACGTTCTCCATCATATATCTTTGAATATCCTTTACCAAAGATTGGGTCCGGAGTTTGAAAGGTAGCTAGGGCAATTACAGGAAGAATTCCTAACAGGAAAAAACTGAGGATATGCATTTCTAGGCTTCGACTAAAAATGAAAGAGAAGGGAATTAAAGACTGAAAATTATTTAATGTCAACTTTATAAATTTTGTTTCATATTTTTTTTTTTATCAATCCGAAAAGTGACTCATTTGCTTAACGATTAATAATGTCAACATTCTTCCCCTATTGTTCTATACATACACATATATTTATGATTATATTATATTATATTTCAAACTCAAGAATTCGTCATTAACATTTTTATGGTTATTTTTTCATAGCTCAGTCCGAGATAATTAAAATGGGAATTTCCAAAGTCGATCTTTCATATTCATTAAAGCATGGTAACGTTAAGTCATAAATCTGATAAAAGGAAATCGAGATAGGCAGGCTTGTAATAAATAAAAAAAATATATATATGTAATACTGTAAGATTTTCTTGGATATATAACAAGTATTTTCAATATTTAAAACTTTTTAAATATTGTTTCGTATTTTGTTGTTTAAATTTAAAATCTCATACACGATAACGGTATCAAGACTCAATCCCTATTTTTATATATATGTATGTACATATGTGTATTTCATAGAATTTATTATTAATATTTTTATGGTTTTTTTTTTCATAGTACAGTTAGAGATAATACAATAGGAATTTCTTAAGTCGATCTTTCTTATTCGTTACCATTAAGTGACATCAAGGATGATTAAGGAATCGAGATAGACAGGCAAGTAATAAAATCTAAAAATTAGATCAAAATACCGTACAGGAAGTATATAAATGTCTAATTTTAACTTATCTTGAGAAACAGTTTCTAATAACTATTAAAAACTTGTAGGGTGAACAATTTTTTTAATTTCCATAGTTTTATATCTTGTATCTTTCGTAAAATGTTATCCTAATCCTAAAAAAAGTATGCACAATCTTATGCATAAATGGTTATTTAAATCTATTCTCAGACATGATTCATACTAATAAATTTATAGATTGATAAGAACGAATGAAAGCATTGAGTCGTTGTAATTAGTCTTATTTTTAACGATAAATCATATTCGTAGAATGGATGTGAACATTCGGGAAAGAGATAAGGAAATATTTTAATAATTACCTTATTAATAGGATTCACGACTGATCAACTGCACTTGTAATCTTGAACTGAGAGTCATGTGGAAAATAAGAGGCCAAGCCTGGTTTTAATTCTATAGAAATCCCGAAGCTTTTTCGGTCCTACTATTTAATACATTCTTGTTTCATCCCTGAATTATGAACCGAACATTTTTTTAATTTTCTATATACTAAATAATAATTTAGTTTTTTCTTGAAGATACCATATTTCATTAAGGTTTAATAGTATCTATTTTTAATTTCAATTCAATTTATTATAAATATATTATGTATTATTATGTATATATTATACTATACAACTATCGGCAAAATACCGATCAGGTGGCTCTGCTGAACGCGACCAGTCATTATATCGAAAAAATCGTGATACACACCGTGACTGCGGACCGATAACAGACAAAGCTTGTGCCACCACTAGTGCCACCACCGCCACAGCACAGGCAGCACAGTCGCGAATTGACAACAAAATTACGCGATAAACAAACCGAATTTGCTGCCCGCTGTCCAATATGAGTGCGTCGGCCAGCACGTCAGCGGCAGCGTCTCAGGACGCCTGCTATATATCGCTTCTTGGCCTAGCGGAATACTTTCGCACTTCGCAACCGCCAAACATCAAGAAATGTATCCAGTGTCTTCAAGCTCTCTTCACGTTTATGCCGCCATCGAAGGTCGAAGCAAGAACGCATCTGCAGATGGGTCAAATACTAATGGCATACACCAAGAACATCGATCTGGCGCGCCAGCACTTGGAGAAGGCATGGAGCATATCCGAACCGCTGCCCAACTTTGATGTAAAGTTTGACACCGCCTCGTTGCTCGCCCAATTGCATCTGCAAACGGACATGAACTCACACCAAGCGAAAGCGATGTTGCGGCGAGCCGTGGAACTATCGCAGAACAACGTCTATTGGCACTGTAAACTTTTGCTTCAGTTGGCCCAAATACACGCCAGCGATCGTGAATACTCACTGGCGTCCGACCTGTTGGCTGTGGGCGCGGAAAGTGCCGACGAGGCGAGCGCCACGTACCTGAAAGTGCTGTTCCTTCTGTCACGCGCCATGATCCTTATGATTGAGCGCAAGACCAACGATGTGCTCGCTTTGCTTAACTCAGCCGGCCAGATTATTGACAACAACATACCCAATCCTCACCAGAAAGAATACCTCAAGGTTTTCTTTCTAGTGCTGCAGGTATGCTATTACCTCGCCCTGGGTCAGGTGAAAACTGTGAAGCCCAGTCTCAAACAGCTGCAAATGTCCATACAGACGATAATGGCGCCAAATTGGCCATCGGATGAAGCGATTTTCGGAGCAAATCAACTTGAGATGTTCGTGTGGTTACCCAAAGAGCAGCTTTACGTTCTGGTCTACTTAGTAACCGTCTCGCATTCAATGATGGCAGGTTACATGGACAAGGCTCAAAAGTACACGGAAAAGGCGCTTACCCAGATCGAGAAGCTTAAGCAGCAGGAGGATAAACCGATTCTGTCCGTATTTAAGGTGATTCTGTTGGAGCATATTGTGATGTGCCGAATGGTAATGGGAAACCGAGAACTGGCCATCCGGGAAATAGCCGCCGCGAGAGACGTTTGTCTGGCGGCACCTCAACGTAGCCTGCTACGGCGCCACTCCGCCCAGCTGCACTGCCTTATTGGTCTGTACTCCATGTCCACCAGTTTCTTTGAGCATGCAGAGCGGCAGTTTGTAGTGTGCGTAAGTGAGACCACCGAGCGGGACCTGAAGCTTTTTGCCAACCTCAACCTAGCGATCATTTACCTCCGCACCAAAAGGGACGCGGACCTAAAGCAAATTTTGGATGCAGTGTCTACGGAAAACACACACACGTACAGTAGTCAAGCGCTGATGGGCGGCTTTTACTACGTCCAGGGCCTGCACGCCTTTCACAAAAACAGCTTCCACGAGGCCAAGTGAGTATTGATCTTCAATCAATATAAAAGACTACAGATTTCTAACCTTCATTCCTTGCAGACGCTTTTTGCGCGAAACACTGAAGATGGCAAACGCCGAAGACCTGAACCGGCTGACCAGTTGCTCTTTGGTATTGCTCTCGCACGTCTTCCTTAGCATCGGAAACTCGAAAGAAAGCATGAATATGGTGACACCGGCCATGCAACTGGCCAGCAAAATACCCGATATTCACGTGCAGCTTTGGGGATCGGCAATTCTCAAGGACCTGCATCGTATGTCAAAGGATGTACAGCACGAAAAGGATGCTTATGCCAACCATGTAAAATACTCGGAGAACCTGATTGCTGACCAGCGCAAGTGCGTTCAAAGTGCGCATCACGAGCTTGTAAATTGGTTCCAGGGCGATCCTCCTGTCACGAGCGGTCCGCCTGCCGCCGCCGTCCTGCATATGCCCGAGTCCTCCGTCGCAACATCAGTCGCCGTCATCGCCTCCACATCAACAGCCATGCAGCAGGCGGGGCAGTACAGTCAGTTCTACTAGCAATGAGATGATGATGCAATGTACTATTTAAGCTTTTATTTTTATCTACAACATAGCGACTAAGTTAAGACTAAAGATGTTCTAAAGTTGTGAATTTGTCCTAAACTGTGTTCCCAAGGGGGAAGAGTAGACGGAAAATGGACGAGTTGTACGATGCGAAACATAGGGAAAATAGATGATCTTAAAGTATTGTATTATTTTTAATTGGGAGTAAATTGTACATGTCAATAAGAATGCCCAAGAATTAGACAAACTAGACTCATTGTTCCTGCAGTTCCCATGCCAAATTATAGCATTAAAGCAGTCTCGGCCATCTCATCGAGTTCTTCTTCAAGCGCTCCGCTTCCGTTTTCCTTATTACTTAGAAAGTTAAAGTGTACCAGACGTTTGTCGTGCTGCTCGTGCCCGGCTAAATGAGTTCGCATCTCGGGCATTGACTTAAACTCCACATTGCACACCGGACAAATGTATATTCGATCTCCCTGATGGGTACGCTGGTGCATCTGGCAGTCACCCCGTTGCGTAAAGGTCTTTGAGCAGAAGGGACAGACATACGGGCGCTCACCTGTGTGCGTTCTTCTGTGGTTTTTGAGCACATTTAGGGCGGTGAATCTCATAGGACACAGGTCGCAGGCGTAGGGTCGCTCACCGGTGTGCTTTCGTTTGTGCTTGGCCAGCGAGCAACTGGTGGTGAATCTGGCCAAACACACCTCGCACTCGAATGGCTTGTCGCCCGTGTGGGTGCGAGCGTGAGAGGCGAGCTCAGCCTTGGTCACAAAAGAGTTCGGGCACAGCTCGCACTTGAAACTCTTTGTCTCCGAGTGGCGTAACTTGTGTTGGCGCAGGTTCGCATTTTGAGTGAAGCTCTTACCGCAGATATTACACACGAAGGGTTTCTCGCCGGTATGGATGCGCATATGGTCTCGCAGCGTGGATAGCATAGTGAATACTATAAAATTTAGAGTGAATTAGGTAGGATTCTTAAAAGATATTTCAAATATTATTGCTTACCCTTCTGGCAAACTGTGCATTGATTACGCAGATTTCGCTTGTGGCCTTGAACCATGTGCTTACTTAGCTGCTCCTTGGAATCGCATTGAATACCGCATTCGGGGCAATTGTGGGTACCATGGCTAGCCTGATGCTCTGCCAAGTGATCCGGCGACACGAACACCTTTTCGCACTCATTGCATTTGAAGTTGCGGTTGATGCAGCCCTTCTGGCGTCTGTGGATCATCAAAGACTTTTCCAGTGCAAAGCCAGCATTGCAGCGATCGCAGTGGTACTTAAGCTCAGGTGTTGGGGGTGTGATTAATGCTGTACCTGCACCGCTATTTGCACCTGAGGTTGGTCCTCCGAATGCATTCAGCGACTTTCGCTGTGATCCCAACCGAAGCTTTTTTGAGGGAGATGTTGAATCTAAAGGCGACGAGGTCTGAACATCCTGTCTGACGCCACCTCGCCGACGAGAGGCTCTTTTAGCTGGCTGAGCCAACTGTGCTTTCGCTACTTCTTCAACTTCCTGTTTTGGATTCACAGAAGTCTCGTCTTTTTCATTTTGATGCAACGTTAAGAGTTTAGCAGCGCTTTTTCTGGTTGTTACCTGTGGAGTTGCAACTGTGATGACCTCTGAATCATTATCGTCACCCTCGAAAATAGCAAGATTACATTCCCTGATCTGCTGCTCCAACTCGTTGTCATCGCCTTCATAAATAACATTGGTTTGGGTAAACACCACTTCTTTTTCATCCTTCAAGCTGCCCTGAACCTGCAGGATAAGGCTGGTGGCCTTTTCAACTGGCTCATCCGGCAGCTCGTAGTCAAACACCTCCCCCTCGCCGTCATAGTCAAGATCCACAGAAATCGTGGATTTGACCAGGCTGGTGTTTTGTTCGGCGTCTATGGTAGACACCGCATCCGTTTGAACGGAGGCAGTGCATCTGGCCGGCTCCCAATTGGCGGTTTGAACAGCCTGGTCCGCCGTAACCACTGGACAATTGATGGACACCTTACTTTCGGGTTCTTCAGGTAGAGCATTTGGCAGCAATTGCCGCAGGGTGCGACTCGAGTTCTCGCACTTGATCTTAAAGGTGTAACAGTGATTGATTTCACTCAAGCAGCTCAGGCAAACCTTTTCAGGAAGATTATCGTGACGCCGAGGCTAGAAAGCGCATGATTATCTTAATAAACATGAAAACTCGGACTAAGAGGCCGCTTACCTTTGTTTTCGTGAACTCTCGGATCATGTCAGCTAGGCAGCTGCCCGATCCCCCATCGTAAATGGACAAAAAGGGTCCCGTCGAGCTCAAGCAAGTCAGGCAAATCTTATCCACATCCATTTCGCGATGCAATCGCTTAAACCGAAAACAAAATAAAATAATTAAGAATGAATGGTATGGTATGACTGCATTGCGGTTTACACAATAAACCGTTTTTTAGATATACCTGGTCACACCAAACATTGCCCTTGGCGGTTTTTTGTTTTTCGAAAATATTAAGTATTACATATGCTACTTAAAAAATGGTTAATCTACCATCACTTTGCATTAACTATTATTAACAGTATTTAAATAACAACACAAAAAAATATAACTTACAAAAAAGGTTACCCGTTTTTTTAAGTTAACCGATATTAGTTTTAATACTGGTTTAGCTTTAGTCACTTAAGTATCGCTCATCTCTATAGATTTGATAAGCGTTGATAAGCACAATCAGTAATCCTAAACTATGTCGCAAACTGAGGAGTTCACCTTTCGCCGTGCTCAAGATGATGATATTAAAGATGTGCTTTATATGATCCAGGTTCGAAACATTTTCCCCATTTTTTTAAATATTTAATAAAATTTTATATTGATCTTCAGGAGCTCGCTGACTTCGAAAAAATGAGCAATGGTCCTCAGCTAACCGAAGACGGTAAGGGATTCCAAAATCTATTTCAAAAGAGGTATTATTTTATTATTTCCCAAAAGATCTTAAAAGAGATGCAGGACTAACTGGAGGTCAGGAGTATTGTGAAGTCTATGTGCTTATAGACAATGCCACCAAGTATGTACAATAATTCGATACGATAAAAGGGAAAACATTAGTTTTTTCTTTTTACAGTCAGGCGATTGGCTATTCCATTTGCTACAAGGCATACTCCACCTGGCAGGGTCGTTACTTCTTTGTTGAGGACATCTACGTTCGTCCAGATCATCGAAAGCGCGGCGCCGGAAAGAGAATCTTCCTAGAGGTCTCCGCCAGGGCCGTTGAACTTCAATGCCCACGACTGGAATTTAACGTACTAGAATGGAACCCCGCCCGTAAATTCTACGAAAGACTTGGTGCTGTGGATTTGACAGTCAAGGAAGGATGGCACTATTACCGTGTCGAGGAACAGCAACTGGTCAAATTAGCCAAGGATCTGGCTAAAAATAAGTCTTGATTTAGTTAAATTTTAAATATTTATACTTTATAGTAGAAAGATAAATAATTAATAATACTTGACCATAGGCCTTATACAAATACATATGCTACGAGTACATTGCAATTACTTAATATTCAATTGGGCTTCTTACTGATCCCCGGCCACGCTTGCTATGACATGGATCTGCATGCTTTTGGTTGAGTTGTACACTTGTCCGGGCGGAAAAGGATGCACTTTGGAGTGGGCATCAGTCTTGTTCTTGCCCCCGGCTGTGTACTTGGATAGCCGGATGCTGGGCATTGGCAGGAAGCCGGTGCTTAACGGCATCACATCCAAGGAAATCGAATGACTGTCTACGTCCTTCATAGACACAACACCTAGAAGATTCAGTAAAAAATTATTAGTCACGAAATCACAAAAGCGAGATAAGCAAACTTAAGCCATTTTTAGTTTCAGTGTTAAGTGTATCCAATTAAAAGCAAGGGCAAAGATAGTTAGTGCTATGTGTGTCCAATACCGTAAAACTTACCCATATCTTAAAATGCAAAATCGTGTGTAGAAAAATCAGAATTAAATCATAAGCAAAGACAGGCAAACAATTAAAAAAAAAAGGGTACAACTTACCCGCTGATCGACCGCAAACAGCCCATAGATTCTGATCATTAAGCACCTCATACATAAGGTCCGTGTAGGGATTTTCGTGAACTTTGGTGATCTTCAGGTTCATATTGCACACAGTTCGCAGGCGGCACAGCTCATTGGGTTCAAGCTGCGCCTGCAATTTGAAAAGCGTCGTATAATCCACTAGATCGAAGGCGCATCCATAGGTTCTCCACACATCCGGCTGAGAAAGCGGCGCATACTTAATCACAAAGTGTACTTTAACAACGGGCAGCTCGTGCTCGGTTTTGAGAGGCTCGACTTGAATCTCATACAGAAAAGTTACTGTCAAGGATTTGTAGATTTCCTATAATACAAGTGTGGAAAATCAATATAATTATTTAAGACTTTATCACTTTTCACTTACAATGGGCTGCTGGGGCTCGGGATTAAGATCTAACAGTTGCACACCGGGTACATCGCATTTGACCTGAGCATTTTGCAAAAGGAGATGCGCATCTAGTCCCTTCATGATCACCTGTAGAAACTTTTGAGTGCCACACGTGTGAAGCCGGCAAGTGGCCTCCATGGCTGGTTGAAATTCAACGGGGATAGGTAGCTCCGTTCGCGACCATGGACAACTGAGGGCAATGTGATGCTCATGGTGCTTAGACACCTTTCGGCCTGGCATATCCGTGAGCACTTCTAGAGGAATTTTGCGCTCCTCGAACGACTTAAATTGCAATAGCGGCACCTGAAGGAGGCTCTCAAAGGATGTATCATCATTATATGTTGCTTGATCTGTCGTATTTCGTGCCTGACGTATGCGTAGATTCTTGGAGCAGCGCAGTGTAATCTTAGCATCAGTTGGGAAAATGAAACTTCCCCCGGAAACATTCAAGATAATTGGCTGTACTATGCCAGCTATAAGGGTCTTAAACTCCAATGAAGCACATGCCGGCTTGGTGCTAATCTCAAAGTTGGGTGGCGTGAAGGGCAGCTGTTCTGACAGGAACTCCAGACTGGACATGCTAATGCAGAGCTGAAATATACAAACAAAAGAACAACTAAAACCTCGGCCTAAGTAGAGTATTCAGTATGACCACCTACCTGTTTGAATTGCCAGCTGCCTACTCTATTAGCCTTTGCCTTAAGATCGATTACGTTTACGCCTGGTTGAAGGGCAATGTTTTCTGCCTGAACGAAGTTTGTGAAGTCCGCCTGGACACTAGGCGACAGTTTTCTTTTGGTGCTACTGGTGCGCCTCACGGGTTGCTTGCTCTTGGGCATATCGCAGGCTACAGCGGCGGCGTGAATGCTATTGTCTTGTTTGTACACTAACTGAAGGGAAACCTTTAGACGTGATGTGGACTCCTTGACCTTAACCACAGAAGGAGGTGCAGTTAGGCATACATTCTCCATAGCCAGCTCCAGTGAGGCCGCTTGCAACTCATAGCAAAGCTTGATGTTTTCAGCCACGATCCCACGTGGATACAGACTCTCTACTTTTAGCTGCACGAGTATGTAATCATCCTGTATGATTGGTTTCTGATTAATTACGTCGATGTCCAGGACTCGAAAGTGATCTTCTAGCACACAAAAGTTTGCATTCTCCATGGACGGCTGCGCCGAAAGTGTTGTCTTTAAGGTTTTAAGGGACTTAAGGAACTCATCAAAATAGAATGTTCGCACCAAGGTCTCCAGTTCTGCGCAGCACGAGATGGAGCTGCAGGTCTTGGTGTAGGCCAGAGAGTCTCCCATCTTGCGGTAGCAGTTAGCTAGCTCTAGCAAAGTCTGGGAGCTCAACATATGCCAGTTTTCCGCTTTCAGTTCCCTAAGAAGATCTGTGAAGAACCCAACAGCCTTGTGGGGCTCATTTAGGGCACAATAAAAGTTTCCAAGATCAAGACCCACTAAACGAGCCGATCGCAAACGTGTCACATGTTTATACGTACTTATAGCCAATTCCGCCAGCTCTAGGTAGAGCTTTTGGAAGGCCTGATTAGAGCCCAAAGCCTCCTTCAACTGTTCGGCTGCCGATTTTTTTGGCTTGCGATTGGGAGACCGTTCCCGGAGCTGAGGTGTAGCCTGTAGAAATTGATGGTTATCGGGTGGAGCGTCTCCTATTCCTGACGACAATTGCACCACTATATGGAGCTGTTCCGAAGTGGGCGTACAGCCGGGCAAGAGACCACACAATTTGCCTAGCTCATAAAGTTTATCCTTTGCCAAGTTCCAGATCGGAGCGCAGTGCTGGAAACAAGTAACTTCGTTGGGTTCCATGGCCTGCTCGCACAGCTGCAGGACCTCCAGAGCACAAACGAATTCCCAACAGCAAAGAGCGCCCTCTTGGTACTCAAGCTTGATGAACTCCACTTCGCGCAGTGTGGAAAAGAGAAAGTTAAGAAGCCTTTTTGCGATCTCTGGGATGTCGTTGCAAGTGAGCAGTAGGTAGGCTTGCCGCTCGAACAGATAGTTGCGGAATTCCAAAAGGGAAACGCCCTCATCCCGAATCTTATTTCGCATTTCGAACCTGTCCGGTCGAGTTAAGCAAATACCATGGAATGCGTCCAACGGCTTTCGAAAGTGATTCAACCACTGTTGCTTCTCGTTGAGGCCTGTATGCGTGATGAACTGCGAGAACATTGCGTCCAGTTCATCATATTGTATCAGCGCCTCTGTGGGCAGTTCTAGCTTTTCAAAAATCAGTGCCAAGTCCTCCTGCATAAAAAAGTATTGTCGAAAGTCCCAGCCATCAACATTACGCTTTTCGCGCTTGCTTCGTATGAGTTCCTCGTACTTGACAATGTTGCGATTATAGCTGGCCAGCATAAGGAACCGAATCCGCTGCACCAGGCATCGAAAGGATTCCGTAGACTTCTGTTCGAACTTGGCAGGGTTTAAGACTGAGATGCAGCGATCGTCGTTTTTACTGCCAAAGTCTAAGCGTATCTTATCCAGCACAGTGGTGCGTGGCATAAAGTTTTTTGTCTTCCGCATATCCAGGGTTTCCACCAGCAGAATCATCCAGTCGGATATGCCGTAACTGGTCAATATTTTTAGCCAGGCATCGATCTCTTCCCTGATGGTGCCCTTGTAGGTGTCCACGTCCTAAAATATAGTTAAGTGGGCGTAAGAAAAACTTGTCTTGACCTTTATCCAACTCACATTGCACTCGGTGACATAAATGTGCAGTATTGGGTGTTCCAATATGCTCCAGTCACCCTGTTTGTACTTATCCAAGGCTGCCACATTGAACTGCTGGGTCTGGGCCTCTAGACGAACATGTTTAGTGGGACGTTGAAAAGTGCGCCGCCATTCGCAAGTGTCCAGAGGAATGGCATTCAGGATTTGAGCCTCCAGTGACCGAAACAGCGGGCACGAGCCAGAGTCTATGGTAAAATCATAAATTATTATGCCAATGAAAATTGTTTGCACTCACATGTAATAATGGGCTTTATCTGCATTGTTTTTGTATATCTTTTTTTGTTTATTGCATTGAATAAACGAGGCCACCCAACAATCTCGGCCAAACAGCTGATTACACAGCTAGGGCGTTGGTATCGATTGTTTGGTTATCAGTTATCGAGAATGAGGGTTTTTAAATTTGTAACTTCTTGAATTAAGGGATAAGTACTTAGAAACAAATTAAGTAAATTGAAACAAATAGAGAAACAAACTCGGCTTATGGTATTTGTATCTATTCAACAGGTGTTTTTTTCCGTAGCCCTGGTCATGGACATAGCAGGGACATTTTTATGGGGATCTGATAATGATTAAAGTTGGGTACGAAAATGAAATCGAAAGGGCCACAAGCCTATATTTATTTAAAGTAAGATTGAACTAAAATGGAGTCATAAATAAATTTGTAAAGTATCTAATAGCCCTTTTAAACCGCTTTTACGACACCCCAGTCTTTGTTCTCTTGGCTAAAAATCGATACCACCCACTATCGCCTATCGAACAGCTGATAGTGAAATCAGGTTTGGAAGCCAATTGGAAACAATGCAGAATTAATATTTTTGTTTCACGCGACCACACAAGACACTCGACAGAAACTTTCACTGAATGCTCGACCAGGACACGACAGGAAATTAGCTAGTCCCACAATGGACATGGCCAGAAGCATTTTTGGCCGCGACCACGAGGGTTACGTGGGCCGTGAAGAGCATACGGTAGGCGCAAATTCACCAGAAAAGATTGCTTATCATGGTAATTAATATTTATCGTTCCACTTTTTGCCAACAGCGCAAACTCCAGAACCTTGGCTCGGAAGACGATCTGGGCGAGCTTCCGCCCATGATGGAGGAACTGAGTGTGGCCGATGGGCTACGACCAAATCCCGGGGGGCCATTCTCAGCCCTAACAGCCTCTATGTGGCCCCAAGAAATCCTAGCCAAGCTAGGTGGCGGCGCGGAGCTGGCCTCCGGGCCAAACGACCAGCCGGAATATCGATTCGACGAGTTCGGTTTCCGGGTAGAGGAAGAGGACGGACCAGAGCAGAGCTCTAACAAGCTACTCAGCATCCCGTTCGTAGAGGATGAACAGCAAAGGCTCCAGTGGATCGCCCACCTAGAATTTTCGCACAACAAGGAGGCCACAGAGCTGAGCTGGGAACATGTAGATGTGATGCTACCACGCACCGAAAAACTTCGAAACATGGTACGCCAAGGTATCCCTCACACCCTGCGCGCCCAAATGTGGATGCGCCTGTCTGGAGCTCTGGCTAAGAAGCAGAAAAGCGAGACGAGCTACCATGATATAGTCAAGGGTAGGATCTTTTATGAACAAAAGGCAATTCAACATACTTAACCATATCTTTATTTGTTAGCTTCTAGCAATGATCAGCTGATGACATCGAAGCAGATCGAGAAGGACCTTCTGCGAATCCTGCCCACGAATGCCTGCTTCAGCAATCCAAACGGGACGGGCATTCCACGCCTGCGGCGCATCCTGAGGGGTATCGCGTGGCTTTTCCCTGACATCGGCTATTGCCAGGGCACCGGAGTGATTGTGGCTTGTTTGCTGCTATTCATGGAGGAGGAAAACGCCTTCTGGATGATGGCCACCATTGTGGAGGATCTGCTGCCAGCTTCGTACTACAGCTCCACCCTACTCGGCATTCAGGCTGACCAGCGTGTGATGCAAACGCTCATAGCCAATTATCTGAGCAGCGTGGATGAGTCGTTGCGGAAACATGACATTGAGTTGTCGCTGATCACGCTGCATTGGTTTCTCACCCTGTTTGCCAACGTGGTGCATATGAAAATCCTGGTGCGTATCTGGGATTGGTTTTTCTACGAGGGCTCCATAGTGCTTTTTCAATTGACACTAGGAATGCTCAAGGTAAAGGAGCAAAATCTGAAGCACCTAGAAAACTCAGCACAGATTTTCAATTCGCTATCCGACATTCCCGGCGAAGTCACCGACGTAGAAGTGCTCTTCCGTCAGGCTCTAGAGGTGGGTGGCTCCCTAAGCCAGACGGTAATCGATACCCATCGAAGGCGCCATCTAGCATATCTTATGGCGGATCAAGGTCACCAGATAGGAAATCCCGAGGCTGCTCCAAATCTTCCAAAACAGCAGCTAGCCCGACGACAGGTACGGAAAAGCAAATCTATCCTGGAGGCCTTTCTCTTTCGCGGCGACGCCGGTGAAGGTGATCAGCTAAAGAACAAAAACATCCGGCAAACGGAGATTCTAGTGGACCTAAGAGAGGCTATTCTTAAAGTGGGTCGCCATTTCATCACCATTGAACCCAAACTTTCCGGTCACATCCAGCTGACTGCCAACTACAGCACCGAGTCGCATGCCAAGGACCACGAAAACTTTATCAACGTAGCAAGAACGCGTAAACGTCGGGCCAAAGCGTTGCACGACTTTGAGCGGCACGACGACGATGAGTTGGGCTTCAGGCGAAACGATATAATTACGATCATTAGCCAAAAGGACGAACACTGCTGGGTGGGTGAACTCAACGGACTACGCGGCTGGTTTCCGGCAAAGTTTGTTGAGCTACTGGACGAAAGGAGCAAGCTGTACACCACGGCAGGGGACGATTGCGTCTCAGAGACAGTTACAGACCTTGTTCGTGGCACTTTGGCGCCAGCCATTAAGGCCTTTTTGGAGCACGGCATGAAACGGCCAACGTTCCTAGGCGGACCTATTCACCCTTGGCTGTACATTGAGGAAGCGGCCACGCGAGAGGTGGAAAAGGACTTTGAATCGGTGTACAGCCGACTGGTACTGTGCAAAACGTATCGTCTGGATGAAGACGGCAAGGTGTTAACGCCTGAGGAATTGCTCTACCGTTGCGTTCAGGCCATCAATCAGACGCATGATGATGCCCACGCCCAGATGGATGTTAAGTTGCGTTCGCTTATCTGCTTGGGCCTTAACGAACAGGTTCTTCACCTCTGGTTGGAGGTTCTCTGTGCCTGCCAGGAGGTCGTGCAAAAATGGTATCACTCGTGGAGCTTCATCGATTCACCTGGGTGGGTGCAAATCAAATGTGAGCTACGAATTCTCTCGCAATTCGCCTTCAACTTAAACCCTGACTGGGAACTGCCACCCAAGCGCGGCAAAGAGTCGCAGCCTCTCAAGGATGGAGTACGGGATATGCTGGTGAAACATCATCTCTTTTCATGGGATTTGTGAAGCTTGTCCCCGCCGTGTATGGAGTTCCAAAATCGTTGGCAATCAACCGCGTATCCAATATCTCATTACCCCGTCTCGTTTCTATATTTTTCATGTGCAATTGCAATTTTTTGATTCTTAGTAGCTAGCATCCGCTTTTTTAGTACTTCTTTGTTGTCGTACGCCTAACTTAAGTGCTTTACCATACCGATCTTTAGCTGTAACTATAACTTTAATTCGCCCTATGTATAGCTCGTGCCGTTTGTTTACTTAATATCCATCCATAATTATAAAACTTAGACCACACCAATCTACTAAATTACAAATGTAACGTACCTTTAAATTGAAATCAAATCTTATAAAGTACATACATATTTATTACTATATACACATAGATGTTTAACTGTCTAAATGCATTTCATTAAAGTTTAATATATATATTTAAATTGTACACAAACCGTATGTTTCTAGTTGCACACCAATCCCAAGTAGTCGTCCATCAAGGTGCCAATAGCAAACTAAAAAATTGATCCTTAGCACGGAACATACTTGTGTTTAGAATACAACTTACAATTCCCGTGGCATCTACTCGAGTTCCCACAATTTTAAGCCGAATTTTATCCTCTCCGGAGATTACCACGTCCTCATCTTTGCTCTTGTAGCAGGGAGGATTACCGTTTGGACAGAATTGCATGTCGGCGGGAATAGACTAAAATAATAGACAAATGAATAATTCCAAGACTACAGCAACATATGTCATTCTACTCACATGATGCGAAATAAAACAGGACAGCGGGCCGATTTCTGCAAACATGCCCACTTTGTTGATCTGTTTGACCACCGCGTCTAGCACTTCGCCTTTAAAAGGCCGGAAGACGATTGCTTTATACTTTACTGGGTATACCACAAATCCCTGGCCCGGCTGGATGACTCCGGACCCGATCTGATCTATCGTCGTAACTGCTATCACGAACCCGTACTTTCCTGTACAGGTTCCTTCCACCTCGGAGTAAAGCTTCTGCTTCACGGTCTCCAGCAGCTGCGGACCAAAGTAGCGTGGATGCAGCAAGATCTCGTGCTCCAGAGATATCTATGATGAAAGACAGTCAGCTTCTACTTCATGGCCTTCAAAAGGGCTATACTCACGTGGTAAAACATTGTTGATGGCGTTTTTTTTAATAAAAAATAAATAAACAGCCGGAACCGCTTAAAGACGCTGCTGAAAGTGTGACCAAAGTTCGCGATGCACACCATCCCACAAAGAGGGATTTACCGCCATCACAATAACGAATCTATTTCGGCGGGAAATTTAAATGAATTAAAGAGAATTTATAAAAAATCTGCAATTCATTTGGGGTAAATTCTACGATGAATTTCAATGTATTATCTCGAATTAACAAATATTTTTATTTATAAATAAATACGCAGAGAATAATAAAATACAAATGCTTTTTTTTCCTGAATTGCATTGCGCATTTATTAACAAATTACCTAATGACTAAATCTCACAAAACAAAACAATCTAATCATCTTTGAAGCCTAACGTAAAATCTTGAGCTTCCCCTCCGTTTCGGAAGATACGCACATAAGCGGATTTGAAGCCAAACTTCAAAATGGCTACGTAGGGCAAGTAATAAGTCAGTACGTCCACTAGCCAGACGCGGAAGTTCAAATACCAACGCACTAGGGCGTATCTGTGCAGATAGGTGACAAGAAACAGTCCGTAGCTGACTATAAACCGATCCCACCATCCCATGTCGTAATAGTGCAGCTTCTGCTGTGGATCCTGTTTTATTCCGTTGTCATGATCAAAGCTATAGTACTCGTAGCCCTTGACACAGGCTAATCGCTTGGCAAAGAATATGTTGGCGTCCACCGAAAACATGGTGTTCATATGCCAAAGACCGTGGATGAGGGCTTCTGTCATGCGGTAGAAATCGTCCCCGGTGTTTTCCAGAGCTGGTTCGTAAACCTTTCGCATCACAATATCCAAGCGAAGCTTTGACTGCGCCCAGTTTCTACCGCAGATGTTGTACTCGTCTTTGATACCAAGCAAATAGCCAAGAACGCGCCACATGTGAGTGGTTGCTTCGAGGAAATCCTGATCATTAAGTTTAATCCGATGAGCCCCCATTGTTATGAAGCCAATAAATCCAAACTGAGTCAAGGCTAAATCCTTCTGAGTGATCTGCCCAGCTCCTCTGCGAGCACAGGCATGGCTGGAACGGCTGTGGGCCTGCCTCACAGCCGCAATGCTGGTCCAAAACCTGCTCCCACGGTCCGCAATGCTGTGGTTATACCAGGCTTGCGTGTGGAATATAGTGCGCACATACCGACGGTAAGCAGTGAATGCTGTCGAAGATTGTCGTGTGCAGGAAAGCACTCGGAGAATTGAGGGAATAGCCAATACAGCGACTAGTCCAGCCAGCATTCCAGCGTTCATCACAAAACGATACGTACTAAAGTAGCTCTGACCACTGCGGAGAAAATAGAATAGTTAATCAACTCCAAAGAAGGAATAAATTCAAAATCATTTTTTTAAAGAATCCATTTAGGTTTAACTACATTATTAGTTTATTCTATTAATATTTTATTTGAAAAATTGTATTTTGAAGTCAGAAAAATGATTTTAAGAATAATGAAATTAAAGAAATATAATCTAAGAAAAAACGGACACATTTTTTCTTTATTGAAATTATGTCTACTGCTACTGTGCATTTTCTATAAATGGTAAATATATGCAACCCATTGAACAATTAGTCAGGCAACTTACCGCTTGAATAACTGCTCATTGTACCATGGAGGTAGTTCCAAATCCGACCCGCTATCGCCCTCCTGACTGCCGTCATTTAAAAGGTGCTTCAGATAGACCTCCGGATCCTCAATATCCTTTTCCATACCTTCGTCTGTATTATGACCATCTTTGGAGTGCAATGGTGTATGCATTTTCCCACTGTTCGCTGGAAAGTGGCGATCAAAGAAAACGAGCTTGAGGGCCACATTCAGATTACACAAGTGAAAGAAAGAAGAGACAAACAAAATCGTCGGCGTGCCAAGAGAGAAAGTTTTTCTTTTGGCCCGTTATCCAATTGAATCCGAATCGACTGTTCACTTACACGTTTCACGCTTTGTGTGGTCGGGCATTTCGGATGAGTTGCCTCTGTTGTTAGATCCATCAACCTGCATGTCGGCCCAATTATTGCTTGTTAAACTATTTAGCGAATACACCATTTATATGCAAAAACATTTTACACACACAAAGATGTACTTGGCGATGGCTATGAATCACGGCTGCCCTGCGTCGTTGCGGCCAAAGAACTGAGCTGCAACTGACGCAGAAGCCCCAATAAATAATAATCGTAAGCCGGTCATTGGCGCGTAAACGGGTTTCGAACTATCAAGTTGATAACGAATTTAGTAAACTTTGTTTACGCAATTTAGTGTGATAGAAACCGCAACAGTTAAAATATACCATTAAACTGATGTAAATATTCTTAAATATACCATGCAAAGCTAAAATTATTTCAAAATGTGAGCGGGAGTATTTGGAGTAGAAAACATTTTTTTATTCACATCAGCAGTTCTCCATATATAAAGGTAAGGGAATAGCATAAAAAGTACAACTTTTCAGGCTTTTAAATTCATTAAATTACATTTTAATACTGCGAAAGTATTTAAAATACCAGAATACCGAGTACAATCACAGTCACTGTTTACATCGTCACATTGCTATTGTTATCGATATCGAATATGGCAGTTCTGTTGGCAATCGTTTAAAGTGCACCTCTATCAGCGACGCGCTTGCAAAAAAGGAGAAAATTAGCCATTTCCCATTTTGCTCTGACGTTACGCCGTTATAAGTGCAAGTATCCAGTAAAATCTATATTCAATTCTTGGGTTTTTCGGCATCCGGTAAAATATTCTTTGCGGGTCTTAAAACACGTAGCTGTTTTCCTAAGTTTCAGTGCACACGTTTTGCCGCTTCGGCTTTTGTTTTGGCGCCCGATTTTTTCGGCTGCCGACTTTTGACGCAGACTGAGAAATTGCGTGCCAAGAAGCCTCGAAATGGTGGATCGCAGCGATAATGGTAAGTCTAGATTGGAGTTTATCAATGCAGTGTGTAACCAGTACTCTTTAGCAGCGGAATCCTTTGATGATGCCGTCGAGGAGCGTGTGATCAACGAGGAGTACAAGATCTGGAAAAAGAACACGCCGTTCCTGTACGACCTGGTCATGACGCATGCCCTCGAATGGCCCTCGCTTACTGCCCAGTGGCTGCCCGATGTGACCAAGCAGGACGGCAAGGACTACTCGGTGCACCGCCTTATACTTGGCACACATACATCTGACGAGCAAAACCACTTACTTATCGCAAGTGTCCAGCTGCCAAGCGAAGATGCCCAGTTCGATGGATCGCACTACGACAATGAGAAGGGCGAGTTTGGCGGTTTCGGTTCGGTTTGTGGCAAGATTGAGATCGAGATTAAAATCAACCACGAAGGCGAGGTCAACCGGGCTCGCTACATGCCCCAGAACGCCTGCGTAATCGCTACCAAGACGCCGTCGAGCGATGTCCTGGTCTTCGATTACACAAAGCATCCCAGCAAGCCGGAGCCCTCTGGCGAGTGTCAGCCCGACCTGCGGTTGCGCGGTCACCAAAAGGAGGGTTATGGCCTCTCGTGGAATCCCAACCTCAATGGTGAGTGCTTAGCTGAAGATTTTTCATTAAAGTATTTCTCTTTTAAAACCTATCAATTTTCCCTACAAAAAAAAATGTAACGTATTATATTATTTTTCTCTACAGGCTACTTGCTATCGGCCTCTGATGATCACACCATTTGCTTGTGGGACATCAATGCCACGCCCAAGGAGCACCGGGTAATTGATGCGAAAAACATCTTCACCGGACACACCGCAGTTGTTGAGGACGTTGCATGGCATCTGCTCCACGAGTCTTTGTTCGGCTCAGTAGCTGACGATCAGAAGCTGATGATCTGGGATACTCGCAACAATAACACCTCAAAACCCTCACATACGGTAGATGCTCACACGGCCGAGGTTAATTGTTTAAGCTTCAATCCCTACTCTGAGTTTATTCTGGCCACCGGCTCCGCCGACAAGACTGTGGCTCTGTGGGATCTGCGCAACCTGAAGCTGAAACTACATTCCTTTGAATCGCACAAGGATGAGATCTTCCAGGTGCAGTGGTCGCCGCACAACGAAACCATTCTTGCCTCTTCTGGCACCGACCGGCGCCTGCACGTCTGGGATTTGTCGAAGATCGGTGAAGAACAGAGCTCGGAGGATGCTGAAGATGGACCGCCTGAGCTTCTCTTTATTCACGGCGGCCACACTGCCAAGATCAGCGATTTCTCATGGAATCCCAATGAGCCCTGGATCATCTGCTCCGTGTCCGAGGACAATATTATGCAGGTGTGGCAAATGGCAGAAAATGTGTACAACGACGAGGAGCCAGAGATTCCCGTCTCCGAGTTGGAAACTAACACCGCTTAAAGCATCTGTTCCGCCACCCTTTACACACCCTAAATTGCAACTGCAACTAATATGGATTATGTTTTGGCCGTGCCCTATGTTCAGCTATCCAGCTTACATGGCATTGGGTACTAATTTTAATTTATATATATTTACATATTTTTAAAACTAATTAAGCTCTCATTTGTCAGCAGAACGTACGATCTACGAATCTTTAATTAAAAACGATTTGAAAGACCAACACTTGTGCAAATTTAAATCTCAAAGGCGCCCATCGTAGTTTATTAAATTATTTCTTAAAAATCACATTAAACTACCATATACTTGTGTTTCTTGCCAAAGACTTCTATATCCACACTGAGTGCCCTGATATCCTCTTTATGTCTTCTCGAAGTGATTTTTCCACTTATGACGTCCCCCTTCTTCACAGTCTGTGGCTGGTCAATGAAGAAAACAGTCTGCTTCCAATGGGTGGGCGTCGCGGTTGGTGATGTGCTGAACTCTACGGCGGAGGGCAGTTCGAAAAGCGTGTCAAAATAGCCTACAAAGGCAGACAATCGACCTGGTTTCGTGACCTTCAAGCTGAACTGGTGACTAAAGTTTGGATAGTTCAAATCCACGGTCATTATGTCGAAGTTTGCTATCTGTTCAGGAGTCGTAAGCATAAACTCCGCATCTACAACCTCCATAAGCGGCTCCTCTATTGATCTCTTTCGCAGATCGCTCATATCCACTTCGTAAACGTTTGACCAGAACTCCACTTGCTCGGCATAAAGCGTGTCGTTTCCGTAGCCCAAAAGGCTAAGAGTGCAGCGGCTGGGTAAGATTATACCATTTGGATTAAGGTGGTGTTCCCGGGCATAGATAATGCTGTCTAGCATAGACTCATACAGCAGGAAATATCCCATCCACTCGGAAATAATGATGTCATATTTAGCCTCTGGCAGATCAGTGTCCTCTAGACGTCCCTTGATTAACTGAACATTTTCAACTTTGTTTTTTCTAGAGGTAAATACATGGATTTATCTTCTGTAATGCATGGAAATACATGCCCTAATTACCTGATGATGTCCATGGCTGTGTACACGATTTCAGAGTTGTCTATTCCAACGACGCGCGCTGCACCCGCCTTTGACGCGAAGATAGAGAGGATTCCCGTGCCGCATCCCACATCCAGTACTGTTTTACCACGGATAACTGCTTCATTTTGAAGCAGGGAAGCACGATAGGTGCTGGTCCGCACCTTATCGCTCAGCATTTCGTGGTGGATGCCAAAATGAGAGTAACTTTTGAAGTATTCATTATCTAGGGTGGCATTGTTACGCGGTACGGGATTGCTAGAACCATTGGGCTCGCCGTCTCCATGTAACTTTTGCAGAAGAGCCTTGTAGTCGTTGCGCATGCGCTCCATATCTTCGTTAGCCTGTTGCAGCAATTGGGATTGCTCCGCAATCCGCTGCTGCAGCTCTGGGACCGTGGCCTGGCCCGATGTGACGTCTGTCTTTAGTAATTCATAGTCATAGCACAGCCAGGGTTCATACTCCCCGGGTTTAAGGTATTTATCGTCATGCCACAGTGTCGTTTCCGCGGAGAGTAATTGTTCGGCAGTGATTTTAGTGGCTCGTATGTAGTTTATGAATTTAATGAACGAATACTGGTCCATTTGGAATTTGCTCTGAATCTGAGGCAGATTCACTTTGTGCTTGGCGTCGAGGTGTTGAATTGCAGTCGATATATTTGAACATGTTTCGGGGCAAAATAAACAAGTGGTAAGTTCGTCCCCCTCGTCCATTGGCTCGTCCTCATCATCGTCTATATCATCATACTCATCATCGTCAGAGCTTGAATCGACAGGCTCTTCTGGAACCTCCTTCTGGGGCTCCACCTCCTTATTGTCTGCGATGGTATAGAATTTATATATAATAATAATAATTTGCAGCTATGGCGAGATCTAACCTTTGACTTCGGTATCTTTCATACTGACTGAACTTGCAACTCCTTTAAGCCTGCTATCGGAGAAGCTTTTATAAATATTGGCTATGACCTAAACTTCAACAAAAATATCACACTTTAAGCGGCGCCAACACGTGCGGAATTTTTAGAAAGAAAACACCCTAACGCGTTATTGTTATAGTGAAATGGTTTTTACACGGTAACAAAGGGATTTACTTTCTAGTAATAGCTCTCCAGGCTTGCAGAGATATTAAACTTATTTTCAAACTAAAGTATATACATGAAATATATAATATTTGTATATAATTCTATGAACGGAGTTAATGTGTAAATGCATTATTGCAGGATATCTTAGGAGCTATCATCACAAACCCAAGCCCCAATGTTGTATTTTTAGTATTTTAGAAGAGGCGTTAGGAGCATTTCAACAGCGGGCGCACTTGCATAATTCTAGGTGTAAATAAAAACATGTTGCAGGTATTTAGCCAAATTTATTAAAGAAAACATAAAGTAAAATATAAAATATATATTTCCAGGCACTGAAGACTCTCCGCTGGGCACACCCAGTACGGACGCTATCCGCTGTGACCACCAGTTCCAACACACAGGCCAACCTTTCCCCTGCTACACCCGCTCCAGAGCCGGATAAACTCTATAGTAAACTTGATATAGAGCTCCGGGGGATTGATCCCGCGGTCTTAAAAAGCTACACCTGGTTTGCTACCACGGCCGCCGAACATTTGGGTATTGAAAAGGGCAAGTGGTAAGAGAGGGGTTCAATTCTATCCGCCTTCCAGAGAAGATCTCTAATCAACTGTTTTTCATCCTTCAACAGTTGGTCACCTCGCAAGGCGCACCACGAGCGAATGACTCTCCTAAAGTCGGTGCACATCTACAAGAAGCATAGGGTGCAGTATGAGGTGCGAACCCATTTCCGCTACATGAACTTTCATAAACTAACGGGATCGACGCTTGATACCTTCCTGGAGTACATCGAACGCAACTTACCTGAAGGTGTGGCGCTGCAGGCTTCTAAGACGGAGCTTCAGCAGATACCAGAGCATTTACAGCAGCCGCCGGAGCAAGTGTAGTCGAGTCCAGGTCAAAAACATATAGTTATAAATAGTTTCAGCAGGAGCTTGAGATTAGGCTGATAAACAAATATAAGCACCGGCCATCGGGGCATTAATCGCCCGGAATCGGGGCCCAGTCCGCGATTAGCAAAGATAAGTGTTTGTCAAAAATATTGAAATAAACGTCGTATCTTGACACACACACAATGGGATCCACTTGAAGAGTGAGCAAACAAAATCGGGGTGGGCACGCGTTGGCTCCGCAGTAGCGACTCTTAGCTGAACGGAAGCGAATCAATTATCAGCATGCAACGGGCACAACTCATTTCACAGGTCCTGCTGGCCACAGCCATCATCTACGCTTGTCTGGAGCCTGCTGCCTGCCTTTACGAGGATAAGATCCAAACGTTCCTTGATGAGTTCCGGAAGCGCATGTGTCACCCGATCCCAAATCTGGGTCTGCCCGCTTTGGATCCTTTGGAGCTGGGTCCTGCTAAAACCGAAGTTAACAATAAATACTTAATAGAGTAAGCTAACTCAAATATCATTTTACGTATAAAATCTTAATTATTGCGATTTTAGCTTCACTGGCTCCATCGACAATTTTCAGTTGCACGGATTGTCTGATTTTGATGTCCCTGCCCTTACTTTGAATCCGATCCCAACTCGAATGAGCACTATTAACGTCACCCTTCCTCTCACGCATTTCGAGTCCTTGTACACGGCCAAAGGATCACTGGCATACATCCTTAACCTTGCCGGCGATGGCAATGCAGAGTAGGGAGAAACTTTTGGAACCTTGTCTAGAACAACTGTAACCATTTATTATGTGCTTTTAGAACTTCCATCACGAACTTTTCCATCCTTATTACTTTTCGATTGAGGTCACTGTCCCCTTTGTCAATATATTCACTTCAGATTGAGTTGCATTTGGGAGCTCTTCGGATTAACTTTGACAATCTGATGGAGGAGGAACGTATTAATGATTTTATCCACGCTCTGGTGAACGAAATGGGGGTGGAGCTACTTGGTGACGTTTGGGACTATGGACAAGACACGGTGGTCTCAAAAGTGCAAACGGTAGGTTACCATGGGGTTAAAATAAAAAAAAGGAAAAACACACTTATCAGATGTCCTCTGTACATTTTACAGGCTGTTAACAACTTCTTAGGTCAGTATACACTGTCGGAGATCCTCCAAATCATAACTGGCGGAAGTGGTGAAGGAGAAAGTGAACCCATCTTCAACGGTGTAGAGCCAGACTGTAAACCTGAAGCCAGCTCAAGAAACTAAGACTGAAACTTGATGATAAATTTAGAATAACAAAGATACCTATATACGTTTAGATTAATACATGACAATCGAAGAAGCACTCGACATGATAAGATTTATGGACCGTATGACATTTTAGCCGTATTTAGTTATCAATTAGATAAGGATAAGTCGGTAACAACGTCCTCACAGAACCATCAAAAGCACATTCGCATTTAAATCCGTCTGTTATTTGGTCAGGTATTCGCGATAGCGCCCATTCGACAAAGGCTTTTGCTACCAGCAAATACCGTATTATCGATGTGGGGTCTAGATAAGCCTTATATTTATAACCGTTTATTGATTTATGGCTGGTTTGCCGGATTATAAACTACAAGAGGCTGCAAGGCTGGGCACTTGCTGTGGGTCAAAGCTAAATTTGACCTTGTTACTTCCAAAAAAATTGTTTAAATAATTATCGTAGACCCATTCTTTAAAGTCCAGCTCATAAATTGGAAATTCCCTAGCCGTTGAATAAACTTTGTATCTCTGGTAGCAATCATAATGTATACCACTTTGGCGTTTCCCTCCTCGATAGCTAGAATACCTGTCAAAACAAAAAGATAACGAGGAAAGTTTCGAAACCATAAGTACTTATGAGCAGATTAAACACAAAAAAGTTTGATACAAAATCGTAATAACCTTTTTATTTGAGTTGATAATAAATGTGATGTACTATAGCTGCGGGTCCCAGCCCGGAAAAAGCATACAGAGATTGCTTGGCAACGTGGCTTCGTTGATCAATCGCTCCACTTGTGCCTCGACATTCGAGTCGCCAAGTGTGCCGGCCTCCCTGCCCTCTAGTTTGTTTTGCACCAAAAGCAGCGCACGCTGGGCAACTAAATTAACAGATTCCTCGTCTGAAAGGATCGCAATTTGTATGATACAAGCAAATGGTTAGCAAGAATTTAAGCTTACTGGATTGTTGAGGTGATTGTTTGTTTTTTAGGACACCCCAAATGAAAAGGGGATCATAGAGTAGAACCTCCAGTATGGTGGTAAAAACTGATTTATAACGACGCAGGATGTGCATGGTAGCCTCACAGGATTTAGCAAAAACTCCTTTCGTGCCACATATTCCCATTGGTGCCACGAAGTCGCGTGTCAGTCGGAATGGAACGGTCTCTGGAGTCGTCTGGATTTTGCCCTGTTCAAAGGCAATACCTGCAAAAATAATGAAATCAATATAATCTTCCCAAAAAGCAATTCAAAGGTAATAGTCGAAAAACCAATTGCGCTTACCGAAATCAATGTGAATGACTTCGGCTGTCTGCTGGTCTATAAGAATATTTTGCGTATGTCGATCACCCAGTCCAAGGACGTAGCCGACCATTGAGGTGGTAGCTACGCTATTGGTGTAAGCCAAACGCCGCTCAAACCACACGCCCGGAATGGGGAATTTTTCAAGCAGAAAGTAATGAAAAACAGGTTTAATATTCTCGCATATTTTTTTGTAAATCGCATAGCGTTTATCCTTTGACATTTTAAGATGATCCTGCAAAATTGAAGGTTGTTAAAATACATTAAAAGAATGAACTTTATATGAATCTCACCGAAGATAATTTACGGCATTTTTGGTTATTCCAGTCGTTTGGACGATATCGCGCGTGTGCGCCTCCTTTCCCTTCTGCAACCAAATATTGACCCACCGGTGTCGAGTTAGTGCACCACTCTAGAATGCCACTGCGCATGGACAGCGGAGTAACCTTATAGGTGCGCAGCTTTAGCTTGCGTTCGATAAACTCCGAATCTTGATTAAGCAACTCGTTAACAATACCGAATACCTGCTGCATCACGGCGTCTTGACGTAGATCGTCCTTTCCCTTAACCAGCTGTGCCCGCGTCTGACCATCGGAACATACGCACAATATTTTTACAGGCGCATTCAGTCCACCACATTGTGTAATTTCGTTGTTCCATTTGACGATGCCTGTGCAGAAAGCAGTTTCATTATTAAAGAGTAAACCATCAGCCTTAGGATTTTTAACACACTCGTAATATTGTACTCCTTGCTGGGCATAACGGGCAACTCAAGGGTGGGACAGTGCACAGCGTTAAGATTCCGCCAGCGCCTCACCTTCTCGAACTGCTTTTGCCGAACAGAATCCGAGACCGGTTGATTATTGTGCGTCTTGCCTTCATTGGCAAATGTGATGAGGGCTGCAAGGAAATGAGTCTCAGCTAAACAATAGAAATGAAACCTAAACTAATCCTTATACCTGGCAGCAATGACTCCAGCTGCTTACTGCATTCAGACGCCTTGGAATTCTTGGCACATATTTTAGCGATAATTTTTCGAGCTATTCCCGATCTTTCGGTATTGCTGTCCTCGCCATCAAGGTGAGCAAAGACAAGCGGATACAGCTGGTAGAATGTTTGATGCGGATGATCCGAACCGCAGTGCACCAGTAGATCCACAAGTCCTTTAAGCAGGGCCATGTTTTTTGAGTTGAGGCGCGCCGTCAGTTGGTTGGCTGCACAAATAAATTTGTAACTAGGCACCGTTAGGATCTCTTCTTTGATAGTCTTCTGCAACTGTTCATTGGCGGCATTAGTGAACCATAGTGAGATGATGCGGTAAATGGCGGCGCTTGAAAAGCCATTGTCCAGTCGACAGAACGCCATATGGTTGCGCAACCCCAGGCACAAGTGCTCTGTCATCTTCTCTTCGATGTGCTTTAGATGACGCTCATCCAAGCTTGCATAACGTTTCATCTGCACTGAGATTATGCGTCGATCTTGGTTCTCGCGCTGCGTTACTCCTTCTGCAGCTTGGCGGTTTTGCTCGATTATATCTTGCAGCGTTAGATACTCCTGGGAATGCCGGTAGTCGTAAAGCTGCTGGTACTCCCGATCAGCATATTTTGCCATCGCTGCATATGCAGCCGTTCGGTGCTTATTGGCGAAAGCGTCAAGTTGATGCCACTCGAAGATATCCCGATACTTTTCGCTCAGCATTTGGCGGTTCAGCAAAAAGTCATCGATCAGCTTTAGCGAAATATTGAACTTGTTAGTCTGCACCCAACTTAAAGTTTCGGCATTGCAGTCTAGGAGGAACTCTCCCTGCATCCGAAAAGCCGGAACACGCTGGGTACAGCAACGAAACTCATTATTATAGGTTACATACTCCAGAATGGCTTTGGCTATTTGTTGATTGCCCATCTTCAAATTCACCTCGGCATCTTCAAGCAGAACACTAATCTAAAATAACATTTAACATTTAAGAAATAATTATTTACTGTTTACATTATAGAAATATCATTTATTTACCTTTGTAAATTCTCTGATGTTGGGAAGCTCTCGCAGTGTAGCAATGTACTTGGCTGCCAGATTAAACTTTCCAGCGCTTTTACACTCCTCAATTCCTTTTAGTAGGTACGTGGTTATGGGATTTGTCTGGTAAAACTCTTGCATTCTCCGACCAGCTTTCGTTCCAGCCATCTTAAAAAGAGCAATCTGATGCGCAATAACGTATTCCTTGCAAGAAAAATTACCGTAGTTTAAATTTAATTCCGTTTGCCATTTGCCAAACAGCCTGGTAAGCTGACCATGATCAACTTGGCTGCCAAATTGGATCTGAAAATAGAAGAAATTTTAAGGATCAGTCAAATAAATTGCAGACTCCGATGGAATCACTTACTTGACAAAAATCCTCTGACTGTTGAAGGGAGCACAGCCAAGTAAGGTACTTGTACACACTCTGAAGGCACTCTACGCTGTTCTCCATCAGAATATCTCTAACACAGTTATAGGCCATGTCTATGGCCGACAAGCTGTTCTCCTCCTCCCGCTGGCCTATGCTCCTGAGGGCTAAGAAGTGATGTCTCTTGAATTCCTGCTCCAGATTGAACGATGTTTTTACGCTTGCTTGAATTTGTCGGTACTTTGGATCCGTCAGTGAATCCCACTCTCCAAGGCGCCAGAAGATCTCATAATCAGGTTCTGTGTTCTGGTGTTGCTGGAGCTTGGCAAACGACCACAAACCATTTCCTTTCATTAGTTCTACGCACAGTTGACTACTAGTACTGTCCAGGTGATCCGACTCCAATAGAACAGTGGATAAATTGCTACTCTGGCCAAGAAAATCCAAGCGAGAACGCATGGGATTAACAAATCCTGGAATAGCATCCAGACAACCAATGGATTCGTATGCCTGCAAAGAAATCGTCTTAGTTGTTGAATGTATAAAAACATTTATATCCTACCTTTTTGGCACAAGCTTGAAAGGATTCATTATCCAAGATATTTAATTGGTCTGAAGCCCAGAGCTCCAAGTACATAATGCTAAGGAAATAGGCCTGGCAGTGATTACTGGCCATAATCACATTGCTCAGATTTACGGGAATGCTCCTAAATGGCACATAATGTTTAATTTTTTTGAAAAATGTTTTGTTACTTTACCAATTATTAACGATCCGTATGCTTTCGCAGATGTGCAAGAAGCGCTTGATGGCTCTTTTATTGTGGTAGATATCCTGGGAGACTGACATTGAGCTTGCGAAACCCTTGAAAAAGTAATCCAACATTTGGCACAGACTTTCCACATGATGCTCATGGTTTTCTAGCAGTAATCTAATGAAAGGCTGCAGACAGGTCTTGGCAAAAGCAAAAGATTTGGCAGCCAAATCATCGAATCCCTGCCAGCCACACAATTGGAAGACTTTTGAGAGAAAGGCACACATCCAAGACTCGTAGTTTAGGCTTTGCGTGGCTTTGAGTGTTGACAGCCAATCAATGCTAGGAATTTGCTTGTAAGAATTCAAAAAAGCTGATTTTGTAGACTTATTAGCGAAGATTTGTAGATTCTTGAAGCGACCTAGAAAATAAACGTTTGGTTAAAGTATCTTATTAAATATTAAAGTCAGTTACCTAAAATATTTGTTCCGGGCTTACTATTAACCACCTGAACAGCTACGGACACAATAGACTCATGAGTTTTGGGATCGAAATGGAATAATGATTTCTCCAAGGTCTGACAGATAACGCTTAAGAACACTTCCATGGGCTCTTCATCTGACTGTAATTTAAATCGACAATTAAAAAATGGCACCTTTGAAGCTTGCTAGCTAACCTTCTCAAACGATTCAAAATCAGTTTGGAAATAGTAAGAAATTTTAGAAAATTTAAGCGGCCCAATTTGAGCGAGACACTTAAGGGCATCTAGGCTGCTGCTCCGTTTATTATTCGAATCTCTTGTCATTTGAATAAGCTTGTTAATAACATCAAATAATAGATTTTCATTTTCTTGCAATTTGTCCTTGTGCTCGGCAATCTTTAAAAAAAAGTATACGATAATGAAAGATCAAAAATATGTACTGAATCGTTCCCCAACGTACATATTCCCTGAGATCCCGCAATCTCTCTGCAGTTGGACTTGTCAGAAATGAACGCAAATAGTTTGCGACATCCTCCTTATTAATGTTGGGCAGATTGGCCTTGAACTCTTCTCGCAGAGGTTTAAGAAATTCGCAATCCGTGGTCTCTTCGAGAAATGAGTTTAGGTTCATCTGACCTTTGCTTAGTTCCAAAATTTGTATTACAATTGCACTGGCCTTTTCCTTAGCTTCTTTCAATTCACAGCCGAGTTGAAAACTGCTTAATAGTTTAGCAATCTCTCCCAAGTGGCTTAGAAAATCATGAGAGGCGAAGCTGGGTTTATTCAACAACAGTTCAAGGAAGGTCAGAGCACACATTTGGACCCGGCTAGACTTGGCTGAAATAAGATGGTGTAAAACAGAGAAAGTATCTATTACTTTTTAAAACTTACTGTGCTGCAGGAACCGAACAACGAAGAACCAAATATCGCGGACAAAGTAGGAACACTGGATAACAGAGGTCTCATTTTGTTTGGCCGCGTCATAAACAGCATCTGCAATTTCGCAATACAGAAAAAAATTACGCAACGCCTGACTGGAAAATGAGGCAGTAAAGCAATTTGCTTTAAGATGGGCAAATAGATCAACCAATATACGAGAATGTTTCACTTGAAGTGTGATCATTGAATAAACTCGACTGTCGCCTGATAATTTTTTTTTAGGGTCCTGAAAAAAAACAAAAATTATATGATTGAAATAATATCTTACAATACAATCTTACAATATAAAAGTTAAGACAATCAAAGAGCGACACTCCAGTTAGACTATACCAGCTGCTAGCTCTGCAGCACGGCGCAAAGGAACCAAACAATCTCTGTAGTTCCTGTGGATCATGCAGGAAGCTTATAACAGAACAGAGGGTGTCCACATTAAGATCTACATCGGTGGCATTTAGTTGGGAATAACTAAGATTTTCCGATAACAGCTGCTGGTGATCTTTAAAGTCCTTGCCCTCGCTTTCGCTGCAGAAACAGTTCTTGGGCAATAAAAATGATGCCACTATCGGAAGAGCCACCTAGAAAAAAAAACACGTTAGCTTTGGCTATTTATTAAAAAAAATCTCATCGTTTCATTAGACCTCCTCGCTAATTGATTTACTGCATTTTTCAATATCCTCTGTTTTTCCGTAGAGGAATGTATAAGCCATAATGTTATTAGCATGAGCTTTGCGAAATTCGCTCTTCCTTCCATAACAAAGAAAGTATGGAAACCTGGTGGAAGGAAATAAGAGTCAAATACTTTTTTATCCGAATCGTTAAATAATCTTACTTGGAAAGAGGCCAGCGTTGGGAGCTCCAATGATGAAGCAGTACACCGGCAAAGGGTTGAATAAGATCACACACAGTTTGCCCATAGCACGGAACAATATTTTGCAGTGCAACAAACTCCGCTGGTTCAAGAAAAATATTGTTGAACAACTAGAATCATTATTATAAAGTATATTACATACTTTCAGTTAGCCTGTGAAGCGCACAATGATGAAGGAGCTGCTTCAATACAATCTCTTGATGGAATGAGCTCCGTACGAAGAAGGCGATCAGCATTTGAACTACTAACGCATTGCTGTTTTGGGTGGCATCTTCATTGTTGTACTAAATATAAAAATGTGTAATCAAATAAAGCAAGGATGTAAAGCTAATCATTACATACAGTGAGTTTCTTGAACTCGATGCTGTCGTACAGCTCCTTACAAAAATCCCAATGGGCTTGAGAATGTCCAATGGCATCACTAGTAACACAGTTCGTGTTCAGGAGAATTGTGAAAGTGAAGAGCGTAGCGAAACGCACTTCCAAGGTAGGCATGGTGATGAATTTTGCAGTGGATTTGCATATCACAGTAAAGTTCTCTAGCAGGTAAATATCCGGACATTGCTGAGCAATCAATCCCACGCAACGCACAATTTTCGCTGTTAAATGGGATGTGTATGATTTCTTAAGGGCAATCCTAAGCAGGGAGTTAAGGGCCATAAGCATATCCTCCAAGTGATATTCTACTCTGCACACAAAGTGGAAAATCGCTAGGAAGACATTATTACATTAAATTGTGTTTTACATATGCTTTACATCCAGCTCACTGGGCATGTGCTCCACCACTTTATCGATCACATCCAAGTCCTGATAGTGATGTTGAAAAAGTGTCTTCAGTTTGCTCACTAGCCAAGTGCTGGATGCATCAGAAATGGTCTGGCAGCTGCATAACATCTTTAACAAGGTTTACAAATAATTTTTCTTTTGTCTACGATATTTCATTTACCTTGGTCACAATAAGTACATCTTGGGGATGCCAAATCATTGTCACCTTGGTTATATGCTCAAATGCATCATCCCGATGCGTACTGCAGGCACAGAGGCCAGCCAATATATTAAGGCACTGAGCGGTAATTGACGTGTGATCATCATTTTCTGAGCGCTCCCTTTGCATGCCTAAAACAAAAAATTCTCTTAATAATTATTAAATAAATTAAAACCTTTACTACAATGCATTTTAAGCGCAGCGCCAACGAATTCCATCAACATTTCTATGGGTTGCCTTTCCAAATAATTAAGTAAAATCACATTTGTTTTAAAAACATCGAGTAAAGATATTTCTAGCCGTAAAATCTCTCGTAAATCGCTTTCATCAACCATCTCAGAGCTGTTCGCCTTGAACTGGAACTAAATTAGGTATTAGAAAACAGGACTCAGATTTCTAACTTGTCTATGCTTACCTCGATGTGACTAAGATACAGACCAATTCTTTTAATCAAGGGACAGCTAGAATTGTTTTCCGCATCAAACACTTTGTAATACAAAAGTCTTTCCATTGTGCAAGTCAATCTTAGAAGACTGTTAAGATTTTTCAATATAGCAGCTGGATTGTTTTCCTCGGAGATCTGAAAATTAAGACCGCGCATCAGGCATTCATAATTTGTTTGAATCAAACAATTCTTTGTTTCACTTGGCAGCTGAGCTTTTGACAAAAATGGAGCAGAGTAGCCCTTGTCAAGGCAGATCAGTTGCTTGTTGTACTTGTAGGCCAAGAGATTTTGATCGGTGGAAACAACCGCAGGTTTTGGGCGGGAGATCTCTTGTAGCTGCTGTTCATCTAGAAAGTTGATGATACTGATCGCAAAAGTGTCTGCCTGTAGCCGAGCATCTATACTGCCTATATTGTGTATCAACTGAGCGGCGCTGTTGCGGTCCCCATTGCCGTAAGCCCACGATATGATAGGCTCTAGATCCGCAGAGGTTTTATCCAGACCACATTTGTCTGCATGAACAAAGATTTCACGAACTGTGGATATGCATTCGTTGCGTTTCAACATCTCATTAGAGGTGATATTGTGCAACAGAGTACTAGCCATCTTCTGATTAAGTTTGTTGTATCTGATTAGCATCTGAAGCACCAATTGCTTTTCCCTAATCTCTTCACTGTTAGTTGTTGTTTCTAATATCAGATGGTTTGCCATTTGGATCCAAAGTTCGCTCAGAAAATCCTCCCTTATGGACTTCGTTTGTAAAAGTTCTTGTTCTTTGGCCAGAAGACTTTTTATACATAATCCAAGATTTTGCAAGTTTCTGGCATTGCCGTAAATTTGCATTATTTCTGTCACTGTAGTTAGCGCCTGCTGGTAATTGGCCACATTTAAAATCACACTGCTTAGCTGGAGTATCTCTGCGAAGATCGCAAACCAGACGTCATTAAAAGTGTTTTCCTTTTTGTTAATCAGGTTAAATATAATATCCATTTTATCCGCAGGCTTCGGGACCTTCTTTGGCGCATCTCCTTCTTCATTTTCATCGTTCTTTTTGGTCTCCAAGTGCCACAGGACCTAGACAAATATTACAGTCTTGTTATTACTAATAACTAGTAAATAACAAATATTGCTTACGATATACATGACCAAGGCAGACATTTTGATAAAGGCTTCGGAGAATTTGTAATTGCTGAGTTGCGCGGTCTTGTACCGAGCCAATAAGTTCTTACGAATCTCCACATTAACAATAGTTTTTAGTCGCAACAGAGTTTGCGACCACTTTTTATCAACGGGAACACCAAAAGTATTAAAATCGCACATGTTCAACTTGGGGTACAACGATTGTAGAGACATTGTGATACACTGGAAGAACAAATTTCTGGTATCGTCCCGGAAGACATCTTCGTCGTGAAACTCGCACAGCTTGGGCAGGATCTCCTGCGCGTGAATGCTCAATTGGTAATGACAGTTAACAGAGAGCTGAATGAACATGGAAACGTATAAAGTATTAGGTATAAACGTATTTATCGGGTCCCACCTCCGAGGCGAATATTAAGTATAGGCGGACAATCTCAGTTTTTCTGGCTCCATGTGCGGATCGAGCAAAGTTGCTGAGCTCCGGCAGATATTCGACTAGATCTCCATGCAGTTGAACCCGTTCCTTGGCCAATGTGACTGTCTTTGTGATGCATTTTAGTATCTTGGTACTTAGAACTTCGTCCCTTTCAACATTCAGCTCGAACAAGTAGGAGAGAATGCCTAAGAAAGTTACCTTGGTACAAATTAGACTTTTAGAGCAAGGGTTCCCTTACGGCTGTACTCGTTAATCTTTAGATCTCGAACATAGCTGTCTGAGGAATAAATTCCCCTGTCCAGCAGGCTGAGGATGCGGTCTCCAAAGAACTTGACCACCACCCTCATTTTGATACCCTCCTCGAATGCATTGAAGATTGTTGACTTGGCCAGAAAGTGTCCATTTCCGCTAGCATGCATTCCAGCTTCAAAGCACCCATTAGATATATAAATAAGTTAAGGTTCAAGGAATTACCTTCCAAGTTAAATTGTGTTATCTTTTCAAGCACATTGTCGAATAGATAGTTTTTTCCCGCCAATGTCTTGATAGACTTCTCATTCGCATCCTCCAGGGACCCTGAGTGCTGTTTATATGGAAATACTCTAAATCTAATATACTCTTTTAGGGATTTATGGATAAATACTTTGAAAAGAGCCTCCTTCACTGATTCAAATGCAGCTGTCCAAGACAGATCACATCTTTTGCTCAGGAACAAGCAATTCAGATCCTCCCTACAGTGGGAGAGCTTTTCGTCCAGTTGTTCGATGGCCTTGTTCCGACACGCCGGCTTTCCAGACTGCAGATCACCGATGATGCGCTGGATATCGTTTAACAGTCCACTCATCTTTTCATTTTTTTTCTTTTTAGAAGCCTAGGATAACAATTATTTTTCTAACAAATCAAAAAATAATCTTATTTCTTAAATTAGAAGTAATGTGACCTCAGCTAGAGCGCCAAAAAATACATTTACTGAATCTAAGCAGTGTGAATGCTATTTTCACCAATATTAGGGGTTTTCCTCAAGAAATAGGAGCTTTTGCAGCATTTAGGTGTCAGCTTTTCATATGGTGATATAGGTTTCTTAATATTCATTACAGAATTAATTGCTGACTAAACTTAAGAAGAACTTGGTGTTCTGTAATCTCTTTTGTTTTGCAAATTTTTAATTCCCTATTATTTTAGAAACATGTTGTCGACCTTACGGCATTCGCACCATAGTAAATAAGTTCCACATCAACGTTTAATAAGCGAATGTGTGAAAACGGCATTAGGGTGAAAAATAAAAATTTCGTAAGGAATTCTTGGTTAAAAACACTTGGTAACACTGTCGGACCTATATAAAAGGCTTTCGCACATGTATATGAGTGTATTTGAAAAAAAACGCCAGCCAGTTTGATCGAAGGTGCGGCAGATAAAAGTGAAGTAGCAATTAAACGGTTATATTTTAGTACTTTCTAACAAATACAGACAAGGTAAGTGCATATATACATTATGTTTATTTAATGTAAGAAGTGCATTGTAAATAATTTTTCGATGAAAAGCAAAAAAAATAATTAGACCACGTGTTCCTGTAGCACTCTACTGTTTAATCAATACTTGCATACTAAGCGTAACTTCTCGAACTTTCGACCCCTAATGAGTAATGCTTTCACGCACACCTATTTCCATAGATAATTGCATCTACATACGAATACATCTCGAGTCGCGGGGTAATTAAGCGACTACATTTTCTAGAAACTAGATAACAATTCTGACTAATTGCTTATTAATAATGAAAACGTGATTATTCTTATCTGGAATATTCCACTGGAAAATGTGCCGCTTCACATGCACGCTGCAAACAAAGACCACCGCGTCTGTGTGTGTGTTTGTAGAAGAAAAAACTTGCGTCATCCATTGGAGGTCTTGACATTGCTTTTGCTGTTTATTTTTCGTGTTTCCAATAAATCAATGTTAAAATTAGTCATTGTAATTGCTAATTTATTTTGATTGTCATTACGCTTCTGGAATATTCCAGTCGGGGCAATGTGCCGCTTCTCCCACGCTCACTCACATGCATATTCGTATATGCACACTTAATCATACCCACTAAACTTAAAGGAACATGCTTAAATCCCACCCATATAGATGAGACAAATAAACATAGTTTATAAATAGTCTTAACATCCATAATCATATATTTTATGCGGGTTTTCAATTATATTTAGCTAGAAAACACACGTTGCCAACCGGCATCCAAAAACGCAAGCACGTGTGTGTTTGTGAGCGGGTAAAACTAATACACACAAAACCGCCCTAGACACGAGGGTTGTCTCTTTCGCACAACCCGCACGAATCACCCTCCAAAATGACCTGGCAGCGTGGTCTCATGCCTGGGTGTGTGTGTGTGTGCGCGCGTGTGTGTTTGTTTTTTAGCATTCCAGAATTTTCGTCTTTGTCCATGCGGTTTCTTTACTTTTTTTTTCTCTCGCATTTTTTGCGCATTTTGCAGAAGAATGATGGCAGCTGTGCGGCCGCCATTTATAATAGCAATCCGGCATTGATCTTGCTCGATTTAACTCTCTCAATAGATGGCATTAGTCATCATGTCTCGCCAATTTCGGCAACGCGTTTCAGACAAGCATGCGGCGTAAAAGGCATGATAAAAGCGAAATGCTGACTGTAAATGGGAACAAAATAAGATGGCGGCTTTGATAGGAAACAGAAACCTTGGTTGTTATGTTGTTAGCAACCCCTAACTACACGAAACAAATAGAACATGATATTAAGGTTTCATATTGATTAAACCAAAATAGGATCCATAGTGCAGTCATTTAAAGATCCCGAAAAATGTTTACTCTTACATGATATTGGTAATCGTTTCATGTTCGTTTTATCGCAGTAATCGTTGTATTTCCCATCTACTATATTTAGATTAGTTTAGTTCAAACGCAGCGTAGTTATTCAGCGTTACTTTTTTCTGGCAAATTTTGTAGTTTTTATTTTTGTATTAAAATCTTGAAAAGGTTATTAACCGTTAAATTCATTAATCACTTTCAGATGTCTAAAGCTCCTGCTGTTGGTATTGATTTGGGCACCACCTACTCGTGCGTGGGAGTGTTCCAGCATGGAAAGGTCGAGATCATCGCCAACGACCAGGGTAATCGTACCACTCCATCCTATGTTGCCTTCACCGATACGGAGCGTCTGATCGGAGATGCCGCCAAGAACCAGGTGGCGATGAACCCGACCCAGACGATCTTCGACGCCAAGCGCCTGATTGGTCGCAAGTTCGACGATTCCGCTGTGCAGTCTGACATGAAGCACTGGCCCTTCGAGGTGGTCAGCGCTGACGGCAAGCCCAAGATTGAGGTGACCTACAAGGACGAGAAGAAGACCTTCTTCCCCGAGGAAATCTCCTCGATGGTGCTCACCAAGATGAAGGAGACCGCTGAGGCCTACCTGGGCAAGACTGTGACCAACGCTGTCATCACCGTGCCAGCCTACTTCAACGACTCTCAGCGTCAGGCGACCAAGGATGCCGGAACCATCGCTGGTCTGAACGTGCTGCGTATCATCAACGAGCCCACGGCCGCTGCTATTGCATACGGTTTGGACAAGAAGGCTGTTGGAGAGCGCAACGTGCTCATCTTCGATCTGGGCGGCGGTACCTTCGATGTGTCCATCCTGTCGATCGATGACGGTATCTTTGAGGTTAAGTCCACTGCCGGAGACACGCATTTGGGTGGTGAGGACTTTGACAACCGTCTTGTTACCCACTTCGTGCAGGAGTTCAAGCGCAAGCACAAGAAGGATTTGACCACCAACAAGCGTGCCCTGCGTCGTCTGCGCACCGCCTGCGAGCGTGCAAAGCGTACCCTGTCGTCCTCCACCCAGGCCAGCATTGAGATCGACTCTCTGTTTGAGGGTACCGATTTCTACACCTCGATCACCCGTGCCCGTTTCGAGGAGCTGAATGCCGATCTTTTCCGCAGCACCATGGACCCTGTGGAGAAGGCTCTGCGTGACGCTAAGCTGGACAAGTCTGTCATCCACGACATCGTGCTGGTCGGTGGCTCCACCCGTATCCCTAAGGTGCAGCGCCTGCTGCAAGATCTGTTCAACGGCAAGGAGCTGAACAAGTCGATCAACCCCGATGAGGCTGTGGCCTACGGAGCTGCCGTCCAGGCCGCTATTCTGCACGGTGACAAGTCCCAGGAGGTGCAGGATCTGTTGCTGCTCGACGTGACCCCTCTGTCGCTAGGTATTGAGACCGCTGGCGGTGTGATGAGCGTGCTGATCAAGCGTAACACCACCATCCCGACCAAGCAGACCCAGACCTTCACCACCTACTCCGACAACCAACCCGGAGTGCTGATCCAGGTGTACGAGGGTGAGCGTGCCATGACCAAGGACAACAACCTGCTCGGCAAGTTCGAGCTGTCGGGCATCCCCCCAGCACCCCGTGGCGTTCCTCAAATCGAGGTCACCTTCGATATCGATGCCAACGGCATCCTTAACGTGACTGCTCTGGAGCGTTCGACCAACAAGGAGAACAAGATTACCATCACCAACGACAAGGGACGTCTTTCCAAGGAGGACATCGAGCGCATGGTGAACGAGGCCGAGAAGTACCGCAACGAGGATGAGAAGCAGAAGGAGACCATCGCCGCCAAGAACGGCCTTGAGTCATACTGCTTCAACATGAAGGCCACCCTTGACGAGGACAACCTGAAGACCAAGATCTCGGACTCTGACCGCACCACCATCCTGGATAAGTGCAACGAGACGATCAAGTGGCTGGATGCCAACCAGCTGGCCGATAAGGAGGAGTACGAGCACCGTCAGAAGGAGTTGGAGGGTGTGTGCAACCCGATCATCACCAAGCTGTACCAGAGTGCTGGTGGTGCTCCCGGTGGTATGCCCGGCGGCATGCCCGGAGGTATGCCCGGAGCAGCTGGAGCTGGTGGTGCTGCCGGAGCCGGCGGTGCTGGCCCCACCATCGAGGAGGTCGACTAAATCATTCACCCCCAATTCACGCAACCATAAAGTAACAGTTCTTCAAACAAATTACCAACCAAACAGTAGAGGAGTTGCTTAAAAAAAACTTGGATTCTAAATTAGAAACTCACCCAACATTAAACAAAAAACTGAACGCCCTCAACAACAAAACGGGTCAAACGACAACTGCTCCCGTAGATCATTTATATAAATTATAAATTCATACCAGAACAAAACCAAACGTACTGCTCCATAATAATATATATTATATTATTGTCATCGATCGATCATCTAAACAATATTTGCTTGTACTTGAATTCAATAAATAAATTTGAGAATTGCAAAGCTGGTATTATTTTATTACTGCACAAGGTAGCTTTTCTTTTTCAGGGTTTTAGAAACTTAACCAGAAATATGAAAACATTTCAATATATATATATTTTATCTTGGCTGTGTGCATTAGTAAAACATATTTCCTTTGTTTCTTAATGTCTGTGGCTGATAAGCACAGATAAGGGTACCAGTTTCTTAATTCTTGAGTGAGAAGTTAGCCATGTGTGAAATTATCATAGCGAATGGGTTCTCTAATACTACGATTTTTAAAGTGTAGTTAGTGCAGAATAAAATCATGTTTTGAATATACTTTGATTAATTTTTTGAGATTTTATTTGTTCAGAGGTCAAAACAAGTTAAATTTTTGTATTTAAAACTTTAGGCTTATGCAATATTCTCAATACATTTGTCACACGATTAGTCATTTTCGCAGAGAAAAATCTAGACTTCGTAAAATTTACTGACGTTGCCGAAATTTCTAGAGATTTAGTAAACAATTTTTGATGTCTAATTTCATAAGATTTTCCATTTGTTTGTGTGACTAAGGCTAAATCTGCTATTCTAATCCACCCAGGCAAAATTTGGATCCTTTTCCAGCTTGGGGGCCTGACTGATTACAGGTAACTCGCTGTTATTGGGTCTGTAGAGACCACCACTGATGCTCTTTCGAGCGGGTATTCGCCGGCTAAACACATTACCCGCAGTTCTGGGCTTAAATGTGATGTCCGCATGCGACTGTCCAGCGTCCATTTTCAGATTGGCTCGCGGGGCACTTACCTGGTCAAGATAAGATTGCCATTGCTGCAACTTGTCCTCCGCCGCCCGCAACTGATCGATGCTTCGCTCGTGGCCAGGATTAATACCGATCGGCTGGATTCCGGCGATATCCTTGAGATCAACTTTAATGGGTGCAAGGGCTGAGATGGCTCGCGATAAACCGATTTGTGAATGCCGGATTCTGTGCTCGGTAAGATCGGCGCCCAACAGTTCCTCGTGTGGATCCATGCGAATGGGTATGATCTTATTGATCACAAACAGCAGCAGGCACGTGGAACAGATGCCCCAACAGGCCAGGCAGAACGCGGACAGCGTTTGGATTCCCAGTAGATACCAACCGCCGCCTTTGAACAATCCACTGCGACCGTTGGTCGTGTCCAGTGGAATGGGATTATCGGAAAAAAGTCCGACGGCAATTACGCCCCAAATACCACAAACTCCATGCACAGCACTGGCGCCCACCGGATCATCGACGCCCATGCGATCAAATAGTGGCATTGCCAGGACGCAGAGAAGCGAACCGATGGCTCCAATTACGAGAGCTTCCCAGGCTCGGTATAGAAAACATCCAGCCGTGATAGACACTAGAGAGCCAAGCACCCCGTTGATGAGATCCATAATGTCCATGCCACCGCCATGGCGCCAAAAGGAATAACTGTAGGGAAATATGAAACTCGGTAAGGTTTTTAATCTATTTATAAAATTCGATTGTACTTACATGGAGCTTATGAATCCGCCACCGAAGGATCCCATCATGGTCATAACTGCAGCTCGGGCCGCATACTGCCACTTTGCCCCACTCACGCCGTATGTACTGCCCGAGTTGAAGGCCAGCCATCCCCACCAGAGTACAAACAGCCCCATACAGGCGTTTACTGGATTGCCCAGTGGCAGCGGATCTATACCTTCGGAGTAGCGACCCAGGCGTGGACCCAACATGGCAGCTGAGGCAAAGGCGGAAGCGCCTCCTATCAGATGTACGGGTCCGCTGCCCGCAATGTCCACAGCACCCAACTTGTTGAGGAATCCGTGCTCGCCCCACACCCAACCAGCGGGAATGCAGTACACAGCGGTGTTCAGAAATGAGAACAGGCAGTAAGCTTTGAAGTTGCAACTGGAAGATATATAGAGACATTTTTATAATTTAAAATAAATTTAAAGATATTATTTAAAGGCTAAGAAGTAAAAGCATTTTGAGAAATTATTGAGAAATGATATCTATTGGTTATGGTCATAAGAAATCCATATACGCACCGTTCTGCCATGGCGCCGCTGACAATTGTTGTGGCCGTGGTGGCAAACGACAGTTGGAAAAGGAAGGCTGCAAAGATCTGCCCCATCAGGGCATCGCCCACTGGTGGATCAAGTAGAAAGTCCCCAATGGCGATAAATGGATTTGAGAGTGGACCGCGGCCAAAGCTCATTCCGTAGCCGAACAGCCAGTAGGTGAATCCGCCTAAAACAATGTCGATGACGTTCTTCATCATGATGTTCACCTCGTTCTTAATGCTCACACAGCCGGACTCCAGCATACCGAAGCCCGTTTGCATGGTAAAGATAATGAAGGAGGAGGTCAGGACCCAGTTGGTATCCTCCACGGATAGGTCGTACAGACCAGGGATCACATAGTTGCTGTGATTCCTTGCAACTCCAACTGTAACGTTACTCATGTCCGTTCGGTTAGTCGAACTATTGACAACTGCCAAAATAGATAAAATCGGGTGAAAAGTACACATACATGAAAGTTACAAATTACCCGCATTTGATTTAAAGGCAAGTTAATCGCCGTTCAGGAATCGTAGATTATTCGCTGTGCGTGTTTTTTTGCGAACCCACTAATCTGTTGTTGTTGGATACGACCCCTTAGAGTTTAAACTTGACACTGCTTTGCATGCCGAGTGCATTTTGTAAAATTAATGAGCTTCAATTGAATTTAACTACCAATGGAATTCGAGATGCAGTCCGAATGCGTTGATGAATTAAAATCTATTTTAACCTCGCGAAGCTTTAGTTAATTCGCAATACAACTACTTCTTTATAAAACATAACGTATGTAACCTTCCTATGGCATAGAAAATAAATTTAAATTAATTACCAAAAAGTATTAAAAAATTTATTTATCTTTCATTGTTTTAAAACTAAATCGTATATCTGCACTGCTCAAAATTCATTAGATGTATCCATAAGTTCAATATTAAGCAACTAGGGAAAACTTACTTTTTGAAAAATTAAACGACTGTTACAATTTTAAAACGACTGTTCCAGTTCCAATTAAAAATGCTTCCCGTAGCCCTGGAACTAGTTCCTAGCAGCCTGTAACGATAACGGTATCTAGAAAGTCAGCCCTGGAACGTAACGTCTGTGCGAAAACTCCCGTTCGTTTCGTCGTCGGTGGTTGTTGGTATTGCTCGAACGTTCGCAAAAAAAACTGTTGAAAATACTTGGATAAAAGTTGTGTTACAAAGCTAGCAAGTTTTAATTAATTGTGCAGTGCTGAGTGCTAACTAACGTGTGCAATATGTATTTTTTGGCATTGCTTGCGTTCATTGGAAATGCCAAAGGTAACGGTTTTCAGTGAAGAAAATTGGTGTGAAAAATTTGATACACATACATACACACATATACACATGCAGCCTCATGCAAATTCAGCCTCATATTTTCTTGTTTGAAGTGAAAATTTGCAATTGAAACAATGATAAACTCCTTAAGAGCATACAAGGTTTTTCGGGTTAAATCAATTTCGATTTCTCGGCTCCTTCAGCGATAATTGGAAATATGGTCCATGGCCACACAGTTCACAATTTATGGGACACGGGGCACACACAAACATATACACTTTGGCAGGACACACAAATACCAACCCACATTCTCGCTCTTTTTCTCTGCACAGCAAAAGCAGAATGTGAGAGAGAGTGTGAGAGAGAGCGAAAAGGGGGCATAACGGTTTTTTGGGTGGGGAAATGGAAATGGCAATACGAAGGAAGTGGCCTGCAAAATTTCGCTTTGCTCTGCACAGAAAGAAACATTCATATCCATGTTCCATGATCATATAGATTGTGTAAAATATTCGATCAGTTATTACTAATATCATATAATAATTTAATATTAAATTTATGTACATATGTGCATACAAAAAAATTCGTTTATTTGAAATTTTTAGTAGGATTTTAAAAGGTTTTAGAAAACCCTGATCATTCCCCTTTTTATAAGATTAATATTAAAAGACCTATTACATTAAAAAAGGGATATAAACATATCTTTTTTATGTACATAAATATTTTGAGCACATATAATATCATAGCTTATTTTTTTTAGGTGTAAAACATACACACTTTCATGTCTGTCTGTGTGTGTGAAGCTGGTGGGCGGTTGTTTGGGGGTGTGTGCGTATGGTGTTTATTTTTTGCATGTATACTCGCCTCCTCTGTATGGGTGTGAACTGGGTGTGTGTTTGACTCGCGTGTATGTATTTATCGCACACACACTCGGACGCGAGTTTCACTTGAAAACTCTCGAATAAAAGGCAAACTTTTTTTGTATGTGATATTTTTTTTCATTTTTTGCGGGGGCGTAACGCACGCCTGTTTGCCATTTTCGTTCGTGCGTTTCCTGCCCAGAAATTTACTTTCCTGCTGCACACGCATGTACCAATACACATACAATCCATGAGTCTGTGCATAAGTCTGCGAGTGTGCATGTATATTTGTTTTTAATTTGAATTTCCTTTTGCTGTTTAGCATTTAAATGATGCCGAAAATGTTATGCGTTTGCATTTAATTTCATTCAAGTGATAAATATTGTGGTTCTCGCTTGCCTTCCCCTTCATTTTACATTTTCCTCCCCTTCTCCTTTGGTAAGAGATTTTACAGCACCTGCTGCACTTTGGCAATGGCTCTTAAGTTTGTATGTATGATTTGGTGGCGCAATGTTAAATCAGCAAAAGGCGAAAGTTGGTCAAGTGTGTCAAAATAAAGAATTCAGCTAGCATCGAGAGTGCATTATAGGTGCATATACTTTGGTGTGGATGCTATGTACATACGAATGCACCCACATACATATATATGTACATACTTAAGCACAAGGACGTTACCCACATATGTACATATTTCGTTAGCTACAAGATAAATATCAAATATGAAATACAATTTATTGAACTTAAGCTTAGTTTCAATCGTATTTATAAAATTGTGGCGTTATTAATAACATTTTTACTGTTTTTAAAAAAGTGATTGGTTAAGCCAGAATGTATGCTTAAATTTAAAAGACTTTAAAAAGAACTATTGCTTTAATTGTAAGATTGATTAGATAAAAGATAAAGTTTTGAACTTCCGTGTTGCAAAACCTGTTTGGTTATAATTCTTTAGGACCTTAACACAAATCTTTTTCTGGCTTCCTACAAAAACTTCACAAATTAAATTTATATCTTGCAGATGGAAATGCGGTGAGCTCGAGCCTGATCCCTGGCGGCTCCTGCCGGGACTACAATGGGAAGATGTACGAGACGGGCATGCATTATATGCCAGGACCGGACTCCTGCCGCCTGTGCATCTGCGATAGCGGATTGCCAAAGGCATGCAAGATGGTCCTCTGTGAGGCGTTTAGCAAGTGCAAGTCCTTCCAGACAGTGGGCAGCGGGAACAACTGTTGCGAGGTAATCTGCCTGGACGACCAATTCAGCGATGGGAGCACTGACTTTGGCATTTGACTGGTGGCCAGTGGCATCACGGCCACGCTATCCCTGTCGCTCCTCTTCTTTCTGGTGAATCGTCTGAGGCAGCGAAAGATGCGGGCGCGAGAGAATCGCCAGAATGCAGAGGATCAACGCAGCATAGTAGGCAGCATAGGGTAAGTGTTCTGTAAAGTTTTCTCCCTTCTAGTTCGTCTAATGTCTCACTATTTTATGCAGCTACATAGCCGGAAACATGGGCTACATGGAGGGTAATCTGAGCGCCATTGACTATTCCTACGGCGGCGCCGCCACCCATTATCCTCTATGGAAACCACATTTTCCGCGCGGTGAAGCTCCTCCGCCTTACGAGGAGGCGGTGGCTATATCCCAGGCGGAAGCTCTAAGTGCCCAATGCACCGTTAGTCTACCGGCCACTTCACAGCGTGCGGTGGCCACAGTCAGCCAGCAGCAGCAGCAGGCGGTGGCCCAGGCCCAGGCACAAGCTCAAGCCCATCAGCAGCAACAAATCCAGGCCCAAGTTCAGGCTCATCAGCATTTGCAGCAACACACTCTTCAACTGCACCCGCATCCTCAACATCCACACGCCGCGGCTCCTGTACTGCCCCAGTCAAACCAGTACACCCAGAGCACCACCAACTTGATCAATATAAACATCAACAGTGGCGGGGTTACCACGATAGCCACCGGTGAGAATCACCAGCCGCCTTACAGTTTGCAGAGCGATCACCAACTCAGCCTAGAGCAACAGCAGCAACAGCAGCAGATCGGTGAGTAATCTTTAGCTTCAACTGCTGATTAGTACAATTCAAAAGTTGCATTAATATTTATGAGACACAGATAGTTGCTATTTCGTCTAATCATTTTAAATTATTTATATTGCAGGAATGTGTCATCAGCAGCAACAACAACAGCAGCAACAGCATCTTATCCAACCTCCGGTCAGTAGTGGATCCATTTGCCTCCAGACCATGCCCAAGCCGCCAGCCTCCGCTGAGTGTAGCTACAAGAACTGCCACTTAAATATCAGCGCCAGTGTGACTACTGCGGCAGCCAGCTCTAGTTCGGCGGCCTACACGGCAGGACGAAGGACCACGCCCCGTGGGTCACAAGAACTACTCCATCAGTTGCCACAGCAGCAGCAGCAACAGCAACAGTATCTCACTGTGGCTGATGTGGAGATCAATGCCAGTGCCAGTGCTGCTAGCTACCATTCCCTGCCAGCCAGCAGTGGTGAACTCATGGCAACACCCACTCACACCCAAGTGTTGCAGCACCAGCAACAACAGCAGCAACAGCATCTACTGGCGGCTATCTCTTCGCCGGCCATGGAGTTGCTGCAGCCTTTGGAGATAGCTACAATCTCGGCAGCACCTGTTTGCAGCACATCGGATTCGGTGACCCAGACCACACAGATGCCTCTGCATGGAACACTCAAGAACAGCCAGCAGCAGCAGCAGCAGCAGATCAGCAAGACGCCTTCAAGCTCGAGGCGTTATCATCGCACAATTCCGCGCTATTTCGCTGTAGCTGATCCTCTGCAGCTGAAGCCCAAGACCAGCAATAGCGCCACCACGACCAGCGATAAACAGCAGGCCAGCAAGAAGCCAATGTGTCAGTGCCCTATCCAGCATGTGCCCATGTCCTACATGGGCAGCACGGCCAATGCGAATGCCTTTCTGAGCGGGGCCGGCAAACTTTTCGCTGGAAATACCAGTAGCAGCAGTACATCCACGCCGACCTGTTCCTTGTCGCCTGGAGCAGCGGCAGCCGGTGGAGTTCGACATGCGGCCACTTTGTCGTATGGGCAGCGAGCCAAATCATCGACAAACCTGCAACAGCAGGCACAGGATCTGATCACGGCAGCGGCATTGGGTGGTGGAACTTTGAGACGAAGTGGATGTGGACACGAGCCTAAGATTGCCACTATCTCTAAGCAAGTAGGCGATGAGACGCATCATGGGCATGCAGGATCCGGCGGCGGGGTAAATGTATCAGCCATCATACCACCGCCCCCTTTGCAACATCCCGAAGAAGTTTCTGCCCCACCAATTGTCCTAGGACGTGTGCAGAAGAGATCTTCCAGTAATTCGGCTGAGCGCGGCAGGAGCTCTAGCGGAGGAGGTAGTGGAGGACGCAGCGCGTCTAGTGGCAGTGGTGGCGATTCCCTCTCCAGCGCCTATTTGAATCGAAAGGTGAGTTCGAAATGTAAGTAATCCCTTTGTGAGAGCTTGACATGGCGGGGAATGAGATCGAAGGCGAAATTGGATGGGGACTCTATTGGTTTTCGATTGTGCATATGTTATCTCTGGTTTCATTCCTCGATTTCTGTTTTTCTTGGCCCCTGGGCTAATCCTGCAATCCTTTCCAGGTTGATGCTTACTTGAGTTTGACGCAGAAACAGCAGCAACATTTCTTTAACCAGCAACAGCAGCAGCAGCCAGATCCGAGCAATCCCACTTTACCACCGAAACTCTACAAAAGCCTAACGAATTTAAAGAGCGCCACCGTGGTCAGCACCTCTTCGTCATCTTGCTCGTCCGGCAGCGGGAACAACAACGCCGTGGCCACCATTTATACGCTGAGCAAGCCGACCTCCAATGGCCAGCGGAAGGAACAAACGCCCTCCCTGACACTGCCGCCAGCGAGTCCAGCTGCAGGATCCGGCGAGAAGATTGCGAGCGGCAAAATCAACTCGAGCACCTTTTATCCAATGGCCAATCACGTGACCTACACCCTCCCGAAGCATATAAGCGGCAAAGTGTCGTTGAACAGCACTATCAACAGTGTGGTCAGCAAGGTGCCTTCAGTAATCAGCATTCCGCCTGTGGAGAACAACAATACGGGTGGCCAGACAAGCGCTCCGACGAAAAGCACCACACTGCCAAAAATACTGCGCGTGAAGCGCGAAACTGGATCGGGAGTAGCTGGAACTGCCACGAGTCTAGCGATTGCCCACTGCCAGATGCCCAGTTACCCGCTTACACCGAAAACTCCAAGCGGAGGCGGGTCCAGCGGACGGTCACCCAACAAGCAGCTACCCGTGTGCACGACTTCGAAGAACTGCCTAAACCCTAAGGAGCACTTCCTGCCCAACGACACCAGTCTGGACGATGACTACCTAAGCGAGTGCGAGAACTGCAAGATAGCACAGAGCGCCAAGTATTATCTGGATGCGGAGATGAGCGGGGTCGGATCCTCCACCTCGCCTCAGGAGACGATGACACTACAGCGCAAGTCGTTGGAGGAGACCAAGGAGGAGCCGATGGATAGCTACTACCGCAGCTCGCACACCCTGCCCAGCAATGCAAAAAAGCATGGGTGAGTAGAGATGATAATGAACTGTTGTAAAAAAACGCTAATCCCCCCTTTCATATTTGATAGCAAGAACAACAACCGTGAAAAGTGGCAGTTCTCGACGATTCCCGCTGCCAGCTCGTCGGATGAAGATGTTAACGAATGAGATTTAAGCCATTTTCTTTAAGATGCCCGATCATCGGCCAGAAGAGCATCCTAAAGAAAACGCAGGCTCCTAAACCACAACCATCTCCCCGCCACCGGAAGGCTAATCTAGTTGAGAAGAATCTTAGGTAACCGAATATTTGCTGCTGCAAACAAGAAATAGATCCTGTATATAAGCATATTAAGCGTACTTAAAACTACATAATATTATGCCATTAAATATGTGTAGACGGTAACCAACTGATTGTTAGATATAATAACCATGATGATACTCAACCCAACAGCGGCATGTAAATCTGCGTGTTTGTTATGCACCTGTATATCTCTGTATGTATGTAATTGAATCTGTACTATACGATATGAAACGATAGGATAAGCAAAGTTAGGCCGGGCAAAAAAAAAATCAATTATAACCAATGCATTATAAGGATATTAGCGAAACTGTTGAATACTTAGCATATATGAAATTGATCATTAAGATGTCAAACCCTACTGCCATCTGCCATTTTGCCAACGTTAACTGTCAATAATTGTGTATGTATGTATGTAATATCTAAATAATGAATGTATGAAATATTGAACTTTTTATATACAACTAAAGGAAGCTGACCAAAATTTAAGGTATTTTCCCCCTGCTGCTCATCCCCCAAGATGCACAAAAATTGCACATACGAACGTTAGGATAAACCAATTGACATATGCGCATACATAAATAAATAGAGGAAAAACTTAGGATACGAATTTGAATTCAATGCTCATTACCATTCCAACCCATTCCAATTTTATTAAAATGTCTGTATCCAGACAAATGCTCTTCTAACTTCTAAATTGCTCTTCTTCTTCCCAGTCAACTCTAAATGAATGTATCATATAAAATGAAACTATGTCAGTATATAGAATTAGGAAGTCGTTTTCAAGTCGTTTTTGTGTGTGGGGTTTAACAGACATTAGACGGTTTCTTAATCGATAACGAAGGACTTGCTAGAGAATAACTTTCGTTTACTTCTTGAATCGGGCGGGTCCTAGACAGTCTAATGCCAACGATATAAGCACGTTATAAATAATATGTATATGGAATACAGGTAGAAGAGCAGCGACCCAAAAGTAATGGGCCAATATGAATTGTTTGATCCGATCAATTTGCAAAACTAGTCGTAATCATACTAAGCCAGGAGTTACTCAAGCAATTAGTCGAAGCTTCACTTAGACGAAAGCCAAAGATACCCCAAAAATAAATAATACAAAGAAAAATTCTCCTGATTTGCCTTTAGTCTTTAGTTCTTTTCTAATTCAGGTATTACCAAATTTTCAATACACTTCTGACAACAAAAAGGATAATGATGTTGAAGAAAACTAGTTCGAAAACGGTTCTTGTTCCGCTTTTGGTTGTAATCGATCTCTGACCTGAAAACTATATTGTGTTCAACGGATGCTCAAAATAGCTATATACCGACGATAAGCATGAATTGTAAAATTTGTTGTTTAAGTTCGGATATTGCATGTTCAACGAAGACTCGACTCTGTTATCATATGCTCAAAGCGTGTACTGACCACAACGCAATCGTGTCCCCAAATTTCGGGGCAGTAATTTAGCAAACTGAAAATACAAGTATTACAGAAATTACTCAATAGTATTAAAATAATGAAATCAAACGTTTTTCAATATACTTATTAGTGAGTCATTTATCAAAATTTAGTTTCAACAGTAAAAAACAATTCAACATATGTACATCACGGCTAAGTACGAATTTTTATTCAATAAGCTATATTTACTATTAATTGAAGTCTCAAGAAACCAAATATTAAATTAATAAATACTTGGTAATAATGTAGTTTAAAATATAAAAATACATTAAAATGAAACTAGTGTGCGATAGTTAAAACAAATTTACCAAATCGAAAGAAGAAAAACCAAAACCAAAACCGTTTCAAAAATTATTCAACACAATTGATGTCAAGGTCGAATACTAATTGAGTGTAATCGGTAATCGACGGACATCGTGTTTCAAAAACGATATTGAGATTTGTATGAATAATTGCTTAAACAACAAAATATTACGAGTATCAATGTGTTATTGAACAAACATCGTATTGTAACTATTTAAATTTAATTGAACTAAAAGTGGAAAAATAAATTGGTCTATAATGAAAAGTAAGCCTGTCTTTTACTTCACTATATGATCCGTCTCTGCGAATTTAATTTTATATCCATTCCAAAATTCCCAAAATAACAAGTCAGTTCTTGAGGTTTTAATTGTAAAAAATGCAATACAATTTACGTGTTTTTTCTTTTCGTTTTTCTTTTGTATTTAAATCATAAAAACAATTTTACGATGTATCAGATTTGCCTTTAGTTAATATAATATGTAAGGTATATCCTATTAGTGTGTTTTTGTAATGCCTGATTCTGCTATAGATGCACAACACTCGCAAGCGCAACGTGTGTTTTCTTTTTATATATACATACTCGACAACAAAATTCAATAAATTAAGTTAGGTATGTATTTCTTGTTGGTACTTATAAGTTTCGGTTTGATCAACGGACATGGGAAGGATGGATCTGGGAGACAATAAGGAGCAGGGCAAAGAGGCCTAATAAAGATGATGCTGCTACTGTTGTCGCAGGTGTTGTTCTGCTAAATGTAGAACCAATCGGATCCTAAACTTAGTTCTACTTCTTTGCTACCTGACTGTCCAGAACGGGTGTGATTGTCTTGCCTCCAAATATCTGTCCCCAGCCGATCAAACTGAAAATGGAAGAAGCGATTAGGTACTTATTTCAAATACACTATAAAGACATTATGTACTCACCGCCAGTGGTTCTCCACGCGTCTGCTAAGGGCAATCTTTTCGCCCTTTTCCGTGCACACAGGCGTCGTAAGCACAATCTTAGCCAAATCACCCTTGGTGGCCGAGATGCGGCCACCGGTGCTAAGGGATCCGATGTTAACCAAAAGGATTTCGTTCTTCTGAAGCTTCTCCACGCGCGCTCCCTTCTTGTCGCCATCCGTACGGACACCCAGAAGACGGCGCAGGAGGTAGTACGAGATTTCCAGCTCCTGGTAGATGTCTGGCAGCTGGCCAACGGCGCCCAGCACCTGACCGACCAAACGATCAGCACGGCAAAGCGTCGGATCGATCTTAGTGCCTACACCAATCAGACCACCGGGTACGGCATACTGCAGCTCATTCTGCTCGGCGAAGAGAGAAACGATACGCGAAAAGATTGGACGGCAGGTAATGTTGCCATCACTGTCCTTAGTTACGACGCCTGGACGCACCTCGATCTCCTGGCCAACCTTCAGCACTCCGCTCAGGATGGAGCCACCGGCCACACCGCCCTTTAAGTCCGCCACCTCGCAACCTGGCTTGTTCACATCGAACGAACGGATGACGATTAGACGGGGCGGGGCATTGAAATCGCGCGGTGGCACAGGGATCTTGTTTACAATGTACTCGCAGAGTACATCGATGTTGTACTTAAGCTGGGCCGAGATGGGAATGATCGGGGCGCCCTCAGCCACGGTGCCCTGGACGAACTTGGTGATCTCTTCGTACTGCTCCTTCGCCTGGCTTTCCTTGATCAGATCGATCTTATTTTGCAGGATCAAAATCTGTTTCAGCTTCATAATCTCAATGGCAGCCAAATGCTCAGAGGTTTGTGGTTGTGGACATGATTCATTGCCTGCACATGAAAATTATATTAATTAGTAAGTCTCTGTATTATTTGTACCTTAAAAGATCAAAGTTACTCACCAGCAATGAGCAGCAGGGCGGCGTCCATCACAGCAGCGCCGTTCAACATGGTTGCCATAAGAATGTCGTGACCGGGGCAATCCACGAAGCTCACATGTCGCACCAGTCTGAAGTTGCCGGAGCAGTTAAGTCGAGTACACGGCAAGCTGTCGTCCTTGCTCGAGGCATCCGATACAAAGCTGGCCGGACGTGGGCACTTGGGGTTGTCACACTTATAGATTTTGGCATTGGCGTACCCTAAAAGCAAGTCGATAAGAATTGAAGAACATAAGACAAGATTCTTCAAAGACTAAGTTTGGCAAATATGTAATCGTAATATAATTTTACATCAATGTTTGACAAACATTATGCCAAAATTAATTTGAATTTTTCAAAAGGCAAGTCTTAAAATTACATCTGAATACTGCAATAAATAAATACTAACATCACTTAATTATCATGATATATTTATTATAAAAATAATGATTTACAAATAATCATAATGCCGTACTTAATTCCTGTGCATTAAAAAAGGTGTTGGTTAAAATACTAAAATTAACTTAATTCGGTTTTACATTATTTATGGAATTACATGTACAAGTTATTCAGAATTTTCTTTTTTATTCTCTAGTCATGTAGTGGTCAAACTTAACATAATTTCAATTCGTCACTTTTGGGCAGTGCAAAATATTAACAAATAAATAGTTAAAATGCCATCAATTAATAGTTTGTAATAAAAAAAAACTGCTTAAATATTGCCAATAGGCCATCTAATTTAAAGAACAAATTTATTCAATGATATTTAAGGAAAAGTATAGCGTATTAAAATGGAAAGTCTTCTATTTAAAAAAGGACCTTTCGGCAATTGGCCGCTCCGCAGCGGCACTCGACGCGCACAGCGGTCGAGAGGTTTTCGTAGGGCAAATCTTCGTTGTCCGCGCGAATGTAGTCAAAGCTAAGTTCCTCGCCAGCCTTAATCGGACGTAGTGTAAAGAAGACGAGATGTGGCAGGGCCACATTCAAATGTTCGATCCAACAAGGAAACACGGCGAGATTGGGGTCGCACGAGTGGTTGATAAAGTGCGAGATGTTGCCATAATTCGCCGCATCAATTGTATATTCGCTTTCCTGGGCAGTGTTGTAATCCAAGTCGAAGAGATACGTCCTACCCTTGTCATCGTAAGCCTTTCCACGTTCATTGGCTTCATCGCTGGTGATGATCTCCCCAATGTACTCGCACACGAATTCGCCCTTTCGCATGAAAGTGGGAGTACGCACTCCCCAACCGCTACCGTTGCTGGTCTTAAACAGAACCAGCGGCTTTTGTCGTCCGTGCTGCACTAGTCGGTTTGAGCAGCTTGCGCTGCACGTGCAGCGGCTATTACACTCGAAAATTGCGCTTCCAGGTCGCAAACGCAAGCGTCGTAAATTTCGCTCATAGGCGAAAAGTTCGCCTGCCATGCGGGCACAGCACTTCGTAGAGGCGGTACATTCCTCTACGCCATCTTCGTCGCAACATTTACAGCCCAGAAGACCCGCTACTGGAGTGGGAACACCCTCGCAGATTATGTTCTTCTGTATGTACATAAAGTTACTGTCTATGGTGTCCAAATCCACGTTGTTCTCTACTCGTATCGGAGGCGAAGGCTCCTCCACTTGGTTCATGCGCTGCTCAAACTTCGCCAGATCAACCAACTGCTTGCGTCGTGTAAACTGTGCCCGCTTGAGCTGCATGTTTCGCAAGGCCCGCTCTCCGATCTTTTGCGGCTCTCTTTGGCTACGACTGCTCGCAGCCCTGTACTGGGCTAATAGAATGATGTCAATCTGCAAATGTAGGGGATCAAAGGCATCGACCTCAGCTACAGTAATGTTCTCAAGCAATGGAACGGCTTCTAGCTGTTTCTCAAGCTCACTGGTTATGCTGGCAATGTAAGTCTCATAGAGCTGCTGATGACGCTCAACAAACTCCTCCATTTGGGCGCAGTCGGCCAAGTTCCGAAGACCCTCCCAGGTGTTCATACTAGCATTGTAACCCTGCCATTTGACGAAGAAGACGGGTTGGTATTGATCCACCTCTACGCACTCAATACGCTCCACAATGTACTCGCCCTTGGGCGGCTTTTTTACCATCACTCCCTGGTTGTTTTTCGATCGCTTGGAGTCTGAAGTTGGAGTACACACTCCACTGCTGCGGCGACGCTTTAGATTGGCAAATCCTTTATGGCTTTGAGATTGGCCCACTTCGTGTTCTTCGCACCCAAAGACACTTCCATAGCCGCTACTGTTGCTGGGACTCAGTGAATTCTGGCTGCTGCTACGGTGGCTGGTACGTCTGATTAAGTTCGAGGAAGAATGCGCTGGCATGGTATTGAGGCGGCGCAACCGGCTGTGCCGCCGCATTTCAGCCAGGTGCCGCAGGTGAGACCGTTGCTTGATTTCATATTGCTGCCGTTGCTGCTTGGAGCTCAAAAGTTTTTTGATTTTCTTTTCGCTTAAGCGTTCTGCAAATGACAAGTTTTGGACAATTTTGGATTGGATGGTAGGTTGTGTGGTTTTTTTTTATTTTTGACGCGTCGCAACCGAAGTAAACGAAAAAACCGGAGAAATGGGGGAAAAAGAAGAAAAAGATTGGCAATTAATTAAATTGCTGGATTATCAGTCGTATCATTCAAAATAACAGATTCAAGACTAATCTAACAGGAAGAGATTATTAATACCAAATAATACCGTTTTTTCATCAGGTATTTAAGTCTACTAGGGCGACGACACACCTTGACAGGCAAGGCAACGCGTGCTAATCCAGCAATTTAAGAGTACGAAATATACAGAGAAGATGATTACAATAGAAAATCATTCGCAGAACGCTTTTTTAAACAGTATCTCGATATAAAGCAGCGACAGAGTTGGGCTACGCGGTGTGCCGTCGTCGGAACAGTGTTAAGTAGTAGGTTCTTAAGATTATAAAGGGATTTATGGGTTATCTTCGGCCAGCCGAAAAGGTGTACATTCTTAGGTTACTACGGCTTTACAGGCGAGCAGAAAGGATCAACATACGTCTAACTTATACAAGAAGTGGAAAATACATCTTAGACTATGGTTATTTTTGACGAATCCTGCACTCACCCAGCTTGATTGTGATGTTGCGTTCCAGTTCGTTCTTGAAACGCACAGTCTGCACGCCGGAGATGGCCTTAACCACCGTGGATTTGCCGTGGGCCACATGACCAATGGTGCCGATGTTAATGGTCGCCTGCCGGGAGATGACCTCTGGTGAAAGAGGTGTGAGTTTGGAGATGTCCTGCAAGATGCAAAATGAAAGTCGATCAATAATTATGGATCATATGGTAAAAATCACTGTACAAAATTTGTTTACCACCACCACACCCCCTGACAAATTATCCCGCCTCAGCTGCATGTGTGTATACATATAGGAAAGCCGTAGATTTTGAGGTTAGGAATTGCATCAGCTAAATGGATGACAACAGTTGGGCTACCCTCGCGAAACTGAACTGTTTGTTAGGACCTCGATCACACGTGAACAAAATAAAATTCATCAGGATGCCTAAATCACAGGGGAAAACCGAACATTTCATAAAAGTATCGCCACGTGCTGCATTTTCACTACGCCTTACAGCCACAACAGAACTCTGTTGGTCCTGGCAAAACCCACTCAGATATTCTGGAAAACCACCATGAGAGCAGCTTGACGCTACATGGGCGCGTCCTAGCCTCTCGCTCCCCGCCTTTTTCCCGGGAAGCGACTTCATAATGACGACGCGTACACTTTCACACACGGGCGGAAAAAAACAGGCGGCGTCTGGGTATCAAACATTTTGTGCTGCGGCAACTTACCAAGTTAGTGAGGTCCTGCTTCTGCAAGTTTCTGTTCACACCGATTTGGACTTCAGCCGTGGCCATGTTGCTGATGTTTTTTAAAACGATGCGTATGCAAAATTATAAAATTAATTTTCAGCTATTACAGCTCGACATCAAGTCTTGAATGATATCAAAGAACGATAGGACCCCGTTATCGATAGTTTTCGCGTGTTGTAAAGGACAGAAAGCGCAGTGTAACCGCACTGCCTAGTGTTGCACAGCATCCGCGCATAACCTATCACACTATCGATATAATTACAGTTCTGTAGCAGCAAACGCAAGGTAAAAAATCCGCTTCGCTTCTCTTCTCTGCTCAACTGTACCGCCGCTTTTTGGTCAAATATCTCGTGAATTACGACCGCACACTCACCGGAAAAGCGAGCATAATGTCGAGCGTGCCAAAGAGAGCCAAACTGGACGGCGCCCCCGCCGATGGCAACACATCTGCCTCCGCCGGCAACAACGAGGAGGAGTCTGAGGCGCTGGAGCAGATCGATGCCTGCCAGAACGAGATCGACGCGCTGAACGAAAAGGCCAGCGAGGAGATCCTCAAGGTGGAGCAGAAGTACAACAAGCTGCGAAAGCCATGTTACGAGAAACGCAGCGAGCTGGTCAAGCGGATCCCCAACTTCTGGGTGACCTCGGTGAGTCCTTCGTGTGTCTATCTTTGGGTTCCTTTTAATGAGGCTCCTAGATCTCGAAGGTCTGAAAATTTAATAGGTTTCGTGATCCAGCACACATGTACAAGAAATTTTCTCTATTCGAGAATTTTTTCTTGTTCATCTTGGGCTGTAATGCCGCCGCCGCCGGCTCCCCGCTCTTTTACCCCTGAAAAAAACGTGTTATCGATACACCCGTCTGGCGGGTCAGTTTGAGAAATACACAAATTTTCTCAGCCCCAAGTCAGAAAAGTTCCTTTGGATCATATAACTGCTCTTTAAATTCGAAGGATATGTATATTATATGCCATTGTGCTAATTCAAACTACCTTATACACAGTTTATCAACCACCCGCAAGTATCCGGCATTCTGGACGAGGAGGAGGAAGAGTGCTTACACGCACTCAACAAACTGGAGGTGGAGGAGTTCGAGGACATTAAATCGGGCTACCGCATCAACTTCCACTTTGACGAGAATCCTTATTTTGAAAACAAGGTGCTCACCAAAGAGTTCCATTTGAATTCAGCGGGTAGGTCCTTCAGTATGTTGAAAAAAGTGTGAATATCTTATAAATGTATAACTGACCATTTCAGCGGCTTCTGAAAACGGGGATTGGCCCGCGTCTACGAGCACTCCTATCAAATGGAAGGAGGGAAAGAACCTGCTTAAACTTCTGCTGACGAAGCCCTACGGCAATAAGAAGAAGCGCAACTCCGAGTACAAGACTTTCTTTGATTGGTTCTCGGATAATACCGATCCTGTCAACGACGAGATCGCAGAACTGATAAAGGACGACCTCTGGCCAAATCCACTGCAGTATTATCTGGTACCTGATATCGAGGTGGAACCCGAGGACGAAGAGGACAACGAAGAAAACGAGGAGGAGGCATTCGACGATGAGGACGGTGAGGATGGCGAGGCCGATGAAGATGATGAGGATGAAGGTACATTATGAAATTTCTATAGTAAACAAAAGAATATACTAATTGTCTAAATCTCTTTCAGATGATAAGTAAACTGAAAAAAGTGCATATAATTTCTATTCGCCCCAACCGAAAGCCCCCAAGTGTTTTTAAACACTTGCAACTATAGTTTCCCGGGTGGTTATGCAACATTCACATATTCGCGACCATTTCAGACATATTTAGGTTTCGATTTAAGAAATAAAAGGCATACGTATTTCCATTGAAGAGCAAAATATAATATGAGAATCAACATAAAAACAAATAAAAAAAGACGTGAATCGAATCTCAAACTGAGTTGCTTTTTATTCCTTTATTTTTCCTTGGCTTTTTTAAAGGATCTGACTATTTTAAATTATATGAACATCATTACTACTAAAAAATAAATACATCAACAAAAAGATTCTTTATATATTTGTTAATTACAACTAGCTAGCTTTTTAAATTTAAAATCTAGCTATTTGCTGTAATCGATAGGTGCTGTTCAGCCCTTAACAGTTCAAAGCAACCCTAACGCAGGTATCGAAAGTCCCGTAACGAGTAACGTAACCCTGGTCACAGCTGCGATTTTTAGCTGAAAAATTCTCGGGATAATAACTATGGCCTGTGTTAACAAATTGGCAATTTTGGTACGTTTTGAGTGAACAATTCAAGGGGAAATAAAGTGGAATATGGCAAACGGAGCCTTTTTAAGTACATCGCATATTATTTGAGCCAGGACAACCTGCCGACAATATGTATAATTATCTAACGCGCTTTTCTTGGTTATGTAATTTTTGCCCACTTTATTCCACAAACTGGAGGCACTTTTTGTTTATTAAACCGAAGGACTCACTTAGTGTTTTCTTTTGATAATCCCATAGAGCCGCACCCTCAGCTCCGCTGCTGCCCAAGCGACGGTGAAGCCCCCCGTGCAGGTGTTCGGCCTGGAGGGTCGCTATGCCACCGCCTTGTACTCTGCAGCCTCCAAGCTGAGCCAGTTGGATCAGGTGGAAAAGGACCTGACTGCCCTGCAGGCCACTATCCGTAGCGACAAGAAGCTGCGTGAATATGTGACCAGCCCGATCATCAACAAGAAGGTCATGGCCACCGCTCTTAAGGAGGCATCCGAGAAACTGCGCTTCGCCCCGGCCACCGCAAATCTTCTGGGTCTCCTGGCCGATAACGGTCGTCTGAAGAAGTTGGACACCGTGATTAACGCTTACAAAACTATCATGGCCGCTCACCGTGGTGAGGTCGTCTGCGAGGTGGTCACCGCGAAGCCCCTGGATGCCTCCCAAAGCAAGCAACTTGAGGGTGCTCTGAAGGTAACATTTTTTAAGCTTCTTTCATTTGTTATTTATAGCTTTTCTTTGATTTTCAGTCCTTCTTGAAGGGCAACGAGTCCCTGAAGATTACATCCCGTGTGGACCCCAGCATCATCGGTGGTCTGATCGTTTCCATTGGAGACAAATACGTCGACATGAGCATTGCCACTAAGGTCAAGCTCTATACCGATGTCATCCAGACCGCTGCTTAGACCCTTAAGGATTAGCTCTTGATTTAGATGGTCAAACTGAAAGTTTGGTATTGAAATTCAGGCGGTAATTGCGAATAAACCACTCTTCTCCCTTGGAAAACCAACGAAAATCCTTTGAATTTATGTGTGGATGTGTATTTAGTTATGGTGTTACTTTTTGGTGTCACCTTTAGAAACCGGTGTATCTGTGCACTGCAGCTCGGCCACCTTGTGCTGGATCGTTTGTTGCAGCACGTTGTGTTGATGCAACAAATTCTCCAGCTCTTTGATGCGAACTCTCTGCAATTCAAGGACCTTTGTAAAGTTATTCGCGACCGGGCAGTCGAGCCAATTGGTTACAAAATCGTTCTGTTGCTCGTCCCTGTGATTCTGGTTAGGATTTATCTGCCCTTCATTTTGATTCTGCGTCCCGGCAGTTGTTGTTTCTGAATCTTCCGTTGTTTTGGGGCTACATCGATCCATAGGACCCTCTTCGAGAACTAGTACGTTAGTCTCGTTGGACGACCGGCAAACTCTGTAGTTTGGTTTGTCTATTTCTGGAAAATTTGCCCGTTCGTTGCACTCGGTCAAATCAGACTCTTTTACGCAAATCTCTGGAGGCGGAGCCATAGAACGAAGCCTGGTTGGGCAGCAGCAAGGATCATCGTAGTCATTACTTCGTGTGCCATTCATAAGCAGCACGTTAATAGCATTCGAATTTTTCCGCTCGCTGCCGTACTCAGAGTTCTTTGAATAAGTTGCAGTGAAATCTGTGGCTGAACTCGCTGTTCGTTGGCTTAACGAGCCGAATAACTTTGGTTTTCCAACATGTGAAGAACTCCGGGTGGGCAAAGCGACCTTTGAGCACTGCACCTCTTGATCCCTTAATTGACAATTGATACAAGCCTGGCAGCATTGGCTTTTCAGCTCCGGCTTCTTTTTCCAGTTATTTAGCTTCATAATTATGTCATTACTTCGCCATGTTGGTGATGGCGGGCGGTTAAAATTATTGTTAGAGCTATGGAAATCGTCTCCTTTGGTTTTAGATTCCTCCAATCTATGTTTTTTCGCACTAGGACCAGAAGGACGTTCACTGGATATAGGTATTTGAGGTCTATCCTTCGACATCTCCTTCTTTTGGGCTTTCTGTATACTTTCTTGGCTCCCGGAGTAACGCAACCCTGGGCATTTTATACAAGATCTATCTTCCGGAGAGTTGTTCTTCTTAAGTGGACAGCTTTGACACAAGCAACCAACCCGAGTGGTGTCGGTGCTTCTCAGCCCCGGACAGTATGCACGGGAGCAAATTGTGGTTCCATGAGGCAATTGAATTAACATTGGGTTTAATTTGAGAGGAAGATTTCTGCCTCTAGATGAGGTGGAATCTGGCTGTTGTGAATTAGCCTGATTCTGAATTCTGTGTTGATTACCCTGGAACATATTGTTGCAGGCATTTCTAAAACGGCAGGAGCCATTTTTACACGTTTTTTCGCTTTTAATTTCCTGCCACCCCGAACTGAAACTCTGTTTGCTTTGGTTTTGTCTATCCCTAATGACCTTGCTATCTGTGGGGTAGCTAGGGCCAGATCCAGATTTCGATCCTGAAGAGCTCCACTTGACGCTAGATTCTTGCAAACCGGCTGAAGTCCTTGCTTCTCCAGCACCATCAGAAGAGCTCTCCAAGGCCGAGCTTGATTCTTGGACGTCTAAATGGGAGGCGCACACACAGCCGTGCCGGCACAACGATTCGGTATCCACGTCAAAGCTGCCAAGGTTGGCCAGGTTCTGCCACCGGCGAGCCTCCGCCATGTTACGCGGGTAAACGCATTGGTCCCCCGGCTCCTGGCCACAGATTATACAACGACGAAGCATATTCTAACAGACAACCTGGACACAAACGGAAAAATTTCGAATTTAGATTTTTACATAGATGACAACAGGTATCGAAATGGGCCCTATCTGAACTTTTTAGATTAAAATACTTGGTATTTCGAGGGCAGTTTTAAATAAGATTTAAACTTTAAAGCTTCGAAAACAACCCGGGAACGGAATACATTTTTGCATGCAGAGAGTGACCTATCAAATGTTGGCAGGAAATCCTAAACTCTTTACAAAAGCTTGTAAGGCGTTTTGGTATTCTGTGCAAAAGAAGCGACAAGCGCACAGCGCCTGTTTAGTTTAAAAATAGTAAATGCAACGAACTTTTGTGTGTTTTACTGGCCCGCTCTTGATGACAAAGCCCGGCAGCTGAAACAATGAGCTTGGCAATCGAAACTTTACCCATGGAAATAACCCCTAGTCCCAGTTTGGGTGCCACGAGTCGTGGCGACCTTGAAAAGGTACTGGCAATGCTCGTTCTGGGACTGGGAAGCCTTTTGTCGGGAATGCTTCCCGCCTTTATTTCTGAAAGGAATCGTCAGCGCTTCCCGTTGACCACGTCCCTGCTCCTTTGTTTCGGAGCAGGAATTCTGCTGGCCACTGCATTGGTTCATATTCTGCCAGAGGTGAGTAAAGGTGATGATTCGTGAAATTCGATTACTTGTTAACTGATACTGCAACAGGTGCGCGAACAAATGGACTCAAAATTCGCTGAAGTAGCCATGTGTGGAGGCTTTTTTATTATATACTTTATTGACGAATTCATACACTACTTTTTTGGCGAAGCTATACAGCACACACATTCTTCGGCTCCAGAAACCGAACCTGCAAGAAGACCGACTAATATTAATGGCAACGGCTATGGCGCAGTGAGTGAGCGGGCGCCGCTTTTATCAGCGGACCCTAGTACGTCACATAGGGATTTGCACCATCATGACCAGTAGGTAGAATGCATTTTTATCCCCACACCCCAATAAAATGCTTTATGTATTGATCAAATAGCGATCATGAACATGATCACCCATATAACGGATCCGGGTGTAATGACGCCAGTGTAGAGGACGCCAACGCCCGCATTTGTCACACCAGCCACACTGAACCCTGCGAACAGTCGATGACAGGCACACTTGGACTCTTTGTGGCCCTGTCACTGCACTCAGCAATTGAAGGACTGGCCATCGGCGTGCAGAACTCATCCACAAAGGTCGGTGTCGTCCGCCTTGACATAGTTAGAATAGATCAGACATTATGCGCTATCTTGCGCAAATATTGAAGCAAAGACGCACTGGCTTAGTCTAATTAGATAACCGGAATCTGCTTCGGCTCGTTTTAGGTTCTATTTCTACTGGGTGCCGTCGCCTGCCACAAGTTTGTGATGGGCTTTTGTCTGGGACTCGAGTTTCGTTCAAATCCCCAGACGAGTTTTCGCGCCCAGCTCGGCGGAATCTTGGTGTTTGCCCTGGGAGCCGTTATTGGCATTGGCCTGGGCATGCTTATAGTGGATGTTCCCGCCTCATGGTCCAGCAAAACTCTGCCTATCATTCAAGCTTTGGCGGGAGGCACACTTTTCTACGTCACCGTCTGCGAAGTGATACCGCGAGAAAAAGCGCGTTGGCACTCAAATTCCACGCGACGGTGGGCCGGATTTGCACAGTTCGCAACTGTAATTGCCGGCTTTGCCACTATGTGCATCATAAACTTTTATCTTTCTGGTGTGTAACATAATAACCGTAACGTTTTTTAAATTCCCATGCTGACCTCTTTCTTTTACCCATTTTCAGATGAGGAATAGGAATCTTTGGATCGAGGAGTCCTCTATGTGCTGTGACCCAATGTGCTGCTATTTTATACCTCAATAATTACAGGATCTTTTATGCATTGGTAGCTAATTTTAAATTTGGTTTTATAGAACCCCTGTTATTTGTCTTCAACGAATATTATTATAGCTATATTGTAATATAAGTAAAAAGTTCAAAGCACAACTGCCTTTATTCTACAATTATATTTTGTTTTCTCCAAACTTGTTATTTTTGAATCCTTTATTAAATATAATAAATCTTACATTTAAGTCGGTAATCAAAAAAAAAGGACATCCTTTTTTCATTTTGATTAATATTACTAAACCAATCATAAAACGTCAATCTTGTTACTTATTTTCTGGGAACATCCTGCCTTTGTTTTAAACGAATTAAAACAACATCAATGTAACTACATCTCTATATGTATGTAAATAGGCATATGTGTGTGTATGTATATATAAAGTGTTTACCTAAACGTGAAATGTTGGTTGGTTGCTCTATTTGTGGTTTGCAGAAACGGACACTCATAAATAGCTAATTGTTGGGTTGTTTGGTCTCGGATCTCTCATTTAAGGGACTCCTAGTTTTACAATTTTCTTGCTAGCAGCGCAATATGAATGGGAGGAGGGGATTTACAATTATGTGAGACTTGTAGATTAGATCTTATACACTTAAGCCTGTGCATATCCATATCTTATCATTCACCTCGATCTTTGTTAACAATTTAATTTACAATAGAAACCGAAAATTCTAGCTAAGCTCAGATACTTTTATCTGCTTATCTGCTTTGAATTGCCGAACTTAGAACATAAATAAATCTAGTAATTATAGCTCCTCCTTCGCCGCCGCACTAACCCCATTCTCATCTTCATCCTCATCGTCGTCCCCCCATTCGCTAATGAGACTCTTCACCTTGTCCACACTGGCTGCTTCACCGGACGACGTTTCCTCAACTGTTTTCGCACTTTCTATTGTCGCCTTTTCTATTGTTACTGCATCCCCACTTTTGTTTGGTTTTTCCTCTACGATATCCTTATTGTGTGCGGTACTTGCATCATCATTGTTCTGGGCTGCCTTTTCCGCGTCTGTTCCATCAATCTCTATTTGATCGTTGGACCGATGGGTAGTAGGCACCAATTCATCCTCGTCAGTCGAAGCATCTAAGGCTGGAGCTAACGCCTCTGTTGTAGCATTCTCCTCAGGTTGATCAATGCTCTTCTCTTGATTAGGTTTTTCTGCCTCGGCAATCAAGTCATCAAGCAGCTCTTTACGTATATTATCGGCTTCCAGATGAACATCATCATCTCCGTCAGCGACAGCTACCGCTTCTCTCAATTCATGGGACGCGGGCTCAGCAACTGGTTCATCTTCCTTGATAAATTCTTCTTCGTCGTTTTCAATCCCGTCCTCTCTCTTAATCGCGCCAACTAACAATGGAGCTTTCTCGCTCGCCGCTTCTGAATCTACATCCATTTTTTCGGGCTGACTATTGATACTGCCGACCGGGACAACTGAGTCTTCAGCACTGGCGATAGACTCCTCACCAGTTTTTTCTACAGCTTGATCTTCAGGTCCTTTGTGCAGAGACTCAAGAGCCAGATCTATCTCGTCTTCTTCTTCCTCGTGGACTGGTGACTCTGAGTGCTTGGCGGCTAACTCGGATGTAAGTTCGGTGGTGGCAGGCTTGTCATCGGCATCATCATCGTTTTCATCCTCGGTCCAGTCACCGGTCAGCTCCTTAAGTTTTTCGCTGATATCATCGCGAGACTTTTCCAGTTTGGGCTGTAAAGATAAATAAACAGGTGTTATAGACACATTTACATTTAGTGGATGGTTAAACTTACTTCCTTGTTGCTCTGTTCCTCGGATTCAGCAATAAGATTTTCAGCCCATTCTAGGTTGTCTATTGACTCTTTGCTCTCATCAGCAATGTTCTTTTTGGCGCTCTCAACTGAGTCAGCGGCTGTCAGCTCGCTATAGATTTGGCTGTCATCATACTCCTCCTCTGTGCCAGCCAGGGATTTCTCGTCGGTCTCTTGCTTTACGGGCTCCGCCTCTGGATCACTCAACACCATTACCACTCCACCGGCGGCAGCACCCGCTTGCTGTTGATTAAGCTGCGAGAGGATCTCCTTGCGCTGTTCATCCGTGAGCTCCACCTCATTGCCATCGGCTCCAACAAATTTCACCTCCTGCTGCACTTGATCTACGTCCTCCTCTTGAAGTTGCTCTTGCTGAGCTTGCTGTACTGTGATGGCACTAGTGGCTGGCAAACTTATATCCGAAAGGATTCGCACTTTATCAGTCTGCTGCGGTTCAGGTTCTTCCTCCACTTCGGCTTCTTCTTCTTCCTCATCTTGCGAGCCGAGGAACTCTTCATCCGTTTCATCAATAATTCCGTCTTCGAGAGCCTGCTCCTTGTGGTAGCTCTTCATGTGTCTGTATAGTTGCAGTTCTTGCTCGAACACCTTGTTGCAGTAGATGCACTGTTGCTTGTTGTCGTCCGTATGCGCCTCGTTAATATGAGCCTCCAACTCGGCCTTGGTCAAATAAGATTGGTTGCACAGCGCGCACTCGGCGAAAGTGTATAGCTGTGACTTGACCTGATGATCCGTATACATGTGGAAATGCAGTTCCCGGTTGTTGCCTGACCGCCATCCGCAATGCTCGCACAGCGCCGGGTCAATGGTCTCTTTGTGCGTGTTAATCAAATGGCGTCGGAATCCTCGATACGACGGAATGCTGATGGGGCGTCCATTAACGCCACACCTTAAGCACAGCCAGGGACCTGAAAAAGTAATAGTAAATTTTTTATTAATATTTCGTCTGCAATGCGCTGCTATTATGTGATTCTACTCACCAGTAGTGTTCTCGGCTCCTTGAGCAATCAAGGCATGCATTGTCTTACTGTCAATGCGTCTCTTCTGGGTTGCGGCGGCATTCGACGGGGGATTTGCCGCAGTTGCCTGGGTAGTGGCAGACTGCGTGGTCGCGGTCTTTTGCAGGGAACTGGCCGCCTTTTGCTGCGCGGTGATTAATGGCGTGCTCTTATCGGCCTTAAAAGACACATGCAATTTTTTATGTGGCGATGTGGAGGCAGACGACTGAGTCGCCGGAGACTTGACCGGAGCAGACTTCTCGGCCGGCGCGGGTGGTGTATTGGGCATTATCTTCAGCTTGATGTTCTTGTGACCTTTGACAATGTGAGGATATTGGCGCAGTACTTCGGCTATGATCTTAGTGTGATTCAGTTTGGCGTTGGAAGAGTCCTTAACAATTATCGTGGGTGTCTGACTGGGTGAGTCCTGCTTTAGAATAATGGTGGTGGATCCGTGCTCCAGCTGGGTTTGTGTACCCTGCGGCGACTGCTGCTTGGAAGTAGATGGCTGTGGAGGCATATCATCGTCATCATCGTCCCCGGCATGGACATCATCATACAGCATGCCTCCATCATAATCAGGATCGTGATCTCCATATTCCGCCGCGATTTGCTTACGCATTCTCTGTTGTTCTGCAAACTCCTTGACCTCTTCCAAACTGGGTTTCTTCGAGGGCGGCGATAACAGACTGGTCTGTGCAGGCCTCTTATTGTTATTATAGCCCTTGCGTAGCTGCTCAAATGGCGAAGTTGGTTCCTGCTTGACATTGGTGCTTTCTGCATACTGTGTACGACTTGTACCGCCTGATGTGCGGGTCAGTGTGTTGCCAGTGGGTCCACGCTGTGCGTTGGCTCGCTGCATGGTGGGTGTGGACACATTTCGGGACTGCGGTGATGGACCCAAGACGCGCTGCTGGGGAAGACCCGAACTGGGTTGTCCAACTGTGCGTCGACGGATACCCTTAGGACTAGGCGGCTATAAGGAAAATGCAAGTTAGATTAAAAAAGTGCTTGAAGAATGGCACCACTTACTCTCTGCTGGCGATTTACATTCTCCATGGTACGGCGATGCGCCTCTAACAGCTTGAGTAGCACTGTCATGTTCATCTCTTTGGCAGTGCGCAACAATTTGCCGTACATCTTCAACTCGAACTCCAGGGTACCAGTGTACATAAAGTTAACAATGGGCACCACAACATCCGCCTGAAACTCGTTGGGCATGATGAGAGCATCATCGACGATTTCACAGGTCTGTTCCAGCACATTAAAATAATCGGTACATGCGCTGAGCACTAAACGGTGCACTTTCAACTGTGAGTTATCCCGGAACTGAAGCGTCAGATCGCAGTAGTCCGTTTTGTTAAAGAAGTTCTGCAGCTTTTGCAGGAAAAATACTCCCCAATTGTCCACCTTCACGGACTTGACTTCGCCCATCTCGACGGTGCGGCTGTGTCCTTGGGAAGAGCTGTGTTATCCGTTTCCGTATCCTTATCTTTAGCCTCCCCGTGGTATTGGTTGCTCTGGCTTCAGGGCGCAACTGTACTACGGCACGGGGTAAGGAGTCAGTTCAGAGGCAAATTAGAATAGGCCGAAGGTAGGAAATGAAACCCAAGAAAGAAGCAACACAAAAACAATCAGTTAAAAGAGGTATTTCCGAAATTTTTTTTCGATTGAACGCCAATTGCTTTTCGGTTATATGTTTTATTTTGCACTGCCGCCACGGCGCGAAATGCAACTCGCAATTATCGATATACAACAGTGTACGTGTGTTTGTACCGCTTGTGTGTGTTTGTGGGTTGTGCGCGTCGCCAGGCTTTCTTTGATTATTTCGTAGCAATTGCTAATTGTTTGTAAGCTAGTAATCTTTATTCTATAATTTATTTAAACATCTTTCGGTTTGTGGCATTTATTTATGCCCTTTTGGCGCGCCTGTCCACTTCACACAAAAATTGGTTTTTGGGGCATGTACATTTCACTTTTTATGGCGGGATCTTTGATTAAGCACACATTAAATGGATGGGCGGCGGGCATTTGCACTTATGATACATACATTTCTTTGTATTGCACACTACTTTTGCCGGACAAATTCTAATTTTTTTCCAGAGTCAGGTCGCCATATTCTTTTCATTCATCGCTGGCATGACAAGGTTACATTTAGAATTTATCGATATGCATGCGATAAATTCATTTGCAGACATGACATTGTTAAGGTGACGCTGAGGCAGAAACCGTTAAACAGAAATTTTAAATATATTTTGTGACGTCATAATATGGTATATAGTAAATGTTATCTGTTAAAAAAATACGTTGAATGGTTTGCTGAATTAAAAAAAATATATTTTTTGTAATAGTAAATACTTCTAATAAGAATCGATGACATTAAAAATTCTTTAACAAATACACTTAAGAAAAACATGCAGTCACAATTTATTGCGTCACCCTACGTTGCGATCCAAAAACGGATGGGCAGCTTGTTCACCACGAGACGTTAAAAATTTTTTATTCGATTTTATTCATTTTGAAATTTAATGATTTAACTAAAACGAAATGAGTGGTCGGAACCGGGGTAAAGGAAAGAGAGGCGGAGGGCCCTATCGCAATGTCAAAGCGAATCACAATTGCGCCCGCAGCTTTGCACAACAAGCAAACGAACTGGCTAGCAGCAGCGTAGGTGACAGTTCAGACTCGGAATCATCCGGAGGAGGAGCTAAGGATGATCTCGGTCAGCCGCCAGAGTTCGCTGTGGCCATGTGGGATCTGAACCACTGCGACCCGAAGAAGTGTTCAGGCAGAAAACTGGCGCGTCTGGGACTCATTTCTAATCTACGACTGGGTCAGAAGTTTCCTGGTCTAGTCCTCTCACCCGTTGGCCAGTTGTGTGTCAGTCCTCTGGATCGGGAAGTGGTAGCCTCCTCCGGTGTGGCTGTGATCGACTGCTCCTGGGCGAAGCTCGACGAGACGCCCTTTGGTAGAATGCGCAGCCCTCATCCTCGCCTGCTGCCCTTCCTGGTGGCTGCCAATCCCATCAACTATGGTAAACCCTGCAAGCTCAGCTGCGTGGAAGCCATCGCCGCAACTCTGTATATCTGTGGATTTACGGAGGAGGCTCGCTGGTTTTTGGGAAAGTTCTCCTGGGGTCATGCTTTCTTGGAGCTGAACGAGAAGCTCCTCAACGCGTATGCGGCCTGCAAAAGCAGCGACGAGATTGTCAAGGTGCAGAACGAGTACTTAGAGCAAGAGCAGCAGGAGCGGGACAAACCAAGAGATCTGCGCGATTTCTATCCCACCAGCAGTAGTAGTAGCGAGTCGGAAAGCGAGGACGATAATGAGGAAGCGAAAACGAAAACGAATAACTGATCTTTACAAGGTGCTGACATTTTATTAGCATTACCATTAGCTTATTACAAAAAATGTTTACGTGTGTTTTAATATACAAACCAGTTGTTAGAAGCAACTATAGAATTATTGCAAACTATTTGGATGAAATATTTACTTCTAGTCAAAGAGAAATGATTGCTTACTGTGCATTTCGCACGTACTCGGGGTCCACGTTGATGAAGTTGCTCATGCTGAAGAACATAGCGCTATTTTTCACCAGAAACTTAAGAAAATCCTGTAGGTGAACAAGCAGATTTTGCATGGCCTGCTGATCCAACGCTGAATAGCTGAGCATAGAGCCCAGCCGTACAAACAAGCGGAGTAGGTGAAAGGATCCGTAGAGCTCGGACAAGGGTGTATCTGGATGTTTCTGCATCACATCCGCGTACTGTGTGCGTTCAAATTTGTACAGCAACTGGGATCCTAACATTACATTAAAGTACTCAATAATTCCATCGAGTACATCGTTTATGGCAACCTCCTTGGTGGCGTTGGTCGATTTGACAGACTTCTTGTGTGCCAAATACTGCTCGGAGATCTGCTGCACAGTCACTTTGGCGGGAAGCTCTAGCAGCTTGTGCTCCCGCACGACTGCATACCAATCGTCGGTTAGATAGTGCTTCAGTTCGTCAGGTATCTTGATTTTGACTTCTAGCTTTGCGGCGTAGGCCTCTTCGCTCTCCACACATGGTGCGGGCTCCGTGGTGGGTGTGGATGGGGTGGTGGTAGGCGCCGGTGCCTTGTCTGCCACATCACTTCCTGTAAGTGAAGGTCTCTGTTCGCTCATCCTTTTTTTCTTCGGCGCCACTGGGGTGACCGCCTCGTCTTCTGTAGTCTCAGCGGCGTTGGCATCCTCCTTTTTCTCGCTGGGCGTGCTTGGTCTTGCGGTGGCCACCGCCGATTGCGTGGACTTGCGGTTAGGCCGGCTGGTCGTCGTAGCGCTTGTGCTGTTCGTGGTTGTGCTGCTGGTGCTCCCGGCATCTGATTTGTTGCCTGGCCCTGCACTGGTTGTCGGTATGCTACTGGCGGTCGATTGTGAGGTGTTACTGTCTTTAGAGGGTGTGGAGGCACGAGATTCATTGCGCATCTGCTCCATTTTCTTGGCCTTGGCGCTACCTGAGAAGGAAAGGGCTGATTAAATAGATCCGGGACTTTAATCTGCATCTGAGCCCACCTTTCTTATTGTCCTTCTTGGAACGCTCGCCGCATTGACGCGCCAGCTCTTGTCGGCGTTTGACGTTGTCATCGTTATACTTCAGCACTCGGCTCTCAGGCACCCATTCGTCCCAGCTACAAATGAAAAAAATTCTTATAGATCTTTACTCTTCGAGATCGACTTGCTTACTTTTTGCTCCAACCCGCGTAGTGGATGTAGTACTCTACCGGCGTCGCATCGGGCTTTGTTTTTAGAACCTTCGCTTCGTAAATGAGCGGTCCATGGAAGCACAGAACCCGTTCCCCTGATGAAGACGCGAAAAGATTTATTGATATTTATGAATGTGCTTTAATGTTTTGCTTACCATCGACAAACAACGTGTTTGCATCAGTCCCCGTGCTATAGTTTTCCACTTTAGCGGGTTTTACTTCTCCCATTTTATTTTATTGCAAAATAGAAAATTTTAGTATGACCGTAGGTCACGCATAGGACAATCGGCTTGAGACAGTGATCGAAATTGTTCGATATATTACAGGGTATTGTTTTGCTTTATTTTAACAATAATTATTTATTTATGGCTATGTACAACAAACAGTCTGCTTTTAACAGGTGATTATATTCTGAAAACATGTTTAGTGTTTCGCCGGCGACGACTTGTCATCTTCTTCTTCCCAGGGTCGTGGACCTCGTTTGTTTTCCCAGTTTTCTATGTCCACGGACTTCACTTTGTCATACTCGGACTCCAGAGTCACCTCCTGGCGATTTTTCATACTCACGCCGTACTTTTTCATCTCCTCCGGTGTCACCGGCTGCTTCTTGGCGTACTGATATCTGTACAAACTCATAACTCATAAGGCTATAGATTTCACGGTGTTTGCTAACTACTTACCTGAGGTTCGAAAACTGTTGCAGTCCGAAGGAGCCGGCCACCATCATAATGAGGAAAGGAATGCCATATTTAAACGATTTTCGTTTGCTATAATAGTTTAATTTGTCCACGAGCGACATTGTTGTTATGACATTTTGTTAAGAGTGGCCGTACAATTTTTAAGAGCTAATTGTGACCGAACCCGCTGTGGGTTTGGCGGGCAATTTGAACAGGAATCTCTTATCAAATACTAAGTTGAACTATTTTTTGGAAATCAAAATTGCAGTATACCACAGTTATAATTAAGCTTGTAGTATTTAAGAGATTTAGGATTCGTTTGGCACACTCTATACATTTTTTAAATGTCTTGAACTACACACGATAGATGTCTATGCCAATCGTTTTGTGCAGCTGTCGTCGTATATGAAAATAGTTGCCCTTGAATCGGAATAAAATGATGTGTGGTCCCTGCCAAGTGCGACCAATTTCTAAAAGATTCTTAACAACAATTGTTTTCCGGCGCACGCCTAATAGCCATTATTTGCATTTGTATGAGGCTCAGCGATAAGTTCAAGGTCTCTTTGGTTTTCAAATAATTGACACTGACAGCGTTGAAGAGCGCCAAAACACTGTGTCCACATGCACACGACATTCGATCTGGCTCACCTTGGCCAATTGCAGGCTTTGGCAAGGCAAGTAGCTAGCAGAGAAGATTTCCTTTTGCTGCCCACAGCTTTAACCAGTTCGCGATCGCTTCATTAACAAGGAGCCGGCGCCAATTGAGTCATCAGTGGCCCCTGAGACTGGGCTAGTCCCACACACGCCCCTAACAGCTCCTCCCCACAGATTGTTTTTCATTTTCCGATGCCACCTACTCGCCGTCCATTGGAGGTCTTTTATTAGACTGATTTGCGCGGAAGGAAAAGTTAATCTTATCATTTACTGATTAATGGTTTTTATATATATATTTTTAATTTCCCGATGTTCTATATTCATCCATTCTTCCTGAAAGATGAAAAACCTGATAGTATAAATTTGAAAATTTCTATGAAATTAAATTTTATTAGCAAATTAAAATCATATCATATATCATATTATCATATTCAGTTTTATTCAAAATATGTGTAACCTTTTTTCTAAGTGATCGATCTGGTGCGACTGAACTGAGTCGTCTGTGCTTTGCAGGCCAGATTGCACTTTTCCATGCTATTTTCGCCAAATATGGTCGCGATTTTTCTAACAAGATTGCGCACTTGTCTGAGCCAAGCTGAGCGCTATACTTATTTAATTCGCGTATATTTTGGAATTATGAAAACTTTGGTTTTCGTTTTCCATAACTAACACATGTCAACCGTGCCGATTCAATGGCCATGATTTCGTTTTCGTATTTAGCAAGTTGCTTAGACTGTTTTGCCGTTTTACAATGTTTTTTTCCAACGCTTTTCTCAAGGGTCTTTCTCATGCCTATATCTTCTTCAAATATATTTGTGAATATAAAAATATTTTGATCTAGTTTGCTTTTTTCAAAACTTTTTGTTTTGAATGAACACAATTACGTCATTCTGTGGGTGTTTCTTGATTTAATTTTAAACTTTTCAACAGCCTCGGGGTGCCAAAAGCAAATGTTTTCCAAAACACAAAACAACAAAGATCCATATGCTGATATCAAATTGGTTTATATTCATTCATACATATAGTATGTGACTTTGGTTGGAATCGTATGTGATTTTCCAAATATAGGCTATCACTGATAAATTATACAAAATTTTATTAAATTTTTTTAATGATTTATAATATTATATTCTTTAAATAAGTTATTGCTTTGAAAAAGCTTTAAGTTTTATATCATAATATACATATAATTTATTTCATTTGGTTCTTATTTTGAAAAAATTTTTGAAATACTCTTGAAATGGTTTATTTTGGCAGAATTTTACGATAAAATATAACATTTATTTATTTCTGCTAGTTGTATTTTCATTGAACTTTGGATTTTAGCTTTAGGGAGCAAATAACATGACGTCCAATTAATAATTATTTTAACTTCATTTTAAAATGTATAAAGATAATGATAAATAAGTTAAAAAATGCGTGATCAAAGGGTAGAAAAGCTATCTCGACGGGCAATGATATCAAAAGATCGGAAATACAATGATCGTGAGGAAATATCATTTAAGCCATTTTCACGTTTTGCATTTAATAATTTATGAATCATGGATGCATTTTCAACCGAGACTTGCAAAAAAATGTATTCTTTCATATGTGACAATTATGATTGCCAACAAAATGTTATCCGTTTGTAGACATGACGTTGAAAAATGTATAGAAATAGCTTTAAATATATAGAACAAAAAATAATAATCTGTAGACCTATGGTGGAAATACGTATAACTACGTGAAACAAGATTTTTTGGCATATCAATAACTGAAAATTAAAAATAGAAGTCGAGAACATCAAAAAGCAAAACAAAAAGATCCACAAACCCATACAATCTCATCGAGAAAAGAGAAATGATTGCCTAAGTATTGGAAATATTTTGCAATGGCTAAAATACTGGGTCGGAAAGAAGCTTTTTGAAAATAAAGGGAAATATTCAAAAATAGGCAGAAAGAAAAATGTTCGATTCCAAATGCCTGAGCACCAATACATGTGCAGAGAACAGGTGAAAGCCCGCAAGAAAGGATCGGAGAAAGAGAGGTGAAGAGAGCTAAGAGAAAGGCGCAGGCGCCGGCTATTATTGTGTGCGATTAAATGTATTGTAAATGGTAAATGTATTGGATATTCTGATGTTGTGCTTTCGGTTACACTGACAGAAATTAGATGGCAATGAAAATGTTTTAAAATGTTTGGTTGGTATTATGATTTTGAAAAGGAAAACAGCACACCTTAAACGTAATTTTTAATTAAATAAAATATATTTTCATATTTTTATAGAACTAACAATGAGTGTAATTATAAGGGGACTTAGTGGGAGGTTTAATAAAATTCATAAAAACTTTGTATTTTCTATACCTAATAAAAGATACTACTCTAATGGTGGAAACCGGCTTGAAGTTGAAAGTGCAACTTTAAGTTTCATTTAAGAAAACACAAGTATTTTATCTCTTCCAGTAATTTTGCTCAGTGTATAAGCTGACGTATGATACTCGCACAATTCGCTGTTGCTCTTGGCGTAAATTGAGAGCCAAATGCACTGCAGTTCCAAAATAAACGCGAGCAGCAACAACATCGCCTCACTTTTGGCCGAAAAGCGTGCGCTCTCGCACACAGATACGCACCCACACAGGCGCAATCGTGCGGCGGCTCACACGCACACACACCAGCGCAGACCGCTCGAAATCGACCAAGCGGCGAGCATCGAACGTCAACATATTGAATAAATATTTTCAGTTGAACATCACAATCCGTTCAAGTCGCGGATAACTCCGAATAAAAGTTTTGTAAGTAAAAAAAAGGAATACGAAAATTCAAGAATATATCACAGAATTTTTCAACCTTAAAAAACCTGTTGAGTGCATTAAAAAATATATTTAATTGTGCTAGAATTCAATTTTAATTGGATAAAAAAAGGATCGAAATCAAACAAAAAAGTTATAGTTACATAATCCAACATAATAAAACTGCAAATCTAACATTAAATCCAAACCAAAGTGCTGTGCAATTTTGAAACCAAACTATCCGCAAGTATTGAAGAGCATCTAAAATATTTTCAGTCCGATTTTTAAACCCAAATAGAGGTTAAGCACCTTTGCAGTTCGAGAAGAACTAAGAATAACGATTCTCGGGACCTTGTCAAGTTTGTCTGCTAACCGCAACTTGCTATATAGGGTTTCAGCTAAACGTATTTCATTAGATGTATAAACATTGTCAGTGGGCAGTTAAGATGATCTTATAATTTTATAAGATTACTGAAGAATTTAAAGAGAAAGATTAAGAACTAATCGTTAAGAGAATGTAATGATAAGATAAAGATTAGCAGAATAAAAAGATATTTAAAGATAACTACTTTAGTTTAGTTTGTTATTAAGCTTTTCCTTCTGCTAGTTGACTTTCTTTTTCTCGTAAGCCCTTAAATTTTTTCCCTCTACAAACTACTTAGAACCTCCAGAATTTATTTCGCAATTTTGTATCTTTGAAATCCGATACATGACCGCTGGCATCTAAGGCCAAATGGTTCTGCAGCGAACGTAGGCAAAATCCGCCAAGTATTTCCCAGAAAGCTCCCATCTCTTGGCGCTTCTCAATTTAGTATTAAGTAATATCCGTGAGGAGGCAAGATATTCAACAGATGCCTCAGTTGGCCTATTTATAGATACTTTCTGTGTGTGCTCTAGAGAGATACTACACTAAAATGGAGAGCAGGAAAGAGGGAGAAAGCTTCAAGTATTGCCCAAGGCATTTAGCTAAAGAATCTATATGCATTAGACCTATTTAAACCTACGTGTATATATTGAAATCTATTATTAGAAAATTCTGTATTCTGTATAATAAAAAATCTCAATTTTCCATGGGAATATTTGGAAATTTCCTGTGGAAAAGTACACGTTAGAGAGTGAGATACATTTGAAAAATATCTGGAAACTACAAATTCCTGAGTGCAAGTTAATAAAAGTGCGTAGGATAATAGGGGGGATGGGATAGCAGATGGTGTACATTTCTTATCTCAATGAAAACTGATATATTACTTCAAAGACTATCAACATTCCAACTAAAACCAACACGTTGTTATCGGTTGATAACATTTAACACTAGTTATTTATCCAAGTTAACCTCCTTGGTTTAGGCCCATTTCTTGGATATATGTCATTGCCGAAAGTTATAAGATGTCTTGCGAATTTTTGTGCTGAATCAACGTAAACATAACTCAATGTGTCACCTTAATCGACTTATAGCCCATACACATGCAGATATTTATATATGTTTCAGAGAACAAAAAATTTGCCTCGATTGCGATTTCATTAAAATTCAACTTACTGGGTTTTTTTGAATTTTTTTCGATTGGTGGTGGCATTGCCACTTCTCTTCTGCGGATCAGGCACAGGAATGTAAACAGAGTTTTTAAAAATAAATGCATGTTTCAGGCAGAGGAGAACAACAAATGACAGCGATGAGCCGTAATAAAGAATTAAAATTTCACGAGGCGAAACTCGAGTCAATTAGCCGCCGGTTGCATTTCGTTTGAGCCATGACAAATGTTGGTCAAGTGGGTTTCGTGTTGGCCAAAGGAAAGGGGGGTAAAGGGTAATCTTGGTCTTAAGGAGGGGCCAAACCCTCCAGCTGCGTTAACATTGAGTCAGAAGGCTGAATCGATTTGAGAAAAAGAGAGGGAATAGTCCACAGCAGCTGAGTGGCTGATTCATTGTGGGATTGTTAATTAAAAGATGGAAACTTCGGAGTCTAAAGTGAGATGTGTTTTCAAAAAGTATGCAATAAAATATTAGATTCTGAGCCCATATTAATAGTGGGAATCTTTGAGTTTCCATAAAGAGATAATCTGAAATCCTTTCCATTTCTTAACCTCTAAAAATACCAATATTTTGGCCCAGATTCGAATTACCCCAATCTGCTGACACAATTTTCGTTTGGTGACAGAACTCTCTATTTAAGAATGTAACCAGCTCCTTCCCCTAGCTTCGCTTGGTTCTACAATACCAAGCGATTCGATGTGATCAGCATAACTAAGCACACTTTTTCGGTTTGAAGTTGGGTATCCAAAGAAGAAACGTGCATTACCTAGACGGGCTCAGGTATTCTCGTTTAAATGATTTACTGGGAGATGAGAAAACACTCTCGTAAGACAAACGCCAGAGAAAGAATCGGGCAATAAAAGTCGTGAAGAGACGCCAGCGAAATATTAAATTCTCAATTTATCAGTTGGATGAGCTCGAACAATGCGTCTGACTTGGAGGGGGAGGCCTTGGGTGACTCGGTTTTTGGCCAGGCCGAATAATTTATTAGCTTAGCCACCTTTCGGCCAAATAAGGCGGCTAACCATTATTCGAAATCACACGATTAGTATCTTGAAATGGAATGAAGGATCTGTATCTCTTACTGATAACATAAAGATAAGAGCCGGGCTTAAGAAATTTTAACTTATGAATAGCATGGGAATAAGAACAATATATTAGCAATGATAAATTTAAATAAAAAGAAAATTAATGTGTTTTTTAAATCTTAGAGAACTTATTACATGTTGCCAGTTATAGTTGTAAAATGCAAATACATATTCAGAGAGTTTCACTTTCGCACAGACCTTGCTTTGTTTTTCCTACACCCATTTTGCGATTTATGATTATCGCATAAATTTGCTAATTGCATTATTGACTGCACTTAACAACAGTTTCGATCGCTATCTTCAATCTCCAATCTACATCTCCGTTTCGATTGCAGTTTCTTTCGAGTGTAGCAGCAAACAAAACAGACAAACATGGATGCCATCAAGAAGAAGATGCAAGCGATGAAAGTCGACAAGGACGGAGCTCTGGAGCGCGCTCTCGTCTGCGAGCAGGAGGCACGCGATGCCAACACCCGCGCCGAGAAGGTAAGTCAGCCACCTCATTTCCTATCCCCTACCTCATGCACTGAAAGAGTTATCTATGAGTTTGCTTACTAAAAAACTGATATTTTTTAAAATTATAAAAAAACAGAAAATATTGGTGTTACATCAATCAATCATAAACATTTTTATAAAAATTAAAATCTTGACTTAAAAGTTTTTAAACGATCTTTTTTTTTCTGTGTAACTTCCACCCACACGATCATTTCTACGCATTGAAAAAGCATTTAATGTAACAAAAAGCATAATTGCCGGCTTTCACACAACACCGTAAATCTTGTTAGCACATGCGATTTATGTGTTGTTTTTTTATTTGATTTTTAATTATATTTTATTTATTTAAATCTGATTTATAGGCCGAGGAGGAGGCTCGCCAGCTGCAGAAGAAGATCCAGACCGTTGAGAACGAGCTGGATCAGACCCAGGAGGCTCTGACCCTGGTCACCGGCAAGCTGGAGGAGAAGAACAAGGCTCTGCAGAACGTAAGTTCATTTGTTGCATTTTCTATTATGTTAGAGTAGATTTAAAGCTAGGTTTTATTAATAAAAGTGAGTCATTTCGCATAGGTAATTTTAATTTTAATTTGGTTTTTAATATGTAATGTTACTAATTTTTTTTACTAAGTAAAACAATAACTAAAAGTAATGGAAATCAGTAAAAGAAATAAGAGCTTTTTTTGATTTTGATTTTTTGTCATAAACAGATTCGAAAATTGTTCTTTGAAATTTCTTATATATGCAAAATATTCCACTCTAGTGTTTTTTACCCATGAAATGTCAAAATTAAGTTTGACAAATATTGAAATAGACACAAAAAACCCCCCATACTGATAATTAGTTAAATCACTTAACAAAGTTTTTGAAACACAACGAAAAATTCCCATTAATCATCTGAAAATATAGTACGCCATTTGTCAGTTTTTAGATGTCCAGAATCGTATATCATTTCCTTTAAAATTTACCATAAGGCATTTTAGTTCTTAAGAAAAATACGTATATTTTTAATGCTTCAGCTCAATATTTTGAAATGCATTCAAGGCAAGAAATACACATAAATTTATAACAGGAGATTTTGAATTGACTTGGTGACAGCCAGCGGTTTTTTGGGGGAGTCTGCCTAGAAAATGGGGCGGCGGCAATTTAACGCCAATTTCATGGTAGGCTGAAATCGGAGAAATTGTTTGGGGGAAACATTAAGAAGTGTATTTTCTGAAATTCCAAAAACATCATAAATTTCCTTTCTTTTTTATTTCAAACAAAGCAATCAGCAATTGACACGTAGCACGCACTCTCCTTATGCTCTCTCTCTCTTTTTTCTGTGTATGCTGTTGGCAACGCCTTGCGGAGAGGCGCTATTTTTAAATTCGTTGAAAATAGCCAGCGAACGATATCAAATAACGCAGCAGAATTTGTCTGTTGGCTTGCCAAAAAAAAAGTTCTCGCAAAAAAAGCACGTACTCTCTATTCCTCTGAATTAGCTTTGAATCTAGAACATTTTTCGGTGTGGGCCTCAGTGTTTCCAAAAAGAATTCGAATTGCGATTCGTCTTTTGATTACCACATTTTGGGAAAGTATTTCAAGGACATTTGGCAGCGTTTCAAGAATTTCCTAGCAGGTAAAATGCTTGGAAAACTTATCGCTAGGAGTGGGTCTCTAGACTAAATACTTATCAGATAACGATGTTTGCATGGCCCAGCCCAGGGCTCTAAATAAATATGACAAAGAAAACGGATGCCTCTGACTAATAACTAAAAAAAAAAATAATGAAAACAAGAGATAAGCAATTAAATGAATCAAATGCTGAAAATTCTCTCCTTTTGGGAGAAAAAATCAGCGGATGAGTAAAATAAAATGTATGCGTTTGGTAGAAGAAAACATATTGCTCTCTCCTTCTCTTTCTCTCTCTCTCGTTGGGTGGGTGGAGATCCATATGGATCGCTTATTGCTGACTCACTCGCACACGTGCCACACGCAGAGAGAGAGAGAGACAAATTAGAGAGTGGCAGCGAGAGAGTTTCCCCATTCTCATCTAACGGTGAGCGCATGGCCCCAAAATTCAAGTACAACACAAACACAACACAACGAGGGGCCGAGGAAAAAGCAGCAGAAAAGCCAGCAGCAGCCGCCCGCTCATAAATCTACAAAGAAAAACTTAATTAATTTAAAATAATTACCAGCAAACCAAACTTTCATAAATTAAATTAAAACTCGTTCGGTTTAATCAACTCATACAAAAAATCACTACTTTCATTTAAAACTATTTAAATGAAATTCTAGCGATTTGAATAATTACATAAAAAGTGTTGCGGAAATCTTCTCTCTCTTTGCAAATTTTCACGCGCTAATGAAAATTCGCAAAAGATCTGTATTAAATCATCAATAAAAATAGCGAAACTAACGGTACAATGAGCCCAGCTGTTTGAAAGCCGCAACAAAAACTATAAAACAACACGCACCAAATCACACAGAAACAACAACAAAAACAACAGACATTGCTCATAATTAATATGTACGAGAAAACATTAAACATAGGAACTGCAAAAGTTAATAATGCATATGAATGGCAAAAAGTGAGATACAACAACAAACCCCAACCAACAACAACAACAGCAACAGCAGTTAAAGTCAAACAACAACAGCTGCAAAAACAAAAAAATGCAACAAAAGCGGCACCAACAACAACAACCACAACTGCGCCACCGTTAACCGGCAACAGCATTACCGTTAAACAGGGCCCAAAAATTAAATTTGTTGGCAACGCGGCGCGCCGACAATCATTGGCCCATCAAATCAAGCGAGCACATCGGCATTTACTGACCAGCGGCGGTCAGGACAAACAGCCGCAACAAAAGCGTAAACAAATATTTAACACTTTGTTTAAGCGAAATTCAAATTGCCTTCTACACGCGCAAAAAAAAATACTAAAGCATTCAGCTTTGGTCAGGGCGCATATAGTTGGCAACGCGAAATAATAAGCAGCTGGAAACAGTGTCATTTCTCTTATTGGACTTTCACACAATCAGCAAGAAATACACCGTTGCCAGCCCTTCCAGCCAAGTTGGTATTTTGGGCACATTCCAGACTGGTCACACTGCCCAATCCAGCAACAGCTGGTTCCAGTAAAAAAAATTCACGTAGCAATTTTGGCCACAAATTACCACAAAAATAAAGTAAATAATTGCATTTTGTAAATATAAGCAAACTAACAAAGCATAACAGTTTGTAAATATACCCAAAATACCAATAGGAAGGAGTGGTCAATTCGGTTGACTGTCCTCAAAACATTACCGATAGAAGAAAAACAAATTTTAACTTTTCAGAGAAAACACAAGTGCCGCAGACGAGTGGCAAAACAGTTGCCAAAGCGAAACCGAGGCAGAAACAATTGTTAAAAAGTGATAAGGCAAAGGAAAAGCCAAAGCAGCAAAGAAAACGTGCCGTCACCCGTAACACTCGCAATCCGAGGGGGCAATCGGAATCATCGGGCTTATCGTCCCGCTGGTGTTCAATCGAGGAGCAGTTGAATCTGCTGGACGATCTGCTCTACTACTGCGATGAGGAGGCGGAACTGTATCTAGCCCAGCTTTATGAAAGGTTCAAGACACTCCGGAGAAGCAGGAGTTCCTCGGTAGCCAGTGATTTCTGGAGCGATTCGGACATGGAGCACGACGACTCCAGCACCAGTGGCACTGGCAGCCACACAGCCAGCAATAATAGTCTAGTTCCATCCTCGCTGAAGCGACGTGGGCACCAGCATCATCCGCGCTTCTCGGGCACTCGCCGTCCTAATGTGCCCAATGTCCAGGAGATTCTGGCCGCCCTCTACCGCGGCGACTCCAAGAGTGCACTGTCCAATCTCAGGGGAGAGACGCAACCGGAGGAGGAGCAACCACAGCAGCAGCAACAGTCAGAGGAGGTGCTGCACCCCAGCAGAAGCACTTTAAGTCTGCCCCTGAGCGAATCGGTTACCAATTCTCTGGGCAGCAACAGTCCCACGCCTACGGACGAAAGCAGTGTGCAAGATGAGGGCGCCAGCAACCCAGCAGCAACTTCAATAGCAGAAGGAGCTATTCCTCCAGCACCCATAACCACCTCCAAAAGCAAGAAAAAGAAGCGTGAGAAGGGTGAAAAGTTAGAAAAGTCGGAGAAATCTGAAAAATCCGATCGAAAGAAGAAATCCTCAGGGAAAAAAGAGCGCAGCAAGCGGTCTAATCCGATGGAGCTTAGTAGTGACAGCCTTGCCACCGATATCAGTGCCGGGGCCATTGATGAAGGCATCGCTTTGGCAGATGACGACGATAATCAGGCGGCGGAGTGGTCCAAATTGAGGTGCACTAGCGAGGCGGCCGAAATTGTAGCCGAGCGGGAAGCTCGCCGGAACAAGGGTCGCTGTGCGGATTATCCAGGACTGGCCTTTGGCAGATCCATCTTCAGTTCGGACACCATGATGAAGTTCAACATCATCAGGAACGAGCTGCACAACATCATGAACACACAACTCAAACGGGTAATTAATGGTTGAGACATGAAGTTGGTTGCAAATTCCTTACTAATCAGCTTTCTATATCACTATTTCTATATAATCAAGCGAAGAAGCCACCTAGTTGTTGTTGTTCCGCGAAAGGGGACTCCAAAGTTTGGTTAGGTTCTTTTCACGATTGCTCCAATTTGTTAGTGGTTTTATTTTCGCATTGCAAAGCGATTACGTCGGCGTCTTCGTCTTTTCGCGATTTTCTAGTTGTGCCTTAACCCTTGGCTGGCCTCAGGGTCTTTATTCGGCCGTCGTGTTTTCTTTTGGCCCTAGGTAAAGATTTTTAGCTGTTGTAAATCTTGACCCACTTTGTTCATACCACTTGTTTCTCTCACCTTTCACTAAGCAGATTTCTTAAAATCGATTTGGCTAATAATGTTGTTTAAAAGAAGATAATGGTGCGTAAATTTTGATTTATTGTTCTTGAAAATATTTTTATACCTGAAAATCATTTCAAGCCTGTAGAATTCTAAAAGTTTCGTCTTGTATTTTCCCATTCCGCATTTAAAAGTATTTTATTAATTTGGGCAAATATGTTTACTTAATTGCAGGCAATTGTTTAATTAGTTACGCAATTGCTGGAATGTCTAACGGTACTCGCCGACCACCTGTTGCTCTCCCTCTCATTCGTCTGCTGCTGTGCGGGTGGCAGAAAGAGAGCGTCCGATAAGACCGCTAAATGGTATTAGTGTTTTTTTTCAATTTTTTTTTTCAATTCTCTGTGCGCTGAAAAAGGCAACACTTTGAAAAACTAAAAGGAAAACCCGGCCATATTTGGCTAAAGCATAAAACATGCTGTGCACGGCCAAGCTCGATTTGCCAAAATTGGCTAACAAATTAATTATTAAACGCCGATACTCAGCGACCTTCCCCCTTTTATTTACTTTTAATTTCTCTTCAATGTCGCCCAGCTAAAAATGGACAAGCGCTCATTGTTTGCATTATCAAAACAATTACGCCATCGCCGGAAAGTCGGGAATGTAAGCCGTACAGCTACAGGTGGTTGAGCAGTTCAAAAAAGCGGGTAACAGCCGATTAGTCATTACGTTGCGGCTTACGTTGTTTGCTGATAAGCGTGATAAAGTGCCGGTATTGTGTTTTCCGTTTTCCGTAGTGGAAGCAATTAGTGGAAGAAGTAGGTGGAGGAGAGGTCTTGAAGGGGACTTGGTTGCGTTGGCACACACGCACGCACACACACCTGCAAAACACCTTGCTTACTCATCTTTAGGCATTTTACATGTCCGATTTTTGCATAATATTATTTTACTGGAAATGACAAAAATCCAAAATATTTCTTTACTAATTAATGCCAAAACAACAACAATGTCGACATGGACAGAATTTTAGCGGCTTTTAACAGGTTTTCCAGCCGCAAACACGCACACATACTGGCGCACCGTTTTAGGCGAGGCAGACCAGACTGGAAGGTAGTAGCAGTAGTTGTCCCACTCGCACAAACCACCACCACCGCTTCGACTGACGATTCGGTGGATTCATTTCCAGTTACGTACTCGTCGCAGTCGCGTCGTCGTTGTCTCTCTCTCCGTATTTTTGTATTTCTGCCACTAAATAGCAAATATTTAATATTTAAACGCAGCTCAGTTCGCTTGTCAGTTTTGCTACGAAATACTGCCCTTTAAAATCAAACCCTAGCCAGGGAAAAAGCAGTTGAAGCTAAAGAAAAACCGGTGGTTCACTCTATATATGCGAGTGTGTGTCCCGTTCCGAGCTCTTTCGTTCGCTTGTGTGTGTGTGTTCCGTTCCTCCAAGTTCCAAATTGTAAATTGAATTTGGTGTGCTGTCCGAAAAGGCAGAGTGCTTCTTCAGTTAAAAAACGAGCTCAAGTGCCAGTAAAAAAAACACCCACAACCTCTGTGTTGAATCAAAAAGTAGACAAAAAAAAAACCACAAATATGACGACCAGCATTCCACAAGGCACTCTCTTGGATGTGCTGAAGAAGAAGATGCGCCAGACCAAAGAGGAGATGGAGAAGTACAAAGACGAGTGCGAGGAGTTCCACAAGCGATTGCAATTGGAGGTGGTGCGCCGTGAAGAAGTAAGCCAAGCCACTAGATTCCCAAGCTAATTTTGCTACCCTTTGGTTTGGGCAAACAAACGACTGCGTGACCTGTCTTGTGAATTTTGCATAAATCCCTACCTAAACGAAAAAAAAAAAGATAGTCCAGCATTTCTTTCGCCCCCTCTCTTAGCATTTCCATTGCCCACTGTGTACGTGTGTGTGGGAGCGGGACAACGCAAGTGTTTTAAAAGAAGGTGCTCTCTTTTTTGAGCTCTCTCACTGGCTTGTTCTTCTATCTATCTCTCTTAGCTGTTGTTTTTTGCTCTTTGGTGGTTTTTCCAGTCTTGCTGTTCTTTTCGTGATGAACGAAATTTTGGGCTCAAATATAGGGTGTTTCTGGTCGAAACTTAATTTTTTTGGACTAACTGTTCTTATCGCTGACCGAATTCATTCACCTTTCGAATTGTGTGTGTTATCTCCCGCTTGACAGCACACACTCAAACATTAGCATAAAACACAAACACTCACTCACACAAACACACTCGTATTTACATAAGGCCAAAAAGGAGAAAGAAATATTTTGTAAATTGAGCGATTCGGTTGGTCTTTTTTCTTCTAGCTTTCTGCTTTCTCAGCGACAAAGACAAAAAACCGGCTTTAAGTCCGGCGAAGAAGCCACATCGTTTAGCCAGCTAGCGGTGTTCTAAATTCGATTAATTATGATTTTTACGCCATGGCCATCAATAAGTGGTTTAATTCTCTTAATTCCTTTCAAACTTTTGCCCGTTGGCTCTGCCATGTTCCTAATTCAATTCTAATTAGACAATTGAGTGCGAGTGCTCCTTTTGTGTTTGCTTGGTGTTATTTGTGTGTGTATGACGTCATTGCTAAGGGAGTTTTTTTTCGTAATACAGTCGAAACTCCATAAAACTCTAACCAAAGACCTTTTCATTTCACAGTCTAAACTAAAATATGTATGACTTAATTTTATTTCAGTTTGCGTTAAGCAATTTCTACTGTGAGTTTTCGTTTTAAATTCAAATTGATTTTAAATTTGAAAAGATTCTAAAGCCTGATTTCACTCCCTAGTTGATTTTTTTCACGGTGCCAGAAAGTGATTGACGTTTCGCTTCCCTCTTAACAAAAAGAAAAAAAACGGAAAATACAAACTAAAACAAAACATAATTTACTCTATTCCGGATTTCTATACAATGCTTTCAATGTCACTCTGCCGCTCTTTTTCCCCCCATTTTTCCATCATTTTCCCCTACATGCAATTGAACGTTGATAATTTCAATGCGCGCATTGTGACAAATTGGTTTTGATTTGTGTGCCTTTGCCTCTTGCCAGTTTCGTAATTCGGAGATTACAGCATATGACGCCATCGTTGCTACCCCTCCCCTCTTACCATTCCCCTGTTCAAACGGAATTTTTCAGGGGAAAAGTAATATTTTATGCTTGAGAGCATCGTCTTTAAAACAGTGTTTTACATTTTCATGGCTTATTTTTCGGTTCATAATTAAAAATGCATCATCACAATGAAAACACGCCCTACGTGTACCGCTCCAATAAGTCTTTCTTTATTTTGTTGTTGTTATAGTTTTGTTTTTCGGTTGCCAGGGCAATAAAACAAAAAGAAGGAAAAACGAACAACACGTAAAATTCAAGGTGTGTGTGACTAAGCCGTCAACAATTTCTCGGTCACAGTTTTGCATTGGATTTTATGGAGAGTTTCTTTCGGCATTTCAATTTTTTTTGCATTTTGCCGGTCATTTTTCATACATTCCACAACAATTGGGGGCCACACTTGGCCGTCGCCATCGCCATCTCCCTGTCTCTTTTGAGAAACGTGTTCTGTCGCCGCTTTTCTTTGCCCACTGATTTTTTCCCCTCCCCCTTTGGTGGTCCGTTAATAAAGCGTTTAATCTTCAATACGTTTTGTTAATGAGTTTGAAAAAAAGAGGGAGACGACAAGAGACCGAGACTCCCGCTACAAAACGAAACCCAACTGGAATCCACTCTTCAACTTCTTTGCTTTGCTCTTCGTTGGTTTATTTGAGAATACCCTTCAATGTATGACCAGTTTTTGCGGATGTTTGTGACGTCCAGAAAAAAAATAATCTTGAAGTTAAAAAGCTAACAACAAAGTATCTTTTTGAACTGATAGAAACGAAAAACACTTATAGTTTTGGTTTTAGTTTAAAATGGGTGTCCATATTTTCTAGTTTCCATAGAAACAATGGGCACCAACTTTTTTAAAACTATTACTGAAAACTTCAACTTGCTAGGGTATGAAAAATTCGCTCTTTCCTTTCAGTTTTTATTTTTTGGCATTTTTCGTTGTCGCTTGCTCTTGGGCTTCATCGGCGGTTTTGTTGTGTGACTTTCGTGTTTGGAAAGCTGCGCTGCCTGCTCCCCCAATTTGAAATGTTTTTTATCGCTCAATGTGTGTGTGTGTGTGCTGTGTATTTCGTACGATGACGTAAGCCACACGGTTGGTTCCAATTCATAATCACACGATACTTTTACGACCCGCACTCACATCGTTCATTTGGTTCTAGGCGTCGTCAGTTGGTCAATTGTTCATTTTGCCAATTGATCAGTTAGTCATTCCATGTACATATCAGTAGCTCTATATCCATCTCTATCTCTATGCCCGGCACCATATCAGTCATTGGACATGGTTTTGGACATGGACATGGACATGGAACTTGGAACTGGCACCGGACTGCCTTGTCCAATTGCTTTTCAGCCGTTTTCGATTCAAAATTAGATTCGACTTTATTTTTTTATATACTTTTTTCACCATTTTTGGGCGTGTGCTTAGCGCGCTGTTTTCGCTTTTCATCGTTTAGCGTGCAGGGGCCTCTATAAGGCCACAAAGCATCGAATATTTTCCGTTCTTTAATTGGTATATGATTCTTGACGGTGGGAAAACTCTCGATTAAACTAAACCCGATGACGTCATGGACCATGAACCTTGTATTGGCTTGTTTTTGGAATTAATTGCCATATCAGGTAGCGGTGTTGATGAACTTTTGTTTAACTTTGATGGCGACTATCGATTGCATATAGTCTACAATTCTGTTGCTTGTTTTAGGGCTTTTTGGTGGGTTTTTTTTTTGACCTTGCAAGAGCAACAACAACAACAACAACTACGAGGTGGAAAAGGGAAGTTTTCTTTACAGGTGGAAGCCACAAAAGAGGATGATACCAACGGTCGACTTTGTAGGCAACAAATTAGGTTTACAAAGTTAAGAACTGTAAAGGGGGGTTAAAGAGAGCGCAAATGCAGGAAGTTTTATATTTAGCAGTCACGTTTCCCAAACCAAAAGTAGCAAATATTTATGTGTATTTCTTGCCAACAAATTCTTAAGTTTAGCTCTGTAAGAAGTAAATTAAATATTATGTTTTTAGCCTTAAGTTTCTAGCGAATGGATATGCTATATCTGGTTCTTTCGAACATCGAACGTTATTCTTATAGGCCGAATCCGAGGTTGCTGCTCTGAACCGTCGCATCCAGTTGCTCGAAGAAGACTTGGAGCGCTCTGAGGAGCGTCTGGGCTCTGCCACAGCCAAGCTGTCGGAAGCCTCTCAGGCCGCTGATGAGAGCGAACGGTTAGTACCACGTTTCTACCTTATGCCCATGCCCCTTTTATCCAAAATATATAATTACCCCCACTGTACCCAAATATGTAAAATAATTTTTAAGTTTACAGAGAAATATTTAAGTTCGAGTTATATATTTAATCGTATCTGTATATCATTCCGCATTGCTGCGATAAATTCAGGATACGAAAAGCGCTTGAGAATCGCACAAATATGGAAGATGACAAAGTAGCTCTCTTGGAGAACCAATTAGCACAAGCAAAATTAATTGCAGAAGAAGCTGATAAGAAATATGAAGAGGTATAGTCTATTATATTTATTCGCGGAAATTGGTCTCCGTTTTAGGGCATTAGGGTTATTAGGTTCTGCTCCTTGAGGTTAGGTTCACATGGTCAACATGGTACTTAACCAACTCTGCAACAACAACGACGACGATAACTGTCGTTATATATAATGGTCACTTTTATAATGATGGTGTATCTAAGTTAGTATGTAAGACTTTCTGTAAACAGCATTTAGTTTGCCCAGTTTGAAGATGTCGACCCGCCGCTGGAACTGGAACGCCATGGATGCTCTAAATTTTTGTAAAAATATTGTAAACTGATGTATAGGAAAGCATGTCCTACATAAGCTTATGGTAGTCTATTAGTAAATGGCTGTTAAACAATTAGATCTAGATAAAAAAGATCAAAAGATTCCCCAAATGTTTGTAATGAGACGAAGCTTAAAAAGTGTTTTTTTGGTTTGGTTTATCAAAGACCTTTTCATATTATGTACATCAACCAAATTGGTTGAATATCAATTTCCCTTTAAGGAAGCCAAACATTATTTAAGCTTCAAGCTTAACCCTTTCCGTCTCCCATAGTCTCTCCTCCCCCCTGTAAAATACTTGTTAATTGAGTAGAGAAAATCCGAATTGTTAACTCAACTGGCAACAACAAATTTCTGTCTCTTTTTACAACAACAACCACGACAACAACAATCAAACTTCCAACTCCAATATTCACATACCAAAAATGTATCTCTAAATGTGAATGTTTGTGTAAAACATCTGTTTGTCATAACAATTTGCAACAACCACAACAACAACTACACTGCACACCCAATGATGTGGACGATGACGTCGAATGATTCACATTAAAAACCCTTTTCGGCTGTACCAACTGCAATTCCACTGGGGAACGGCAAATCATCGATAACAACTTGGTCACTGTCTTCTATGGGCATGGTCGTCGCAACCGTTGGGATTCATATATATATCACTATATCGTATAGTGCTCGCAAGATTCTTGAGAACCGCGCCCTTGCCGATGAAGAACGCATGGACGCTCTTGAGAATCAGCTGAAGGAAGCGCGTTTCCTTGCTGAGGAGGCTGACAAGAAATACGATGAGGTGCAGCTAAAAACCAATTTGTCTTCTATTAAGCTAAGCAATAATAACAACAACAGTAACAGTAACAATATCAATATCAGTAAATCAGAGTTATGTAATGCCAACGCTATTGGTGGCACCAACAACAATAACGCATCCAGAACTATTGCATCTGCTGCTGTTGGTGAAGAGACTTCCACCTTGTCCTCCACAAGCCACGAACACAACAATAATCCCAATAACGACACCTGATCTGGTTCCTTTGTCAAGCGGTTATAAAATTGAATTGAATTGAATTGAGTTGATTGATAAAGGGGCTTAATTGCACCCAAAACTTGGCACAGGAATCAGCCAGAATGTTGATGCAAAACTTGTGCTTACCACGACGATTACGAATGATGCTTGAGGGCAGCTATAGCTTAGATCTAGACCTAGATCTTGCACCTACCGCCCGCCTGACAATATGCAATATATATATATATGTACGTGTATAGATGACTATGATAATGATGTATTTGTCGATGTACATACAATGTAAAACCAATCCAATGAAAATTCGATTGTAACTTGTGAACAAATCCACCCAGAATTTGGAAATGGCCCTAGCAAAGGCCAAAGCTTTTCCTCTTGTGTGTCTTTTAATTTGTAAAATACCAATTTAGGCATTATGTAAAGTAAATGTTAAGCGGTCCAAATGATGTCCACAACGTACTCTATTAATTGTACTCAATGCTCTTCCATGTGAAACAGCTTGAAAAGCATATCGCCTATGAATTGATTTTTATAAAACTTATGGAAAATTTGGGTTAATTTCTTCACTTTGTTTGTTTATTTCCATTCGATTTACGTAAATTGTGTAAAGAAAATGTAATTTATACTCACGTTATATGCATAAAGCAACCAACACACACCTTTAAATTATAATTAACCCAAGGAAGTGTCTAATTTTGGATTAATATTTTTTGCAAATTAATGTTTATATAACATATTATATACAAAGAAATTATATGAATACAAATATATAAATGCAGCATTAAACTAATTTGATATTATTGACCATTGAAAGGGAGCAGAGATCATATTTGGTTACTTCTTATTGTTGTACATTGTTAGGTGGAGTTTTTGGGGTTGGGATTGATTTTCTAGTTATGCTTTAGTGTTTATAAGGGTTAAGGAAAAGTATTAGAGGAAGTGACTATTAGGGAATCTTTTCTATTTCAGGTGGTATATAAAAAAATCTAAAGGAGTTTTTTTTTTACTTATTATGAGCCTTTCAGATCTTTAAACTTAATTGAAAAATCTACTTAAATAGCATTAATCAAAGACTGAAACTTGGGCTTAACCCTTTGATGGATGGACAGCCTATCTATGGTTAGAAAACTGCCACAGCCATTAAATCGGAAATGTCATGCTTAGCTGGGAGGTAGTAGGTTCTCAGCTCTTCCCTATATTAGGAGAGTTTGCTCACCTCACCCTAACCAAAGAGAGCTAGAATGCCTACGTGTTTCGCACGTCAATCTGATCGAAGAAATAAACCAACTGATAAACTGCATTGCCAGATAAGCTCCCTTTTTTTTTAGTATTGTTTTTCGCCATGGCTTCCTTATCTTTTCGCAGAAACTAAGGCAAAAGGCAACAATCGTTGTATGAAAAAATAAAAAATGGAACCCACAACTGGGACAGAGAGCGAAAAAAGAGTTGTTTTACTGGCGGCGATAAGAGAAGGCCGCTCCCCGGAATTGGGGATATTGGATTCGAGTAGCTCAAATAGTGGGCCATGACATAAGCGGCTAAAATTTTGGTTGCCAAAACGATCGATGATGCATCCAAGCGGGAGAGAGGTATTCACTTGACCCTCAGACGTAGGCCGATGGAAAGTGCCGCGTGAGTCAGTGGCAAGAAATGTGCGTGGAGGCACACGCTTACTCCCATCTGCAATCGTTATCTTTTCCAGTTAAAAGATCTGACGACACTTTAGTCATCTGGCCAATGTCTTGGTCCATTGTCTTTGGTGATTCATTGGGATCTCTTAAATGTAGTGAATGAAATTAGCATACAGCGGATATTAAAGTTAGTTTTTTTTGGTTAGCATGGCAATTAAGTTTAGTAGGCTTGAACCCAACATGGTTCAAAGCAATTTCCACAATGTTTGAAGAATATTTGGTTGGTATGTTTAAGATAACTGGTTTCTAAATTTAGACAGAAGTTTATACGGATACGATAATGGGAAACAGGTGGATAGTTTGTCCAAATATTTTAATATGGTATGTTTGGGTTTAAGATCTTTATGATCATGATTTCCGTTAATTTGGTCTCAGAAACAATAGTTAATTAATTGAGTTTGAATTAACATTTATTGCTAATATGGAGCTTAGTTAAATTTACTAGGAAATATTCAAGAAATAGGGCTTTTAGTTTCCTAAAAATGTACAACAATTTCGAAAGATGCAAATACTGAGGAACTCCGAAACATATTTCATGCTATATAAAGTTTTTGAGTACAACAAATAAGAGTATGGTTTTTAAGTATGGACATTAAAAACCCACGCGATAAGCACAAGTTTTAAGGGATAAACAACAATAACAATAAATTACACAAATTGTTTTGTTATTACTAAAATAAGCTAAGGCACCACACAAGACCATAAAAAATGAAAACACTTAACATCTCATTAAAAACTAATGAAAACTTCATCTAACACTTTTATGTTATTTCACTAAAGGAAATCTATGTAAAAACCATGAAATTTAATACATTTTCTATATATGTTCTCCTGTACACCCGACGTCCCTTGTATTATATCAAACAATCAACAATCAATCAATGAATCGATATGTAATATTGTATGAGAAAAGGTTGCCCGTAAATTGGCCATGGTTGAAGCTGACTTGGAGCGTGCCGAAGAGCGTGCCGAGCAGGGTGAAAAGTACGTTATAAGTCCAGATTTAAATATATATATTGTTCGAATTGTTCGCAGCCCGTCTGTTGTGCCTAATAAAAAAAAATCAATGTTGAAACTGCCGCAAAACAACCTAACCTCATTTTAAAAAAAACCCAAGCAAAAAATGCATTTTCCCCCTGTTGAGTTAAATTTTGATTTTGTTCTTGTTTTTTCTAGCTAGCTAGCTTTTGCCTATATATGTTTATAAATAATTGGTTAAAAATGTGAATATCCTAGTCAGATCACCTAATGTTTTGTATGATAAAAGCATGTTCTCTCTCTAATAGTTTAGATCAAACAGAAGCACAAACACAGAGCAGCTAAGCCAAGTTAAGAGTTAAAAGTTCTCATTTAGTTCCGCTGGGAATAAAACCCCAGGGTTCTGTTGCAAAGCGCAGTGTGACCTCTTGTTAAGGTGGGAAATAAAGTTGCAATGACCTGAAGTTGCAGGTCAATGCGCTTTAAGAACCGCTCCCCAAGATCACTGAACGTGGCTTGCACTTCGCAAAAAAAGAAAAGGAAAACAACTTGGAGAATTTTAACCTTTTTAGCCCAACTGCTCTGTGGCCATGAATCATGAATGAAACCAGCACAGTATTCACATTTTTTGCCAATCTGCAGCTTTAGCCAGACACAAAACTAATCTTGAAAACCTTTTTTCTATACCATCCATAACCCATGCCAAAACCAAACCAAACCAAACAAAAAAAACCAAAATCTGTGTACTTAACACAATGCTAACACCTTGCTACGCCCCCGCTATGCCATGCCTCCTGCCCTGGCCGAAAAGGTTGCCAGAAAACTCGTGCTCATGGAACAGGATCTGGAGCGTTCCGAGGAGAAGGTCGAGCTCAGCGAAAGGTTTGTCCACTGCCAAGCCCCCATCAAGCCTTCCATTCCATTCGATGTCTTTTTTACATTTTGTGTACTAACTGCATTTGGTTAAATATAATCCACGTTGGTTTCTTTGTGAGCGCAACTTAAGCCCGAGATATACAAATATTTATTTATAATTTCCATAGTTATAAATAACCAAAAAAAAGCCAAAATAAATGCCCCCAGGAGACGTCGGACCATAAAAAGTGAAATCTTTTGAGCTGTGCCGGTCCAAAAACAATTGTTATTATTATTACAAAAATATTTGGCAGACCTTCGCATCATGATTTGACGGTTTCTCGTCTCTTGGCCAACTCAACTTAACTCATCGCGCCTCCATCCATCCATTGGCAGCAGTCATAAGATCGTTTTTCGAAAGTGAAGTGTTGTCAACTTGGAGTTGGTCAACTGCTGGTTTTTTGGCATTCGGCACTCGGCCATAAATTGCGCTGGAAAAAGAAACATATTTATATTTAACAATTGCATGAGTTGTGCTATTCTTCTTCTTCTACTTCATTCCCAGCCTATCTATTGGCCAACTATTTAATTAACAACCTTTTTTTTCTGTCATTTCCTCTGCGTGCCAACAGCAAAATTGTGGAGCTTGAGGAGGAGCTGCGCGTGGTTGGCAACAACCTGAAGTCCCTGGAAGTCTCTGAGGAGAAGGTCAGTATCTTAATAGGTTTAGTTAGTCAACTTTTGCTCTTATGGAGTGTAATTTGAAAAAAAAAACATACTTAAATATTTCAATTGAATTCTTCATAAAATCCAACCACCCGAAAACCCCACCCAAACAATTCCCCACGAAATGAACAAACAACAACGATAAAAATATAGGCCAACCAACGTGAGGAGGAGTACAAGAACCAGATCAAGACCCTGAACACTCGTCTAAAGGAGGTAGATACGAAACAAAAAAAAAAACAGCCAAACTTCATGCCACAAAAAGTGGCCCAAAAGCAAAGAGAGCTTCCCAGCTCGAAATCCATGCGAAACGAGTGTCCAAACCAGCGAATATATATATACTTATTCTTTTGTTGTTGTTTCTCATTTTGTTTGTTTAACAAATAATACCCATTATGGAGGGGTATTCGAGACAATTGCCCCTTCCAAAAAAAAAGAAAAATGTCTACCGACATGATATTTGTTTACAGATCAAGCAAAATACCTTATTTTTTGCCATTTTTACTAATTTATATTTTTTATTCTTTCTTATTTTCATATATTGTTTGTTTAAATGTTGCCGCTAAAAACAAATGCCAATGCCCAATATTCTAATTTGCGCACCTGCTGGATGTTTACCACCTGATTACAAACTGATTTGTTTATGCATGAAAAACTTTATTAATTTATGTTTTAATACAATGCTTTTAACATAAAACCAAAACGCTTGCCAACACTGAACACCATAGGCCACACAAAAAGAGGAAACCTTTGAGACGCAAATCAAAGTATTGGATCATTCTCTGAAAGAGGTATTACGACAGAGTCGAACTATATATATTATCTATATAAGATGTGGTCTCGGTATATCTCTGGTGTTGGTTAATCAGCTGCTAATATATAAAATTCCTTTAATGCTAACTTAGTTTAAGCACTAAAAAAAATTAAACAAAAAAGAAAATATTGAATTGCACAAATCGTTATTCTCAATTTTTAATTTACTGTACATATTCGTCAGTCAATTCGACATTTAATATTTTCTTTTATGTGAAATTTGAAATCAAAACAACAAGAACGCTTTGGGAAAATACAGCAAAAAGGGAATACCTACAGCAAATTATAGGTTTTTAGATCAATATATCGATTTCTATATATATATATATATATATATATAGAGTGTACATCTTGGGCAAGTATCTGTGAATCATTCTCTTTCGTATAAGACGTGTGTGTGTACATTTGTTCAAAATTGAAAACAACTTTTTGTGCATTGATTGCAAGTGGAAAAAACAAAAAAAAAAAAAACAGTAAAAACCCATAGAAAATGAAGAGTTTTCCAATTTCCAATCCTTTAGCTATTTGCCTGATTAGTGGCGAAAGAAATAATTCTCGCTATGTAGTAGATCGAAATTAATTCAAAAAGATATATAAAAATATATATATTATTATATCGGTAGATATTTTTATATAAAAAAAAACAACAACTTACACCCCCTAAAAAAAAACAACAAACACACACACGCACACACAGCCACCCAATGTACGTGAAATTGATCTATTGCCAATAAATGATAATTTGTTGTATTTCCCTCAACGTCTAGGCACGCGTCAATCAAAAATATTACGAACAGGAGCTCATACAGTTCAAATTAAATGTAGAAGCTGTAAGTCGCCTCAGATTAATGGGCGTGTAGAGATTATATATAGATTCCGTCGAATCATAGATACAATCTTAACAGCATTTTCTGTTCTTTGATGCAGTGACTGCGTAGCCTCCACCAGTAATCCGTTGCTCTTAAATCATTCCCTTAATGACATTTAATTTGTCTGATTTAGGTTTTGTCTAAAAGCCCCAAATACACAAGCGTCAGCAGTTTGTAAGCATTCTAGTTTAATAAAACAAAAACAAAAATCAAATTATTTTTAAAGTTGTTTTTAAGTTGTTTTGAATGTTTTGTTAAAATGTATTTTATACTTTTATTAACTTGTTTCATTTGTCATTGTTCTTGACTAATGTTGTTCATCTGTCATGTACATTTTATTTGATAAGTTTTTCTGCTGGTTTTGGTAGCATATTTGGGAAGCTTCTTGGCTTAGTCAAATAATGGTTGAACCTAGATTCTGAATGTTATTTGGAAAGCTTTTCAGTTTTTTCATTCAGAATTTAAGTTCTGCAGTTGGTGGAAGTTGAAGGAATGCATCTGTTTCTCTTTCAACTTCTGCGTGCTGTGGTAGCCACTTTTTGTAGCCTTTCTCTTAATTGATTTTTGATTATGTTACTAACTTAATATTTTTTACCTTTTTCCCTCCTTCAACCAAAAGGCTGAGGCTCGTGCTGAGTTCGCTGAACGTTCCGTTCAGAAGTTGCAGAAGGAAGTCGACAGGCTCGAAGGTATGTCCGTCAAAGATTTTATACAAATATTACTGAGAATGTAGGAGAAATAGCTCAGAAACTATCAACTTTTCAATATCAATGTAGCAGTATTTTAAATTAAAGTACAATTTTATTAGTAACTATAAAGTTTTATGTTTGTTTTTGATGAAATCATGATTTTTAGTACAATAAGTAGGATCAAAATTAATTTCCTTATTCCAAATCCAGTACCAATTGTTATCTAGTGAACTATATGTACCTCGATTTTTATTTTATTTATGATTATTATCTATTATAATGCAAGATTTTTATAATTTGATTTTCTTATTGTTTACTTTTCATATATAATTTTGTTGTTGTTGTTATTGTGCTTAACAAAATACAACCTGCGCTGCTTGCTAAAAACCAATTGTTGCATGAAATGCCCCGCTCTGCCCTGCCCTGCCACACCAAACAAAAATCATTGATATCCCAGATGACCTGCTCAACGTGCGGGGCAAGAACAAACTGCTGCAGGAGGAAATGGAGGCCACTTTACATGACATACAGAACATGTAAACATCTAATTTGCTTATGTAAATTAACTAAACTGCCTGCTTTGACGTCAAACAACAAACAAACAAACAAACAGACAAAAAGAAAAACACCCACGCACACAAAACTGGCGCTTTCCATATATTTAAATACTAGAGAACACATCTCCACACCCACGCCAGGCCACGCCACGCCCACCACCCACACGAGACAAGATCCAAGGACGCCAAGTGTCTTCCATGCGGATGCGAAAGCCATCTTCGAACGCCAAGCAACGGGAGAGTTAATCAAAAATAGCGTTAAAACCACTCTAAACTCTAAACTCTAAACTCTAAACATAAACTCAATGAAAAAGCAGATGGACAGAGGGCAGAAACTAAAGCAAAACATTCTCGTAGCAAACGCATTCCATTCCAAAACGATTTACGATATCTATTTCGATATGTTTCCGATATCAATTGGGAAAAATCGAATTCGATTGACTGGCAGCTAAGGCCACATTTTACTATAACTGTTGCAATACAATTTCAAAATTATGATAAAAATTTCTAATTTTTACTTTGATTTTACACTTGCTTTTGCTACTCCCCCCCTATATACGTTGTTTGGTTTTGATTTTGAGAAAACCTTAAATTATACCTGTACTTTTGTATTTTTGACGAGATGTGACAAATTGGACAAAACATATTGCATTGCCGCCTTCTTTTTTTAGTTTACGTGTATTAAATAGAGAGACAAACAATCGCTGTTATTTATATTTAAAGAGTAAATTCTATGCTAAAACTTTGTATTTTGTCGCCAGCTTAACTGTATTAATAATATGCTAATGTTTACCTTGTTTATACATATTTAAACAAATTGTCGTGTTTGCAAAACGTTGTGTAATATTTGCCTACTTTTAAGTTGCCGCCACGCCAACACCCAACACCCAACACACAAAACACAAAAACTACTACTCTTTCGTTAGAGATTCCAAAAGAAAGAAAGAAAAAAGACAATTTAGCTAGTGCACATCATTCCAATTGCAAGTCGGACAATCGGTTACAACCGGTTAATAACCGATTCACATAAAGTTTTATTTAAAAAATAAAAAAAAAAACACAAACGAAAAACTATTTCCATACACACTAACCTATCTTCTGATTCTGATTCTGATTCTGAATTACACCGTGACACATGAAATGAAAACAAATGCTGCAACGAGAAATGGCATTTTAAAATTCTAATTCGATCTATTTACGATTTACATAAATTAATTATTTATACTTTAATATATACCTATACAATACATATACTATACAATACATACCATGCTGCTGCAATTGCACAAATAAAGTATTTTTTCGAAAAACGTATGCCCTGCCCATCGCATCGATCCGATCGTCCAGCGTTTAGTGTCTGCCCCCGATTCTGTGTGTGCCCCACTTACATTTGGCCATCACTGGAGGTTCTATCGCCCTGCTCTCTCTCTCGAATCTGCTCTAATCCGACTTTCTAACCCCTTGAACCACCACCAAAACACCAATACCACACCCATCCGCCGCTATGCCAGATGAGATGATCAAAGAGATTGAGCACTATGCCCTCGTTGGCGACCAGCTGGACTGGACTTTCGTGGAGATGATGGGCATGCCGCCATTCTACAACGAGCGCTACCCCAAGCCACCCACTCCGGAGCTCACCGAGGAGGAGAAGGCCGCTCTAGAGGCAGCTGCCATAGCCGAAGCCGAGGCTAAGGCTAGAGCCGAAGAATTGGCTGCCCGTGGTGAAGAGGCCGGACCGGAGGGCGAAGGTGGTGAACCAGTTGAGGGTGCTGCTCCCGGTGAACCTGGAGCACCAGCTGAAGGCGTCGAAGCCGCACCAGCCGAGCCCGTCAGGATTCCGACTCCACCACCACCACCACCATTCGAGTACTCCATCGATCTGCCACCAGAGGGTGCTGAGGTGCCATACGTGAAGAACGCCGAGCCTGGTGATTTCGCTCCTCCTGCAGAGGCTGCACCAGCAGAAGGAGCACCGCCAGCAGAGGGAGCTCCACCAGCGGAGGGAGCACCACCAGCGGAGGGAGCCCCACCAGCAGAAGGAGCTCCACCAGCAGAGGGAGCACCACCAGCAGAGGGTGCTGCACCAGCAGCTGCTCCCGCGGAGGGTGAAGCTGCTCCACCAGCACCTGCTGCAGATGCTGCCGCACCAGCACCACCGGCCGAAGGAGAGGCTGCTCCACCAGCTGCTCCTGCACCAGCTGAGGGCGAAGCCCCACCAGCACCACCGGCCGAGGCCGCTCCCGCCGCTGAGGCACCACCTGCTTAGAAACCCCTGAAAATGTTTATTTGCGATCAGTCAAAATAGATCAAAGGATCTCTAGAAGGATCTCGGCGTTCAAGAACTGGCCAAAGTGTTTTCCTTTTCACTAACTACTTCAAATCCTAAACTCCCAAAATAATATTTAATAATCCAAAAGCTGTAAATAAGATATAATGTATATAATTTCAAAAGTTGTACTTTCGAGATATTTAAGAATGTTATTTTGGTGTTTAGGGTTTGTGAACCTTTTCGCCTGCTCCTGCCCTCCATTTCTTCCTTCTGTTTCCCTTCCCTAAGCTTTTTAAAGTTTAATTTTTAATTTACGCTTCAACTTCCTTTTCACTTTTGATTTTATTTCTCTCTATACTCTATCCCCCGTCTCCATCGCTTGTATTGCTTTTCTCACAAAACTCCTTCGCATATCGATCCTGATCACGGTCTCCAGACGATCTTATCGTTGAAAAAGAGCGCTATTGCCTGATTGGAGACAGCTTAGACGAGGCCTTTGTCGATCTTATTGTGGGTCTGGAGCCCTTCTGGAATCCACGCAACCCCAAGCCACCGACACCCAAGCTGCCTACGCCTACGCCCGAGGAACTGGCCGCCATGGAGGAGGCACGAGCAGCAGCCGAAGCTGCCGCAGCTGCAGAGGCAGAAGCTGCAGCAGCCGCTGCAGGCGAACCAGGAGCAGAGGGTGAGGGTGCTGCGCCCCCAGGCGAAAAAGCACCAGAAAAGGAACCAACTCCACCCAAGGAGCCCACACCTCCACCACCACCACCGCCACCATTCGAGTACTCGATCGATCTGCCCCCAGAGGGTGCCGAAGTGCCATTTGTCAAGAACTACGAGCCACCACCACCCGGATCTGAGCCCGAGCCAGCGCCAGCTGCTGAAGGAGAGGCTGCTCCGGCAGCTGAGGGTGCTGCTCCTCCGGCAGAGGGTGCCGCTCCCCCGGCAGAAGGTGCTGCTCCTCCTGCAGAGGGGGCTGCTCCTCCTGCTGAGGGTGCTGCTCCTCCTGCTGAGGGTGCTGCCCCACCAGCTGAAGGTGCCGCTCCTCCTGCTGACGCACCGGCTCCTGCTGCCGAGGGTGAAGCTCCACCGGCCGAGGCTGCTCCTGCCGCCGAAGCACCAGCTGCCGAAGCTGCACCAGCTGAAGCTGCCCCCGCTGAAGCAGCTCCCGCTGCTGCCGAAGGCGAGGCACCACCAGCTTAATCCTAGCTCGACCAATCCCAGCCAGAAACTGCTGCACATCGCCGAAAGAAAAGAACACAACTGCTACCAAATGCTGCCCTGCTTTTAAAAACCTAAATTAAGCGCACGTTTTTTAAAATGATTTTATTTTTAAAATAACACGAAACGAAATTGAATTAAAAATTCAGTTAAAAGCATTGTAAAAACCAAATGCTGCTTTATTTTTGAGTTTTTGTGCCTTTTTTATTTATTTAAAATTAACAGCTAGCACAACTTTGCCGATTATGCGAACTCAACTGCTGGCTTTTTTATTTATTTTGCCCCAAAAAGAGGTAATTATTATCAGTTTTTTCGAGTGTATAATTTTAAGTGTGAAGGTCTCAGTTTTTGTGTTAGGTTTTCAGTGTAATTTTAATAATTTCTTATACATTCTTTATTAATTTATGTTTTTTAACTCTTGCGTTCTTTTATGATTTGTCATACACCAACTTGAACAGACGACCTTGTCCTGGAGAAGGAGCGCTACAAGGATATTGGAGACGATCTCGACACCGCCTTCGTCGAGCTCATCCTCAAGGAATAAGCGAACCGACCGTGACGGCCCCTCCAACTCCCCAGACCAAAATCGATCCACACTACTATTTGGGTGGCACACCTTTCGAATGTTTTTACTGTAGCATACTTGTAGGCGCACTGCACTCGTATTTCGTAGAGCCTATAGAACTTTTGATTTGTGTGTTTGTGTAGATTAATAGTTAGTAGATTGATTTTGACTGCGGACCAATAAGAGGAAGCAGCGAAACAATTGTGTATTTGTTTGACTCAAACGTTTTTATTTATTATTTGTATGCAAAAACTAAGCAATAAAGCAATCAACTTGAAAATATATATATATCCTTATACATTTGTCAATTTTATTTCGTTTACTTACGCTGCAGACGAGGTGAGCAAAGGTAAGGAAAAGTACAAAACTATTGCCCAGGAACTGGAGTACGCCGATCTGAACAACTATTAAGGGAAATCGAAGATAACTCCATGAGGGAAATCGAAAAGCAACAACTACAGCCAGAACAACAAATGCAGCCTGCGATCTACAAAAAAGAAAAACTACAAAAAAATTATGGAGTCTGAAAGCATTTCGACGTCCAATTTACAAATTATTTTTAGCATTACACTTCTTTGCCTAAGCATTCCCAAAAAAAACAACAAACTTTCTTACATAAACAAAAAAGCAAGAATGTTAAAGTAATTTCTTAGCAATTATTTAATACAATTTATATGAAACAAAAAAAAATTAATAAGAGTTGTGTAACGAAAATCAGCTGCCATTGTCCTTGAAAATAAATTTCCATTTAGAAAAACCATCTAAACTTCTTTTATAAGAAAACCCCAGAAAGCCCACCAGTCAATATCTTACATAACCATCTTTATAGAACTCAGTATAATGCTTGAGCCAGAGTCAATTTTCATCTTATTTTCCGTTGCTTGTGTTTCTTGGCAGTTCGCGAATTGTATCTACAAAATTTCTATGGCCTTTGTATAAGATTAATTAACAAAAACAAAAAGGAAAAATAAAAAAATAGAATATATAAAGGAAGACGTATAAATTAAATTTACACATTTGACATAGCTTTTGTAATTCTTGCAATATGCAAATCAAATAAAACAATGTATGTATTTTTATTTAACACTCAATATTTTTATGATCAATAAACAGAAATCATTCTTTTGCATATAACAATTTGAAAATGCGACTTTTTATTAAAACGGGTCTAATTGAGAAATTAAAAAGAAGCATTAATGGCCAATTATTAAAATGGAATATCAAAAAGGCGAAAATTTTCAATAAATTGAATTTCCGAATTCGCAAAAAAAAGTTGATGGGTTGTAAATTTCGTCTTTGACTTAGCTCTAGGACTTGTTTTGGCTGATTTATGGTATAAATACCAGGAAAAACAAAATTTTGTAGTTAGGCTTTTTTTTTGCAAAAATTTGACCTGCGAAAATTTGGCAAAATATTAAATTTTCGAATTCAGCCAAAAAAGTCTATGGTCTATGTTTATAGTTTAAAAACCTGGAACAATTTACATTTTATTTTCAAAAATTGATGAACTTGATCATCAACTTAATACGCCAACCTTTGAGTAACTGCTTGCAAACCTTATAGTTAGGAGAAAGGTCGCTATGGTGCCAAAATACGATTGTTCCTTTACTATAACTCCAGAGATAGTGACTAGGATTGACACTATATGTTCATTGTATATTGTATTTTAATATATTTTTGCAATAAAACAAATCCTTAGACTTTTCGTAGATCTTCCTTCTGTTTTTTTTTTTTATCTAGGCAGAAAATGAATCTTAGGTTTTACTGGAAAAGTGATATTTTAGTATAACGTTTTAGGTTAATAAAAAACAAGTATCATTCTTTAGCAATTCAGTTTTCTCAGTAAATGTTGAAAATAATTTTCGTTAGGAATATCAGGTTTTCCAGCCATAGCTCTTTAAATTTATAAATACATTTTGAGAAATTAAAAATCACAATAAAACCGAAAGGTTACGTCATAGTCGTAATTTTTTAAAAGAATTATAGTTAATTAAACTATCAGAATACATTATTGACAGTTTGTATTTTTTAATAAAAATAATAATTGAATATTTTACAGTGTTTAGATTGCCAATATTAAATAAGCTATTGCAAAGAATAATTAGTGGATTAAATATCTATAAATTAGGCATCGTTTTTTAATATAGATATAGTCTTTTATTAAGTGATGCTTTAACTTGATTCTAAAGATTTTATTTTTAAAAAAAATTGAATTCAAAGATATATTAATAAACAATGTAAGGTAATGAAACTTTTAGATTCAAAAAATCCACTGCAATGGACTGTTTACTTCAAAGATTTGGGATCAATTATCTAGCAGCCTTCGCATTCGAGACTTTCGAAAGCAAAAGAACGTCAGGAAAACGATGGCCGATCAAAATTCCAAATATTTCTCAATATTTTTTTACCGAGCGAAAATAGATTTTCATCTTGTTAGACTTTTGCTCTTGCTGCTTTTCGCTATTTATAGAAATGTATCTGACGGATACACATACACGGCAAGAGTGCCGAGGGTAAAAAAATAAATTGAATTTAAATTTAAGAAGGAGAAAGAAAACAAAAACGCATAAATTTCATGAGAATGCAGCAAGAGAGAGTCGAGAAAATGTAGCTTTTCAGGGAAATTTCGAGGGAAATTTTCGAGATGGCCAAGCAAAGTTGCGAAAGCGCTTTAGCTTATATATTTTTATTAATGGGAAATTTTTGAGGCGAGAAATTATTCAATACTGCGTTGGTGTGATCCTCATATATGTGTGAGTTTTTCCGATTGCCAAGCTCTTTGCTTATATATATATATATATGTGTGTTTGTGAGTTTTTCAGTTTTTCCGAGTGGCAGTGTGCGTGTGCGTTGGATCTTGGGGTCGCTTTCTGGGCTAAGCAACTTGGTCAGCATCAGTGTTCTCGGGGTTTCGACAGCGTATAGTGTGTTTGAAACGCTAAGGTTGGTCACGCCAGGATTTTCACCCGACAAAAAAATCAACTAAAAAATAATATAATTTAATCAATCGCCTTTGCTGCTAACCAAATTGGTATTTTCAACTGATTTCGAGTGGATAACCAAAATTGTGAAAAGTGCATTGCATTCAAAATGCATGGAAAACTACAAATTTTCAATTTTCCCTTATCAAAAAAGGGAAAAACTTAATAATAAATCAAAAATAAATGTGCATATGTATATGTGTCGAGCATTTTAGAACAAAAAAAAATATAATAAAAAAGTAAAATCAGTGATAAAAATTTAATCCAAGTGAGAAATACAAAAATCGAATTTAATATCTTAAAAAAAGATTTAAAAAAAAACTCCTTTGAAATGGAAATCTTATGATTATTTTTCGGACATTTTCAAAATTCGCTTATAAGGAATTTTGTAACTAAATCTGACGGCACCAATACCATCTAAAAAATATCTGTTTCTGTGTGAGAGAAAATCTTTTTTGCACACACACATAAGCATCGTTCGGAAAGCTCTACACGAATGGGACACTTATACATATGCACTTTACACACCTATTGGCACGCACAATTTTCACACACTAGCCATTAAGTTTTCCTCGAAGAAAATTCTTTAAAATTAACTGCAGACAGACACCTGCCTGTCACACATAGACACACACAAACACACATACTTAACCATTTATTTTTAACTTTCCCTGAAACTTATACGAAAAAGCTTTTCCGTTCAGCTTTTCGTGATCTCATAAAACGAAGGCAGTCCGAAAATCGTAGGTATTTATCCTTGAGATTGTTTTTGTGATGGGGGCGAGAGAGATATTTTGGAAAATATTAGAGATTGAGACGATTCCCAGATGTGGGATACATATCGTATATATCTGGGTATATATATGAAGATATGCATGGTATAGACACCCACACGAAACGGATTTCAGAACAAATATTTTCTTGCCATTTGTGAATGATTCCGAAGGCCACACAATTTGCTTACTTATACAAATTTAAACTAATTGAAAAATTAAGTACTTTTGGCACGGAAAATAAGATAAAAAGACTTTAAGGGAAGATCTTGGGCTGTCAAAATTCAAGTATTTAAATTTCCAAATTTCACAATTAACCCAAAAGATGTATTAATATAACACGCAAATAGCTTTACCTATCATATGCCACCCATATCAATATACCATTTTCCTACCCCATAAATCTCCATAACAATTTCCCCCCTTTACCTATACTGATAGCATTTTGGGAACAAAGTATCGAAAGACCTCCAAAAGATCAGCATCTACAACATAAATGACTTTGTCCCACTTTGGGTGGAAGCAACATAGATACACCAATACAAACGTACACACACCCACGCACCAAATGACCCCAAAGAATTGAAAACTTTTCAAATTGCAATCTCTGCGTATGTCTCTCTATTTGTGTATGTGTTGGGTATTTCGAAATAATAGGGGGAAACTCTAGAATTACATTTAGCAGACAATGTCCAAAAAAGCATTTCTCCTATGCGTATGTGCGAGTGGACTGGATATTTTCTTTTCTCACATGCAAAAGCATATAAAGTTTATTTTTAAACCAACAGAATCGTGCAGCAAATAAATATATAGCTATACCGCCGGATCCGGATTCGGATTCGGATTCAGGAGTGGGCGTTTTTGAAAATGGAAAATGAAAATTACGTGAGATCTTATAAACGCTCGGCGTAGCCAAACAAAATGTGTTTACATTTAAATTTTCAAATTTATTGCACTGATATACATATGTATGTATGCATAGTACATACATATATATATGTACATTTATGTATATATATATACCCATATAGACTATAGCATATAGAATGCGCCTGGAGCATTTGGATAAACCGATTTTCAATTGCATATGTGGGAGGCTTGAAATTACCAAGTGTCAGGTGAAATATGGAAGGGGGATATAATAATGTTTATAAATCTATAGTTAAGAGATAAGTTTTTAGAAAATTTGGGAAATTTTTAAGTTCAAAAGATCGGGAATTTATAAAATAATCATTAAGGATGCTAATACACTGATTTTAAGCAATTTTCTTTGCAAATCTTCTAAGAATTTAAACAAAATTTAAAAAAAAAAACAAAATGTATTCTAAAAACGGCACCCATATATTCATTATTTTCAAAGGTATTAAATATAATTATTCTAAAGTTTTTGAAAACTGAATTTCACTTTTCCTGCTTTGGCAACTTACCATATTTAAGGAAAAAATGTTGTTAAGAAACCATTAGCCTTCTATACTAATCATAATACTTTTCAACAGTGCTTTTTTCCAGTTTTCTTCCCTTCTAAGCCAACAACAAAAACACAAACACCATGGACGCCATCAAGAAGAAGATGCAAGCGATGAAGCTTGAGAAGGATAACGCCATTGACAAGGCCGACACCTGCGAGAACCAAGCCAAGGATGCCAACTCCCGCGCCGACAAACTGAACGAGGAGGTGCGCGATCTGGAGAAGAAGTTCGTCCAGGTGGAAATAGATTTGGTTACCGCCAAGGAGCAACTGGAGAAGGCCAACACCGAGCTGGAGGAGAAGGAGAAGCTCCTGACCTCCACCGAGTCCGAGGTGGCCACCCAGAACCGTAAGGTGCAACAGATTGAGGAGGATCTGGAGAAGTCCGAGGAGCGCTCGACCACCGCCCAACAGAAGCTGCTGGAGGCCACCCAGTCCGCTGATGAGAACAACCGTATGTGCAAGGTGCTGGAGAACCGTTCCCAGCAGGATGAGGAGCGCATGGACCAGCTGACCAACCAGCTTAAGGAAGCCCGTATGCTGGCTGAGGATGCCGATACCAAGTCCGACGAGGTCTCCCGCAAGCTGGCCTTCGTTGAAGACGAGTTGGAGGTGGCTGAGGATCGTGTCCGCTCCGGCGAGTCCAAGATCATGGAGCTGGAGGAGGAGCTGAAGGTGGGTTTTAGTTGTATTCATGAGATTCCATTTTTTGGATACGTAATTTTATAGTAAACTCAAAAACCGATTTTCTCATCATTATCTAATACATTTCCGTATTTTACACACTAGGTTGTCGGCAACTCCCTGAAGTCCCTGGAGGTTTCCGAGGAGAAGGCCAACCAGCGCGTGGAGGAATTCAAGCGTGAGATGAAGACCCTCTCCATCAAGTTGAAGGAGGCCGAGCAGCGCGCCGAGCACGCCGAAAAGCAAGTGAAGCGCCTGCAGAAGGAGGTCGACAGGCTAGAGGGTATGTATCGCACACCTTACCCTTCCAGAGCACCCACTCAGCCATCTCCCGAGGAGTTATCTCTCCACGAGACACCGGAGATGATGCTGTCCATCGGAAATGATCAGACTCGATCAGCCGATTGGCTGGCTTCAACTAATGCTCGCATTGTATTATATATATATATAATCGCCATAAGGATATTAATACGTTTATTTAGTACTCTGCTTTCATTAATTGACGTTATACATCCACCCATTTCGCAATCGCCCTCTTTGATTATCTTGTTTATATATTTGTATAAATGAACAACGAACAAAATGCTTTTTGCAGACCGTCTCTTCAATGAGAAGGAAAAATACAAAGCAATCTGCGACGATTTGGACCAGACATTTGCCGAACTTACTGGATATTAAGAAAACAAAAGATCAAAACAGAACTCACACAGAGCCCCTTCCCCAAAGAACAAAAAAGACAAAAACACTTTCAGTACATCCCAGAAATCCTCCACAGTTTATTATACTTATATATATACCATTATTTTTTGAAAGATCCCCCGAACAATTTCAGTGTATTTACCACCCATCCCACCCACACTTCTGTCACCAACCTTCTCTATACACTGTAAATAATCTGTTTAGTCTCGCTTGAATGTGACCACACCCACACAACCAGTTCCCTACGCCAGTACCAGTACACTGTAAAAATAAGTTCAGATCAAGCCAAAAACCAAGTTGCAACTGTAGTTAATACAGGTGAATTTATCAATGTAAATATTGTTGTTTGTATGCCAGATTCTTACCCGTTTTGATGTGGCATGACCTCTTGACCCAGAATCTCGCCTGCCCAGAATCTCAGCACTCAGATCAGCGCACTCTATCTCAATCTATATATCTATGTATCTTTCTGTTCTCAACGATCACCTCTATGTCCAAGTCCCGCGTCATTCAATGGTTTTCGAGCTGATTTCGCCAGGCCTTGGTTGAGTGATACTCTCTCATACTCCGCACAAGCCAAGGATGTCTGCAACGATTGGTTGGATAGATCATGGCTAGATCCCGTAGAGCACCCTCATAGATAACCCCCAAAGCCCACGCACAGAACCGCTGACTAACTCATAAAATAGAAACGCCTGCCAGAACAGCGCGCCACTAATCCGAGCCAAGGCTCCAATTTATAGAATCTATCAACTTAACTATATAGCACCGATATCTTTGTTAAGTTTGTAGAATCTTTTCTACAACGATTTCGCACAGTGTAAAGTTTAAGTGTTTTGTTTTCGATTCAAATGTTGCTGTGTGATAACAATAAGAGTTTCAATCATTTTCTAACATTCTTTTCAAACATAATTTACACTCCGCAGACGAGTTGGGCATCAACAAGGACAGGTACAAGTCCCTGGCCGACGAGATGGACTCCACATTCGCCGAGTTGGCTGGCTACTAAGTTGGCCATTTATAGTCCCAAGAACCAAAACCACAACAACAACATCGAGCAGCAGCGGAGGAAGATGGAGACAACGAGGAACTCTACTAATTGTAAACGAATATCTCAGATTGATTTTGCTAGCGACAAGAACAGCAGCCTCAGATACCAAGAACAACATCCATTGTGTATACAATTCTTTATAAATCTATATATGTCATAATAAATAAATAACAACAACAACCAGATCAACAACAGCAACAAACAACAAGCATAGATTGTGTAGAACCAAGGATGAAAGCAAACGTAAATTCTTTTATTTTATAAAAAATAAAATTATCTAAAATTAAAAAGTAGCAGAATGTAAAAAAAAACCCAAAAAAAAAAACAAACACGAATTTTGTATTTTTAAAGCCAATGTTTAAAAATATTAAGAAGCGCTCTACAGCCAGGCAATACGAGAGATAGAGATAGAGAGAGTGCCCGAGAAAGAGACAGGGCCATAACTAAGATTTTAAGAAAAAAAAGCCTGCTTCAATTTGAATTTATATCTTACAATTACACAACAAACTACCAAAAAAAAAAAAAACACCTACAAAAAAAGTATAAAAAAATTTATAAAACTTTGCTAAAAAAATTATATGTTTGATGTTTGCTTTTAATGATGCATAAATCTGATTTTCTTTGCCCGTCAGCGATCTCCGCTGAAATTTACCAGAAATTTTTTGGGTTTCAGGCGGAATTGGCGGTTATGCAAAGTCGGTTTCGGTTTTTTCAATGATATATTAAATTTTTCATTTTTTTTTGGGAAATCCCATGGATGCTGAACCGAAATAACCAAAGTTCGAAGTGCGTCATCACTTCAACATCATCGACGATGGATCACGATCCGCAAATCGAGGCCTTCATTGCAACATCGTTAACATCCGCTAATTGTCAAAGCAATGAATAATGAAAGTTCAGATATTTGTATATTCATTCATATATATCTTCAGGGTGAATTCAAGAGATCTCTAGCAGATATGTGGGCAGTTCGTTGTTTGACCATCGATAATCCAGTTAAGGCCGAGTTCGTCATGGGGGTCTGGCTCTCTCGGCCAAATGGATTCACCCAGTCTGAGGCCTTTCTTATAAATTAGACTTTAATTTCCCCGCATCTGTCCACCGGCTCTTTCTCTCCGCCTTCTCTCGCGACGTGGTGCCATAAAATAGTTATTAAAACTTTAAGTGGTCTGTTAAATTGCACACTAAAAAGCTCCAGTCATTATTTACATAATTTACATTATGGTATAAATGCTGGATGGTATGTTAATCTTAAAGAAAGACCTTTTTCAGGTTTTCATCAGCTAATATCAAGTTACTTATGAAGTTCTGAGTTTGAAAAGACAAATGTCTCAAATTGAAATGATTTCTTTATTTCTTAAAGAAACTAATGAATAATTGAAATTTTAAATTTATGGGAACTTTCTTATAGAAAAGGGATTAATAACTAATCTAGATCTTAAATATATATATATGATATATATATAATCATAAGAGTGAAAACTTAAAACTTTTAAATCGTCTGAAAAGCTACTTTCTTAGTACATAAGTAAAATAAAAATCCAGAGAGTCTCTATTCAAAATTTAAACATGTCCCACCCAGCACAGCCAACTCTATTTCTTAAGATCATTAGTTTTCGCTTCAATTGACAGCCCCATAAGACCCGTCAATTACCTAAGTCTGGGGCCAATTTGATGGAGTGCAAACAGTGGGTCGGGCCACAAAAGCTGCGAGAGAAACAGTGATACCGATGAAAAGCCCAATGACTTACATTTGCCATGAGCCAAGCGAAGGAGAAAGTGAAATTTTGCATTTCTCGGCGGCCGGCAGCAGCAGCAGCAGCCACACCAACAACAATGGGTCTGGGCCATTGCCATTAGCGGTGAGCGGTATGGAGAGACCGCAGACCACATTGGACGACCGTCTGCAGGCCCAAAGTCAAGCTCAGACTTCAGTCGTGGTTTTCAGCTCGACGCAAGCGAACGGACGTGCAAGAAAATCGGACGCGGCTTAAACCGCACGTAAAACGCAACGACGAAATCGAAAGTGATTAGCGCGCGACTTGAATCGCCAAGAGTTGAGTGCTTCGAGAGGCGGGGGCAATATACCCATCCGTAAACATTACGTGTCACGATGCCGCCGGCTGTCCAACAATTCCGGCTTGCAGCCCTTGTTTATCTGACATTAAGTCTGGGACTCTTATGCAATGCCAGCGATGGTGAAACTAGGCAAAAATACGCCAATGAATCACTCGCAGACGCAGATGCTCCAGTATGGTCGCAATTTCTCGAAGATTACGTTTTGAGGTGGGTGTCAAAGGAATACCTAGGAAACGTATTAATGCAAATCTTCCCTCGCATTTTATAGCCAAGGTAGCAGCAGCGGCAGCCAGCGAAAGTCCAAAGATCTCCCTTATATGGGAGGGGATATGGGCATTAATGGTCCGCTCAACTATCACTCATCCGCCTACAAACGACCAGGCAATAACATATACATAACCAGGAGAATCGGAGAAGCAGTGGAACTGGAGCCACATCTTCGAAAGCCAGTGGAGAGTCAGAGCCCCATTGTGAATCCCCAATTCCGACCAATGACTAATCAAATGTTGCACCAACAACATCAACAGATGCAGCAGCAGCAGCAACAACAACAACTACAGCAGCAACAGTTGCAGCAACGCCAGCAACCTGGTTTCTTGCAGCAACTTTTTGGTATAGGTGGAGGCAGTACCGGGGGTGGCAGTAATCCTTCCCAACAACATGTTCGCCCAGTGCCGCTGCAGCAGCAACAATTGCAGCAGCAGCAGCAACACCCGCAACAGCAGCAGCAACATCTTATAAGCGGTGGTGGCCAACCAACCACTTTCCGAGCTGTATCCGAGAACGATCTCTATCTTCTGGGAGCTATTGAGAAGTTAGTTTACCGAGTTGGTAAGTTTGAAGTCGAATTCTTGTTTCAAAAATTCGACGAACAAAACAAAAACCTTTTCAGATTACCTGGAAAGTCGCGTTCGTCGTTCGGAGCAGCTTATATACTACCTAATGGCTGGGAACAATCAAAAGGAGGTGAAGGATCCTTGTCCCACGAACTTCACCCGCATCAGCGACAACTGCTACTATATCAACAGCCAGCAACAGGTGAACTGGAAGACAGCCAACTCAGCCTGTAAGGGATTGAACTCGCACTTAGCCGAGTTTGAAAAGGTCTCGGAGAATGAGGAGATCATGGCCTATCTGCTGAACCAACCCGCCCATAGGGGTCGCGATTACTGGCTGGGTGGTCTTAACCCTGGACTTCTCTGGATCTGGTCCAATTCGGCCAAGCCAGTGAATCCGAATATGAATCTTACGTCCATTGCGATGGCACAAAAGGGTGAGAATTCCACTGCTGCCAATCTGGTTGACAGTTCGGAGCAAGCTGCAGAGGAGGCGGCCGGTGAGGATGTGCTGAACAATACGGTTCAGATAGAGGGCAAGGGTCGCTGCCTACGGCTGAGTTACAATGCCGGAAAGCACAGCTATGTTTATTACGGACAGGAGTGCACCTCACGGCACTACTACATCTGTGAGCATGAGGATAAGACGCTGGACAACAAGATTAAGAAGATCACCCGCGAGCTAAAGCTCTTTGAGTGAGGATGGGATCCAATCCAATCCGATCCTCATGTGATACTTCCAGTTACCTAGCCATATTTATCGCTTAATTTCGAATGAATTTATTCTTGTGTTACACATTAAATATTTATAAATATTTATACAATTAATAAACATATCTGATAGTTTTCAAAACGTTTTAAGGATACTTTGTTCTTGCACAGCAAAGCTTTAAAGGATTTAACCAACGAAAATTAACAAAGAAAATAAACAAAATCGAAATCGGAACTGGGTTCCGATGCTATAAGCGGAAAGTATACACAGAGATCGAAACTAGTCCGGATAAAGGTAGTCCTGCAATATGTTCTGAAATGCTATCTTTATCTTGCCGCGATCGCGCCCGTTCAACTTTTGGATGTCGGGCAGGAGGCTCATCAGAAACATGGCATCCGGATCGGTCTTGCAGTCGCACAGCTCCACACCACCATTGGACAAAGGTCCGCTTGACGAGTTACTTGCTTCTAGGCGCAGAGGAAGTGATGACGGAGGCACCTGTTGATGTCCACCATGCACATGGCTGTGCCCATGCCGTTGACTTAGGAAGCTACTGCTACTGCTGGCATTACCGCTACTGCTGGGTGCAACGGAAGTGGCAACTGCGGCTGTGGATGGTGTAGGCAGTTCCATTTCGGGTAGTCCATTAGATACTGGAACTCCACCGCTGTGCGTTGTGGTACTGACCAAATCGACTGGTTTGCTGAATGTGGGTCGCACAAAAGAAATATTCGGATGGGCAGCCGGCTGTGAAACGAAGTTAACCCCGGACACAGCTGCAGTAGGAGCTTGAAGCTCTTGAGAACGCGGACGAACAGCGCCACGCATATCGTCGTGATACGCACGCATTTGCAAACGACCCAAGTGCATTCGGCTGGCATGTGGCTGTTGGTTGACATAACGACGCTGTGCCTCCGCCGTCGATGAACTAGAGGTGGGCGCCATCTTATTTAGGTGGTCATGGTCCTCCTGCTCATCGTCATCTGGCTCATGCGTCTCCTGTTCGTAGTCATCTGCCGGCTCTTCACACTCCGACTTGATGTCGTTACTGTCCAACTGGCTATGGTAGCGGATGTTGCGCTGCTGTTCCTCTTCCATAATGTCCTCCAACTCGGAGTTGTTTTGCTCCGCCTCATCGAAGTAATCCAGATAGTTGTCCAGCTGTTGGGCCGGTGGTGACTGATGGGCGGAAGGCGTAGGCTGGCCAACACCGCTGCTACTGGCCGGGATCACTACCGATCGCTCCCGTTGCATACGGCTTGACAGACTGGAGAGGTGCGCCAGAGCGTCCTGCACCTGAGTGTCCAGCGATTTGGGCTGCTGATGCTTCTTTCGCAGATAAGGATGCAGAAAGAACATGCGGTCAAAATAGGACCAGCAGGGCGGCACCTTCTCCTCCAGATAATTGGTGTACTCCCGCCGGAACGAGATACGCAAATTTGTCCACTTCGCCAGACTTGCGCCTGGATTTTTCTCCAGCTTTAGGTCGACCTCGCGCCAGAAGTTCTCTACATACGGCCGGCAAAAGTAGTATTTGTGGCGCGGATTGTAGATGGCCTCGTCGCGCTGCACTATGTCTATCAATTTAAAGACCTCCTCCGTTAGCCAGCGGGATGCACTGCAGCTGGCGTTTGGATTGCTGGACACAAACTGGCTGCCCCCGAAGTCGGTCGTCATCATGGGTGCTGTGGCTTCAAGGAAATCGGTGCAATGGATTCGCTTTCAGATTACTTCTTCAGCACTCGCCATGACTTTTGCGAAATATTTTTATTGTTTTTCCCAAGTGTTCTTTTAAGTGCTGTAGCTGGCTCCGCGGCGAACGAAACAGGCGGCGGTACTAGTTCCGATGCGCAAAAGCTTTCCTGAACTATTTACGTTTATGCAGGTTCAAATAACAAATTAATATAATTAGTAGAAAGGTTCGTTAGGGGCAACTAAGTTTCTTCAAACAGTTATACTTTATAAAACTTTGATATCAGGATTGTAAAAAAAAAAATCATACACGTGCTGCAAGTTAAAAGTATTTACATGGCGGCAAATCGTGTTTGTTTTCAAATTAAACAAATTATTATCAGACGCTTGACTAGTCCAACAGTTTTAAATAAGTTTCGCGCTCCATTCAAAGAAAAGTTGAGTGTTTACGCAATTGGCTCTATTTTTGAGATTCAATTTTTATTAAACCGGAACCCCTGCGGACCTCTACCCTGCGGCCATGCTCCGCCAAAACTCTGTGCAGGTGGACCTTGCGGCAAAAACCTAAAGTTCTACAAACAGGTTAGAGCTCTTTCTCAAAATACTAATAAAGTATAAGATAAACTATTATAATAAAAACAACAAGATTGAAATCGAAATCAAACTAACGGTAAATGTTGATATAACCTGAACAAAAGTAAACAAATCCAAAAATAACTAATTCCAGGAGCTCGTTACAATCTCGTTGATTCTGAATATGGTATTTGCTAGTATATTTTTAAGTTAACTATGGGCATTTTTGGATGTTTGAACTTTGGTCACACCACAACACTTTGGATTTTATTTTCTGTGTGTTTTTCCAGAATTTCCTCCGATTGAAGCTCTAAGCTCTTGTTGTTTTTCCGCAAATTATGTGCATCCACATGTGAATGCAACAAAGCGCGATAGTAAGTACAAAATGCCGCTTACAGAAAAGCGACAAGAGGAAAACATGAGTACGGCGAAAGCTCGGTAGACCACAATGTGGCACACATTCGCACACAAACAATAACAGATATCTTGCGAGGGAAATCATAACAAAAAACGTTAGCGAACACGGACTATAACAAAGCTGCCAGTCATTGAGGCAATCCTGGTTCCTGCCGGAGTGGTTCCGAAAGTGGGCTATGATTTGGAGGACGTGACCTGCCGCAGGAGTAGTCTTACACCTCACGCATGCACACTGAAGCCACAGCAAGAAACCCAATAATTGGCAAACATCTCGCTTAACAATCATGTGCCCCTACTCCATTAATTGAAGTAGTATTATTTCGCAAAAATGTTGAATATTGTAAAAGCCCAACCCCCATTGATTTTGGCGCGCTCAAAGTAAGCATCTACTTTGCAGGAAATCACTGGAATTTGATGCCCTACCCTCAGGCATGGCGGTCAAGGTGCAATTTGAAATTGGCCACACGTCGAAGCTGCGCAGCAAAAAGACACCGCATCCGCAAGCCTTTACTCACGACTGGGAGATTTACGTGCAGGGCGTAAACAAGGCAGACATCAGTGCCTTTGTGGAGAAGGTAGTATTTTTGCTGCACGAATCATTTCCCAAACCCAAACGAGGTAAGTGTACAGTTTGTATACACAGTTGAAGAAATCTGTTCATTATTGTATCATATTTACAGTGGTCAAGGAACCTCCGTATGCCATTCAGGAGTCGGGTTACGCCGGCTTTCTGCTACCCGTGGAAATTTTCTTTCGCAACCGGGACGAGCCCAAGCGCATTATTTACCAGTACGATCTGGATCTACAACCGACGGGTCCACCACATCACCGCGTCGAGGTGAAGACGCACATATTCGAGGCTCCGTCGGAAGAGTTCCGAGCGAAGCTGATGCGCGGCGGTGGTGTGCCCGTTTTTGGTGCCAATATTGGTGCCAGCAGTCTTACCCGAACTCTTTCTCCCAGCGTTGGAAGTGCCGAGACGCCACCAAACAATGAGATGGCTCTGGTGAAATCCAAAGGTGTACCTGGTACAATCTCTTTAAACGTAGATCTGGGCACCGGAAAAAAACATAAGTCTCGTAACGAGGATTCCGGAAAGAGCAACGCATTCTCTGCGCTTTTTGGCCCGCCCATCACGAAGGGTAGCGCAACGGCCAATAACATGGCTTTGGTCCCCGTCTCTAAGCATTCGCCGGAAGTAAAGACTATGGCAGTTAGCGGAAAGGGCGGATCTCATGAGGGCAAAGAAAAGGCAAGCAAGGATAGGGATAAATCTAGCGGTGGCGACAAGCCTCGGGAAAAGGACAAAAAGGATCGTCATGGCCGTGACAAGGACCGCAAATCTAGCAAGTCCGGCGACGGTAAGCACGACCGCGATAAGGAAAAATCCAAAAAGGACAAAACCCGCGATAAGGAACGTGATCGCGAGCAAAGCTCTAGCAGCACGGCATCCACACTTACGGCTGCTACCGCTGTAGTAGCAGCTGGGGCATTGATGAAGCACACAGCAAGCCCTAAGCCTGGCAAGCCAAACGAGATGGGTGCGCCCAGTCCAAAAAAAACAGCAAATGATCCAAGTGCGACGGCTGCACCTGCTTCCCGTTCCAAAGAGCGCGACGAGCACAAATCAGGCAAGTCAGAGTCTAAAGACAAGGATCGCAGCTCCAGCAAGAAATCCAAAAAGGAGAAAAAGGATAAGGATAAGGAACGCGATCGGGACCGGGATAAGCAGCGCGATGAAAACAAGGATAAGCGAATGCCCAAGGAGGACCGCGCTGGCCAGAGCGACAGTCCGGCTTCCGGAAATCCTCAATCTGCTCATCAGTTGCAACAATCTCATGGAGGCAGTACAGGTAAAGCCACGCCGACATCCGTGGGAAGCAACAGCAGTAGCAGCATGGTCTCAAACAGTGGCAAGCAAAAAGATGACGCTACCGGCAAGCATACCGGTAAAGCAGGAGAAGCCACCAGCAATAAGAACACAAGCAATGGCAGCGCGGCTGATACCAAGAAATCCCACAAACACAAGAAAAAAGACAAAACCAAGGACAAGGAAAAGGAACGGAGCGATCGCGACAAGGAAAAGGATAAGGAGCGTGATAAAGATAAGCCGAAGGAAAAGGAGAAGGACAAGCAGCAAGGGGCCAGTTCAGAGAAATCATCAGCGATCGAGCCATCGCCCAAAACAGATGGAACCAGTCCTTTTACAGAGGGAGCAGCACAGGACAAAACTACTATTGGTGCTAATGCCGGCAGCAGCAGTAAGAAGGATAAGCACAAAAAGTCCAAGGAGAAGTCCTCCGGCAAAGACGAGAAGCGTCAGCGAGAAACGGGCGACAAGCTTGCTGAATCAAAACATTCAGGAAAGCAACAGCAACAGGTACAACCGCAGCCGGGTCAAAGCAAAGCTCCCCACAACCTAGACCTTAGCGATGTGGACTCAGCTCAGTCGGCTCCGGATCTAGCCGCCACCAACGCATTGGCCGCAGCAGCGGCAGCCACGCTCCAGCACTCTGATAGCTCCAACAGCAGTTTCCCGGACTTACCCGCCAGGGGCAGCAGCCAAAAGCCAGCGAAGGTAAGTGCTGGCAAGGAATCAAAACCTGGTAACAAGGAACACAAGGGCAAGTCCAAACAAAACGACAAAAACAGTGAAAAGAGTGAAAAAGCAGACAAAACTCCAGACTCAAAATTGGAAAAGTCAGAAAAAGAGGAGAAAAAACGGAATCGGAGAAGCTCACAAAATAGTAACAGTGGCAGCGCCGGCGGCGCAGCCGGTGGCTTTATTGAGCCTCAAGTTAAACCTTCAAAGAAGGAGCAAAATAAGGCGCAACGAGAGAAATCAAAGTCGCCCTCGTTGCGTCCGCCCAGGGACACCAACTCCACTGGTCTACCAAATGCAGGATCAGGATTCCTGCCGCCGCCATCATCTTCGCCAAGCAATAACCATACCACAGCTAGTTTAAACAATAACAACAACAATTTGAACAGTAACAGCAATCATTCACCCGCTGAGATAACGACGCCAGGGCAACTTCAATTGCCAACGGAGTATTTAAGTGAACTTCAGGAGCTGCATCACAAAATCATGACTCTGCAGGATAACGAGGAGTTACAGCACGTGGTGGAGTTGATCGCAGCCACTGGATGCTACGAGATCACGCACAAGACGTTCGATTTCGATCTGTGCAAGCTGGACCGCGGGACCGTACAACGGCTGCAGGAGTTCCTGGCTACTTCGGTATCGTGACACTCCCTCACATCCACGACTGGCTCGGCACTCTACAGCTAGACGATGCACAAACCCCACATGCACATAACCAAATCATTAGGCTTAAAGTTAACGTTGTAAGCCAAATGCAAAAATACTTGGCTCGCCCACAGCCTCAAATCCCCTTGTTAGATTCTAAGTTGTTGGCCCGAAGGGCATACAAATCCCGAATGATTTCTCTTTTAAAAATACAGAAATCGTCCTTTTGTTTTTGAGACTCATTTGATTTAAGACGTACTCTATATTTTTTTTGGAATCCTATTCGATTATAACTAAATGATTTTAACATTCTACGCATTTGTTTCGAGACCATTTCTAAGAAATTAATTTTTATTATAAATATAACGATTAAATTAGCTTACACCAAGAGTGTAACCCTTTGAAACCAGGCTTTGACGACTAATTTGAGATTTTTTGACTCTAAAACATAAACGAAAAATCTTGTTTAGAAATATCTCTACATTAGATATTTTAAAATTACTTTTAATGACAGTTTCAGAGCCAGAAGCCCATATTTAATTATAAATAAAGGTCTAAAGGTAATCACCAAAAATGCAAAGTTTGTAAACTAGGGTTAATTAATTGCGAATAAATAAATACTTTTGTACGATATTTACGTACTTATTTTTCGTTTCTTTCAGTTCCTTCAAAATTTACTCAATATATTATAGTCTCAAGTAATTATAGTTAACCTACATAAGATAAGAGGGATTTATAACCAAATTATGTGCACAGTGTATTTTAGACTATGGCTAATCTTATCTTAGCGATCGAAACGACGGAAAATTATTAAGCTCTTATTTAAGAAAAGGATAAACATCAGCCTTGAAATATATAAGGATATATATAACGTATAAATCTCTATTTATTTGGTTATCGTAAGTATAAGAAAATGGGTAAAACCAACTGGAAATTTCTATTGTATCTCCAAAAACCCAATACTTGCTAGAAATGTTTAATCATGGAATTGACTCTTTTTCTTTATTTTTTCACATATTTCTTAATAATTCAATACTATCGATGCTTAAAGGAACATGTATATATTACAAACTGAGGCAGATCTTTTAACTAAAGAGAGACAATGTCTGTTTTCTTTGGAAAAATACTTAATGCTACGAGAAAGCAAACTTCTAGAAACAGTGCAAAAATGTATTCGAGTTGATTGCTTTGCAGTTTTATGTGTTGGACTAGGTTTTTGTGCGCAAATTAGTCGCGGCAATAGCAGTATTTTCTTAGTTCCGGATCGCGATCATATATGCATCGAGCCTGATTTCCGTACTTGTTTACACGTGAGATATCCGTGAGTTTTGTTGTGGCAGTAAATGTGTTGAGACTATAGGCTACACTCGCCTCGAATAGCCCCTCTCCGGGAACTGTAACCAACTGCAGCTGGTACATTTCATCCCGGACCAACGTTTGACCCGTCATGTCCGCCAGGAATCCGTCACGGTCACTATTCGTCTTGAATTGCAATAGCTCCTTATGCGGTTGCAGGCGAAGCGCCCAATTGACACGAAGAAGCTAAGGTAATAAAAAAGTTCCGAAAAGGATTATGCAGTTAATACAGTTTAAAAAACGATGATCTATCACGAACCTGTAGAGGGGCACAGTGCTGGCGTTGCTCGACGGTGGCCAAATTGATCGTATTGACAATGCTTTGGGCAGCCTTGAGTATTATTCCCGTATATCGTGAGTCGTTTAGTTGCAAAGGCAGCCAATTAAGACAGGCACACCAGTGAGGTTCTATATAGGCATCTGCACAGGATCGATTACTCGGAATAGGATCCAGAAGCGACATGGAACGCCCCCGCGCAAGCTCGGAAATCTGAATCGCAGGTTGACTAGGGTCTGTTTTTATATCGTTAATCTGCTCCAATCGATCACCAGCGGTTTGCAGTTCTGTGGGAAAGCTAAAATCATAAGTCTATTGCAGAGATCAACAGGCTCCAGTCTTACGAATAATATGCTTCAATGTGGCATGTATGTCGAAAGGTGTAGTCAAATGGTTCTCATTGGCCAGAAAGTTCTTGTACTCCTGCGGAAAGCGCTTTTTAAATGACTCGGGAAACGCGAAACTAAAGAATGGCAATCGTTCTTCTTGTTTTCCCTGCAGTGTGGCCCGCACCTCTGCAAATCGGTTACCATGATCTGCCATCATAATAAGAATTGTGTCGTCCAGCAGGGACCGTTCCTTGAGCGCCACCAACCAATCATGCACATCGTCATCCGCAGCTCCGATCAGATTGATGGAGTCGTGTGACAGGCCGCCGTGAAAACTGAATACAAAGCGCGGGGCATCGCGATATTTTAGCATAAACTATAAACGAAAGCAATAAATGTTAGTTATTTAACACAGCACGGATTAACATACATTTTTAGTGTACTCAAGCATAGTGACATGGTCCGGCTGGTGGCCAACGCAATTGGGTTGGCTTTCAGCGGCCATGTGCTCTGCCTGTACATAGTAGGTGCGCAGATAATGGTCCACAGGCTGATTTTCAAACCCTGTCATGCGGTAAGTGAAGGTGCCCACATTCGGAAGGTCCTCGTTAAACGAGGTCATATAGCCCAGGCGGGCAAAATCCTGCCAAATCATGGGATACGAGTCGACACTACCAGCTCCGGAAAATCTTTTCCTCGTCTCTGGCAGCTCTAGTTCGGTGAAACCTGTCAGCAAAGGCACTAATGCCTGTGGTGTCCCATCGCCCACTATGTTGTAGCCTTTGAGAACGGTAGCACCTAGCTGTTGAGTCAGATACTCGTAGGTCCTCGGAAGCTTTCGGATATAGGCGTTGCGACTCAATGAATCAAAGCCAAACATAAGGACATTGTAAAAGGGGGCTGTGGGAAAATCCTGCATTTGCTGTTGAGCCTGAGCAACAGCCTCCGGCGGTAGTACTGCCAAGTTCGGAGAGAAATTAGCGGCCATGGGACGTGACACTGTATCCCTTATTCCATGCGCCATGCCAAACCAACTATGTAAAGGAATAAAACGATTCAAAATGTACATAACACTTAAATATAAGATGATAGTCACCTCTCGCCATTGGAAGACCGGCAAGCAACTTTGACAAAGTCGCTGGCCTGCAGAACATAAGGCTCTTTCAAACGCAGAGTTCGCCCAAAGCGTACTTTGTAGTCCGACTTGCGAATGATGTCTGTATAGGAGCAGGTAACATCCTCGTGACTGGACGCAATCTCGGGGCGTACAAAGCAAATTGATTTCTGTAAAAAAAAAAAAAACTGTGAGTTAAAAATATAGTTACTAGATAAATTCTTCTCATTCTCAAACCTCGCACATCACCCAATCGATTCCCTCGCCGCAGTTAATTCGCTTTACCGGCTTGTAGAACTTCATGATATCTGGATTGTCCAGGGGAAGGTGGGGATGGCGGCACTCGCCCTGATTAACCACCGATCGTATGGAGCGCTCGATAATTTCGCTTTATCAAAAGGGCATATATATGTATATATTTTAAGCAAATTTTCCACAATCAATATCGTTACACACATCTATACATACATTTTAAGGTTTTTATCTAAATCCCGCTCATCGTTCAATATATATAATGTAACCATTAGAACCACTACACAACAACCGGCAGCGATCTTGGGGACAGTTCCGCGGCGTACAAAACGCATTTTGAATAAATTATGAACTGCAGATGAAGACATGTGAGAATATAATAGGATAATTTCAGTAAATTCTGCACTGACTCTTCCTCCAACAGTAGTTATAAAGTCCAAGAGGCCCTTCTGATTCGCAGCAGTGACTCCCAATTAAACGTTACTGATTTACTTTCATTATAAAGTTAAATATTAAACAATGACCAGCTGTGCGATGTACGCTCTGCGAAAACCGCTGAAAGGAATTTGTCGAAAAAGTGGCAACCAGAAATGCAGATTTTGCGGTCATACTGCGCAATTGATTGGCAACGCGAACGTTACAATTCAAATTGAACTTTAAGTCAGGTTTATGAAATCATGTCCAAGATTTATTTAAAATCAAATAAGTATGTTTAAAAAATCATTCACATAAAAAATACTATGTAACCTCCACCTAAGAGAAAGAATAACCAAAAATATAAAAATCCTCTTATATCAATATTTATAATATATAATTTAACCCCGTGAAATTGAACAATAATTACAGTCTAAAAGTTGGATAATCCCATTTTATGGATTTGTGTACCAAGTCTTTAGTTAATGAACTTGAAATAATTGCTATGAGATAAAGATCTGATTCCACTATTCTCCATATCAGACTTGGAGACTCATCAAAAAGCTTGCGACAAAGCTCGTGAGCTGAGAATTCCGTCCGAAGATTCAGTTGTGTGCCAAGCTCAGCTTCGGCCTCTTCGCTTCACTCCGATCCGTGGGAATTCCGTTTTATTACCTGTATCGTCCATATTATCGCGCCTTTTATTTTGATAACTGCTTCTGCGGTCGATCTATAATATTGCAGTAAACAAAACATTACCCCCGAACCCACTGACGACGTCTTGAGAAAGGATTAACCTGTTCGCTTGCGTAACAATGTTAAGGCTGTCATTTATTTGCCTCTTTTTGGGATTTTTGGCGAAATCATCAGCGGGCCGTAAGTAAATAGAAGATTGCCAAGATTCACATCGGCTGGGCATGACAAGCTTAACATATTTGTTTTGCCGCGGGCCTTCACCAATCGTTTAAAACCTGTTTCCGTACTTCTATAACTAATGATCTAATTTATTCACAAAATTTGTAAGCTTTATGAATTAAACTCTGGTATTCCAGAGTTTTACTTCCCCAATGAGGCGGCCCAGGTTCCCAACTATGGACGCTGCATTACACCCAACCGCGAGAGGGCTCTGTGTATCCATCTGGAGGACTGCAAGTATTTGTATGGCCTCTTGACCACCACCCCGCTGAGAGACACGGACCGACTTTACCTAAGTCGCAGTCAGTGCGGCTATACAAATGGAAAGGTACTGATCTGCTGTCCGGATCGCTACCGAGAGAGTTCCCCAGAGACGCCTCCGCCAGCGAAGCCCAATGTTACCAGTACCAGCCTGCTCCCGCTGCCAGGACAATGCGGTAACATTCTGTCAAATCGTATATATGGCGGAATGAAGACGAAGATTGACGAATTCCCCTGGATGGCTCTAATTGAATATACGAAGGGTTAGTAAATTAATCAATCTCTAGACCAGACTTACCTATAGATTGATCTCTACATGCAGCCCAGGGCAAGAAAGGTCATCACTGCGGTGGGTCCTTGATCAGCACTAGATATGTGGTCACAGCCTCTCATTGTGTTAACGGAAAGGCATTGCCCACCGACTGGCGGCTTACGGGTGTACGCTTGGGTGAGTGGGACACCGCAACTGAGCCTGATTGTGAGGTGGATGTGCGTGGCATGAAGGACTGTGCGCCACCGCATCTGGACGTGCCCGTGGAGCGTACTGTGCCCCATCCTGGCTATATACCGGCATCCAAGAATCAGGTCAACGACATCGCTCTGCTGCGTCTTGCGCAGCAGGTGGAGTACACAGACTTTGTGCGTCCCATTTGCTTGCCCCTGGATTCCAATCTGCGGGCGGCTACCTTCGATGGCATAACAATGGACGTGGCTGGATGGGGCAAAACGGAGCAATTGTCGGCCAGTAACCTTAAATTGAAAGCGGCCGTGGAGGGATTCCGTATTGATGAGTGTCAGAACGTCTACAGCAGCCAGGAGATTCTGCTCGAGGACACACAGATGTGCGCCGGCGGTAAGGAGGGAGTTGACTCCTGCCGCGGAGACTCCGGAGGACCACTCATAGGATTGGACACCAACAAAGTTAACACATACTACTTCCTGGCTGGCGTAGTGTCCTTTGGACCAACACCATGCGGTCTGGCTGGATGGCCAGGAGTTTACACGCGGGTTGGAAAATATGTCGATTGGATTCAAAACACTATCGAGGCCTGATTGTAAATTGTTTTAATGTAAATAAAATCGACCAACAGATTTCTTTTTAAAAATCATTTTAATTTGTGCGCCAATACTATTTGTCGATGGGCGCGAAAATGTGATATTCGTCTTAAACTTTTTAAAACTTTATTTACTTGCATGTGTGTTTGATTTTAAAGAATGTTACTAAATGCACTTTTGCTTAAGTTTTTAATTTGATTGCATTTATTTGTTTTTAAAATGCAAGCATATCAATAAAGTAACGGTAGTCACTTTGATAAGCACTATTGAACACAACAAAATATTTTAAAACCACCTGGCAACAACGCAATCAGATGTGCTATCTGGCAACGCCCACACCGTGTGAGGCACACACTGCTGGTAAAAATGTTGAAGACTATCTACGTAACGCCGTTAAATTTGCTTAAATCGGCCACCAGCCTGCAGCAGCAAGTTCGGGTAAGTCCTTTCTTCAGCTAAAAAATTTTCCGCCATTCTCCATTGCATCCTTTTTAGACCACGTTCGTACTTAAGCGCAAATATGACCCGCCTCTGCACAAAACCAACGAAAAACCCCGCCGGATGAGGGCGAAACATTTCATCTACGAGCTCGTGGAGGACACGCTGGTCAAGAAACGGCCCAACATGGAGGTGGTACTTAAGACCTTTGTCGAAGGCGTCGGTGATAAGGGTGACGTGGTTTCCATGAAGCCACACTTCGTCTACAACAAGCTCCTACTGCCGGGATTGGCAGCCTACAAAACGCCGGAGAATGTGGCCAAGTACGCTAAGACGGAGGCTGAAAAGTCGGCAGTGAAACATAGCTCGCCCTACGCCCAACGAACAGTTAACATGTTGGAGTCCATTGTGCTGGCGGTGGTGATGAACAAAGACCAGCCATGGGTGCTCGAGCCATGGCACATCAAGGCGTCGCTGCGTAAGGCAGGATTTCATTGCAGCGAGGAGTGCATCACCCTACCCAAGGAGCGCATCGAGGGTCCTGACCTTAAGAAGGAAAACAAGGACTTCTATTGCACCGTGACCATAAACAAACTGGAACAGGCTCGGCTTAAATGTCGTCTACATCACTGGAGCACAGATCCCAGCGAACGTCTGCCCTATGTTTTAGAGCATTGGAAACTCCAGTCCGAGCCCCTGCTAAATGTTGGTTCACCCGAAAAGAGCACTTAGGCTATTATCAAATAAATGCCATTGTTACAAAATTGTTATTTTCTGAACAGCGTGAAAAACAGTGGTTTATTTAACATTTTATCAAGTTGTACGACGCGGAGACTTAAAGGCTATATGATTACGATTCTATATGATGTGGTTACATAGTGCGATTAATGCACAGCCTTCAGCTCCACGTCGAAGACGAGTGTCGAATTCGGTCCGATCTTGGGCGGAGCTCCGCGCGAGCCATAGCCCATGTGCGGGGGGCAGGTGATTCGACGTTTGCCGCCCACCTTCATGCCGGCGACTCCCACGTCCCATCCCTTGATGACCTCTCCTCCACCAAGGGAGAACTTGAAGGGCTTACCCTTTAGAAGGCTATCAAATGTCTTGTTGTTGGACTGGAGGCGACCGGTGTAGTATACAGAGACTCGTTTGCCTGGCTTGGCTTCCTCGCCCTTGCCAGGAAGCACATCCACAATTTTGACACCGCCGGCGAGAGATCGCGACTCACCGGTAGCTGGCTGCTGCTTGGCCTTTGGCTGCTCCTTCTTGACCTCGTTCTTTTCCTTCTTTTGCTGCTGTTTGGCCTCCTCTTTCTTAGCCACCCCATTCTGCTCCTTAGCTGTTTTCTTAGCGGCAGTGGCTGTCAGCTTAGCAATCTTCGCTTTTGGCTGTTCCTCTTCAGCTTCAGAGTCCTCGCTGTCTTCATCGCCACTCTCTTCGTCTTCCTCCTCTTCACTATCATCCTCTTCATCCTCTCCATTTTCAAGGAAGGACTCGTATTCCCCTATTAACTTGTCGTCTCCATCCTCCTCGTCTTCGTCCTCATCCTCTTCTTCCTCCTCGCCGCTCTCATCATTATTGTCTGTCTTAGACTTTTTGTTCTTGCCCTGCTCCTTCAAGAATTTTTCGATAGTGAACTCATCATCATCTTCCTCATCCTCGTCGGAATCAATGTCGTGCAAGTAGCCCAACAGAGAAACGCTGGCGTCACCTGTAATGCGAACGAACCAGTTACATATAATTGGATCAGTTAACACAGAATTTCTCTGACTCCTTACCAGCAGTGTAGAACATGATGCGATCCCCCTTACTGAAATTCAAATCCAGGGCCACCTGGGGAATGGCCTTTGTCACGGTGGCCACAATGTACTCTTGCTTCTCGGCGGCGAGGTACAATTTGGCCTCCTGGCCTTTGTCAAGGGCCACGCCCGAAATATGGAACGACTTGATAATCGTCTGCGAGTACTTGCGCTCAGGCTTCATGTTCAATCCTGTACAAGGTCATAATTGATGAAAAACATGGTTTATTTGGGCATAGAAATGGCGCCGATCCACGCTGCCGGCAAATCGAGCGCAAGCACGTGGCTGCGAGACGAGAGCAGACGGGATGCAAATTTTCGAGGGCGTGTAGAAGACTTTGTCCGTAATTTATGTTTTTTTTTTAATTTTACTTACCCCAAAACATGGACATCTTGAAGGAATATAGTCAACTCTCAACGTAAAATGAAAAGAAAACGAGGAATTGAAATCACAGAACGGAACAGACGCCGACTTAAGATGTGCCCAATAACTTCTTAGCTTAAAAATCACCACGTGCAAGAAGAACTTCTAGTCTGGTCGCACTAACAGTTTTCCGCGCAATTATGTTAAACATAAAATACACCTTCGAAAGTATAAAAATAAACAATTAAGGAGCGTAATGTTTTTAAGGTGTATACACTCACAATTAGACATAGATATTTTTTGTTGAGGTAGTAATTTATAGCTAACTTAATTAGGCTTTGCATTTAAATGCCTGATGTTCTTTTCACAATACATACATAATTCTAATTGGAGGAACTCGATATATCGCAGTCACGAACCATAAAGAAAAAGTCATAAATTGGTGTTTCAACTTACTAGAACTATAAATATTGCAGACACGAACCAAACTCGAAAAAGGTCCTAAATTATCCGCGTGTATTCGTTCCTGGTTGAATGGCAATGAGTCGTGTTGTATTTGTGGCGAAAAAATCTTGTATGCCCATTGGAATTGGCCCCGCCTTGTTAAATTTTACTTAATTTGAGCTGCTGGAGGCATGATAAGGAGCCCAGCATGACGGAGAAGATTACGCTAGCCGACGCGCTGTCCAATGTGGAGGTGCTGGACGAGCTTTCACTGCCGGACGAGCAGCCGTGCATCGAGGCGCAGCCCTGCTCGATTATCTATAAGGCAAACTTCGACACGAATTTCGAGGATCGAAATGGATTTGTCACAGGAATTGCAAAGTACATCGAGGAGGCCACCACCCATGCCAACTTGGTGAGTCAGTGATCCCAGCTTATTATACTATTTACTGATAATGCTTTCCGCTCTTTGCTTCAGAATGTGCTCTTAGACGAAGGGCAAAAACATGCAGTAATGCTATACACCTGGCGCTGCTGTTCCCGCGCCATTCCGCAGCCCAAGTCCAATGAGCAGCCTAATCGTGTGGAGATCTACGAGAAAACGGTGGAAGTTTTGGCACCCGAGGTTAATAAGCTACTGAATTTTATGTACTTCCAACGAAAAGCCATCGAAGCCTTTTCTGGCGAGGTGAAGCGTCTGTGTCACGCAGAGAAACGTAAGGACTTCGTGTCGGAGGCTTACCTGCTGACCCTCGGCAAATTTATCAACATGTTTGCCGTGCTAGACGAGCTGAAGAACATGAAGTCCAGCGTGAAGAACGATTACTCCACGTACAGGCGAGCCGCACAATTCCTTAAGGTGATGTCCGACTCACACACACTTCAAGAGTCGCAGAATCTCTCCATGTTCCTGGCAACTCAGAACAAGATTCGCGACACTGTCAAAGACACGCTGGAGAAGATCGTTGGCTACGAAGATCTGCTCTCTGATGTGGTTAACATCTGTGTGCACATGTTCGAAACAAAGATGTACTTGACCCCGGAGGAAAAGCATATGCTTGTAAAGGTCATGGGCTTCGGCCTGTTCCTTATGGACAGTGATGCGTGCAATATCAACAAGCTTGATCAGAAGAAAAAGATCCGCCTGGATCGTATTGATCGTATCTTCAAAAACTTAGAGGTTGTGCCTCTGTTTGGTGACATGCAGATTGCACCTTTTAACTATATAAAGCGGAGCAAGCACTTTGATTCCAGCAAATGGCCGCTATCCAGCTCGAACGCCATCAGCCCCCAAGCGGATTTGATGGTGCACCTTCCGCAGATACGTGAAGATCACGTTAAGTACATTTCGGAGCTGGCGCGATACACAAATGAGGTGACCACCACTGTCAAGGAGAATCCCTCAGATGCTGAGAACAGGATTACGGCCGACCTTGCGCTGCGCGGTCTGCAACTGTTATCCGAATGGACCAGCGTGGTCACCGAGCTGTATTCTTGGAAGCTTCTTCACCCCACAGATCATCACCAGAACAAGGAGTGCCCCGTTGAAGCCGAGGAGTACGAGCGGGCCACCCGTTACAACTATACCTCGGAGGAAAAGTTCGCGCTCATCGAGGTGATCGCCATGATTAAGGGACTGCAGGTGTTGATGGCTCGCATAGAAACCGTGCTCTGCGAGGCTATTCGGCGTAATATCTACTCCGAGTTGCAGGACTTTGTTCAGCTTTCTCTTCGTGAACCACTGCGTAAGGCAGTAAAAAACAAGAAGGACCTTATCCGGAGCATTATTATGTCGGTGCGCGAGACCTCGGCCGACTGGCAGAAAGGCTATGAACCTACTGATGACCCAGTGGCCAAGGGAAAGAAAGATCCAGATGGTGGGTTTCGCATCGTCGTTCCGCGTCTCAATGTGGGCCCCTCCTCTACGCAGCTGTACATGGTGCGCACCATGCTAGAGTCATTAATTGCTGACAAAAGCGGAGGCAAGCGCACACTGCGCAAAGACATCGACGGAAATTGCCTGCTGCAGATCGACACGTTTCACAAGACTTCATTTTACTGGAGCTATCTGCTAAACTTCAGCGACACGCTCCAAAAGTGCTGCGATCTCTCGCAACTGTGGTATCGTGAGTTCTACTTGGAGATGACTATGGGTCGTAAGGTAAACAAGTGCTTGGTCCGTCATCAGCACAACGAAGAATGTAAGGATCTTATCACCATGGAGAAGCGCATTCAGTTCCCAATTGAGATGTCCATGCCATGGATCCTTACCGATCATATTCTACAAACGAAAGAGCCTTCGATGATGGAGTAAGAAATATAGAAAAAACCATTACCAAAGATATATTTTAATAGTTCGTATTCCTTAGATTTGTTTTGTATCCTCTGGATTTGTACAACGACTCGGCGTATTACGCCCTCACTGTCTTCCGAAAGCAGTTCCTCTACGACGAGGTGGAGGCCGAAGTCAATCTGTGTTTCGACCAGTTTGTTTATAAACTTAGCGAACAGATTTTCGCCCACTACAAGCAGTTGGCAGGTAGCATTTTCCTGGACAAGCGATTCCGCTTAGAGTGCGAGGTACTCGGTTTCAATTTCCAATCATATCCCCGCAACAACCGTTATGAGACTCTGTTAAAACAACGACATGTCCAACTGTTGGGTAAGTATAGTCTTCACAACTCTCTTATTTAGTCTTTAAATTTATGAATATTACTAATTCTGTATTAGGTCGTTCTATTGACTTGAACAAACTTATCACACAACGGATAAACGCGAACATGCACAAGAGCATTGAGTTGGCCATAAGCCGTTTCGAGGGCAACGACATTACCGGCATTGTGGTAAGTGAAACCAGATGAATCCACAACAGTAGTCTTTCACATATTCAATTTCAGGAACTTGAAGGTCTACTAGAAGCTAATCGAATTTGCCACAAGTTGTTAAGCAAATACTTGGCCCTGGATAACTTTGATGGCATGGTAAAGGAGGCTAATCATAACGTACTGGCGCCATACGGCCGGATCACACTACACGTCTTTGTAGAATTGAACTACGACTTTTTGGTCAATTACTGTTATAATGCAGCCACAAATCGGTGGGTTTGGTGGTTATGTCCTATTTTATAATTATAATATTTAAAATGATCTTTTTTAGCTTCATTCGAACCAAAGTAAATCTGTCGTCGTCACAGGCTATACAGCGTGAGAAGCCGCCACAAATGTCGCATTACTATCTGTGGGGCTCTAAGCAACTAAATGCTGCTTATTCCACTCAGTATGGTCAGTACACTGGCTTTGTAGGATCGCCGCATTTCCATGCCATGTGCCGCCTGCTAGGCTACCAAGGCATTGCAGTCGTCATGGACATTATATTGAAGGACATTGTGAAGCCGCTTATCCAGGGTTCGCTACTGCAGTTTACTAAGACGCTGATGATTGCCATGCCTAAGTCTTGCAAGCTGCCTCGTTGCGAATATGGTTCGCCAGGAGTGCTAAGCTATTACCAAGCCCATCTTACCGACATCGTGCAATATCCGGACGCAAAGACAGAGCTGTTTCAATCGTTCCGGGAGTTTGGAAATAGCATTATTTTCTGTCTGCTGATCGAACAGGCGCTCTCCCAGGAGGAAGTGTGCGATCTACTACACGCAGCCCTCTTCCAAAATATCTTCCCCAGGCCCTTTTGCAAAGGTATGTATAGATTGCCATTTCCGAAAAGAAAGAAATTCTTTTATTGTGTACCATTACCCCTTATAGAAAATGAGAAGCCGGAGGCTAAGCAAAAGCGCCTTGAAGCCCAGTTTGCAAACCTGCAGATAGTTTCCAATGTGGAAAAGATTGGCACTGCAAAGGTATACGTTTAGCACATTCATTAATTTTTAAATACTAATTAAATTTCATTAACAGCAAGCCATGATAGCACGAGAGGGAGATTTGCTGACACGGGAACGCCTTTGCTGTGGCCTAAGCATCTTTGAGGTTATTCTCAACCGGGTGAAGAGCTATTTGGACGATCCAGTGTGGTGTGGTCCCCCACCGGCAAACGGCATAATCCATGTGGATGAGTGCTCAGAGTTCCATCGCCTCTGGTCGGCTCTGCAGTTCGTCTATTGCATTCCAGTGAGGGGAACAGAGTACACCATCGAGGAACTCTTTGGCGAGGGTCTTAACTGGGCGGGCTGTGTCATGATCGTGTTGCTTGGCCAGCAGAGGCGGTTCGAGGCTTTGGACTTTTGCTACCACATTTTGCGAGTTCAGCGCGTCGATGGCAAGGATGAGGACGTAAAGGGCATTGTATGTTGCGACCTTTTTGAAATTATTTGCAAAAATGGCTAACTAATATTCGATTTTTTAATTACAGCAACTAAAGCGAATGGTGGATCGGATTCGTCGGTTCCAAGTATTAAACTCACAAATCTTCTCCATTCTCAATAAATATTTGAAGGGCGGCGACGGCGAGGGCTCAAATGTGGAGCATGTGCGGTGCTTTCCACCGCCACAGCATCCCTCGGTCATATCGTCATCGTCGCACTACCAGGATCCCCAAAAACTGCGCCAGAGCATAAACAATTGAAGGTATTCTGACAAAGGATGCATTTAAGCTAATCGCATACAAATAGATTATACTTAATCGCAGTGGAAGTTATTCCCCCCAGGAGGAAAGCCAAATCATTGGCAAAGCTACCCAAATTATGACATTTTGTTTTGTCAGAGGGGTAATATTGGTTTATTTAAATTCCATCTTATTGGACATCAGTTTTGATATGTCGCTTTCAATCATATAGTACGTAAAATGTTTTATCCAAGCAATTATATATAGATGTAATATTGATACCCCTGCTAGGGCATTCATCTCAAGTACTCTTACATTATCCCAAATACTCTATTTTAAGCTCCCTAAGATATTATGTTTGGCCTTCTGTATTCCTTCGCTAAAAACAAACATTATTGTTTTGCTCTCCGATTTGAAAATCAAATTAGCCAAAGAATTGATGACAGCACGGCGAAATAAAACCTAATTGGCTTTAAACACAATCAAAGTATTACGAAATATATAGATGCCGCACAGTGTATGCCCCATATACATGCAGTAATGATACGACAGCCAACATTGACATAAATACAATTAATACAATGAACATTATCGAATAAAATTTTCATACGTATTTCTAACAAACCCAACAAAAAGTAGTTAACATTTTCAACTTGTAAAACTAAAAAAGAACACATAAAAGGGTAACGTTTGCATATAATTTTTGAAAAATAATTAAAAAAATGTATATACATACGAATATGTATAATTTTTATTTTTGTCAGGTGATAACTTTTATTATTTCAAGATGAACTATATATAATACTATCTATCCGTGCCACTATCTGGCAAATAGAATCGTCAAATCGAGGCTTAGCAATTTGGAAGTGAATTTCGGAATGGATGGTCAAATACAATTTATCTAGCTGCTACACGGCGTCGTGACTATGCCGTTAGTGGCCTTGACTTTCTTTAGAGGATCGGTGTATGTGTACAGAACTGTGACGTTGTCCGCATAGTTTCTAGGTAAATCGAAGTCAGCACTATCGGCCCCCAGATAGCAAGCTCCGTAGGCACTGCTCTTGGTAATCCTAACCAGTTTAAGATTAAAATCGATTCTTGTCTTAGACAGTTCCTCGATAAAAGCCTCCTGTAGCAGGTCCCAACTGCACCAAACCGATCCTACGCATACGACGCTTAAATCACCGGACTTAACCAGATCCTTGTGAACATTCGGTAGTAGGGACAAGATCATTCGAGCCAGATGGACGCCGGCCTCACGAAATAATCTGATGGCCAATTTGTCGCCATTCTCGGCATTCTGTGACAGCTTCTTACACAGATTGGCAAAAAAAGGTTTGTCGAACTTGGCATAGCAGTGGGGCAGCATATCCAAACGCGTCTCCAGACTAAAGTGGTCCTTGATCAGAGCCCAGGTCTTCTCTACGGGTGCCGGTGATTTTTCAAAGTTATCCATGTGATCGAACACCACCTTGACAGCGCGATACGAGATATACCAGGCTGTGGGGTACAAGGATTGGGGTCAATATTATAATTGCGAAATTAACAACAAAAATGGCAATGAGCCAATAGCAATCAACGCTATCAGGCCAATCCTAATCGAAGTTGCTGCCGTTAATCTCGACATTGGGTGTGGCATTAGTATACTATTATGTGATAAGGTCGATCCCCACTTACCGCTCCCCTCATCGCCGAGGAAGTTTCCCCACCCGCCGCAATTAGATGTGGATCCGTCAGGATTACGCAACAGGCAGTTGGATCCGGTTCCCGATATAAGGACCATTCCACCAATGGATGATGCTGTGTACATGCTGCCCATGGTGTCGCTGGAGACGGCATAACTCTGAGCCAGGTCCGGAAACGTTGTGCGCAGCTCCTGCTCCAGTTCGCGGTTGGTTGCCTCCTGTTAAGATTTCTTGTTATTACACTTTGTTAAATCATAAGTTTAGTAAATTATAACAAACAAATTTTTTAAAATTGTTAAGTAAAAATAGTGCAGCTTCTTAAAGCTGTAATGACTAACCTGTTCGCATCCGCTGAGGCTCAATCCCAAGCTCGTGAGAGGTGTATCCTTGGGAATGCCCGCTTCCTCTTTTGCTCGCTCCACCATGTCTGCGATCCGTCGGGCACATTCCGGAATACCGATGCCCCAGTGGTTGGTGCCCAGCCCGCTGGTGGAGCCCACAGGTTGTCCACTCTCATCGCAGATGACCAGTCTGGAGTGGGTGGCTCCGCTGCAGGAGACAAAGAAGATATTTTCTATTTCCGGACTCTCTAATTGTTATACAATAGGTGTTGTTGACCCGGGGCCGTGACCGCGGACAAAAACGCTATTGAATCCAATTGAATTAACCGATCGGTCTACCGCAAATTGGAATTAAACAACCGCGCAATTGACAAATTCATTTAAAGAAAACGTGTCACACGCACAAATTCTATTTGAAAACCCAAAGATCTCAATAAACCCGAGACAAAGTGCGGGCGAACGAAAAGAAAGTGTGCATACACTTTAAAAAATAAGTTTTATAATAAAAAATAAGCTTTATAAATTTAAAATGAAAATTGGTTCATTAGAAAATTATATTTTGAGGGCATATTTTGAAAACATGCATATGTACATATGTATGTATATTCATATTTTATAAAATGAATATTTTTTGCCAAACATTTAATCATCGAATTCATTTGCTTTTATAGGTAGTTTTCCTTTCTCTGCATCGACAACCCGAAGAATCTTAATTAAACCAAGTCCCGCATTCAGACACACAAATAGAAAGTGTAGATTCTTATCCATAAAATCTTATAGGGGCTTGCAATTACCGTTATATTGCAACTGACAGAAAAGTCATGACGTGACGAAAATGCACTGCTTAATACGCTCAATTGGGGCATTCATTTGATAGCCCCTGCGAAATGTGCTCGACAAAAGACGTTTGCTATTGCGGTTTAACTATTTTTAACCATCATCCAATTTATTTCGGTAATAAAAATACCTTATGGTACAATTCATATACAAGTTCCGTGGTTTTGTTACGTGACGTGACAGCAGCGTAACGTTAGCCATATAAAATAATAATAGTTTTCGATAAATAATCGAATGCTAACAGAATGTTGGCATGTTAGCATTTTGTTATGTGCGGGCGTAATAATAATAAAATTGTGAGCAAAGACATTTAATGTTTTCATTGGAAAGTGACTGAAAACGTACCGCAGCCCGCGATCGCCGGCGTGCCACAGAGGGGCGCGTTAATTAAAATGAAATTGCTGACAAATTCTCGGCTTTTGCGGCCTCTGCTGCTGCTACGCCGGCAAAGGTCGTGTGACGCAAAGGCACCCAAACCACTACCGGTTCCAACCAGTGTCCAATTGGACGAACTGGAACGTAATGTGGTTCTGCGCCATCACAGGAATAATCTGCCATTGATTCGCTCTCTCGTCAACGATGTGGAGGCTGGAAACCAGGACAAACTGAGCCAGCTGCAAGCGGAACTAGAGCAACTGCCCAACGATACGCATCCACGCCTTCAGGACTATGGCGAAGAGCCACGAGAACTGGCCCAGTATGTGCATCGGCAACTGCCACCACAAACTAGTCTTAAGGAGTTCTCGGAACTGGCCCGTGCTCTCAATCTCTACCGCATGGATCATCTTGGTAACTACACGGGTCACAAGAGCTACTACCTGACCGGCCAACTGGCCACTTTGGAGCAGGCCATTATACAGTATGCTCTTCAGGCAGTCACAGGACATGGCTTTAAACTGATCTCCGTGCCGGACATACTGCCGAGGGAGGTGATTGAGTCCTGCGGAATGCGCACCGATGGCGAACGCACCCAGGTTTACAAATTGGACACCGGCGAGTGCCTGTCGGGCACTTCAGAGATGGCGCTGGCTGGGTTCTTTGCGAATAAGACTCTAGCAGAGGATCAGCTGCCACTCAAGGTGACAGCCGTGAGTCGCTGCTATCGGGCTGAAACCTCGGGTCTGCAAGAAGAGAAGGGCATTTATCGTGTGCACCAGTTCACAAAGGTGGAGATGTTCGCCATCTGCACAGAGGAACAGTCCGAGGCAGAGTTGGAGGAATTCAAGAATATTGAGGTCGATCTGTTCCGACGTCTCGGCCTTAACTTCCGACTGCTGGACATGCCACCTTGCGAGCTGGGTGCTCCGGCGTACCAAAAGTACGATATCGAAGCCTGGATGCCAGGTCGTCAGATGTGGGGAGAAATCTCCAGCTGTAGCAACTGCACGGATTACCAGGCCAGGCGACTAGGCATCAGATATTGTCGTTCCAGCGATGGGCAGATCTTTCATGCCCACACCATTAATGGAACGGCGACGGCTATTCCTCGACTTCTCATTGCTTTGCTTGAGTCTTATCAGCGGGGAGATGCAGTCGAGATACCCGCCGTACTGCGACCCTTTATGGACGGCCAGGAGCTGATCACGCGGGACAAACGGATACCGGAGACGAAGCTTGTCAAGTCTATCAAGGCCTAGGCTAACCACCACATTCTGTACCTTTGACTGTTATCATTAAAACGTTGGACTTATCAACGAAAACAGGGGAATATTTTGAAGCACTCCCAGTGGGTGATATCTGGTAGATCAGGGTATAACACCCTGCGTTTAATCGCACTCATTAATCACCGCGTTTGGCTATTGAATTACAAATTGATTGGTGACCTTTTTACTTACCCTTCGACTCCGCCGAAATATTTCATTCTGAGTTAGTAAGCTGGGTCGAAACGAATCCCAACTGGAATGTGGCTAAAAAGGTTTTGCTGATGTAGAGAAGGAGGTTCCTGCAAGAATCAAAAAACGAGTGCAATTAACCAATAGGCGGTTGCATGATTAATTTTAGCACTGCAACGGGTTGTTAGCACTCGGATCAACCTTATCGCGTTTCATTAGCCCCAAAACATTTGTCAACCGCACAGGTAAGAAAATACCGCTGACACAGGTGAAGTCAGCATACGATTAAAATACATAGCTGAAAGCCAAACAGCCCAAAGGGCAACACAGCAAGAGTTGCATGCGTTTAAAGAATGCAATTTTAGACCAACGGAAGATTTATTTATAGTGTCCTTATTACTGCAAATTTAAATTTCTCTGGCATTTCGCTTTTAAAAAGGTTCCCCTGTATCACAGCTCGTGCTTGGAAAAGTAAGAGCGAAATGCATGCGCGAGCAAAACTAGTTTATAATTTATCCCGCTCACTTTTGCTTACGTTACACATATCTCGCAATTCTCCCGAAATAATAATAATAAAACAGCAGTTGCTGATTTGGTTTACCACACCACGCCCCTTTCGCCCACACAAACAAATAGTCATTAGATTTTGATTAGAAGCGGGGACACGAACTTCAATATTTACGACTACCAACTCTTACCCGGCAGAGCTGAATCCGTCCACGTCCGAACGCTTTGAACAGCAAATGTGTTGTGTTTATACTCATTGCAAGCTTGGCGACTCTTTGATATTTGTATACCCGGTAATTGCAGACGAAATGGGTATATTGTATTTGTCAAGATGTTTGTCAAAATCACAAGAAACCGCTTCCGCCCACATACATAAGTTGTCGACTTTCAATCGGATGTGTTCACTATTATAATAAAAAGAAAAATTATTATTTTTAGTTTTTTTTTAATACGTTATTTCAAACTTATTTTTGATATCTCATAAAAAGAATGTGGTATTTTGTTTAAGGTGTTGCATTATCAGTCAAACCACTCCCTTTTGCTGCTATCTTGTGGATCCAGACCAGCGCCTAACCATCCTCTTTATAATTAGTTTTATATTAAATTAGTTACGAGCCAGGAGTCACTTATAAGACTTATAAGAGTTTTTATCTGCGAACGGAGTATCCCACAGTCGAATTGACTTATTTTCCCGTTTTGTAGTAGACAGTCAGCTGTGCCTCAGTGCTGCTAAGCTAAATAAAATATTTGCCATTCACCGACCAGTAGCGCCAAATTTAAAATAAAATACATTGTTCAGGTTTTTGTCTTTATGTTTATTAAAACGTTACAATTTAATTCTATTACACTTTTGCTTATAAACGAAAGAAACAAATCATTGTCAATTGGTACATCATATTTTATACATCGGTTTCATTTTCAAACTTCTAGTAAACAACAAAACGCAAACACCAAGGTTACAACTTATTTATAAGAGAGTACAAATCAAATAAAAAATCGGCGAAAAATATGGATGTTGACAAGCGTAGATAAAAAAATCAGTTATGTCTCTCATATGGGAAGGGCTCGAAAGGGGCCACACTTTTTTTCTTGCTTTCTCGTTATGTACAAAAAGAAAATGTCTTAAATGTAGTCGAAGTTGGTCGTTGAATGTGCGCGAATGATGGGGGTGGGTTGGGCTGATCCCTATGAGTGAGCCAGTGCTGAAGGGGGTATTGCGGAAGTCCCTTTATTAAAAATTTGTAAAGTTCTTATACGTGCCGGTGTTGTGCTGCTGATGCTGCTCCTGTTGTTGTCCCATTTTATGGTAAATCCTAACTAACATATCTCGGAAAGAGTAAAACACGGTAAAAGTCAATTGTTGAAAGTGTTTCGTGCACGGAACGCCTGTTGGATGGCATCTACCACTTCTTCTTATGCTCGTCCATAGAAACGCCACCAGGGCCCAAGGACACAATCATTAGAAGACCACCAATAACTGACAGAGTCTGCAAACATAGGTAAGTATTAGGGAATACCAGACATAAAACATTTATGGAAACTGACCTGGAAAAAGTCGTACTTCAGGAAATCCCTGAGTGGCTTGTAGGACGGAATAGTCCACCAGGCATTGTGATACAGGTTCAGGATAGTGAGCAGGGCGACCAGGATCAACGCGGACAGCTTGGTCTTATATCCAAGCACGACCAACACCATAAGAATGGATCCTATGATGTCCTGAATAACTTGCCATACGCTCAGCTCAAACCGGATCAAAGTGATGAACATGAAGGCCAGCAGTATGCGGCCAGCCAACTGCATGAAGTTCTTGGGCTTGTTCTCACCCATCGATGGCACGCCGGCGAACAGACTACGCCCCTCTATCCTAGCTTCGGCTAGAACTAGCAAAAGGGCTCCAATGAGCGCAAAGTTACGTAGCAAGAACTGGAAGTCCCACAGAATAGAGTAGGCCACAGTCTGCAATCTAGAGGATCGGGTTAGTTCAAGGCTCCTACTTTAAGGCATTTAAGTTATAGACTTACCTGCAACACTACGATAAAGAAAAGAAGACCCACTGCTATGTCGACCTTGAACCGGGCCATCACCATGCCGCAGCCGCCCAGCTGTCCAAGCAGGTTGACCAGTACAAACACGGTGGCCAGAAATTTGCCGCAGCCCCAGCTCATGTCCATGTACTCGCGCTGCTCGTTCCATTGAAAGTACATGCGCAGGCCATCTTCAAAGAAGGTGGCGATGAGGCACAATCGAGCCACTGTGGGCAACACATTCTTCCCGCGCTTGATAACCTGCCAAAAAAGAGCGGTCGAGTGGTTTTGGTTGAGTTAAGAGCGATCAGGATGGGTGCTGATATGGTGATAAGGGAACTACTGACAATGTGATAACGGATCGAAATATACAATGCTATTGAGCGTGGCTTGCGCGTAGTCGTTGAAAATCGCTCGCTGACTGTGACGTGTCTCTAAACGCTCTATCTATCGTATGCTATCTGCCAGCTAACGGGTTTTGGGTCTGGCTGTCCGTGTAATTTAAATACATGAGTATTGGATGTAAATCGCGAGCAAGTTCACCTGGCTTTCTAGCCGATTATTACGGAACACGACCTGGTCTTTGGCGTCCATCTACCCCGCTCTTTCTCTTTCAGCACTTTCACTTGTGGAGACAGCTCTCTCGCACACACACACGAACACACCCGCTCACAGGTAGCAAAGAGACAGCGAGAGAGAGTTTTCCCTGCGGTAGACTCAACAACCTGGTAATTGATGTACTGGAGTTCAATTGTAACTTATCCAGGTTGCTTCTTATGGGAAGCTAATGCTTGGCACGAAGTCTCCATGTAAGCCGATCGTGATTATAGTGCAGCGTAGACCCTCGAACTTTGCCGCGTTTGGGTGACGTTGGCAGTTTTCCCAGTCTGCAGCTGCCAGGGCTTTTCCCGTAAATCACAATTTGCAACCATTTTACGGCACTCTAAGGAGCATATACGCTCTTGATCAGTAGTGGAACCTATTATATATTACCTGTTCCGCCACATCCTCCGTTTTCGCTATATATTCGTTGGGTATGCTCATGTTGGCAGTTTCAGCTTATCTATCGTTTTTGGGTACTCGGCGGGGAGGACACTTTGGCAATTGGTTATTGGATTCCTGGGCGTCGCGTCGCTCTTCAATTTGTAGTCAAGTTAGCAAAAAATCATGAATTAAAAGGCAGGAACTTAAAAACACACACGCACAACGGAATTGGCTGGCGACCAGTGTGACCGGGCCGTTAGAGTTAAAATACCAACCGGTCTTCAAATAAATACCATGACAAAAATATGTTTATACGTTTTTCAGTCTTACAACCAATGTTGAAAAGTACGCAGATACATGCCTCGATAACATTTTAGCTTAGCTATTTAATAGCATTTATAGTAAATATGATTTGAGGTTTTTTATGTTTATGATTTTTTTCAAGCTTGTAACACAACATGATATCATAACTAATATATAAAAGGAAAACTTTAGAACTTTATTAGATTTAAGTATATATTAGTACTTTTGACTTAGGTACATTTTGTACCTTTCCCAGCACTGCTCAAGACACATCAAAATGTACATCTCTAGTAGAAGTAAAGCAATCGGCGTGCAGCTAAGTTTTAAAGGGAAATAAACGCTTCAGTACAATGTCCGCAGCACCAAAAAGACAAAAAGTGGAAAATACCGCCCAGGAAACGAAGATCAAGCCAAAGGAAAAGAAAGTCAAAGCCAAAACCCAGGATGCCGGATACGGATCTGGTGAGTTTTCTGTAGACTGGGATGTGGACAGTTACCGTACAGAATACGAAAGCGAGGAACACTGGGATTTGCGGCGCAGCTTCATGATGGCCCACAAGGATCGATTTGAAGAGGACCGCCTTGTGTGTCTGGCACAGACATTCGTGAACATGGAGTTTATGGGCTGCAAATATCCCAGCGAGACGATGCACCTGGTAGCGGAACTGTCAAAGGAGATTGCCGAGGATTTCCGCCGGAAACGCGAACAGCGGCTGAAACGAACTTTCGTATCAGCCTCTGATGCCGCGGAGCAGCGCGCCAAAGGTAGACGGAAAAACAATTAAGGGAGATTTTTTATAACAATAGTAACTATACGAGCGAGAGACCACAGCCTAATGCCTAATTCCAACAACTAGGGCGCCGGGCAGCAGCCGCACCCGCAGCGGATTCCCAAAAGGATAGCTCGAATAGATCCACACGAGAACGCCTGTGTTTCGGCGGTGGCGAGCCAATCAATCTGTTCCAAGGCCTGCGTTTCGGTCAGCTCATATTGTTCTTGGCCGGTGGGCGTAACTGCCTGCGAAACTCCTGCACTAGTGCCAATTTGAAGTATGAGGAGCGTGCTAGCAAAGATCAGCCTGCTACCGCCATGACAAAGTACGCCGATGTATTGATTAATGACGAGGTAATAGCTTCTGGACAGGGAGAAAATATTAAGGCGGCTAGGTTTGCGGCCTTCAAACAAGCGCTGCTTTTTCTGCAGTCTCATTGCTATAGCATTAAGGTATAAATAAACAGGATATTTTTGAGGCCAGAATCTAAATTTTCCTCTCTTCGTCCAGTTGAATGCCACCCGCGAAACCATCAAGGTCAAGAGGAGCAAAAAAGGTGTAAAAATCGATGTAACTAAGGATTCTGCAGACAGCCAGGGCGATCAAAAGTTGGATGAAAGCAACAAAGGCTATCGCATGATGCGACTGATGGGCTGGGCGGGTGGTGGCTTAGGGCGCCAGAAGCAAGGAATTGAGGAGCCAGTGAGGTAGGTTTCCGATTCCATATATTATAACGTACCGCTCTAAACTCCTTTTAATTTAAGTTACCTGATGAAGATAAATCGCAATGGCCTGGGATCAAAACAACCGCAAGGAATTCTTGAGGACTACCGCACCTTAATAGAAAATTATGTGAACTCAGACGACATGCGTGATATGCTGTTTGAGCCCACGTTTTCGAAAGAAGAGCGCGCCGCGTTTCATCAGTAAGAATCTTGATAATTTTCTGTTGTCTATAAAAGTATAATTGTGGCCTTCTCTTTACAGAATGGTCAGTCGATTTGGCCTGCGATCCAGCAGTCATGGTGCTGGTCAGACACGGCAGCTTTTGATCACCAAGAAGGTCAGCTATGCAGAAATACTCACTGAAGTACTGTCCCGACGCAATCCGAAGTTTTGTGAACGTTACTTTGTGCAGGTGCCCATGCAAAAGGCGCTGTTATTTCCCGGTCATGTGGCCGAATTGGTATTGGAAAATATGTGCGAATAGGCAGGAAAAACAAAGAAAGACTTAGCTCGTATAGTACTCGTATAAAAAAATCTTCCCATTAGTCTTAGCATAAAGGATAAAAAATATAAATACCATATAATATAAAATTTATAACTGTGTATTTTATGTATACGTTTCGTGGCGAATGTCGAAAACAGATTGTAATGGAAGAAGAAGAGACAATGCAGTTGCAGTTTGTGGTTTAGCGTGTTTTGCTAATGTTTTAAACGTATCGCGATGAATAAGTGTCCTCGATGTGGCTGTGAGGCGGCTGGAGAGAACCGCTTGGTGACTGATAGTTGTGGGCACAGCAAGTGCCGCGTCTGCCTGTTAGCAGATAAAACTGATTGCCTTGAGTGCCGAGTTGCGAGCCAGCAAAGTGAAAGGATTCGAGACAGACAGGAAAGCAAGACCATAACTTCTGCGGATAAGCAAATCATTATTACTGACCAAGGCTACCACTGCACAGTATGCAAAAAGGACTTTCGCAGTCGGACTCAGCAATACTATCATCTCGCCTGCGGCAACGATCTTCTCAAGAAATTCAGCTGCAAGGAATGCGGTCGCGTAAGCTGAGGGTATTTTTGCCCTAAGAACTTCTTTTAATAATTCCACTCTTTTTCCAGAGGTTTGCGAGTCGGTCCCATTTAAAATACCACATAAGCAGTCATGAGAATCAACCAAAGCACTCGTGCAGCGTATGCCAAAAAAGTTTTAAGCAGCCTGCTATTCTACAGCGCCACTTACTAACGCACAAACCAGAGCAGCACATGTGTCATATATGCCAGAAGGTTTTCCGACGCAAGAGCTCCCTTGAAAGTCATATGACGATTCACAGCGAACTCGGCCTACAGTACAAATGCGAACTGTGTTCAAAGCACTTCCAGAACAAGGCCAATTTGAACCAGCACTTTCGTAAGCACGACAAGAACAGCATTCGGCACAAGTGCAAAGTTTGCCAGAAGTCCTTTCTACGCCAAACCACGCTTCGACTACATATGAAGCGTCATTCGAATCGTGAGCGCCAGTCTTGCTACCTGTGCGGTAAAAGTTACAACGACGCTGATGCGCTTAGTCGCCACTTAAGGCAACATAAGACCGTTGAACGCTACCGCTGTATCCAATGTGACATCACGGTCAACCGGAAAGACAACATGCTCCGCCACCTGCGCTCAATGCATCCTGGATGTGCGTTTGAGAGTGGTGTGGAGATTGTTACACCCGGACCCAATACTCAAAAGGAAACGGAGGCGGAACAACCAGCCGAAATTGTGCGTTACAATAGCGTAATTCAAAGCGTGGGAAACGTGGACCCAGTAGTGTTACCGCAAACTCCGCTACTACCAACTCCACTTCCCGAACTGCAACTCGAGCAAGCAAAAACTGCATCAGAACACATGCCACTGCCGGATGTTATGCCTGAGGAGAACGTCCTGCTTTATCGCAAGATCATCTTGGACTTGGACAACGAAGAGTATTCAAATGAGCCTAGCCCCGACGATGCTCAAGAACCAATCTTGCAGCAACGTCAGCCGCGTGGCCCCGGGCAAGGCAGCTCCAAATTTAGCGAAATGCACTGGCGCAAGAATTTCAAGTATTGGTACCAAAACGAAGAAAACACAAATTGAGGATCTAATCTGTATTGTGTTAGGCCTTTTTCGCAGGGCCCTCTGATTTATTAGCGATAAGTCAGGTGCTGCGAACCGAAGCATACCGTAACAGTCTTGTTGGCCGCTAGCCATATTTCCGCGTGCCGACGTCATTGCCAAGTTCGCCGGCCATCGGAAGCAGCAATACCGCTTAATTTGTATCTAACAGTATTCAATATGTTGGACGAGCGATCGGAAGTCGAGACTCTGCGTCAGGTTTATTACCTAACGGATGGTGCGTCGGGAAACTGGCACAAGTTACTCGCTTTGGGCGACTGCATAGATCAGCAGCTGAAGCGAAAGCTGCTTTGGATGTGGCCCTCATTGGTGGACTTGGACTACTTTAATCAGCTTCTGGCCATGCACGACATTCAACGTATTTTGAGCATAGGCTGTGGGAGCGGTCTTTTAGAATGGCTAATGACTGCATCTGGTGGGCGTAAAGTATCTATGTTTGGCCTTGAAATCGATCGTAACTGGTGGCAGAGCAAGTACGCCATTCGAAGTTTTATACCCCTTAACTATGTGGAGGATTATAATCAATTGAATACGGATTTATTGAGCAGGTGCTGTAATGGCACCCCGCCTTCTGCCTTGCTCTTCTGCTACTTTAACAATCGAGGTGCATTTTTAGACTATCTTAAAGTGTTTACGGGAAAGTGGTTAATATTGATTGGACCACTGCCCACTCTGGGAATCCACACAGATCCCAATCCTCTTCAACCCCAATTGCCTGCTGACGAGTGGACACTCCGAGAACGTCTCAACTGGACTGACCATAACATTGTGACGTTCTACGAAAAAATTATTTAGTCTCTAGTATGTAGTATCTATGTAATTGTAGTAATAAACCATTGCCTTATGTCATAACTAGTTTCTATTTACTTCTATGTGGAACTTGCAAGCTGGTATGCTCTGAACTTCGGCAGTCACCGTACTATTGATGCCCAGATTGCTAAGGGCCCCACGAACCAAGCCACAAGTGAAGGCCACAAACTTGGGCGCGTGTTCTAGCTGCTTGGTGCCATGTGAAATACGCGTTAGGAAACGGAATGCCTTGTCCTGTACCACGTACATGCCATGATTGTTCGTCCTTAAGTTGTCCACTTGCTTTTTGTAGATGAGCGTCCAAAAGTCGGTGCATATAAATTTCATGGTCTCCAGCTCATCCTTAAATCGCGACACCTCGCGGGTGAGTCGCTCAATCAGGCGGTAGCCCGTTGTGAAGCCTATGTACTCCAGCGTGGCCAGGTCGTGCTCCTAATAGGCGGAACCAAATAAAAATTTATTGTTAGTCTGGATTTTTAATTTACGCCAGTTTTTACCTTATTGCTGTCCAAACAATAGTTAACTATCTCCGCATGAAGGCAGTCAAAAAGGATTTCTTCGGACATTTTCAAGATATATATTTTTCTTTTAGGGCTCAACAAATTTTTCTCGGATTTCGATTTGTTTTGAACTGCTGTTAAACAGCTGATGCTGGCGTTAACGTGCGAATGTCAAGCAAGATTTGGCGGATTTTTAATCTTTTTTTTTTGTTATTATTGAGGTTTGTTTTTTAAAGTTTATTTATATGAAAAGTCTTATAATACTAAGAATAATTTTTTTATTTAAACTACATTTTTTTTATTACGATAACTATTTTTACATTATTTTTATTTATTTCATTTTACTTATGGTCATCGCTTATTTGGCATCACTGATCATTAAGGGGGTGTTTGGCCAAAACGACAACAAAAAATGTATACAAAATCCTGAAGATTTTAATTCTTAATATTAGTGAATTAAAATTACCAAAATAACATTTAAAAATCAATCTAGGATGCTGGGCGTCGATCACAAAGCCGCGTTACACAGCATGGTGTGTCAGGCGCTCCTGGTGCTGATATGTTTGGTTTGCTACGGATGTGGCGGTCTCAGTGGAGCCAAATTCGTCTTCGATGACACGGTGGCCATCGTCAAAAATCGGGATGTGAACTCACTGCCAACCAACTGGACGGCGATTTTTACGCACGACTTCTGGGGAGCCTCTTTGCTCAGTACCGACTCACACAAGTCGTTCAGGCCATTAACCACATTGATGTTCCACTGCGAGTACGCTTTGTTGGGCCTGAGTGCTGCCCACATGAAGTTTCTGAATCTCCTGCTGCACTGTGTCAACACATTGCTAATGTGGCGTTTGATTCGATCTCTTTATGCTCCGGAGGTCAATACGGAGCGATGGGCTATTCTCTCGGCAGCGCTCTTTGCTGCCCACCCAATCCATACTGAGGCGGTCTCCGGAGTGGTGGGCAGAGCAGAGCTTATGTTCGGGATGATAAACTTGCTTTGCCTTTTGTTGACCGTGGCCAATACCGGAAAATATGGTCTTCAGACTGGCACATTAATCCTGATATTCACCGCCGTGGGAATGCTTTTCAAGGAGTCAGCAGTGACCATTCCTATGTCGTGTATGCTGTTGGATTACTTTCAAAACGGCTACTATCATCTGCAACTTAAGGACCAATGGAATCTTTTGCGCACCCGAATGAGTTACTTAACCTACTTGTTGGGTACTTTAGCTCTGCTCACCGCTCGCCTTTGGTGGCAGGATTTTGAGACGCCAACGTTTAAGGAAGTGGATAACCCAGTGGCCTACAACGAGCATATACTTACTCGTGGGCTCTCACAGCAGTATCTGCTGGTCATGAATGTCTGGCTGATGCTCTGTCCCCACTGGTTGTGCTACGACTGGGCTTTGGGTTGTGTTAAGCTGGTGACCAGCATTTGGGACCTCAGACTGCAGGGCGTAATTGGGTTCTACTCTATAATGCTGGTTGCTTTGATGAATTTCCGTCGCCTGCCTGGAATGATGCTCGCTCTGGGCTTGATGATCATCCCGTTTCTGCCCGCGTCGGGAATCATTCGCGTGGGATTCGTGATTGCGGAGAGGACACTTTACGTCCCATCCATTGGCTTTTGCCTGGTGTCCATCCACGGATTTCTTTACTGGTATGACAGCAGCGCGGGTAAAACTTATTGGCGCACTGGACTACGGATGTTCCTGATGCTGCTCTTCACCGTAATGATGTTACGAACTCGACAGCGAGCCACGGACTGGCTGAATGAGGAACAGTTATTTAAATCCGCATTACAGGTGTGTCCTGACAATGCCAAGGTGCACTACAACATCGCCCGGCTGGCCACAGATACGGGAAACAATACAAAAGCCTTCCAGCACTATCACAAAGCCATTGAATTGTATCCAAACTATGAGTCAGCTCTGATGAACCTCGGCAACCTATACCGGGAGCATGGGCAACTGGCCACTGCTGAGGACTACATTCGATTAGCTCTGCAGGCTTATCCAGCATTTCCGGCGGCATGGATGAATCTGGGTATTGTGCAATCGGCCCAGGGAAAGTTCGACAAAGCACTAAACAGCTATGAGAAGGCCCTAAAATATAGGGCCAACTTCGCCGTCTGTTACTACAACATGGGGAATTTGTATCTGGAACAGAAGCTTTACGCTGAGGCCCTTCATCATTGGCAGCACGCTGTGGCTCTCAATCCCCGTCAGCCGAAAGCCTGGGCGAACATTCTGACAATGTTAGATAATCGTGGATTGCAGGACGATGCGCTTCGCATCTCAAATCAGGCCCTGCTGCATCTTCCCAACGATGCCAGTATCCTGTTTATTCGGGCCAATGTCCTTGGAAAATTAAAACATTACGTGGAGGCTGAGTCGATTTATAAGCGTGTTATAGATCTGGAGCCAAAGAACATGCTATATTACACAAATCTCGGTGTGCTCTATCATCGCTGGGACAAGTCTCAGGAGGCTATAGAGGCTTATCGAACAGCGATAAGTATTAACGTTGCGAGGGCAACGACAGCGCGGGAGAATCTCAGTAAGCTTCTGAAACGATTGGAGCGGGAGGCGCAGGTAATCCAAAGATAAGCGTCAGCTTTCAAGTAACGCCTCAAAATATGGAAATAACCAATAGTTAATTGCCTCTGAACGTTAAGATCTACCACCACCTATTTGTGTTTTTTAAAACTAAGATGTAAAACTTTCAAACTATATACATTTCCTAAGCTTGATTAATCATTAACTAAATAGGAGGTTGTGGGTTTAAGCACTAGTCCCATTAAGATATTTATGTACTTACTTTTGAAAGACATTAAAAATAGATAGTTTAAATTATTAAATGCAGAAGGATTGAAATCAGTGCAATATATGTATATCATAAGCCCATATCCCCCAAACAGTGAAATCTCAGTATATTTTATTTATTTTTAGTATTAGTTTAGGATAATTTATTTATTTACTCGAGGGTATATACAATTAATGTTAAAACTAATTAATGATCGAACAATTACAAGACTTACACAAATTAACTAAATTCTAAAACGTAAGGACTACATGAAATACTTTGAAAAATAGTGACAATTGTGGCACCATTGTAAAATGATTCAATTCCATTAAAGATTCATGATTTTAAAATAATAATACCGCAAATTACAATAGTTTATATATAACAGATATAAATAGATCGGGCTGCTGGAACATGAAAAAAGCTGAAACACTTTGGCAGAATGCGAGACTACAAGTCGAACAAAAGAGAGATTAACGTGGACACCAGTAAATATTCAAGATACATGCATGCGTCTATGTACTATATGCGTAGGCGTAAAGGTATAACAAAGTCTTTGTGTTTGAGATACGGGTCTGTTGGGTTTTTCTATGCGAGCAAGCGAGCAAAGGCGGTTGGAAACTAAATCAAATAATAAGAGCAAATAACACAGCTAGCACAGCAACAAGGTTATGGGGCGGCAATGATTTAGAGCAGCACGAACTCCTCGCTTTCACTATCATCTTGGTCATTGTCATCGCCATGTTGTGGCGGCGACAATTGGGCGCCCAGTTCTTGGGTAAGAGCAGCAACCTGTTTAATAAGTGGCTTATACAGCGAATCGCTCATCTCGTCCCGCTCGTGATCCAGGCAACGGCCTCGAGAGAATGTGAACAGAGGATAGTTCATTTCTATTTGATCAGCCTGTTGATGAGTTGATTGAGGTGTCACTTGATGACTTCCAGTCGCCTTATCCACAGTTGCTCCGGAGGCACAGCGCATCGGATGTAAATACTAAGATAGTTGACAAATGTTTTAAAATATTAGGAAACAAAAATTTGAGTTTGGCTTACCAGTTGCACGCTTTCCATAAAACTGTCGAAATCACTCTTGGTGGCACAGTAAAAGCCGATGCAACAGCTAGGATCCATTTTGCTGGCCTTCAGTTTTCGAGGGGACTTGCAATGGAACGTTTGCAGGGAAAAGTTTTCTTGGTTTACATCCACCATTTCCTGGCAATAGTGCGGATCCAAATGGATGAGCCTGTCTTCCTGGAAGCCCACAAAGTACAGCGAGTGCTTGGGCTTGCCGCCAATGATGCCCAGACAGTGTTCCGTACTTAGTAGCAGCTTCAGGCAATGGGCATACACTGGATTCAGTTTATCGCTACCCAAACGCAAGGGGATGAGCACGATGATTGACTTCCAGTGTTGCTGCTGATCCGGTTTGGGAGTTTCAGCCTGTGGTCGCTTTGCTTGTTGCCAAGGCACATGGGGTTTTGGCGCCGGTTCTGGAATGCTGCACTGATCCTCAATATCTTGCATATAAACTGAAATACAAAACAACAGTTATCAGGTCAAATACGTTATCAAATAAACCCAATGAATAATGAGCTTTAGTAACAAGGTTGCAGCAATTACTCATGGGCGTATCTATGTGTCATGTCACCTATCTTGTGAATCTTCAGTTTAGGGAATTCTTTCTGCTTGTACTCACTTGTGCAATCTTTGGCCACATAGACGCTAATATTGTCAAAGTCTGCATTTTCCTGAGCAGCATGCTCTAAGGCGTGTCTGGGGTAGGTTAAAAGATTATTAATTGATAAAGATCCCTCATTTGATAACCATCTGCACTTACTTAAGTAAATAGGAGACCGAGGCGGGACCGTACCAATCACCAGGCTTCTTTCCCAGACGCTCCCCTAACCGCACCAGGGCGTGGATAGAAAAGGGACTGCTTTTCGAGGAACTATCCCCAAACCACTTGACGATTTTCTTATGCATGTTATCTTCGTAAGTTGAATGCAACTGTGACTCTGAATCATAGCGCCAGCCTGAAAGGAAGCAATCCTTTTAAAAACTAAATTGTTAAGTTTGTTCATATGACTTACTGCGTCCTAGGAAATGACAGATGAGTCCTTGGGCCAAGAGCATTTGACCACTCCTTAGCATACAGCCCCAGCCGCAATCCGAGGTGTAATTAGAGCCATTCATTATAGGGAACTCTCGCCGGTATGTCATCCAGATCCTACTATAGAAATCGCGACGAAAGCCCTCAATTCCCTCCTCCCAGGGCTGTTCCCCCACTTGGTTCTCGACAGCGTCCATTCCCAATTCTTGTGGCACAATAATCTCATCGATCTGCTGCGGAATTAGAGTTGGATACAAGGAGGCAGACGTCGATGTAGCCTGTATGCTGTCAAACGCCGATGTGGCGTTGTCTGGCGTTGTATCAACTCCACTGGGCATCTCGGTGATCGAACTTTCCATGCTTACTGGTGGCGTAAAGCGGCGATGGTAGCACCGTCCTAATAACCACACGGGTTGCTCCTTAGAGAAGCTAGTCTGCCGCATCTTTCCGCTCCAGCCGTATTTGACATTATGCCACATGGCTACAAGCTTTGATTCCATTCCCTTGGTGGGCGTTCGATTGGCCGTCAGGTCACCAGGTTCCTCGCTGTGCTGTTCCACGTGACCACAGCTTGGACCGCTGCTGCCGCTGCCGCCATAGAGCTGACTAAAGGCGTTCATAAAACGTGATGACGTCGATATTTTGCGCTGCGGTGTCGCTGTCGCAGCGTTTTCCGACTTGAGGTTCAGATTCGCACCTGATGTGCTCACAGGTGAGGGGGAGGGGGCGCGTGGAACGGCGAATACGGTGCGAGGGATCGTTTGAATGGTTGCTGCCTGCTCTTCCCCGATAGCGCCATCCTCCACCAGCGGCATAGACAGTGGCTCCGTATCCTGACCGCATATCCGGCTGCCCTCAACAATGCTTCCTTCGCCGGCGGCTTCGAAGAGCATCAGTTTTTCGTCGGTCAACTTGGAAAGAAGGCCGTCATAGTTCATCTGCTTAGAGGCCGAAGATTGGGACATGTAAACAGAGGCGGAAGTGGAAGATGAGCGACGCTTTGTTCGCAGCTTGGGGAACTTAAAGAACTGCGGCATGGCAATCTCGGTGCGAGCCACTTGGTGGCCCTGGTTCAACTGACAAGCAAACCACCGATTGCGTGCTAATTACAAATGTTTACTCACCGTTTATTTGTTGACAAAATAAGATAAAGTAACTACACGAAATTTGTTTCTTATTCTTATTCGCGAAAGGTACAATTGCCAATTTCAGCGTTGCCAGATCGCCGGATTGCTCTATTTTGAATATGTATGTCAGTTGTGTTCTGAATTTCATTAATACAAGAGCGGATTTTATGTTTGGTGAGCATTTAATAATTTGGGATAAGTAATCAATTTAAATATACCTTGCCATTTAAAATCTTGTAATGTAATAAAAAGACGTTCTTTAAATTACCTTTATAAAATGCATGATTATAAATTATTATCAGCAGTTTTCAGAGAATACTATTCTGGGAACATCGTAATTCACTTCCGGCATTGGGGCAGTCTGGCAGCCCCGAGACAAGAACAACCAGCTGTGCGGGTGCTAAATTCTATTGCGCAACGCTAAAATTCCAAACACACGCCACACACAACATTAGTGACAGCCATTCAAAATGGTAAGTGATGCAAATTCCTGCAAATTAAAGCGCTTAGTTAATCGAAAATTTCCCGCCCAGCAAGGCCCAATTCAAAGGTTGGTGTACACATTCGGTCATCGCACCTGTAGCCAATTGCCGATGATCGGCGGAGCAGCGATATCCAGCACAAAACCATCAACAATGGCCCTCTCCGTTCGCCAATCCTCTTCATCCGTGCTGGCTACGGAATCATCCAACAAAGGGATGATTATCCTGAACCGCCCCAAGGCGCTTAACGCCATCAATTTGGAAATGGTGCGAAAGATCTATAAGCACCTGAAAAAATGCGAGAAGTCTAAGTCGCTGCTGATCATTAAGGGTACAGGTGACAAGGCTTTCTGCGCTGGTGGAGATGTGCGGGCCTTGGTCGAAGCGGGCCCCACGGACGAATCGAAGAGCTTTTTTCGAGAGGAGTACAGCACGAACGCTCTTATTGGCAACTATAAGATACCCTACATCGCTATCATCGACGGCATCACAATGGGCGGCGGTGTAGGACTGAGTGTGCATGGAAAGTACCGTGTGGCCACCGACCGTACCCTGTTCGCCATGCCTGAGACGGCTATCGGTCTATTTCCGGACGTGGGCGGTTCCTATTTCCTGCCCCGTCTGCAAGGAAAGTTGGGTCTCTACTTGGGATTGACTGGTTATCGGCTGCGCGGCGGTGATGTCTTCTTTTCGGGCATTGCCACGCACTACTGCGATAGTAGCAAGATACCTGATCTCGAGACGGAGCTGCTAAACTGCCCCGATGCAGACGATGTGCCCGAGCTGTTGCAAAAGTTCCATTCCACGCCGGAGAAACCATTCTCGCTACAGCCTTTCCTGGAGCAAATCAACAAGAACTTTTCAGCGGACTGTGTGGAGGGTATCCTGGAGAACCTACAGAACGACGGCAGTGAGTGGGCCAAGAAAACGCTTGAGGTAAGCGGCTCATAAAGTGATAAGAACACAATCAGATGTTAATTGGTTGGGCCAATCAACGCTTGACGCGCTTTTAGCGGCTAAATATTTGATCCGTTCTCAGCCAATTAGCGGAGGTTTAGGAGGAGGCACGACTTTTCATGACTGACACTCATAAATTATCGTTTGTTCGTCTATTTTAGACCCTCTCCAAGATGTCTCCCACCTCGATGAAGGTCACTTTCCGCCAGCTGGAGCTTGGCTCTCAGCTGTCGCTGGCTCAGTGCCTCATAATGGAGTACCGCCTGGCTGTGCGCCACTTGGAGCGTAGCGACTTCAAGGAAGGAGTACGCGCTCTGCTGATCGATAAGGATCAGAAGCCTCTGTGGCAGCCAACCAAGCTGGCCGATGTCACCGATGAGCATGTGCAATGGTTCTTCCGCAAGTTGCCGGACACCGAGGAACTCAAGCTGTAATATGACGGGCCTAGTTTTATTTTTGTTTGAGCCTGCCAATATTGTTTGCCTTCCGTTAAACCGCTCATTATTATATATACACTCCAGATCACCTTTGTATATATACCTATGCAAGCTTGAGTTATGTTATGCATGGTTCCGTGCCTGCCGTTTTGCAATATTCGTTATATTTACCTTTTACGTTCTACGGCCACAGTTTGACAAGCTTTGTCGCATAATTATCCGCAATCTCTTCTCTGTTTCATTCCAACAGCGAGTAACTTCGAGGGAAATCCTTGCAATTGTCTGTATTTACCAATAACGATCGTGAAATTCAATGCATTTAAATATATGATATACATATATGCCTATATATATTATATACAATTCGTAGTCCTAATACATTCAATAATTGTGCCTAAAGAATCGATAGAATTCGTTTAACAAGAATAAAGTGTATATGTTTAATAACTGTTCGTTGTTAGCGTCTAAGCATTATTATCCTTTAGCTTGATACTGTCCTCCACCATGTTTGTCAACTCGACCAACTTATCGATCTGCGTAGCCTGAAAATTCAATTTGCATAGCTCCTGTTTCCACGATGTGACATCCACTCGAAGCTGGACGCGAATCTTATCATCGTCGGACATCACGCTCGAACTTCCTGCCGAGACCGGGGCGGTTCCACCACTTTTTACGTTCCGTAGTCGGCGCAAGGATTCTTCAGTTTTTTGGACAGAGGTGAGGACATCATTCACGACATTAAAGTACCTAAGATGCAAATGAAGATTTCACTTAGATATGTTTATATTAAGCGATATGCGATTCTGACTTACGCCTTGGTTATGTGACTGGCAACCTCAGACAAGATCTGCTCCACTACTAGAGTGCCAAGTTGGGATTCGTTCTGCTGTGCGAACGTCTTGAGCGGCCGAAGCATTTGCTCCACATATCCCGAGCAACGAGAAGGAACCTCTCGATTAGTCTTGCGATACAATCGCGGTAAGTCATTCACCTGCCGCACGTTCTCCGACTCACATTCTCCAATTAGCAACTCCACCAAGGTCTTTTGAATACTCGTCAAATGTGCTGCCAACGTGTCGGCTAAGGCGGACATGGATTTGGCCAGGACATCGTTAAATATTTTCGTACGCTGTTCCGCTGGTACAGATTGAACAATCAATTGCTGGAGTTCTGGCAGATACGCATCCAGTTTTCGGATATCTGCGTGTAGGGCAATAAGCAATTGGTGTCGAGTGTAGGACTTTGCAAAGTTACTGCTTTTTGACACAGCAATTGCATCTGTAATCCAGCGCGATAGACGCAAAACTATCTGCACATTAAGTTTGTAGAATTTGGGAAACACTTCCGGCAGGTAAACACCTTCGGCCCAGCATCGTGACATAGCTTCCTTGGCGGCATTAAATGGCATTACTCTGTAGTCCTTTTCATGGAGATTGGTTTTTAAAGTGTCGTCCTGAAGCACAGGTTCCAACTTGGCTTCAAATTGGCCAGCAATTTCCTAGAATCATTTAAAACAATATTAATACTATGCTATTTGCGATAAACTTTTTTTTTTATACCTGAAAGCATATTTGGAAGTAAACTGGGAGATTCCAGCGGGCCTCGAAGCTCTTTGTTTGTTTGTGCTGCCGGTAAAGGGTCACCGCCTGCTCTCCAGAACTTGTCAACAATTCCTCTATTTTGCCTAAAAAGTCGCGGGTGCACTTGTATTTTACGTAGAATACCTCAGAATTGCCAGGAGCGAAAATTGAGTTCATGTGAAGTTCCAGACGAGTCTCCACATCAGCCCAGTAGCTGTTCACCACGAAATTAAATCCCGGAAACTTGTCGGAGTACAGCGTTAGGCGCAACAGGTCGGTCATATGCAGCGATATAAAATTAAGGATCTTGCTGTAGATGCCAGCAAGTCCCTGGGGCGAGTTCTGTAACTGCTGCTCTCCGATGACGCCGGTCATGTAGGGTGCTACGACATCTTCGCGGAAGACGCGCTCCGCCTGACCACAGGCATTAAGGGTTATGTAGATGCGAAGGCAGCGTTCCAAGGGTTCCGCTGCCGAATTGCGAGCCTGGCAAAGGGCGTCATTAAAGAAGCGTCGCAGATGCTGATGCAGCTGCTCCTCCAACTGCTGAATCTTTCCCTGCTGATCGGCATTCAAGTGCTTGAAACAGTGTTTCTCATGAAATTTTAATTGAATTAGGTCCAGGGCAGCGCGCTCTAAGTCAACCGCCTTGATTGGTTGTTCTCCACTTAGCTTCCGGTCGATTAGGTCCTGAAGTTTGTTGATGGTCTCATAAACTTTCTTTAAACTCAGCAGGCCGCGTTTAAATTCACGCAGCTGGCGCTTTTCCTCCAACTGGGCTTTCAGCTCAACAACATTTTCGTCGATCAGGCCATGGATGCTTTCTATGTCACTGCGGAACTGCTCCAGCGGCCGCTGTATGGTCTCAATGTTTTGGTCCAGGCCTACCAGGTTAGCGCTCAAGTTTACAAAGTCCGCATAGTCTTCGTTGATTAGATCGATCATAGCCGCTCGCAAGCCTTTAAGATAAAGACCCAGGTTGTCACGAAGCTGCTCGAGACTGGGCGCATTACGGTTCTTGTGCAGAAACTCATCCACCGAGAAGTTTGCCTGTGCGAAGGAATGTTAGCCAGAAAACAGAAATCTTGCCGGATTTTCTTACCTTCATAAACTCATTCTTGTCAAAGCACAGTTTCTCCGCAGTGCTTGTTGAGCCAGCGGTCAGGGGTGCCGACTTCTTGACAGGATCATGCATTGCCTGAAATAAATATTAATTATTTTCAGGCTAAAACAAATTGCCACGAAAGTTAATCGTTTGATGACATCGATATATTGATGAGAGTTCCAGTGCTGCTCTTTTAACGAAAACAGCTGTTTTTGGCGGGAAAATGCAGGAGAAAGCTTACATATAATAAGATAAGTGAATTGGGGCATAGTTTTTGCAACCTCTTTGCATGTTATTAGAGCAAAAAAAAAAACGTATATATAAAATAAAACATAGAAAATTAATATATATAATTAGGCAGGGGGCATAAAAAGAGCCACATTTGACGGGAAAAATCTAAAATGGCAGTCATGACTTGGAACTACCGCGATAGACCGATACAAAAAACGCCGACTGATATCGAAAATTTGTTTATAAAATACCTTGAGCGAATAAAATCCACAAAATTAAGCATATTCTCATTATTAAGTCGTTAAATTTGATTCAAGTTAAACCAATATTATGCCGAAGAACGGAAGTAATGGCCACCGAAACAATGCGCCTAGGAAGCGTCAATTGCCAGCTGTGCAGCTGGATGAGGAGAATCCTATTGTTCAACAATTTCGCATCTACTCCAATGAACTGACCATGAAACACGATCGCCACGAGAGAATCGTTAAGTTGAGCCGCGACATTACTATCGAGTCAAAACGGATCATATTTCTACTACACTCCATTGACTCGCGGAAGCAGAACAAAGAGAAGGTCCTTGAGGAGGCACGTCAGCGGCTTACAAAGCTGATTGAGGTGAACTTTAAAGCCGTGGCCCTCGAGCTACGTGACCAGGATGTTTATCAGTTTCGCACTGCCTACTCGCCGGGGTTGCAGGAGTTCATTGAGGCCTACACCTACATGGAATACTTGTGTTACGAGGATGGGAAGGGCGAGTACGAAACCAAGACCGTATCCGACTGGCAGGCCATCCAGGCGGTAATGCAGTACGTTGAGGAGAGCAATAAACCCAAGGAAGAAGAATCTGAAGGCGTAGAAAAAGAGGTTGTAGCTATAACGGAGGGGGAGAGCCCTAAGAAGTTTCAGTTTTTCGTGGACCCAACCGAATATATACTGGGACTCTCCGATCTTACAGGAGAACTAATGAGGCGCTGCATCAACTCTTTAGGCAGCGGTGATACTGACACCTGCTTGGAGACTTGCAAGACCTTGCAACATTTTTACACTGGGTAAATAAAATGAATTTACTTAAATTATTCTGAACCAATCGTAATCTCTATTGCCCTTCAGTTACATTAGCCTGAATTGCCAGAGAGCTCGGGAACTATGGCGCAAGATCACAACAATGAGGCAGAGCGTCCTCAAGGCCGAGAATGTCTGCTATAATGTTAAAGTGCGCGGCGGAGAGGCTGCCAAATGGGGAGCCACCTTTGACCAAAAGCCAACCGAAGACGTGGATGAAGGATTCTACTAGTAAAACTCCATAGAAATAAGTTTACAACAAACGTACATATATATTTAACCAATTCTTTGATAAATGGAACATTAAATCTAAATTAACTGTGAATTCAAATGGGTAATCTAATCATAATCATCGCTGTTTATGCGTTGGCTGTCGAACTCCAGCTCATCATCGTCATCTTCGTCAATATCTGCGCCTGGACGATAGTCTGTATCTCCGTAATTTTCGTCTGCAAAGGGGTCATCCTCTTCGTCCGTTCCAGAGTCATTGTCATACTGCCGCTGGTTTTGTCGTTGGCGCAGACGGCTTCGGATGTTCTGTTCGGAGTTGACTAGAGTGATCTTTAGCCAATTTGAACCCAGTGCAAAGGAGTCGTCCTACTTACAATCGGCTGGGTGGGAGTGCTCTTGGAAGTGAACTGGATTACGGCGATAACAGGCGTTGCCAAAGGGACAAGCAGGAGTTCCGAGTGGTGGGTCTGGGAAGTTGGGACGCCGATAGTCCTGATCTCCCGGATGAGCCTCTGCACTACGATGAGCTGGATTTCGCCTAGCATTGAAATAATGCGTTACTGGGTGTTCGATGAAAATTGTTTATTTTCCATTACCTGTAGCATCGGATACCAAAGCGACAAGAAATCCTAGTGCTACTTGAAGATACTGATGAGTCCACGGCAGCCTGTGCACTAGAATTAGTGGGCTCGGTCTTTATCGCGGCAGGTGAATTTCTATTGGTTGTTGGTTCCGTTTTAACCTGGATAGTATCACTGCTGGTGGCGGGCTCATCTACATCATCAACTGGCTCCGATTTAATTTTAACAGGAGTATCAGTATTTGGTTCGTCCTTAACAGAAACCAGAGGTTCCTCTGATTTCATGCGTTTTATTGGGCTGGTATCTGTCTCTAAATTTTCGGAGTTACTGTCCAAGGCTTCAGATGGGGATTTTCTTTTAGTTCCGCTATCTGCTTTGGAATCTTCGGTTTCCTCCACTTTATGAACCACATTTTCCTTATCTTCTAGGCTCATATCGACCAAGTAGATTTAGTTAAATTTTCAAAATACTTGCATTTCACAAGAACGCAATTTTGTTTTTGTGGTTTGCAACACTTAGTCGTGGTATTGCCGATAATTTGTTAAATTTGGCTATAGCTTATCGATAAGTTGTTGCCGCTAGTTTTGAAATCAATAATTAAAACTCCAGTTAGTTTCAGTAGACATGTTATAATTTGTACAATTTTAAATACATATGTATTGAATTCATATAACAAGCAAAATGCGAATACATTGTATAAATATAGGATCCCGTGTATGCGTCGTGACTAACTTCTTAGTTTGCCTAGTTGTATGTGTGTATATGTAATTGCTTATGGTCCAGAGACGGATGCCCCAATCCCACGGATATCTGGATAGGTTGGAGCCTAGTTCATGGCACCTCTGAATATGTATGTATTTGAGTATGTAGTGGCTGCAGCCTGATCCGCGGGGCAAAGGGCAACGCCTCAGCCCCACCAGCTGCAAGTTTATAGCATGGCACATTCGTGATACTGTCTTGGTCATGTCGGATCCAGGAGGAACTGCTGGACGGGTGTCTTCGATCTAGATGGGCATTGCGTTGAAGGTAAAATAAGCGATATGATCGAAGGGTAAAGATATTTTGCGGGATATGTGACAAGCGCGCCCGCACCACGTCCAGTTACTCAGTCCTCCTGGATGGCCGTCATGCGTTTCCTTACACTTATAGAGTTGTCTCAGGAACATGATTGTGGTCTTGTTCGTAGTCAAGCCGCAGGTCAACGATTTTTTGCTCGAGCTTCCTAACACGCAGTTGGTACTTGCGTTTGGTGTGATCCAACATTTGTCCCAGATTGCTTTAGGACATACAAATATTACAAGGTATTAAAAGATATTACAAGCTTTATAATTCCTAAATTCATGGAATCTTACTGGTTTGATTTCTGCAGTTCGCGCACATTATGATGCAGTTGCTCGTATTTCTCGTCGAAGGCCTTCTGCGAGGCGGTGACATTGGCCAAAAGCGTCTGAATTCGACTCTTCAGTTCAGTTTCCCGAGTTAAGGCCTCAACCAGTTGTTGCTCTGTGAGAGCAGCATGTTCAGCCTCCGAGTAAGAGACACGGTTGTTAGCCTGCAACTGCTTTAAGGCTTCGTGTAGAATACCCACTCGCTCGTTGGCGTTTTGTCGTTCCTGCTCGGCCTCATCCATTTTTGCCTTTAGCTGGAGATTCGCATCCCGCAGTTCAAGTAGCTCCTGCATAATCACGGCCGTCTCCAGGTCGATAGGTGACTTCTTGTCGTCGCTTCGAAGCTCATGCTCCTTCTCCAAAGCCAAACGCTTTCTTTCGTATATGTCGCAAAAAGGTGACTCCAGACTGACGATAGTGTGCTGGACACTCGAACGACGACCCTTTAACTTTGATACGTGATAACGGAGGCGGTTGTCGTCGTCGCCACACCAAGAGCGGCCAATCTTCGGGGCGTCCTCTGGACCTAAGTTAATGTTGTGCTGCCATGGTCCCAGGCTATTTTCACACACGTTTTTCTCGCTGTCCAATCGGGCGAGTAAATGCCTAGCCACTGCTTCCACCGATCGACGACTTTCTTCCGCTGCCACCGATTTCTCTCCAAGGAGAGCCAACCTAGAATGAGTGTTGTATAATATACAGGTTTCACGGAAAGATAATCATGACATTTCATACTTGCTTTCCAGCAGAGCCAACATAACATCATAGGCTTCTATAGCGCGATCACTGCAGTTAAGCGCCAGCTGGAGGGCCACCGCATTAGACTCATATTTTCCGCATAGCAAATACAGGTGCTCGGTGTGTTCTTTGCATTCATCCAGAGTCAGTGCCAACATAGTGTTTCGCATTTCCAAATGCTCAACACGTCGCTGCAGTCGCTCCAGCTGCTTGTTCAGTTGCAGGGGCTCCATAAAGCTGTCCATGAAAAGATTTTGCTCCTTCAGTTCACACACCAAATGTTCTACCAAGTTAACGTGCTTCAGGAAAAGAAAAAGAAAATGTGAATGTATTCAAAAGGGGAAGACTGGGTAGCTTACCTCATTACTCAATGATGTATGCTGCTCTTGGGATGGATCATCACTAGATTCGTGTTTGCTGGCGCATCTCAACTTAACTCGCTCAGCCATTTTCGGCACTGCGGGAACACGTTTCTGCGGGCTCGCCAGCGATATGCAAGCTAGAATAAAAACATATTTAATTGATCTTTTTCTCGGCAGGATCTTATATATTACCATTTAAATCATTCAGGCGCTGTCCACTCTCGTTGACATCTGTTTCGCAACCAAAAAAGGCGACTTTTGTCTGCTCCTCAACCACGGCAGCATCCTTGGTGGAAATCTCCGACTGAAGCAGGGCGATCTGGGCTCTTAGGTGTAGTACCTCCTCCTGCAATGCCTCCACTTGACCCTTGTGGCTAAGTTCCTGTGCCTTATGATCAATGTTGCCTACGCTGGTAGTACTGCAGGCACCTTCTAAATCTTCTAATGGTTCCGTCTGGCACTCGGCATCAGGATTAGTAAGATTAATCTCAGAGTTGTACACAGAACCCTCTTGAAAGCTCAGTTCTGTGAATGGAATTCAGGTTGAAGCCTTTACCACCTTTTTTTTCTAAATTTTCACTCACCACTGCCGTCGGGTTCCTGCTCTTCCATAATTATATGATCCTGCTTGCTGCGCAATTTTTTGCTTAACTCCGCGATGACGCAGTGCATCTCGGTGATGCGGCACTCGTGTGCTTGGCTGACCACTTCCAGTCGCTTGTGGCATATCTCCCGTTCCGTGTTGCTATCAGTGAGCTGTCTTTCCGCCTGATGAAGACGCTGGGTAAGTTCCCGCACCCGGTTTTCTAGCTGCTGTACTGACAGTTGCTCAACCTGTGGGCGATTCAGAAATGGAATGAAGCGGATTAGATCTTTCTTGATGGCTATACTGGCTATTATCACGTTTATGGGTCGCCTGGCCAGTGGGTGAGCCATCAGAGTGTACTCCCAGCTACGTCTCTTGTCGCTGGGTACCGACGGCGTGTCGCTGCAGCACAGGCAGCTCAGGCTGCGTGGGAGCAGTTGCTCCGAAATCATGGTCCAGTGGAAAAATTCGACTGGCGATTACGTCGTCATCTAACTGCGGGTGCATCCGCGCGCTCCGCCACCACTGCAGCTTGACCCTCAGCCTTCGACACGCATCTGCGCACTGGACGCCACCCGAATTTCATGCCCCCACAATTGCAACACTTAAAAAATAAGTCTTTTGCAGGAAATTAAAAATTTGATTTAGATTATTATTTTTTAAAAAGAAGAAGAATAAATGAGAAAATAATCAAATGCTTAAAAAATAGTATATTACAAAATTTAATAAGAAACTTATTATATTTTTCTTGGATAAAGAGATTTTCTCTCAGTGTGGGGCTATCACTCACTTTGTTGACAATGTCTAGCGTGGAGCAGCTGGAGATGTTGTTGTCGCTCTCCGTTGTGTCCCGTTGCGTGTGCTCTGGAGAGTCTAAGTCGCAGGATCCTAGCAAGTGCCTGGCAGCAGGTCCTCCTCCACGGGGCGAAATGCTGCCGAAGACGTACTCGAAATCCTCACCAGCAGCGCTACCGGAATGCTTAGTCTGGAATCCGCCAGAGTCTCGTTGCTTGCCACTGCGACGCGGAACATCGGTAGCTATCTTGGCTACCCGGGCCACCTGCACATCGTTCGACATCCTGGCAATGGGAGGATGCAACTACTACTACCCGACTAGACTTGGCCTGATTTGGACCGCTTGATAATGAGTTTTGATTGGCGCTCCATTCCAACACTCAGTGGCACTAGTTTTACTCTACATGGCACTTCCAAGACGTCTCTAAAGGCATTTTTAATTCATAACTTGAAATTACTCTAGACAGTGCTATGTTTATTGCATTCTTATCAGAAAATGTATACCCAGAATTGCAGTATGTGTGGGAGTGTGTCTATGTTAACGGTGTACAACACTAAAGAAACATTTATCGATAACACACGGCGCGTAACTTAAAATGTAAGCCTAGTCTTTTATGTATAAATTCAAATTTCAAGGCTCTTGTTTTATAATCTGCTTTTATTGTACGCCGTTGTGGTAATATACATGTATTATATCTTTTGTCAACACTTCGATATGCTTCCATCTATTTCTTTGGGAGTCCTCAATTTACCTAGAATTTCTCTAAGGTATAGCAGCCAGATTCTCGGCCCGTATCGTCACCATAGCCTCGTAGTCTCGCATGTCCAGTTCGTGGAGTGCCTTCTGGACCAGAGTGGCCAGGTGAGGAGGCAGATCCTTTAGATCCTCCATTCGTTCCCGGGCCACGGCACTGGAAATGCGCGGAGTGCCGGTACAGCGACTACTAAAACCGCAATTGCCGGAATCTGTTGTAGCAGACGAAGACTTCTGAAAGTCATCGGGCTGTACATCTACCCCGTATACAGAGGAATCCACTGACTCGGTAGAAAGCGACGACATTCCATCGTCGGACTGCAGGACCTCGGTCGACTTGTGCTTCCTAGAATCTCCAGAATCTGGTGTAATTGCGATGCCTTCGTTATCTGGAGCAATGGACGGAGTGCTGCTGATGTCGGCATCATCAACCATGGCTGCGCAATAACCGTTGAGGAGCAGCTGGGAGGGAGCATAGCCGTATTCTTCCTCCTCCTCCTGACCCTCTGTGTTTTCGTCGTTTCCAGAGAGAAGCTGCTGCCACCGCTGTTCCAGCTCCGTCATCTTGCCAGCCAGTATTCTGGGTGATATATTATTTAATAAACATTTTTCTGCTTAGCCATGTTTACCCACTTGTTGGTTTTCTTCTGGTGTGTCAGGGCTAAGTTCTTGTCATTAAGATTGTCCAGAAGAGCCAGACACAAAGATTTTAGGTCATTTAAGCTCTCGGTTTTCTGTGGCAGATCAATGCCGCTCTCCAGGATTGTTTTAACTAAGGGAATCGAAATGATAATTGAATAAATGGTGGAATTATTCAATAACACTCACCCTGACGGGGGCTTAGTATGGTGTCTTCATTTGTGCTGCCACCTCCGAGTTTTACAATCCCCTTCTTTCGCTTTGCATCTAACATGGTCTAAATATTTAATATCAATAAAAATGTTTTTTTTATTTTATATGGAAAATGATTTAGGAAATTACCTTGTACTTATTAATGCTCTGTTTGGTCAGTTCCAGTTCGCTGTCTTGAATCTTTACACGTTCATGCAGGTACTTGTTCTCTAGCAAAACACCATCGATGTCCAGGAGCTGTAGATTTTATGATAATTTAAATATTAACTTTACAGATCTCAGTATCGCAACTCACTCTCGGATGTGTTTTCTTGGCCCTGAGAGCCACAAAGAGCTCATGATTGAGGCGATGTGCCTTGCATTTGTAGGCATCCCGCTCCGTAATCAGCTCCTCCTTCTCATCGATGACTGCTTTGAGATCGAATGCCAGCTGGGCATTCCGTTTCTTAAGCCCCTCCAAGTGACAGATGAAATTGGCTCGTTCTCGGCGCCACTGCAGCTCCTCCTTGTTGCGGGCGGCGTTCTCATTGGCCATTGCCTGTACCCGCGACTTGTTGCTGGCTTCTGTCTCTCGGAGGAGTTCCATGTCACCCTGGAGTTCGTTTAGTCGCTGCCTCAAAGCCTCCACTTCAGTACTGAGCTTGAGGTTCTGCTCTCGCGTTTCGTGAAGCAAGGCGGCCAGACTAGAATTTTCGCTTAGAGCTCCACATCCCCCTACGGCCAGCAGTTCACTGTTGCTTTTCAGCGCCGAGTAACGCAACTGGAGAGTTTCCGCCACCAGCTTGTACTGGTCACGTTCCACCCGAAATTGCTCCAGCTCCTGACGTAGGATCCTCAGTGCCTCAACCTTGCTCTGAAGTTTCCTGTGCACTGCCGAGGTCTGTAAGGGTGGTTCATATAAGTACATCTGTAAGTTTTGGGGATGTTGCAGACTCACCTCTACATTGTATGTGGCCATATGCTGGCCGAATTCGTGATGGCTAGCCACATCATCCAAATCCATGCCGAATACTTTTGCTGGTTTTCCGTAAGCTGAGCCTTATATGTTGACATTGACAGTGAATGGAAATTGGGGGCTGTCTGGAGCCAGCTGTATCACAATTTCTCGACTTCTAAGGACAACATTCTGGCTAAACGCGCAGCTAGAGCGAATCAATTTTTACTAACGCCTGCGCGGTAAGTGCTAGAAAGTATGCTACATATGTTTGCAATTCGATTAATTTCGATAACTTTTCTAGACCGTTATTTAGACTTTTAAAATTACATTTAATAAATTTAAAAAAAATGTTTTATATATTTTGGCCTAATTGGCCTAGTCACTTAAATACGGATTTCCGGGAATTAGAGCTAAAGTGGAACTAACGACTTTATGTTTACAACAGTTTTGTTGGCGCTTAATCATTGCACTTAGAACCCTTCTAGAAATGGCTTTAACATCGGATATTTTGGCAGTTTTAAAATCCAGCTTTTCGACCAGCTTCAAAATGCATTTTACTTTAAGAATAGGTACTTATATTATTAACATGAGATCTAGATGCTCCAATAAACACGTACCTTTAAAAGCAATCTCTTCGCTTAAATCAGAAAATGATGTGAAGCTGTTTGAAAGCTCTTGACCACCTTTCAGACGGACCCAATCTATGCTGGATATGTTGACAGAAGTATGGGAATAATAGTCTTGTTCCATGTCCTGAATTTGTTCTTTTTGTGGCAAGATGCGAGACTTGCACGGCGCACAAGTTATCTCTTTGATGTTGGTCACCTTGCAAGTCCTACGAAGCTGACACTTTCTTTTGCTCGATCGCAGCCTTTCCATTTCATCGAAGGTAGATGTATTTCCTAGCTCAAAGATCCCATTGCCTTGGGCTTTATCATCCAGTAGGACATTCATACATTTTCCGTTGTCCTGAAGCTGTGCAATAAGACTCTGATTGGTGGCCACAAGCTTTTTTATGCTACGAATATGGTTATTTAGTTTTAGACTGTAGGCTTCTATTCTACGCAACATATTTTCCGAATTCTCCAGGTGTTGATTAAAGAAATGAAGCCTTGTATGAGACGGATTCTCTTTTGGTTCCACAATCATGGTGGGAGTGCAATTGTAACCGATATCACCGTTTTTTTTTTTTATATGTTTAGGATTTTGAATTTTATGGATAAGTCTACTTAAGTTTTAACAAGATCTAAGATATAAAAAAATTATATAGACGATAATGGAATTCACAAACAATTAAGGAATAAAAGTAGGACTAAGGTCAAGAACTAGGTAAAATCTTCAGCGGCAGCTCATAGCATTTGCTATGGTGACCATCTTGCGCACCACGTTGGCATTGGTTCCGTAGTACGGGTCTACGTCTTGTTTTCCCATGGTCACATCGCATTCCATGCGTGTTGTGGTGGGTACCACATAGTCCTCACTAGCCGTATCTTGAGCGGAGGCGTGAAACTCCAAACAGCGACTGACAGTGAGGATTTCCTCAACATTAGACACTTTGATGCCGGCGCCGGGCATTACAATGAAGTCCCTGTGATGCTTGGCTATTAGCTGCGCCAGGCAGTCCAATCCATCTGCGGCCGACGGTCGGAATCCGCTGGTTAGCAGGCGCTTAAAGCCTAGTTCCTGCAGCAGTTCGACGTTCTCGTCCATGCACTTCTGGTCAGTGAGATCGAAGGCACGGTGAAAGGTAACCGGAAGGCCGCTTGATCCCAGCATCACCTGCCGGCACTGGTCTACGTTGATGCTGCGATCTGGATTCAGGGATCCCCAAACAAAGCCATCAGCACCGTTCTCCCGCAACAAATCCATGTCCGTTAGCACGGCACACATCTCTTCGTCGCTGTAGACAAAGTCGGTGCCCCGCCGAGGCCGTAGCATGCAGTAAACGGGAATAGTGAGGGTTTCCTTCAGTGTTTTCAGGGTGCCAACACTGGGAGTCAAGCCTCCTTCGCCTAAGGCAGAACAGAGCTCAATCCGGGAAGCTCCTCCAGATTCCGCGGCAAAAGCTGATCGTATGGAGTCCACGCAGACCTCCAGTTTGATATCGTGGCTGGACATATCGCTTGTCTCTGATAAAAAGTCAGGTAAACAAATATAAACAATTTTTTAAGCGATTCCAGACCGATAGGTATCAGCTGTTTCCGCCCGTGCCAACACAAAAAACAATCGATAGCCACGCAAGAACGATATACACATCGATATTCATAACCAGTTAGTTTTCAGTGTTGAGTAATTCAACAGTCTGTGCTCATTTTGTTGTGAACAATTTTTGTTAATTTTTTAATTTGATTTGCGAGGGTCGTGCGAACGAGGCAACGGACATCGCACGGACGCGGAATCGGAAGTGCGATCCTGCAGCATGCGCCAGGACACATAGGCAGCAGTAGAAGACCAAGCGCACTTGGAGTTACCTAGAAATGACAATGGGCGAGCCAACCACGTCTCTTGTTCTGCCTGTCATACTGCGGCCCATTTTCTCCCAGGTAGGTGAAACGGGCCCAGGTGCTTTGCTTTGCTCTGTACCCGTACCCGTGCCCGAGCCCGAACCCTTTAGCCCCGCAAAGTTCGGGTCTGTTGCGTAAACCCTTTACAATGGGTACTTGGATTTGTAATTGACTAACATCTATATTTACTTGTAGCTCGAGCGACGCGACGTAGGCGCTGCCCAATCTTTACGCTCCGCCATTCTCAAGTCGGAGCAGAATAATCCGGGCTTCTGCTATGACCTTGTCGCCACAATTGTTCGGCGGGCCGATCTGAACGTAAATTTGAACGAGGCAGTGCTCCGATTGCAGGGAAACATTACGGAAGCGGACCGTAAGTAGCCACGCCAACACCTGAGTTTCTTAACTAACAAATTATATCTTTTGCAGTTAATGAATACCGCTTGACTCGCACAGAAGAGCCCTTCCAGGAACTCAATCGCAAGTCCGTGGCACTCAAGGTTATCCTCAGCCGCATACCCGACGAGATAAACGACAGGAAGACATTCCTGGAGACCATCAAGTGAGTACAATTCTAAGATGGATCCAAGCGCAGTTATGCCTAAGATCAACGGGCAAATTATATAGTAACAAAAACAGTACAATTAAAAGAACTTAGGACTTAGAACTTAGCTAGACGAGTAGTTCCAGCTTTATCATGTTTAACAATCAAGAGCTAAAAACTTTCCTATAATTTTACAGGGAAATCGCCAGCGCCATAAAGAAACTGCTCGATGTGGTCAACGAGATCGGCTCGTTCATACCGGGCGTCACGGGTAAGCAGGCTGTGGAGCAGCGAAAGAAGGAGTTTGTCAAATATTCCAAGAAGTTCAGCACAACGCTGAAGGAGTACTTCAAAGAAGGACAGTAAGTGTCACCAGTTGCAGCTACTTATTTACTATTTACATTAGTGTTATCATACGATACGATACGGTGAGGCCAAGATAGCCGGTTTCTTAATCGACTCATATCTGGTTTCTTATCGTTTCGGGCCAACCGTGTGGATGATGTCATGCCATTGGCGTTCCGGGTATTGTTTGGTTTATCATTTTGCGACGGAGATTCTCCATGGTGGGGGTTTAGTGACAAGCCCGCCAATTTTAAATTGTAAATCACAACCTAAATTGCTTTGATGGCTATTACCATTGACCTTATCGTTTAATCGATGAAAGTTGCATTATAATTTAAGTCTTTTTACCGAGGAATGACTAACCGAATTTTATTTGATCTATTTTCAGACCGAATGCAGTATTCATAAGTGCACTTTTTCTAATACGGCAAACGAATCAAATAATGCTGACAGTTAAGAGTAAATGCGAGTAGAGAATTAAAACCTTTAATTATGGCAAATTTTAGTGGCATTTTAATTTTATGTTTAAATAACCATTTAACCACCCACAAATCAAATAAACTCAAGAGCAAACACACACACACACGTAAATACCCAAAACGCCCGATAAAGTCCAAGTTAAATGTTTGAAAGTAAAAACTGAAAAAATCTGTTGTAACTAAATAAATAGGCCTAATTTACATCGTAAATATGTATTACAAAATAATCGGACACTGAATTCTGCAAAACCTAAACATTGTAATTAACTAGTGAGCAACTATATTTATATCGTGACGATGAGAGTTGTGTGCAAGAGTTTCTTTATCGTTTACAATTTATTGTAAATAATTCATTATTTTTTTGTTAACAACAACATCATCGGCTAGTTTGTTTTTGTTTAGGAGAAAGCGCCTACGAATAAATTTAAAATTAGTGAAAACAAAAAACGAGAAACAGGAAATGTATGTACTACGGGGAGAATAAAAACAAAAAACGAAAACGGTAGACACTTAAATTTTTAACTGTTTTTAATTGTTAGAGTTTGAAATTTAAAAACTATACATAATAATCATTTACTTAATGATATGTTCGATTTGAAATACAAATGCGAAAGCGAAAGACATTAGTAGCCGTCAGCACTATCAACAAGGATGAAGAAAGAAATTATTTTAATTAAAAAAATGTTATATGAAAAACGAACACTAAACAAAAAAACGGCAACAAACTCATAATGTAGACATAGCGAAAACAAAACGACAAATAAATGTATTTATATTCCAAAATGAAAACTTTTTTACTTGCCATAATCCTAAGACCTATTTTCGAATCCCTAGAGATTTCCGAAATGAAATCAAAATCAGACATTTCAGCATACATGGGGTTAACAGAGAGAACGGGGCTCTGTTAGTGGTTAACAGGGTAAAGTAATAGTAAATCGTAACTAACAGCCCCAGAGCATGAACTTACCCACTTGCAACCCCAAAGGAGCCCGTGAGCGGGAGAAAATTACCCGTTTTTCAGTGTCATTTCACAGAAAAATCGATTCCCCGCACACTGGGTACTGGGCATTGGGTTCTGGGTTCTCTGGGCCACTCTGCTCTGGCACACTGAGCACCGAGCTCTGGCAGTTGGGTAGAAATCAGAGTACAAACCAGCAGCGCGACCGAGATGACCCACTTTTCGGTTTTCGCACTGAGACCCAACTGCTACCCACAGAAAGTGGACAACTAGGCGGAGTTTTTTTCTATATAAGTAGCAGTTTAAACGATCGCGTTTTTCGGATAATTATGTACAGCCTACGTAGCCTAGTGTAAACTCTATGCATTTATGTGAATTTCCCAGCGCAAACGTGGAAGACGAAAACAGGCGACCTGAAAAAGCAGCAGCAGCAGCAGCAGCAGCGAGCAAGAAGCAGAAGCACAAGCAGCAAAAAAGGTTCGCAACCCGTTAAAACCCCCGCTTTCCCTTCACAAAAGAAAAGAAAAAAGTTAACCCAAAAAAAAAAAAATTTGAAAATCAAGTGCTTCCAAAATCTAATTCGCAATCCAACTAAAAAGTGCAAAAAAAAAAATATTCGTGTGGCAAATACTTTTTTTGCGCAAGCTGAAAAAAAAAGAGCCGTTATGCGAGCGAGCGAGCTCACGAAAAATTTCGCTGTACACCAAATGTTTTCCCTACAGCAGCACCGCTGCTGCGTGAAAATTCCATTTTCTCGCTAACAACGAAAAACTCGCCGCGAGTGCAGTGAAAAAGCCAATGTGAAACATATAATTCCGGGAAAATGGTGGGCCAGTGAAAAGTAAAAGTGTAAGCATATCGATGAAGGAAAAAAAAAAGAAAGAGCAGCAAACGTAAAACTACACTCTCCCACACATACATATGTACAAATACATACACATATACATATACATACCACCCACATTGTGATGCATATACAATATGCAAATGCGGGTAATCGCTCTAATACCGAGGCAAAATGAAACGCTGAATGAAATCGAAATTATAGAAAAATGCATAAATAAAAACGGTTAAATATTCAACTGCATTTGGGCATAAAACGCGCGCACACACACACACACACACACATCTATAAACACCCACACAGAGAAGCAAGAAAAGAGCGAGAGGCAAGTAAGTAAAGTAGATGTAAATGTAAATGGCCAACGAAACTGGAGCAGCACCAATACGAATGCAAATGCCATAACGGCAGGAGCAGCATGTGTGCGTGTGTCTGTATGTGTGAGCGTTTCATATTCATAAGCTTCCAGCAGCAGCAGCAGCAGCAGAATAAGAAGAAGAAGAAGCAGAGGCAGAAGAAAAGTCCCACTTTTTGGATTCCCACTCTGGGGGCGGTTTTCACACTTGCCACACAGCCTGCGCAACAACAGTGTTAAAGTTGTTTGCTGCTGCGTGCGTAACACAGATATAACATACATATGTACATTGTACACCCCGTACATACACACACACACTCTCATACGCTCTGTATGGTTGTATGTACACAAAGGTATCCAAGAGCGAGCATGCGGTTACCTTCTCCGACCCGGAGTTCTAATACCCGTAAACTACCGCAATGTTTGCCCTTTCTCTCCGCTCCTGATTGAACTGCTCCACTGACATTTCATTTCGCCTCCACGCATTCTGTTTATATTTATGGCCCACTGTTCGCAGTTTCCGCTGCAATGATCGAAAGTCACGCGCCTAAAGTCGGGAACACAGAGCGGATATTTAATATAAAGCGATCGATACAAATTCAGTAATGCCAGGGAGAAGAAAGACTTTTAGTTAAGGATTTTGAAATTGATTATCTTTATCTACAGTCTTTATTTTAAAGCTAAACATATATATATATTTCACATTAAAGTCACCTTTTACCACCTTTTTTTATTTTTATGCTGATAAGGTAGATAGATAGTCCCATATGAATCTTAGAACCTGCATTTTCATATAATCTAAAATTACAACCTTTTATTATTTTTAGGAAAGCTTTTATAATCAGCATTACCTAAGACAATGGTAAAATCAGATCCTTGTCATGCAAAATAATAGTTAGATTATTTTTCGTCGCCTAATGCCTTGGGCACATAAATTTTTTTGACGAAATTAATATTTAGGCTTTCTATTCTGTTCTTAAAGACTTTTAAAAACTGCTTGAAATGTGAGTTTAATAACTGTCACACTTTAAAGTCTAGCAAAAACTAAAGATTATTTATATATATTCGTAAATTCTAAAAACCTACTGAAAGCACGCGTCGTAAAATTTATAGTTTTTTCTTCAAAAAGAAAGCCAATACAATTTTATTGGATTTTTTCGCTGAGGATTAATCGTTGAATTTGGCCAATTTTGACATATGGCAATCATTCAATAATTTATATGCTGGGCTGCCGGCCAAGCTGCGACCATGAGATTTCCGCAGGCGGGGAATGTACCATCCTCTTGCCGCTTTCCACTTCCCATTTCCCGGTTCAACCTACCCAACCCCATAACTGTGCTATAGTTTTTTTCTTTCTATAGTATTTGTTCGCCAGAAGCGACGAAATTCGTGTTACTGTGAATGTGCCAGTGCTTCTGTGTGTGTGTGTGTGTTGTGCCTGTGTGTGAGCAGCTTGTTATAAATAGGCGAGATAGTTTTTGTGCTCGTGTTCTGGTTCCGCTTTTTTCCTTGGCTCTGCGATTGAGGTCATGCCAGCAGCAGGATAATGAACTTTTCCAACATCTTAAATGTAATTGCTTGACTTTAAAAAGTTTCTGTTGGCAGTGTTATTTTTAGGACTTGCCACTCGTCATAGGCTCGAGTATACTTTGACGGTCTTATGTGCGACTATTTATGCATGTAATTGTTGGCAATGGCTGTTGGCTTCTTGCTTCCTCACTCGTAATTGCTGCAATTAGAAGCACTTAATTGTTATGTGCTTAACTTGGCCCGAGTGTGTGTGAGCATTCAATTAATTGAACGACAGCTCATTACTAGCTCATTGAGCAGCAGGCAAAGTATGCTTTTTAAACTTTTCACAGATTTTGACTTCACAATATGTGCAGTAAATATTAGCTTTGGCCTGGGAAACTTTTTCATTTTCAAAGAGTTTGTCAAGGCAACCGACGCCAGATGCTAATTAATTGCTTTCCTCTCAGCCAACTTGTCTGTCAACAAACGGGTGCAAGGTGGAAATTGCCATTTTGCAGTCTCAACTTTTGTTCTCTACAATTTTTTCTCGGTTCTTTGGTAAGTTCATTTTGGAGTAAATCAAAGTTGCCTAGCCAAAAACCAAAAAAAAAGCGGAACAAAGTTTTTAAATTAGTTTTCCTTTAGTTTTTAGCTAACAAAAGTTGGAAATTTCTTTTTGCTTTTAACTTTTCAACCACAAAGTGCCACCGAATATTGTTTTAATTACGAGTTTTTGCATATTTTACTTGTCGCGTGACATTTGTATACGAAATTACGCATACGCCGCGTTATGCGGGAATGAAGATACTGAGGTGATGGTGTTGGTGTTGGTTGGCCCTTCACTTTCATTCCTGCCCCCATGTTAGATAACGTGCCTCAGTTCCAAGTGAATGGGAATTTTCCATTTAATTTACTCCGATGGCCGCAACGACTTTGGCCAGAATGTGGGTTAATAGAGTGTAAAGCAGCGCCAGGCCGCAACCCAGTTTCGGGTGGTTTCCTGGGCTTGGTGGGTTGGGTCTCAACCATGCCACCTAAAGAGGCTGCCTGGTGAGCAGTCTGTGGCTCCTCGGGCTAATCTGCACTTTAAGAACTCATTAAAATTTCAAGCCTCCTCACAGCGGCAACAGACATCGATGTCGTCTTCCTTCTCTCCAACAACGCACCGAGGCTGTGTTAAATGTTTAATTGCTAACTAGATCGCTTCATTTCCATTTAGCACTTTAAGTTAATAAATGCCAAAGATTAAAGTTTAAATTTATAGCATCAATCTAATTTTATACTCTATAATAGGCTCTCTCACTGAATTTCATTATGATGTTGGTATAAGAAAATTTACAAAAGAACATATAAAATACTCTTTGCCACATTTCCCAGAACCAGATAAAAATCAGTTCATAATTTTTGAGTACCACACTTCGAGTAAATGATTCAGAAAATTAGAAAAATCAATTTTATTAGTAATAATTCAGAGTTTAAGGATGGTTTTCTAATTTGAGCTCATGTCAATTTAATGACTGATGAGCGTAAAGTGACATACGCTTTGGCATGTTAATGGTTTGTTGAAATGGACCTTTATCCACAGGGTAATTAATTCATGATGGCTTTAATTTTTTTTTTTTTTACTGTGTTTGAGAGGCTGGCAAACAAGATGCCTGTGACGTAGGCGCACATCGCTGTGTGCGTGCGTGAATGTGTTTGTTGGGAGTGTGTGTGTGTGGAGATAAATGGTGCCAAGCACTGCTCAAGTTCCCGAAAGTGTGCGGCAAACGGTGGGGTGCTTAAAATAGTCACCGACAGGCACAGACAGACACTAGCGCTGGGTGGCCAATGGAGGGTTAAGGCAGGACAAAAAAAAGAGTATGAGGATGGAGTCTTAGCAAGTGGCTAGGGCTGATGTTGTGTTTGAAGACAAACAAGGAAATGACAGCGGCCGGATAGCAATCTAAGGATACTGCCGGACAAAGGACACGCCAAATATAAGAAAAGAACTGAACAAAAACACTAACTGTTACACAGAAAAGAAAGTTTTTTAGTTTTTTAACTTTAAATTGCACAAGTATGTACTTAAAAACAATATAATTAAATATCAAAATTGATTTAATTATAGGAGTAAGCTATTTGAGAAATATTTTACTGCATACTTTTAGGCATGACAGTAATTAACATTTTTGACGTCTTTGGTAATTCTGATATTTAAACACAAAGGAATTTGTTCTTAGGAATAAAAGAGCACATATAGATTATTTATAATATAAATTTAACATATTTGGGCAATTCTCATATTTATGTTCATAAATTTATTCCTGCTCTTTCTGTGTACTTTTACAACTCACATCAACAAAGGCCTCTCGCCCACATCTACTTCAATTGCGAAATGCTTGCAATGCGCTTCATCATAATTAAAAAATCCTGCGGCCCACATGCACACCCACACAAGCGTACGCACACCCACACACACAGCAAACATGGCCACACTGGCTGTTAGTTTGGAAATGTTAATGCTCTTAAAGAGAGAGTTAACAGTAGCAGCTATGTTACGAGTAGATATCCTTTGACCATGCGCGAACTCTCTCTCTCTCTCTCTCTCTCTCTATGAAGGGATATTTTCTCACTGGCTCACTTGCAGCTTATATAGCTGATCTACTCGCACAGTTACACTCAACTATCTCCGTCGCACATCAAAAAAATTAGAGTAGAACCATTAACAGCGGCAAAGTAACAGTAACAGTAGTAGGGCAAATGTGCTTCTACTTGTTGTTGTTATTTTTGCAGTTGTTACACACACATACACACACTGTGCATAACAGCAACTAGTGGCTGTGCTTTTTCCATCGCTTTTCCCATTTCGCATTTCCCATTTCCCTCTCACATTCACATTCAACTCGCGCTACACTGCAGTTGTGTCAGTGAGTACTTAATATTTATGGTGTATAGTGTGAGTGAGTAGTGCAAATGGAATGACAGGACATCAAGTCGCTATGATTGTCAGTTAATGAGATAATTACTGTGATTACGGGTCACCTGGAATAGGTAATACGTAATTGAACCTCCCCTTTTTGCTCGACTTTTAAGCCCTTTACGGAGGTTTGTGGTTCTGCTAAAAAATGTGGTCAAATGTGGTTTTTTCCTTATGTGGTTTTTAAAGCTTAGGTTTTGGGTTTAAAACGGATTAAAGTTGCAACTGAGGTTTTTATTAAATTTGTAAAATTAAGACTTTGAAAAGCTTTCTTTGTAATACTATTTTTAATCTGAATTCTTTAAAACGAGAATTAAAACTGCATAAATTTAAGTCTTCTTAGTTATCTTAAAGTTGAAAATCTCTCAAAATTCATGCCATGTAAGTAGTTTATGGCTTCCATATAAACCAAATTGTCCTAGAGTACAGATATCCACCTGTATCAGAGCAACAAGGTGCTCATCCGCCTTTAGTAGTTGCCATAAAAATGCCGTGGTGGGCAGTGCCTGAAACCGGAAGGGCGTATTGCAAATGCCAAAGACTTCCGTTTGGCTCCGGCTAGATGCTGTCATGCAACCGCCCACCAGGGCGGGGTTCCACCAACACCAATGCCAAAAGCAATATCAACCACAACAGCATCATCATCATCATCATCATCATCATCGGTACTGGATAAACGCTGTCATAGCTTTTAAATGTCAGGGAGCCCAGCCATCGGTATTGAGTCCACATAAACAGTGGCATTGACAGCCCACCGAGTGGGTGGTGGTGCAGTACGCGTCGTAGTGGGTGGTGCATCGGTGGTCGTTCTGGATTCCGATAGATGCGAGCTTTGATGTATTAATAACAATTTATCGATGCAGCGCAGCTCCGGTAAATGGATTTCGATTTCGTATATCCTGCATTTAATGATTGGATTAAAGTTTCAGTTATGGAAAAGTAACCATTCGAAGCTATTTCTCTTTTGCATTTCCCTTAAGTGAATCGATGCTGATAACTATATCTGGTCTTGCCGCCGTCTAGACAAACTGGCGCCTTCTATTGTCTCAGCTGGCAAGGGTGGCGTATGAGTAATGCAACTGATTTTCAATGCATTTGGTGGCGTATGCGTAATGTTTTCATTGCCACAGTTCAAGTTGGTCTGTCCATTAGGAAACAAATGGAAACCCTATTTAGATGTGGAGTTCTAATAAAAGATAAGAGAGCCATATAATTTTAATTAATTTGCTGACAAAATTAAACCGATTGCATAAATCCAACAAACATTGCAAATTGAGAGATTGCACAGCTGCCGGGCAGAGATAGGCATTCAAATGAGCTAGCTGCCTGTCCAATCTCAGCTTTTTGTGGGCTGTGCGTGGACAATAAATACGGTCAGGCAGGCAATTAACCCAAAGTTCAAAGTTCGCTTCTACATACCAAACACACACACACAGTACACAAAATACTGACCCCCAAGGACACGTGCGTGTCGTACCGTGCCGTTCGTGGATAAAAGGCAGAAAGGCAGCCAGGCAGCTGACCTATTTCCACACTCACCAGGCAGGCCCATGAATAAATAATAAAGCCAAGCTAGGGATAATAAAAACAGCAACTATTTATAGGAGCCAAGTCTTGGTAGTCTTGGCTCAGCGGCAGTTCGGCCGTTTTGCTATTCGGCTTGCTGCAGATTTTCACTGGCCCCATTCTGATGTGCGATTATCGTTACCATTGCAGTCGTCCGAGGGGCAGCCACAGCATGCCGTACGAGTCGATGCACCATCATCAGTCGGCGGCCGCTGCCGTGGCCGCTGGCACAGCCCCCAACGGAATGCTGGACGCCCTCAGTCTGCAGCTGCGCGATGCGGAAATGCGGCGCACAGAGATCGAGCGGGCGCATCAGGTGAGTGTCCTTTTAATTCCTATTTTAGATTTCTTTTATAATATTTTCATTATAACTTTCCACCTAGGAAACCCTGGCACAAATACGAAATCTAAGCGGAAGCGCACGTCCCGATGCCGAGGCGGTTGAGAATCTGCAGTCGAGAGCCCGGGAACTGGAAAAGAAGGTGACTATAATCTAAGTTAAATATTAAAATCTCTTGCTAATATGAATACTTTTAGGTTGCGCTGGAAAATGTGCGCTGCGAGGAGCTGCAAATCGAACTGACCTCGGCTCTGAAGGCCAAACAGGCGTCCCGCTCGGTCTGCTCTGGAATGGTCGGCGTGTCCTCCGGAGGCGGAGCCACCATTCCTACATCAGCCAGCAGCTCCACCGTCACTTGGGCACCGACAATCAGTCACCAGGACCAAGGCTCCGAGATTGATATCATAATGGCAAAGATTGAGCAGGTAAGCGGGGCTAAATAAATCAAATTCAAAACCATTTAAACTTCAAAGATTTCTGTGTAAAATGATATATTTGTATTTATGAAAGTAACAAGAGTGTTTAAAAACAGCAACAGTAGACAGACAGCAGTCAGTGTTTCGTGCATAGTGTAGACAATAATTAAATTACAAATCGGACTGGAAAAAAGTTATAGACTCCATGGGGAATATCTGAGAACTGCTTCCAGTCCGAATTATAATTTAATTCCAAGCTAAGAGCCCAAGTCCAAATTATTAAACACAAACAATGAATCTTGTAAGTTTTAGCAACATATCAGTGGGTGTATTAAGATGTTTGTTCCTCTTGGCTGGTTGGCAATTCCTCGGTTTTCTCGGAGAGAGCTTCCTCGATGAAACAATTGATCTCGAGTTCGCTAACCAACGAGCTGGTTGGGGAGCCATCGTCAGGGGAGCCATTCTCCATGTAACTGGGTGATAGGCATGATAGGAAACTGTCCAGGCTGCTGATGCTATTCGCGCCAAAGGCATTCGGATCTAAGGAGTCAGTTAGCTCAATCTGGGTGCTATTTTCGCTGGAGCCAAGAGTTCCCTGACGGAAAGGCTCATCCTTGTTACTAATCTGTAACTTGCGACGCATCTCCTCATTTTCCCTGCTGAGATAACGGATAACTTCCTGGTTCTCCTCGCTGCTGCGGTCCTCAACCTCGGCTATTAGCTTCATCACTTCCACCATCTTTTCGATCCGGGCGTCCTGTTCTAGAACAACTTCCGTCAGTCCAGCCAAATAGCGCTCCTTCAGCTGATAGCTATCGATGAACATATCGTCTTCCTTATGCTCTCGGAACTTCTCCATGATCTTCTTAATGCCTTGATGGAACTCTTCGGCGGTCTCTTTCAGTTCGATATTTTCTCGCAGCATTTCCATTTGATCCTTGTCGCTGTTTTCCGATAGATATTTTAGTACCTGCTCCTCGCGAAACTGACGGCAATTGGCCAAGTCCTGGTTTACTTTCTCCGCTTCCTTTAACAGCTCGTCGGCCCTTATCTCAAGTTCAGCCATGCTGTCGGAAATATCTTTGGCTTTATTGATAAGAGCCTCTATGGGTCCGGGACTCATTGCATCGCCCATTTTCACAAACTGGTCTAGCTAGTTCGATCGTTAACGTTAAATTTGGAAATATATTTTTTTATTCTTTGAGAAGGCACTCCTTTGAATTTATCAAACCAGTTTATAAAAAGACCAAAGACAACTAAGTGAAGGCCTACTGAAGTGACACTTAAAAGTTATCAAAAGGATTGCCACCTAATAAGTTCGATAACTTATTTTTCTGTTAGGTTTGGTTTTTATTTAAATATTTTCAATATGGATCCATTAATGATAAACTAATCCTTATCCATTATTTTATCTTCCAGGATAATCGCGTGCTGGCCGAGCTGGAGCAGCCTCGCACCTCGGCCAGCGCCAGCATGTCAGCATTGCCGCCCAGTTCCATGTTGAGCACGGTAAATAGCGAATTTAGAACCATATCAAAGAGTGGTGAGTACACCAACAAGAAGCTTCAATCATGGACAGAATTCAAAGGGATATATATCTTACAGAACTCGAAGAAGAACTGAACCGTTATAAAAGGGCCGTTCTTGGCGGAAGTGGCGGAGGTGGTGGCGTTTCAGCTCTCTCCTCCGGCTATTCAAGCCTGCCGCAGTCGTTGGCCTCTACGCTGCCCAATGGCGGGGCAAGCACCAGCCTAAGCGGTACCAGCCTTGGCTCGCACAGCGTGGCCGCTGCTGCTGCCGTTGCCTCTGCTGGATCGGGGGGTGTGACTGGGGGTGGTGGAACGGGAGGTTTATCATCCATATCGGCCCTGGTGCCCAACTCAATCAGCGGCATATCCTCGAGTCTAAGCAGCCATGCCATACAATCGATGCAGTACGGAACCGGACAAACGTCCGTGGAGAAGCTGCTGAGCGGAACTAGTGGAATCACTGGGATTCCACCTCTGCCGGTAAATATTCACACGATGAAGGCTATGCCAACGGCATTAAGTCAGGTAAACCAGCTATTTTCAATCGCAATGAACTACCAACAACCACAGCAACCACAGCAATTACCGCTGCAGATCGATTTGCTTTCAAGCTTGCCACATCTAGCCAATGCTACATACTATATATAAATATATATATTTGTTATAAGTTGTATGTAAAGTTCGATCCATTCTGAGTAGCCATATAGCCATATAGCTTTAATAGCGATCATCTGCTTTCGTTCGTTGATCGTCGCTGCTGCAGCCGTCGGCCGTTTGTTGTAGTCTCATTACTGATGAAAATAAACATTCACATACAGAGCCACCCACTAACCAACCACCCACTGAAAATACCACCCTCACATCACACGAAATCACACACACACTCAGACACACCCATTTCAAACTAGATCGTTTGTGTATTTGTAACTGATTTTCAATTTGCCTGTAATCTATATTCTTTCTAACATTGAAATCTATATCGCTGGCATGCTAGAAATTTTACATTTTTATCACCCGAGTAATGATAGTATACTTAGAGGATGGTTTTAGGATATCCTTGATGTATATTAACACTTAATATTATTCCATCACAATCCACCTGAATATATCAATTAAAACTCATTAGCCATAAGCAAACATTAGAAAAGTTTCAAATACTCAATGAATATCTTTTGAACTTCAAAAGGAAAAGTTACTTAAAAATCTCTAAAAAAACTCACAAAGTTCGAGATCCAAAGTTCATTTGATATCAAAACTGAGTGACACATTTGCTGCATTTACAGACATACCAACATATACATATATAAGTATATATCTTTTAAAGGAGTTACATTTGAAAAGCTTTCCGTTACTTGTTGATTAACGTTTTTGATGGTGATGATTGGATGTTAGCCGTGTTGCATTACCATGAATCCTCGCTTGGAAACGGCTTAAGTTAATTGCAGAAAATAAGAAAAACCATTCATGTCCAGCCGAACATCACCACCAACATGCTAAGTTGTTCATGCATAGATGCCCATTTAAGACGTTCTAGATGAGTTCTAAAACTCGCAGCCGAATAAACGTCTATCTGTGATCTCTCTTTCCGTTTTATGTGCTTTTTCTGTCTCTCCCCTTTCTCTCTCTCTCTCTCTCTTCGTTCTACACACACACACATAATGATGATGAATTCTGTGACTCGGTCTTATTTTTATCCCTGTGATCATGATTGATCAACGGTCTAAATGTCAATCAATCGATTCAATCTATATGTATGTCTGCATCTGTATCTCTGTGTGTGTGATCCTATGTTTGTGTAACAACACCTGTACAAATACCACAACAACCACAAATACCCTTAAATTCTGATAAAAAAAAATACAAACGGAAAATTCCAAATTGAACACATACTAATACACACACACACACACAAACGGCAAATTGAAATTGAAAACGAATTGAATTTGAATCGAATCGTGAAGCGCGGAACAATACAGCTGTACAATTTGCAGAGCACAACCATGCCCCTCCTGTCACTCAACTCGCATAACCTGCCGCCCGCCGGCTCGACCAGCTACTCGGCCCTGGGCGCCGGCGGCGGCACCTCGCTGACGCATCCAACCAATCTGGCCAATCTTGGCCTGCTGGACACTGGCGCCCTCTTGGGTGCCACCGGTCTGAGCGGTTTGGGCGTGGGACCCGGTGCCGGTGGCATTACCGGTGCCACATCACTATACGGTTTGAGCGGCGGCGGAGGTGCCAGTGGTCTGGGCAGCTCCTATGGTCCGCCCTTCCTGGACGTCGCCTCGAGCGCCTCGTATCCATTCACTGCGGCAGCCCTGAGACAGGCTTCCAAAATGAAGATGCTAGACGAGATCGATATACCGTTGACGCGGTATAACCGCAGCTCGCCCTGCTCACCCATACCGCCCAGCAATTGGGGACTGGACGAGTTCACCGACGGCCTCAGTGTCTCCATGATGCACAACCGCGGCGGCCTGGCACTGGGTGCCCTTGACTTGGACAGTAAGTACTAATATATAATATAATTATTATTATTTTTTAGAATAACATCTTCTTTTATAATATTTAATCAGCTCGCAATCATGGGTTAAATGGAGCCAGTGAACCGCAGGTGGATATGCTGGATATTCCTGGAAAGGGGCGCTGCTGTGTGTTCATAGCCCGTTTTCCATATGATCCGCCAGAGTAAGTACTTGTGATTGATTATCAAATATTATTTATAGCCATTTCCCTATTGCATAAAGATAAAAAATCATTTTTTGGGATATATTTATCATTCTAGAGTATCATTCATTTCTCATTAATGTGGTAAACTAAACAAAAACAAATTAAATATACATTTTTTATCATGATGCCAAGTTAATAAAAAACTTTTTATTTTTTTTAATTTTTGTAAAATATTAATATAGTAATATGAGAAACTTTAGCTTAACTTTTGACTTATTTTCATTCATTTAGCAAATATTGCAGAGCCCAAAAGTATGCAATATATTCATATAAATTCATTGTCCTAGCTTGAACAATCTGTCGTATACTTAATATTAAACTTAAACTTGCCTGATTTACTACCACTTAATAGATTAGCACAATCTGTATATTCGTTATATAACCTTTTCAAGATCTTTTTTCATCATACAGAACTTAATTCTTAAATATTTTCAAGCAATTTAATAAATTGAATTTAAAGTTTTTAAGAAGTCATCGTTGCGTTTTTTATATACTATTTAACTTTATGAACAGCTCTTTACTTAACTAATAAACAAACTACAATAATAAAAAAGATTTCCCTTGTGCCTATCCCCTAAACGATCTTCCCAATGGTTGTATGATAATCCCAAACCATATTTAGAACATGTCAGATTAACCTTTGTTATTTTCAGTGTTCATAATGAATTCCTTTCCATGCCTTGCAGGGAGGCTGAGGGCGAGCTCTCCCTGTGCGCCGGCGACTATCTGCTGGTGTGGACCAGCGGGGAGCCACAAGGTGGCTACCTGGATGCCGAACTACTGGACGGACGACGCGGCCTTGTTCCGGCCTCTTTTGTGCAGCGTTTAGTAGGTAAGTGATAGCTTCTGCTCTTCTTCTCTGTATATATATATAGTACCTGCTATTAACCACCTACCTTTGTATATGCTAGGCGACGACCTCCTGGAGTTCCATCAGGCGGTGCTGTCGACGCTGCGCGATGCCGAGGACGGATCGATGCAGTGCGACACCACATCGCTACCCTCCTTGCCGCCGCACAACCCATTGCTCACACACACCCACGAGGACCTGGCACGTTTGAGTGAGACGCACACCGATCTGGAGCACGACCAGGACGACATTAGCGACAATGGTAACTATTCCTGGTCCAATCTGTTGGTCCATTCATCTTGTTAATCTTTTGATTTTTGTGGCGATCCTCGAATGCGTCGCCGTGCATGGCATGAATGTGAGCATATAATTTAGATCCTTTCGATCATTTTTGATCGATCATCCTTGACCCTAATCCGCCATAGAGGCATCGCTAGCACTTTAGTCCGCTGCATTTTAAAGCTGCGTCCTTGGGTCAATTAGCTGGCTAATGACACACTTCTTGCTCCTCCCCGCAGTTCCAGCACCCAAGCACTTGACGCTGGAACGGCAGCTGAACAAGAGCGTGCTCATTGGCTGGTCACCGCCGGAGCCAGTGGGCTACAACCTCATCGACAGCTACCACGTCTACGTGGACGGCGTGCTCAAGGTCACCGTGAAGGCCAACGAACGCACACGAGCGCTTATCGAGGGCGTTGACTCCACGCGGGTGAGATGAGTCTACAAAATTTGGAAAAAAAAACTCCTTTTAAAATCAAGAATAAGTTTTGGAGATCATCAAAGGCAGCGGCAACTTTAGATACGTCTTCAATCCTGAAGATCATTTGTCTAAGAATGAACCGTCTTTAAACAAGTTCTCTGCACCTTGTTTATAGACGATTTGTTCAGATTTAAATACCATATCCAACACGTCCTTTAACTCTCGCATGTTACTAATAACTTCTCACACAAATATCACTTAATATTTACCAATAAAATACTCCATTCACTAGAAGCCAAAACGAATCCTACGAAAAAATAAGTTTAAAACTTAATAACTATCTTTTAATCTCCACAATTTAACATGCAAACCCGTAAAAACAATGACATACAAAGATGTTTTTCAAAAAAGAAACTTTAATTTTATTCTTGATTTTATAAGACGTTTTCTCTATCCAACTTTTCTATCTATAAGATCCAGAAATCTAACTTATATCCTTCCTTCCCCCTTAGCCGCATCGCATCAGCGTGCGGAGCGTGACTCAAAACCGACAGACCTCGAGGGATGCCGCCTGCACGATGATCATTGGGCGGGATACCGCCCACCTGGGCCCCTCGGCGGTGCGCGCTTCGCACATAACGTGTTCCTCGGCGGTCATCTCATGGCTGCCGGCCAACTCCAATCACCAGCATGTGGTGTGTGTGAACAATGTGGAGGTGCGCACCGTCAAGCCGGGCATGTACAGGCACACGATCACGGGCTTGGCGCCGAGCACCCAATACCGGGTGACCGTGCGTGCCAAGCACCTGCGGGCCGTGGGCCAACATGCCGCGAACGTGGGCCAAACAGGTGTAGCCGGCAGACCTGGTCAGGAAGAGGCGCCCGGAGCGTACGCTGACTTCCGTACCCTGACCAAGGGACTGCCCGATCCGCCACAGGAGATTCAACTAGAGGCCGGCCCGCAGGATGGTACCATTCTGGTGACATGGCAGCCGGTTAACAGGCCCACCTCGACGGGGCCTGTAACCGGCTATGCTGTGTATGCCGATGGTAAAAAGGTCACCGATATCAACTCGCCCACCGGTGACCATGCCCTCATCGACATTGGCAAACTGGGTGTCTTTAATCCACGCGCCGTCACCATTCGCACCAAATCCCGCGACTCCCAGTCGGCAGACAGTGCGCCCATCTTGATACCAAGTACTACTCCTAAAGTCCTACTCTAAAGTTCTTTAAACTAATGCTTTTCCTTTCACAGATACCGTGCGAAATGCCGTGGCCCGAAGGGTGCCTAACCAAATGGGCATGGGTCCACAGTTGCCGCAGGGACCGCATGGGATGCAGGTGCAGCAGCAGATGGGTGGAATGCCTGGACTGCCGGGTCAACAAGGTCAGAATATGATGGGTCAGCAGGATCATGGCCAGTACGATCCCAATCAGATGCAGCAGCAGCAGCAGGGCATGCAACCGCAGCCGGGTCAGCCGGGTCATCAGGTGAGTGTCGGGCGCAGGTGCGACGCCTTGGAGTCCGCCCACGCGTACACTGTAAATAATGTTTCTGTGAACTCGTTTCGTTTTATCATTTCGAAGCAATTGGCTAAGAACTCTTCTAAATTCTGTTGTATCTAAACTTTGAAGCCAACACACCATCGAAGAATGTACATAAGTTATTCTCGTGTAAACTCCCCACATCTATATATATATATATATATATATCTATATATATTAACCCAAGAAAACTGAATGCTAGTCACACAACAAAAGGAAAACCTTGAAATCCATTGCTTGTAAAACCCGCGCACCATCAGATTGAATCAGATTTCCCGCTCCCTTGTACTACTACTACCGATTTTCCATTGCATCAATACATTTTTCTGAACTTTCCACTTTTTACTATCCCTTTCTTAAGAGTTCAAATGTTGGCCTTCATTTGTTTAAACATTTACCTTTTCCTTACATCTACTCTTTCTCTCTCTCTCTGAAATTGTTTATCCTGGAAATATCTTTTGGCCTGCCTTGATTTTTCATATACTATCCTAATACTTTCTTTCGGTTACGATTTGTTTTGCAAATATAAACCTATTATATACATACACTGAGAGAAATTGTTAAGACATTCGCACAAAATTCACACACAAATTTCACATGTCCAAGAAACTGCCGTGACAGATGAGTTCCCGAACTTTGTGATAAGAACCCAAGCAAATTGAATTGAGACCTTCTCCCACCCAAAGAACTTGTATGTATGTAAAGTTATTTCTTATTATTTAATTTCTTTTATAATTTTAAATATATAATTTATGAAGAGCTATGCCAGAGTATGCAACTTTTGCTAGAAATTTATCAGTTTTTCTTTTTATAAGTTTCTAAGTTCGTTTGAGTATAGTTCACCATTAGCATGTCAGCAGCAATAACTATAAAACTATATACCCATAAGATTTTGAACTTTGTTGAGTTGTTCAGATTTAAACTAGAGTTTTAACTAAGTTTATTGAGCGGAAATGCCGAATAAAACAATTGTCTTTAAGGAAAAAAAATATAAAACAAAAAAACGCAATGCAACGAACAATTTTAAACAAAACAAGTACATGTTCATTTTCATTATATGAAACGATAAACTGAAAACTGAAATCGCAAACCTCGTACACCTCGATATCGACAAATCGACAAACAGCCTGACGGAGGCTCCGGATTGTTAGGTGGCCTGCTCGGTGGCCTCTTCTCGAAACCCACACAGAATCAAGTGAACCAGAATGTAAGTTTTACCCACAACATCTCTCTCGCATTTAACACACCACTAACACACCTCGTTACACCACACTGCTAGTCATAAGTATATAACGTATTTATCTGTAACACTTTGCGTACAAGTATCTAGATTCTAGATTCTAGACTCACATTTGGTTAGCTTAGCTAAAATACTTTGGTTAGGACTGGACAATTGAGCTTGTATATTGAAGCAAAACGACAGATTTTTACGTTTTTTTTTGTAGATTTTTGTGATTGGTTTCCTTAGCAAGTACTTAAGTATGTCTTTAGGGAACTAAATTTATACTTTTCGGCTGGCCTGTAAGTACTAACAAAACTGAACTCAAGATTGGATTGAAGAAATACTTAACTAGGTTTACAAACTGCATGGCTATTTTTGGTCTAATGTTAAGTAATTCCTAGAAGAAAGAATTACTTTTAGTCTACTTTGATTTGACTCAGTGATTAGTCAAACTCTTTGCAGATCCTTATCAGCTAACTCTGTATCTATAACTACTACTAAATCTCTAACTAATCTATGTAAAGATCTCCACTGACTATACATATGTAAATATGTATGTAAACTCGCAGTTAATGTTAGAAACATGTGTATACACCCACACTCTACAGCTACCCAGAGATACCAAACCACCAAGATACTCCGAAATACTATCCGTGCTTTCTTACTACCAATAACATCCTAACCCCTCAGTACATACTCGTCTAGCTTCGTACTCGACTATCAGCTATAGATCTTTGGCTTTTCAGTTCCTAAATGTATTTAGCTCGTAATGCTCCATTAAAACACATACACATAGACCTACACACACACACATACAGCTTTCGTACTTCCTTATTAGTTGTCTAAAGAGAAAAAAAAGAACCGCTAAAGCAAAACCAGCTGAATGCAGACGCCTCCACTTTGCTAAACGACTAAAAACCTCTCTAAAGACAATGTGAATGAAAAACAGAGTACAAATTAATAATTGCAACACCCAAAAAAAAAAAACTAAAAAGAAACAAAACTTAAGCTAACAAAATTTTAAATTCATTCAAATTGATTTAAATTCCGGCGCTCGTCGACAACCAGGGCTATCAACCAGGGGCACCAGGAGCGCAGCGGGGCATGGTCCCGATTCCGGGCAGGGCGCAGGGACCACAGCAACAGCAGCAGCAACAGCCCTACGGACCCCAGGGTTCCATGGGTGGGCCACGCTTTCGAGGACCAGTTCCGGGCCAGCTTAATATGCAGGGCCAGCAAATGCAGGGTCAAATGCAGGGTCAGATGCAAGGTCAGATGGCGGGTCAAATGCCTGGACAGATGCCTGGACAGATGTCTGGTCAAATGCCTGGTCAAATGCCTGGACAGATGCCCGGACAAATGCCCGGACAAATGCCCGGACAAATGCCCGGACAAATGCCTGGCCAGATGATGGGACCACGAGGACCGCTCAATCAGCAGCAGCAACAACAGCAGCAGCAGCAGATGCAGCAGGGCCAACAGATGATGCCAGGCCAACAGCCTGGACAACAGCAGACACAACCCGGACAGCCGGGTCAGGCCGGCCAAATGCCCGGGGCCCAGAAGAAACCCCGCTATTTCGTGGCCATGTTTGACTATGACCCATCCACGATGAGTCCCAATCCCGATGGCTGCGACGAAGAGCTGCCCTTCCAGGAGGGCGATACGATCAAGGTAAGCCCCCTGATACCCAACAACCCAAACTAATCCACACAGAACCACCAAGACACCTTTCAGCGGCCAGCAGCAGCAGGCTCTTACAGAGCCAACTAACTAACCATGGTGAGCCCGATCCGATTCGATCAGATCCGCAAAACCAATCGATGATGCAAATTGGATGCCAATTGATGTCCAGAATTGGCTGCGCTTGCTTGTTGCGCTAATTGAATGAATCAGTGCATGTTTTTCCTTCGCCCCAAAGACTTTTCACACTTTCCTCTCACTGACTCAGTAACAATCACAATCAGAATCAGAAGTCGTTGTGAGTTAACCCCTGACCCTTGACCCTTGACCCCCAAACTAAATATCTAACCAAACCGTACTCAATATCCACTTTGTAGACGTTGTTTCTCTCTTCTAATAGTTCCATAAATAATCGTTAAGTTAGCGTTATGCACTCAATACACTTACCAACTACAATAATCACTATCTATTCTGATTACCTAAGATCCTTACTAATATCTGTACTATCGGGGCTATATCCTTGTGTTTCATATAGGTATTTGGTGATAAGGATGCCGATGGCTTCTACTGGGGCGAACTGCGTGGTCGCAGGGGATATGTACCGCACAACATGGTCTCGGAGGTGGAGGACACTACTGCCTCTTTGACAGCCGGCGGACAGATGCCCGGCCAGATGGGCCAGGGTCAGGGTGTCGGCGTGGGTGGTACTGCCCAGGTGATGCCCGGCCAGGGAGCTCCGCAGCAGAGCATGCGCAACGTAAGCCGCGACCGCTGGGGCGACATCTATGCCAATATGCCGGTGAAGCGGATGATCGCGCTCTACGACTACGATCCCCAGGAGTTGAGTCCCAATGTGGATGCCGAGGTGAGTTCATATGATTTGATATTTCTTTTTGATTTGAGTTTTTCATTTGTTTTGTCCTCTTAAGCGCCGGGAAAGTCAGGCGGGAGGTGGTCTTATGGGTGGTATTTTTGGCAACTTATTGCCAGGTTTTAGCCAACATGTTTTGGCTCCAACGGAAAAGGCAGTGAGTCTTAAGAGAATACTTAAAAAGGAGCTAGTATAGAGGTAGAAGTTCATCATTTTGCTAGAAAGTAATCTAGAAAGTAGATACCTTTCCATAATCAGGTTTACACTGCGTATGCTTAATATTTAATATCACATGATTTTCGACTTTGAAGTTAGGAATTTCTTTAAAAACTCTATAACATTATGTAAAAATATTGCAATATTTCATGATACTTTCATAAGTTTTAGAATTTAAAGTCTGAAAAAGTGTATCACCTTGAAAAGACTTAACCAATCCTGAAAAAAAGGATGATCCAAGGATCATCAGTAGCCGTTCTTTCCTTGGGCTCGTTTCAATAAACCATCAATCAAGAAGCTTATATAATATTAATCTTAAATATTTCACAACTTCTCAAACTTCCAGCAAGTGGAATTGTGTTTCAAGACGGGCGAAATCATACTCGTTTACGGTGATATGGATGAAGACGGTTTCTACATGGGCGAACTGGACGGCGTGCGCGGCCTGGTGCCGTCGAACTTCCTGGCCGATGCGCCCGATCAGTACAACAACCAGATGGGTCCGGGCGGTGTGGCCGGCAGAGGTGGTCTCAGCCAGCGGGGCAGGGGTCAGGGGCCAGGAGCGAGGGGTCCACCGCCCCCGCCACGTGACAACATGATGCCCGGAATGGGCGGTCGCGGCCAACCGGGCAAAAGTAAGTAGGCTTTTGTGCAGTTCGAGATATGCCAAAATGGACTTTCGCATTTTTCATTTAAGTTTTCTTTCGTTTGTTTTTCCGTTCGAATTGAATACGAATTAACCAGTGATCGAAATGAAAACTGAAAAACCGATTCGAATAACTAACTATCTTAACGGGCCTACCAACAGTTTCTTTTTAACATTTTCGGTTTCTTTTCGGTTGATTCGTTTTCAAAAAAAGTAAAACTAAAACTAAACAAAAAAATCTGAAAGCCAATACTACAAAATAATACTTAAAAAAAAAAATATATACTTTAATCTCGAAAAAGCACTTTATAAGATGAATAACTATGCAGGTTCTTCCAGACTACATAAACAATTCCACCAGCGGGATAATATATATATATACTATACTATAGCAATCCATTTCTGTTCCGATAACCCAAATGTTTTCAGTTCTATTATTTAGTTAACCAAAACGATATATATATATAACTTACAGATCAGCGAACACAGAGAATATTTTCACTCCTTCTCTCTATTTCTGTCTTAACTCTCTATCGCCAAAAAAAAAAATTTTCTAGTGAAAACAATGAAAAAACAAGAAAAAGAAAAAGAAACAATTACAAGTTGAATACAAATTTTTGATTTTTGAAACGCCGCTAATTTGATTTCCATTTACGATTCCGAGCGAACTTTTGTACAACTCTTTTCTCCCAACAGTTATTTGGTTTTTCTTAATCTTAATCTTAAATGCGAGTTTTTGTTAATGTACAAATTAAATGATTTCCAGCACCAATCAGTTTGATATTTCCAACTTTTATATATACATATATATATACATATATGAATATAAATATTTCCTTCTTGTTTTTGTACGACTTTTTGTTTGGATTCCAATGATATAACTCTAATCCAATAATAAAAATATACAATAGATAGTTGTTGTTCTTGTTGTTGTACACACACAATATATAAAGTATTTCCAAATCATCAATCATCACTTCATCATTGATCAATCATCAATCATAACCTAAAATCGAGATATCTTAGAAATCGAAGTTTCTAAAAATCGAATATTTTGGTTTCATTAAATCATCTCATTTCCTATATCATCCTATATCCTTTTGTATATATATAACTCTTCACTTAGCTTTCTTTAATCTTGTCTGTACGAAATTTTTTAGTTTTGATTTCCCTCTGATTTCTGTCTCTCCTTGTCTTGCGTGCTTTCTTTTCTAGACGTGTACAAATCTAGATGGTCTCTTGCATGTTACTTAACCAAAAGTATATATTCGAAAACAGTTTGTTCTTAAGTTTCTTTATTTACTTTGGTGATGATTTGAGTGTTTTTCTTTTAAAGTAAAGCAATTGTTTGCCTTAACGATACGAATTACTTGCACCTGATTGCCGAATGAAATTGATTGCCTAGTTGATCACCACCGAGCCATAGATCGATCACAAAGTCAACCTCTGAATGTGCCTTGTTACCGATGATAAATTAAAAAAAAAAACCATATGAAAAGTCACCCAGAATGCCCACTACTCATCCACGGATGGAGACGGGAGCCAGAGATTAGTGGTGGCCAAGTGACAGGACAGAGATCCGATTGGGACTTAGGTCCTAGGGAGTTACGAGTACTTCTAGGTTATGAACCCTATTTAAGTCCCAGATATCCAAATATTACCCCCCTAAAAAAAAACAAAGTTAAATAACGAGTACGAGTATCTGCTTTTCGAAACAAAATATTTCTTTTAGCGTTGTTTCCTCTCGTTGATTTTTGAATATTTTTGTTTCGATTTTCTGTTGACTTCTTTCCTTCTGGTTTTTCTGAATGTTGGTCTTGTTTGTTTGCCAATTAGCTTCTTCGATATATATATATTTGATATTTGTTAATTTTCGTTCAAAATATAACAACAAAAACAACAACAGCATCAGCAAGGGCTACAAGCACCAAATAATAATAATATATATATCAAATTTTTCAAATCAAATACGAGCAGTATTTTGTATTTAATGTACATTCTTATATTGTAAAATAATTAACTTTTAACAACTTATTTCCATATATAACTACTTTAATATACAATGCCATATGTACCAAGTGCCGATCAAGTGCCCGTCCAAAAAATGCTATATATAACTTATATCTTATTTAAAATATCCTTTAAACTGCATACAAAAAAAAAAGCTTGTGCAAATGCCAACAAAAAAGAACTCTAAATAGGGGGTTCAAATAGGGCTTTTGGTTAGCCAAAAACGAAGAAGGTAATATTTAATACAATTTTAATCTATATACGTCTGGACCAATAACCACCAATCGAATCAAATGCAATCATTTAACTTAACTCTCTATCTCTTCTCACATTTTATCTAATCCAAATTCAACTGACTACCTTTTGGCGCCTCTCACTCTCGTTTCAAATTATGTCTTTGCGCAAAATGAAATTTTTAAAATCTAAAAAACCCTAACATTTTCGAAAGAGCCCGTATTATATATTTGGAAGTCCAGTTTGTGACCCTTGGGTCAGAAAATTGAAAACCCTTTATTTAACCTTTAACCTATAATTTTGAGTTGTCCATTGATTTGTTCGTGAACTGCGGTGAATTATATAGAACCAACGATTATTTGATTTGATACCCAAAATACCCGCGCGAAGATGAGTTAATATATATATATTATATGTATAATGAATCTTTCAAAACTAAAACTAAAAAATTAATCACAGTTTTCTGAACAGGCAGCTCCAAATCAATCTGCAAAAAAAAAAACAAAAATTGTACGCGAATAAAATTTCAACATTTCGATTGGTTTTTTGATTTATACTTTTTTCAATGCCTAATTTCGACTTAAGTTCCAATTATGATATATATAAATTTTCGGTTTTGACTACTACAACTTCTTTCGAATAATTTTTTGTAATGGTCTGCTGTGGTAAATGTGAAGTCTTTATGTTATATTCGTTGCTATAGATGCTCGCCCTGCTTCCCCTACACTGTTAGACAACACGGGCCATCCTGCCCCCGATCACCAAACGCAGGTAAATACTCTTTCTCTTTTGTTTCCTTTTTTGTTTTGATATATCGAACGAAAAAAAAAAGAAAATTATAAAATATAAAAAATATATAGATATACAATATTTTCATTTGTTTGTTTGTGAAAATAAATGCTAAAGCTAATCTAAAGAAAAGAGTTAAGAATACGCCAAAATGTAACCACAAACTGTTCACCAAAATACCAAAAAAAAAAAAAATACCTATATACCGTATTATTATTGCTACAATATACAGTTACAATCTACTACTATTACAACAATAACCTATCCTTGTACCTGTACCTATACCTATACTATCTCTGTCACTCATTACTTTTCGGTTCCGATTCTCGGCCAAATTAAAAAGAGAAAAAAGAAACTCCGTTATTATCCCGACACTCAGACAGAAGAGGAACACGACATATCTTTCCTGCGACATACTGCTATCGCTTTCCTGCACACACGCCACCTGTGTCGTGCGGAATCTTTCACACTCGCCATTACTCCGACTCGATCGTCCATTGTTCCGTCCTCTTTTCTCTATCTCTCTATCTATCTCTCTCTATGTCTATAGCTACATACCTCTTAACTCACGATGTCTATATGTAAACCATAACAGAATAACCCAATTCAAACGCTTACAGTACAGTACTTGAACATTCCAATTAACGATACCAAATCAACCGATTTATATATACCTATATATATATATAAATATATAGTACATATGTATAGCTAGCAACATGTTTATCTTGTAGTTAACATTCAAAGACAACAGCGACATTATAAATACAAACATAAAAACCAAGCCAGAGGCTCGTCCGTGTAAAGATATATCCCAAGATTCATAGCCTGCAAATGCCGCACTTCATGTTGGTGTAAACTCAGTATAAAGCTAATGTGTGTATAGTCTGTATATAAAGTCAAGAATCTTGAACAAATATCAGTAACGATTTCCACAGCAACAATCATTTACATCGATTTTTCTTATTAGTTTGTTAATCACTTCTTTTCCATACATTTCTAATATCATTTTTATTCTAACTATTTCACTGCTTTTTCATTTTGTTTATAAAGTTTTAAGTTTATTTTTCCAACTTTTACTCAGCTTACAGACTTCCGGAACTTTCTAACTAAGTCATGAAAGAAGGCTTTTATTTAAAAGTCCAGCTGTTTGCCTACTCCAAGCTAGTATAAGAATGAAATCATATTAGAAAAGCATTTAATTTTGATAGCTATAAATATCTCTTGAAATGCTTAAATCTGCTTATTTATAATCTGATATTTATAATCTCCCTTACTGCTTCTAAATTAGCTTGGAAAGCAAACCAAAAAAGAGATAATAATAATCTGGAAAATGAGATAATAAGTGTATAAATCTATTCACACAGTATCCGTAACTCCTTATCTTAGAATCTTAGAATCGTCAAATACCAGATACTAGATACTAGATACCAGATACCATATATGCCAGATACAAAATACACACTCAAGTAAACGTATTGCTGATAAGACGTGATACATAAACCTATAAATATATATATATATATATATAACTATATATGAATACATTTTTGTTTTCTTACTGGTATACGCTACTAACTATATTAATTAATTGCTACTACTACTACTACTACTATATGGAATATTGGATGTAATGTGTACAAATTTCTATGTGATTCACTGTATGTGTAATACCTTGACTATTTTTCTTTTCGGTTTTGTCAGTTGGCCTTTTAAGTTTTTCTAACCCGCCTTAGTTGAACCCTGAAAACTGCTATTTGCTTTTCGATTACTATCAACATTTCCCCTCATATGATTTCCTCTGGCTCACCCTCGTCAACTATGATTTCCTCAATAGATTTGCATTTAGCTTTTACTTTAAACAATGATCAAACACCGAAGTAAAGACTAGCAAAACCAATGACTTAAAAACAATAAATTACATTTTTTATTTAAGTTTAGTTCATCGACACAAAGCTCATAACGGATCTTGTCCGCTGATTAATTATGATTTCAATGATTGCCTAGACACGTAAAACAAAAATAACACAACCTTCGACATATCATATCAAGGTAGTGTAAATAAATAGAGCTCTAGAACCATAGAAGTCCGGTCCAAAAAGAGGGATTTCCAAAGTCCCTTCCGCACTGTCTGGAAAATATATTTTTTCTCAGAATGCGTGTCTTTTTTTTGAGAAATTTTCTTTTACTTTTGCCATGCAAGTTTTTCAGTTTAACTTTTTGGCCTTAGGCCCGTTTTTTTTCAGTTTTGAGTTAACAACTATTGAGAAACGTTGCTAGTTCTACATATTTTTCGTTTTTTGCTACAAACCAAAAGGTGTGTGTATAAAGAACTGAAATCACGTAATGCTACTGTTACTCGTTTTAATTGAGGCCAGAAATCAAGCCTCCTGCTGCCCTCGCTTCTTTCCAGAAGTGAATGGGACTTGGAGTCCATTGATTGAGTCCCCAGGCTAAGCACTATGTTTCATTTTAGTGAGGATTCGCAGAGGATCCTAGTTCGGTTTTTTGACTAGCCTCTTTACGTAGTTAACGAACGTAGCTGCCATTACTAACAAAAAAAAAAAAAACACAACCAAACTTTCATCTCAAGTAACTCGGCGATGCAATGCTCGAGAACCTCGCTTAAACTAACCAGTTACCCCGGCTAACTTAAAAAAAAAAGAATACATACTATATACTTGAGAGAGCATTGAAAAAAATCCATGAAAATATTAAGAAACCCCCATAAATATACGTACCATATATATACCATATATATAACATACTTAACAATTAGTTTTTTGCCATTCGTTAAATACGATCGCTGCCTGATTGGAAGCACGACTAACATGTATTTTGTGGTCCTTGGACCAAACGCCACCTTGCAGGGGATGATCGGTCGCGTTGGTAATGTCGGCCTGCAGCAGCAGCAGCAGCAACAGCAGCAGCAGCAGCAACTCCAACAGCAGCAGCAGCCGTATGGTCAGCAACAGACGCAGATGGGACAGCAGCAGCAGCAACAACAGCAAATGGGACAACCTGGAATGATGGGTCAGCAGATGGGTCAGCCGATGGGTCAGCAGATGGGCCAGCAGATGGGACAGATGGGTCAAATGGGTCAGATGGGTCAACAGCAGCAACAGCAGCAACCGCCGGTAACGACACAGGCGCAAACGGGTGGCCTCTTCTCCGGTGCGACTAGCCTGCTCTCTGGTGCTACCTCGGCTGCCACCGGTGGTCTATTTGGGTCGAAGCAACCGCCCAAGACGGATCCAATGCAACCACAAGGTGGTGTGCAGCCAGCGCAGCAACAAGCAAATGCCTTCGGTGCCCAGCAGCCCGGCATGGGTATGCAGCAGGGGGGAATGCAGCAGGGGATGCAGCAGGGGATGCAGCAGGGTATGCAACAGGGGATGCAACAGGGGATGCAACAACCGGGCATGCAACCCGGTATGCAACAGGGTATGCAACCCGGTATGCAACAGCAGCAGCCACAGCAACAACAAGTGCCACCGCAAGCCCAGGCTCCGCCACAAGGACCGGGCGCCGGTCTGCTGGGCGGCCTTAAGGGTATCGCGGCAGCGGCGCCCGGCGGCGATGTCCTATCGAAAGGCAAAGACCTCTTCGGAAAATTCGGGTTCGGCTTTGGCAAATAACCCCGGTCATTCTATAGGGTCCTGTTATATTATTCGTAGATTAGACTTATTATTACTATTATGATTATGATTATTGCTATTGATTACGGATTACTAAGCTAATATATAAAGAAAAAAAAAAACACAGACGATGATGATTAGATCGAGGAGGACAGACAAACCAATGCTAAAGTTAAAAGAAAAACCCATACTTTTAGGCCCAGGCTGTGGGCCAATGTGTGTATGTTGTTGTTGTTGTTGTTGATATGAATATGATATGATATGACTAATAGTACTAATGGTAATATTTTTTATTAATTAAATTGATAGAAATATTATGAGTGACCGACAGACAACAGCAGCATCGGCCTAACAGCTGGGCCAAAAAAAACCAAAAACAACAAAAAGCCACAAGCCCAGATAAATTGTTGTAAAATTATTTAACAAATTGCCTGCCGGTTTAGGTGACTGCAACTCGATAAAAGATTCCACTAACCCATTTAAAGGATAAAGCTCTATATAATGCATAAACCAACACACACACACACACTGAGACACATACAGATGCAATACACACTCACATAGATACTGAGAACACAGATATATTATACAAAAAAAAAAAAGAAAAACCAATACAAATACAAAAGTAAGGGAGGAGAAATATATTATATACATACATTATATTTACAATTATTTGTTAACGCACATTGTTAAATTTGCTACTGTTGCTGACCAGTTTATAAATAAAAACCAAACCGGATGGTAAGGAGGAGAAGAGAAAAGGAGTATAGAGGAGAGAAGATAAAGCAAACACATAAGGTAAACTAAAACCAAAAAAAAACATAAACATAAACATACATATATTATATGTATATATTTCAAATATATTGAAAACTAAATTGAGATACACTATAAAACTTACATTTATAAATCAAAAAACAAAAACAAAAACACAACCGAATGTTGAGCAATGTCAGGCAGGCGAAATGATGAGGCCGAACCAAAAAACAAAAAACCAAAAAAAAAAAACAAAAATATAAATAATGAAGAAGAAGACGATACATACATTAAAGTAAAATAAATAAATCGATATGGTACATATTTACATATATTCGCATATACTAAATACGATTTCGCATTCAAAAGCCAACCTCCAATCGGGCGCATTTCCAAGACAAGGCGACCTTGACTTCCAGTCCAGCACAAGAAGCTAACTTTAATCCCTTGAACATCCCCACCCCCCATGCCTTCTTTTCAATCCAGTGATAGCCGAAGCCAAAATTTCTATCTCTTAATTCCTAGTAAAAACTTTCCCCCCTTTTCTCACGACTGCTCGACTCAAAAACTTCTCTTTATTCTATGCAACCGAAAGAAATTTTGTTCAGTGTTTGATGTCCATAGAAGCCATATGCGATAAAATATCAGTGTAACTTAAAGCAAACCAAAGACCAAGAGAGAGATCTACTCCTACATACATATATATATATATATATATATATATATATATGGGATACCCAACAAAATGGCAAATACAAAGCAAATATAATGTACTAAGCACAAGATCGTAGCATTAGACCCTGGAGACATGTTCACTAAATTCAGCAAAAAGGAGACTTTTCCACAACCTTCTTTAGCCACTTAAGCCGCCGCCCCTATTGCTTTTCTTACCAACTTTCTATCGCTATCTAACCCTAACTTTTACCTAACCAAAAGTACACATACCTTTTCGATTGTTATTTTAAATACTACCAATTAACAGATAGTTAGTTACTCGCCTATGCCGCATACTTACGACTACTTCTGTTCTCCTCTCGTGGAAACTTTATGCTTTATTATCCGATACGATCCGATCCGAGAGAGAGAATGAAAATTTGCAGATAGTCAAGGTGTTTCCTAATGTTTGAAAATTGCTTTGACTCAGCCCTCATGATACACACTCAGCATAACACAGACAAATACATTGCGTACCTCTTGCTTTACGAAAATACAAAATACATTCAAGAAATGGAAAGTATAAAGATAACAAAAACCAAAAAAAAACAATTATATTAATGACAAAATTTACCAAACAAATATATTAAACAAGGCATATTTAAAGAGCGCATAGAGAGTTGCATATGTACATGTGCTTGGCCGGCAAACAAGACAACATAATTGTGAGCAAATGATTACTTTAGACACACACACTTACCACAACTGATACATAGTTACACTGCAAAATGCAAATTGCAAATTGCAAACTGCAATACCGAACACTGTAAATTGTAAACTGGCAAAAACAAAAAACATATAGTAGAGAAGGGCTGTTATAGCCAGAAAATGTTGATCGAGAATGACTTACCGAAATCGAAACAAGCGTTAACTTTTCCCACGTAAACGATTTAAATCTAACAATCAAATCAAGTCACTGTATTATTCAGCCACATCGGATAGACAATTACAATCTACAAGCCTAACTTCGGCAACCACCGAAGCCGTGATGCCTACGTAAACCGGAAGATATATCATATTCGAATTTACAAGGGCACAGCGGAAATACACACACAAATACAAATACAAACAGCAGACAAACACACTTACACACACACTCTCTCTATAATCATTTACTAGACACCTACCTATACAAGTATACAAGAACAGTTTATTTCCTCGGAAACAAAGCGAACAATATAGAATAAATGAAATTAAATTCCCATTAAACACACACACTGGCAAAAAAAAAAATGATAATGGCAAAAAAACGAGTACTATGCAATATGAAATGGATAAAACAAAAACCAAAAAAACAAAAAAAATACAAATGAAAACCAACTAAATTGTTATACTGTATTATTATACTTTTTCTATAAATTATAATTTCCTTATTGAACGACAAAAAAGCGAAAAAAATAATAATTAAACAACAATTTCAAAGAAAAAAAAATCAAAAACGCAGCATTTCAATTGCCTTAATGAGGCGTTTCTTCAATTTCAGTGATATTACTCATACGACACGTAGACCCGTGTATCTGTTTGCATGTCGCGGCACGAGGCATTCTTTATGGACTGTTTATCTCTTGCTTGCAGAATACTTTCGAGATGGGTTATCTTGATTAATTCGTAGAAGAGTACTGTATTTTAATAATGCATAAAAGTATTTACAAAGTCGCTAACTAAATATCTAAATCTAAGTTGTTAACTAACTGCTGCCGCTGCCCAGTTACGCAAGCTGCGTGCGAACGTCAAGCGGCAACAGGTGAGGAGATAAATCTTGTGACGTCCGTTCATAACCGGATCAAACAGACTGGATTAGATTAAGGGTGTTTACAGCTTGGCTTCCAGAACAGGTGCTTCCTTTTTCATTTGCAGGTGACTCGAAAGTTGGCTGTCCTCTTGGCAGAATCGCACATTTCCCATGACGGGCAGCATTTGCTGCACTTTCAGGCTCATGTTCTGCAAGATCAACAGGACATCGTGACTAGCCATCTCCTTGGCCACTGAGATTAGCATTTCACTGAAGGTGGCATCGAACTGCATGAAGCGGGTGCAATCGAGGACCACTGGGAAATCATTTTGATACAGTCTGCAGGCACTTCTCAGCTCAGTTCGCAAAGCATCTACGCCGGTGTAGTAGACATCCGACTGGGGTACAATATGCACATAGTAGGTGGAGTCAAGCTGCAGAGAGGGTTTATAATTAAATCTATGTAGCTAGTTAGGATTTTAAGACCTTACCTGTTTCAGGGTGACTTCAAATTTGGGATTGCCCAGGCGCAAAAGAACAAACACCATGCTAAGTACAATTCCGAAAAGCAGACCCAACTCCACGCCAGCCACCAAGCAGATGATGAAGCTTCCCACCCAGCTAAAGAAGTCCTTCTTGTTTGTCTGCCAAAGTTCCTTAACAGGAGCCAAATCAATCTGTTTGTAAAGAAATCATAAATATTTGAGAATATGATATCAATCTCAGAAAATGAAAAGTACACACCATAAAGATGACCGCCGCAATCAGAACGGCGGAAAGTGAGGCCTTCGGAATGTACTGGAAGTAGGGAGTCAGAATACTCAATGCGGAGAGCACTATCAATCCCGTGTAGATGCCAGCCATTGGGGTTCGAACTCCGGAAGCCTGACTTACAGCCGAGCGGGTAAAAGCTCCACATGTGGGCATGGCACTGAAGAAAGAACCGGCAATGTTGCACAGACCCAAGGTCAACATCTCTTGCGAGGCATCCAGATTGCCATCCTTGACTGAAAAAGTGATATAATAAACAAAAATAAAGAAAACTCTCTAACCAACAAATATCACGTATACGCACCGAAGGCCTTGGCAATAGCCACATTGGCCAAAACTGCCACAATAGGCACAACAACAATTCCGCTGCCCAGCTCATGCAGGATATCCGTGAACACATAAGTGCGATTCTGGTATTCAAAAGCAAAGGGCGGCAACTTGATTGTGGGCATCGCCGAGGAAACCTTTGAGGAAAGGGCAAAGGGCACCGCCTCAATGGAACTCTTCTTGACCCAGATGAATACTATAAGACCGGTGAAGAAGACAACCAGAGCATTGCGCGAGATGCTGATGTACCAAAGGATCTTCTTTAGACGACGGGTGACAGCCGTGTCCTGTTTGAAATTTACTTGCGATAGGAGCTGTATAAAGAAAATATAGAAAAAATTGATGATTGATTTACTAATTTCTCATATTAGATGGGAACTCCTCACTGCCTCATTTTTATGAGTTATTCATTATCTATGCTATAATTATAGCAAGGGAGTTTTTGCTACTTGGCGGAACGTGACTTCGGTAAAAAATCAAAAGTAAATACAGGTTGCCAAACTAGCCAATCTCAAGTTATATTTTAAGCTAACATAAAAGTGAGTTTAATCATACTAAATAGGTGTTTTTCATCAAGTTTAGTAACTAGTTTGTACCAATTTTCTTTTTTTCTTCTTTTCGTATAAGTCATGATTTTATCAGTTTTAATAAAAATATTTAACTTACCCTCAACAAAAGCAGCACAACCATGCAGGACACCCCCATGGCGGCATCCGTAGGACGAATGTTGGTGAAAAAATCACCAATCGAGGGGAACCCCTTAATGCGAACACCCAAAAGATTCTTGATCTGGGCAAATACCACAATCAAAGCTGTGCCCGAAGTAAAAGCCTTAGTCACCGGAGCCGGAATAAAGCTGACAATGAATCCCAGCTGAAATACTCCCATGGCCAGTTCCACTAAGCCGGCAAGGAATGCCAAAACGATGACCACCTGCACTGGCTTATCCGCACAGAACTGCAGTGTGAGAATGGCCATCAGGCTGGTGGGTCCAATGGAAACCTGTGGTATCGTTCCGAAAAACACATAGATAATAGATCCAATAAAGGCGGAGTACAGGCCGTACTCTGAAGAGAGACCCGCCAGCGCTGCATAGGCAATACTCTGTGGAATAATGGTCAGACCCAAGGTGATTCCGGCTATCAAATCCGCAAACGCCTGCTCTCGATCGTAGCTGGTAATCCAACTGAGGAAGAAAATACGTCGAACTAGCCAGTGGGCTTCCTTGGGCCTGGAATATTTGCTGGCCACATCCAAGTCGACGGCGTGACCCTGGCTATAATAGTCCTCGCCATTCTGAGCCGTGTACTTCTCCTTCTCCTCGCAACCAGCTGAAATCAAGAGAAAAAATTCTCTATGTAACTTGGAGTTGGATAACTTTAAGTCGTAATTCCTACGATCGTAAATGGTGGATATAGTGGCTTGGGATTGCCCAGTGGCTTCTCCATTTCCGCGACTACGACTTCGAGTAGTTTTGGGCCACAGGCCGAACGTGTGCTTTCGCGGCCAACGCATTGTGTACTGATTTTTGGTTTCTGTTTCAGTTTCACCAATGGCCAGGTACAAACGCTCTGCCAGCCGAAATTGTTTGATTTTGTCAGGGGATTTTTAGCATTTTAATAAACAAAACGAAAAAAAAAATCAAAAACAAACGAACAGTCCGGCTTGTCCGCTACCGAGCCGAGCCGAAAGCACGGCGAGAAAAAAAAGCGCAAAACTTTAATTGTGTGAAATCGTAATTAAGCACATATGTTGTCGTACTCTCGCTCTGGCTCTGGCTCTGTGTTCCTCTGTAATTTGTTTAAATAACTGAGATTCTTAACTGATATTGAGGGGCAATTATTGGAGAGCCAATACATTCACATACCACTTAATTATATATCTCTATATGCATGTACAAGACCCTAAAACCAGTTATATCTTCCGCGAACGCTCTTTATGTAAATTTCATTAAAAATCAATTTTTTACCCAGTTTTTTTTTATATAGGTTAAACAAAGAGAAACACGAGTGGAACTCAATCAAAACAAGTGATTAAGTTTTTTATAGAACATCACGGAAAATTAATGCAAAAAATTAGCACATCGATTATTGCTGCTCATATAGAAAACAAATCCGGATAGTCACAAGTGCGTACTGACTCCAGACAGTGTCTATTAGTCATCTGTCTTTCTATGGATCTAAATTAATAGTACAAGCCATTGATCTTAGGTGTTACCTTTCACATGAATACGAGTAGGTTAACAGAATTCTGTGAAAAATCTGTTACGTGTCAAAGCTATCAAGTTAAGAATAGAATTGAGACTTTCTTTACTTGAATTTTTAGCTATTTTCATTACCATCTGCATAACTCATTACTTCAATAAGAAATGATTAATCATATAATTTTATTATATGTGAATTTTATTATATAATATTAATTTTGTTTTTAGTGTCTGGATAAATATCATCTTTCTCAAATCAGGTACCAATACAATCAAATAATTACTTTATTTTATCTTGTCAGCAAATGTTAATATTTGTGGTTGATGTTTTGACGAGTTAAATATTTTTAATACTCGGGTGTTATCGGTCATGATGGACGAAAACCGAGACCCAAAATGAATGCTAATTTGTAACATCAGGCCAAAAATTTTAACAACTTGCGTCAAATCTATCTCCAGCTGTTGTTCGATTGCTAATTAAAACGCGAGATCGGCGGGTGGCTTTTATGACGGTTGTAAAATTGGCCAAGTAGTGTAAATGGTTAACGGTTATAAAATGATCACGAGCTAAGAATATCGGCCGAATCGTGCCAGGAACTGTGATAATGGGTAAGTCCGAAAATGTTGATCACTTTACACTGTGGTACATCCTTTAGTTCATGTTATATCCTTACCATCGAAGGATAACTTCTTTACGATCGACATTATACACGTATCCACATATGCTTTTCAAACGAAGGACATTCGATTATCGTGACTTAGGAATATTTTCAACTATATATCCTTGCCCCCTGAGTGAGCCAAGTGCACGGCTTCGCAATCTAATGAAAACTGCCGAATAAGCGAATTTCTGAATGATAAATAAGTAAGTACGGACGGATTTTTCTGATAAAGACGAAAAATGAAAAGAGTCAAGAAAAAAGGCGACAAACACGCTTTTATTTTCTGCTCGAGATCAGCACAACAATGACATACTTAACGCCCATTCGGCAGGCGGATGGCCGAGCAAACATTGCGGAGCAGGGTTGGGCGGTGGGATCTGCCTGTACGGAGCACAAAAAAAGTGAATATATAACTGGAAATGTCAACGGCACCGGTGGCAAAAACTACCGCCGTATCGCTGTCATATGTCCCCGTGCTCCAAATGCGCAGTGGGGGAGGCAATCTGAAAAATCCCATCCCAATGGGTTTATCGTGTGGAATCCAAGTAATTTTCCACCTTCGACTGCCGGCCAAGTGGCATTCCACGCACCTCGATCGATAAATGATGGATCAATATTTAGATTTAGGCTTAGATCGATTAAACGATCACAAATAAGTCAGCCAAATATCTTAGCACAAGCTGTGACACCTTGTGTCAGGCATTCTAAGGGGTTCTCTTTAATGGGTTATTCATTAAATGATCAAAATATTTAAATAATATATACATTTCAGTATTAAAACTTAATTTATTGATTATTACAAACACAAATTCAGTTTCACAGTGATATTTTTATACATAACACAGATTCTTTATTATTATATCAACTTGTATTAAATCATAGTTATAATTAACTGCGATAAACGAGAAATACAATTGTCCACTATATCGTACATTTTTTTTCCAAGTGGCTTAGAAGCCTATTATTATATCTCTACCTCTGAATGAATGCCATTAGGTGTGAACTAGTCCATCAGGCGTTACAAAGACCTGGCGTGTGGGCCTGACAGATTAACGACTTCTGTATATGACCGACCCTGCTCGGCTGTAAACGAGATAGCATCATAATTAGTATATCTGATACGGGAGCGCCAGCGCAATTACCTTATAAAAGAGCACATACGCCGGCAAAGAGTGGATTTACGGTTGACTTTGAAATGATTAAGGTGGCAGCCGCTTTCTTGGAACAAGGAGTTTCTTGACGACCAAGGTCATTGGGTGTCTGGAGCTGGTTATCTGGACACCTGGTAAATATGCGGATGTTTTTCACCCACTAAGACACCAAAAGATAGCGGGCGGTTATTAATAGGTTCGCCCATATTTGTGAACTAGATTCGAGCGCAAATATTTGGCTAATCGCTGTACAATTAATAACAAACCGAATATGCGTCACATAAGCATTAGTTTAAATTACGCGCCCAACGGCACTTTTCAACACTTTTTTAAAGTGCGGTAGAAATCAAGCTATCGATAGGCTTGTATCGTCAATTATGCCCTTATCCAATCGAGTGGCCAGGCGATACAATTCGATACCGAACTCAGTGGCTTGCACACACGCATCCCCGTTCTCATTGAAAGTTAATAAATTAACTAAGTAGTTTTTTGATCGAAACAAAATTATACGTTTTTTGAACACCCCGCCGCGCACTTCTTCGGCCGTTTCGCAGTTCTTCTCATTGTTTTCCTTTTTCAATTTGCCAAATAAATACGCTGTCAAGCGCTAGGGATGTGCAAAAAAATATCGACAGCGGAAAGCAACTCGTCAAGCAACCTTGCTCGTTATCGCTACAGTACGCAGGGAAAAAATAAAATTAGCAACAAAAGCATATTTAGCAGTCAAGTTAGAGTGCTAAACGCTGCCGAAATAGCATATTTTGGCTAGACCACGCCTCGCTCGCCCATTCGCGACCATCGGAGGAGGATCGTTAGATCGGCAAGTTGGTAAATCGAATCGGTGTAAATCGGGAGAAAAATAGCCCAGGCAGCACATATAGGCAGAAACGAAAAATAAAAAACGAAAAGAAATCGCCAGGTTTTGAACGTTTGTGCTGAATAACTACTCGTGGTACTGGCATTGGTACTCTCCTGGCCTCCTGGCAACATCGGACAGCGGACATCGGCAATTGGCGATCCACATCCCACATTCACATCCAATCGACGTTATGAACAACAATAGCAAGCGGAAAACCCGACCCACTGGCGGTGGAGGTGCCAGCGGCGGCATCTCAAGGTAAGAAGAAGCACCAGCTGCACTGGCGAAAAAGAGACAGGGGCGTCGTTGCAAAAAGGGTAAAGGGGCTGTAACACTGGCACAAACGCACACCAATGCATTTGGGGCTGGTTTGCTTTTGCTTTTTGCTTTTTCCCGTCGCAGTTTGCAGTTCGCCGTCGCCGTTCGCCGTTGCCCTGACAAATTGAAAACCCGCGACAACCAAAAAGCGCCACAAAGAGCTCTTTTCTCTCCCGGTCCGGTTGACTAAAAAAAAGAGGAAAAAAAAACAGAAAAAGGTGAAAGCGCGTCTCGTGTCGTTTTTCAAGATTTTTTTTGCTTAGCTATTTGGCTAATGCAGCATCTCTTGAAAAACCATTCTTAAGTTTTTATTTTTTTTTTGGAATGCAAATGGCGCTTATATAATAGGCCATCGCGTGTGAGTATGTGTGTGTGTGTGTGTGTGCTTTTAGCATCGAACTTTTTATGCTTTGTTTACATTTCCCTTTCACAACGGGCAAATGTGTGTAGAGAACATAATTTGTTTAAAGGTTTCCGTTTTGTCGCACCAATGAGTAGCATTGCCACCCCCGTAAAAAGGGGCTCTGAAACCCCCAACCCCTCTCAATGGGGCCGTCCCCTCTCCTATCCCCTCCCGTGTTCTCTCGCTGCTGCGCCCTTAAAATTTTCAATTGAAATATGACTGCAGCGCACACATCCACACGAACACAGTCACACATCAACATCCACATCCGCATTTGTACACAGTGCGGGACATAAGTATCGGCACGTTCGCCAGTTTTATCATTATCATCTGAGCAAACCAACTGACTAAGCGATATGTACAGATACATAAAGCTAGATAACATAAACTGACCAAAAGAGGAGTCATTTAAAATATATTTATTTCAGATTAGTTTTTGAATAATCATTAGATGATTAAATTTGTTTGGGGAATACCAAATATAGATAAGAAATTTAAAGACGTAATCTATTCTTTAACTTCAAGTTATCTGTTAAATGTAAATTATGTAGAAAGTGACTTGAGAGTCTGCTGTTAAGCGCAATAAAAATTTTTCATTCATGGGCTAACAAGCAATAAGTTGGAAATATAATTTGGAAGAAAACAAAATTGGGAGAGATTAAAACTCCTCCAATTTTCCACTACGTCAGTATTCATGAATCAGTAAGAGTTTGCAATTGAAAAATAATTCAGTTTGTATATAAATACAGTGATAACAAAAATTAGTTGACAAAAGGAAAGAAGTTTGTGTGATCGATAATATATTAACAATTTAATAAAAATTGTTTCTTTTGTAGTTCATAGTAATTAAAATTTAATATTAGTCAAAATAAACAAATATAATATTTCAACGAGCCCTTAAGTACTTTACTGACAGGCTTCACTGTAGTGCCATTTATTTTTGCCTTATCATACGATGCTTCCTCGTCGAGTCATATTTATGCCCCAAACTGTTTGAAATGCGCGTTCATTATTCATTGTGCACCAATACAAACCAACAAGCTCAAGCTTGTGGGCACAGTTGGTCTTCGGTACTTTGGGTCGCTCTGTGCGATTTAGGCCCACTGTGCTGCCCATGCCCATCGTGATGCACGCACACTCGTCCATGTAGCACGTAGTGCACTATATTTTTTACTCTCGTCGCTCGTCTTATTTTTTTCGAATGCATTTTCTTGCATTGTCAGCATTTTGCAGCTTTACGTTTGCCGCTCGCCGTTTTCAGTTTTTAGTTTGCAGTTGCTGTGACGTGCGGCGGCTGCGCTGAGTTTCGTATCGTTCTTTGGCACACTTCGAACCCCTCAAACACGCCCGCCGAAGCCCCCTTCGAGATCCCCGAGAGCCACCAAAAGGGGGTCCGAAATTTGGGTCACTTTACAATTTGCTGACCGAACGATATACCACCTCGCTCTTGTTTTCCGCTCGACGTCTATGCATATTTATTCGCCACTCGGCCATGCACACTTGCATTTTAAGTTTGCCTCCGTCGCCGTCGCAGCCTATTTCCCGGATTCGTTACCCCAAAGAGCTACCCGCACTGCACCTCACCTTACGCATGATTCACTCTTGAGCGCAATCAATTATTTGTTTTCATTCACGAAAATGTGCACAGTGCACGCTCCGTGAATCAACCGACCCCCTCTCCGTTTGGTTCCGTTCCGTTCAGCCCCGTGCTCCGTGCCTCGTAGCCCGCCCCCACTTCCATTCGCGGGTTCATTGTGCGTTGCGTTGCGCATTTCACGGTCGTCGATCCTGCCCGCACGCAACCGATGCCAAAACACCCCGAAAAGCACTGAGGAAAGCGTTCAGGGAATGAGTCGGAATCGAGTTGCGACCGGGACAAAGCTGGCTAAAGAGGTTTCATTTGGCTGATTATTTTCGTGGAATGCATATCCCGACAGTGGCAAAACGCTTAATCATTCTTAAAAAACAGTTTACTTTTATGAATTCAACAACAAAGGAAACCTTGTCGATTTGAAATACTGGTAACCATCTGACTATATTTTGCATCTTGGCAAAAATAATAAATTAATAACTTTAACTTCATCACTGTGATTCCCCTGAAGTCTTTGTTTACAAGTCTAAATGACTCTTAATGGTCATACTAAACCAATGGCTACAACTTAAACAATGTGATTCCCCGAAAAGTCTTTGTTTAAGCAACCGAATAGTGTGTCTTGCTTGTACTAAAAAAAATATGAGCTAAAATGCACAAACACAACGCAAACTGACACTACTGTTTACAGGGGTTGCGGATTGCGGGGTCAGGTCAGAGTTTGCAAACGAATCGATAATGCCACCGTGCCCAAATGCCATCGAATTTCCAATTTCAGTCAGTCTTTTGCCTTCAAACCGCAACGCTAACGAATAGTTGAAAACGTGTGGTGAACGCTTCTCTTATCCTTTTTTTTCGCAGATACAACTCCAACGACAACAGCCTAAGGCCCGCTAACAACAAGACAGGTGCAGGAGGCGGGAACGGAGGCGGAGCAGTGCGTCCGGTGGCGCAGGGCGTCTACAACAACACGTTTTTCATGCACTCGGCCACGGCGCTAGTGGGCAGCGTTGTAGAGGTTCGCCTGCGGTCGGGCAACATCTACGAGGGCGTATTCCGCACATTCTCGGGCAACTTTGACATCGCACTGGAGCTACCGGCGTGCATTAAGTCCAAGAATCTGCCGGACGAGGGCAAGGTGCCAAAACACATTATATTCCCGGCCGACACCGTGGTGACCATCGTGGCCAAGGACTTTGACTCGCAATACGCCACCGCCGGCGCTTTTCAGACGGATGGCGCCATTTCTGACAAATGCAACGGTAAGATACAAATATGAACGTTTTAGAAACATTTACTTAGTAATCTCACTTTTGTAGGTGCGCGTCTGGACGAGAAGGAACTGGAACCGTGGGATTCTGGCGCCAATGGCGACATTGACATAGAATTAGATAGTGCCGCCAACGGTTGGGACCCCAATGAAATGTTCCGCAAAAACGAGAACACGTTTGGCGTAACGTCTACATTCGATGATTCTCTGGCCTCATACACAGTACCACTGGACAAGGGTGACTCTCTAGAGTTTAAAGAGGCCGAAGCCAAGGCCGAGAAACTGGCCGCCGAAATTGAGAACAATCCGACGTGCCGTGACCGTCTGGATTTGGAGAATGGCGACGAAGAGGCACTATTTGCGGCCGTGGAGCGACCGTCGACGGAGCAAGAACAACGCGGTGATCGTGGCGACCGCGAACGCAACGATCGAGAAAGGGATCGCGAGGACCGCGACAGGGACCGTGACCGCGATCGCGGTAATAAGCCCCGAGGCGCTGGTGACTTCCAATTGCGGGAAACTATGAGTAGCGACCGCTACATCACCAAGCAGACGCGCAGCATCACCGGACCGCAGCTATCGCATGTGGGCATGTCCTCGCAGGGCAGTGGCCGAGATCGCGATACTCGCGGAGATGGCAACCTAATGATGCAAGGCGGCATGGGCGGCGGGGCGGGACAAGGCGGCTCCACGCAGTCCACGGCAGCTCTTATGCTGGCCGGTGGCCTGAAGGGCGTGGCTCCTGCCCCGTCAGCAAACGCGGCTGCGGACTCGTCCAGCAAGTATGGCGGCGGTTCGATGGTGAAGCGCAAGACTGTGCCCCAAGGTGGCAAGGTGATGCGCAACAATGTGCCTACCGGCGGTAGCAACGTCTCCGTGTCGCAGGGCGGCAACGGTAACTCTGTGGGTCAGAGCAAGGGCGGTTACCAGCCGTCGATGGGCATGCCGAATCAATACACCTATCAGGGTAACTCGCAGATTATGCACGGGTAAGTCGTGATAGCCTTTCAGCCCAGCCATCACAAAAAATAATATTTGTATTTCTTCAGGTCTTCTCAGTACCGCAACCAATCTCATATGGGTGGTGGAAACAAGCTAAATGGCGATTCGAACGCCAATGCCAATAAGCCGCTGCCCCAGCGACCGATCCGCCAGTATCAGGGCTCTCAGAGCAATTCGTCGCTGAACTACGGAGGTGAGGGCAAGCCCATGCACGGCTCCCATGGTGGCCATCCGGGGCAGAACAGCAACTCGCCGCCGTTGCAGACGGGCGTGCCTCAGCAACAACAGCCGCCGCAGCAACAGCAGCAGCATCAGAACTTGCAGACACAAGGGCAGAATACACAACCGGCGCGTCAGGTGCGGTCGCGCGATAACCAGATGCAGGATCTGCGACAGTTTGGCCAGGACTTCCAACTGGCCCCCAGCAACACTTCACCGCCCCAGCAGCAGCAACAGCAACCACAACAGCAGCAGCAGCAGCAGCAGCAAGTACAGCAGCAACAGCAAGTGCAGCAACAGCAACAGCGAGCGTTACAGCAATCTGCCTCACCGCCGCAACAGCAGCAGCCGCCACAGCAACACGTGGTCTTGCATCAAGTGCCACCGGCGCATTTGCACCAGGCGGCTCTATCACAGCCACACTATGTGCCTCAGCAGCAGCCTCAACAGGCGCCGCCATCCCAGCAGCATGTGCCGCTTCACTTGCAACAGAAGGCCCAACAGCAGCAGCTGGTAGAAACTCAGCACCAGCACGTGCCGAAGCAACATCAGCAGCAGCCCCAACTTCAGCAGGCGCCGCCACAGTTGATTCAGGATCCATCGCAACAGCCGCTGCCCATTTACCATGCAATGCCACCGCCACAAACGTCGCCGGTGGTGATTACCTCGCCTGTTCTGATGGAGCAGCCGCCACCACAACCCATGCCGGTGGTACAGCAGCAACCTCAGCAGCTGGCCACGCCTAAGCCGGAAGTCTCACCGGCACCGAGCAGCAGCACTACCACTCCCACTGGTATACCCAGTACGCCCGCAACTGGGGTGATTAGCAGCGCTGGATCTGATAAATCCACGCCGGCAGCCTCCAGTACGACGGGCAGTTCCACAACGGTGGCTACTGGCACGGTCGCTACTGCTGGTGGTGCCAGCGGTACCACTCCGGTGGTAAAGAAGCCACACGTGCTCAATCCGTCTGCCAAGCCGTTCACACCCCGCGGGCCCAGCACTCCAAATCCATCACGTCCCCATACCCCGCAGACGCCCGTGCCCATGACAAACCTTTACACAACCACAGGTGGGCATGTCCCGGCGCCAGCGACCAACCAGCCGATTTACGTGGTCCAGCCACAGCACCCATTCCCGCCTCCAACACACCAGCAGGCCGGTCAGCCACAGCGCTTACGTCGTAGTAACTACCGTAAGTACTATTTTCCCAAGTTTATAGTTATAAAATATTAAACACATATTTAAACATTGTATATTTTACGTTCATTGACGCTCCAGACTTTGCGACATTTGTTAATAATATGATCTGATTTCTTGCAGCTCCAATGGCCGCATCGCAGATGCATGTGTCTGCCTCGGCGGCCACGGGTCAGCCGCTGATAACCACCGGCCCGATACCGCAGTTCATCCAATACGGCCATCCTCAACATCAGCAACAATTCCCATCGCATACATACGCGCCGATGCAGATGCGCGTGTACCCGGAACAGCCACAGCAGCTGCAGTTCATGACGCAAACGCCTCAATCGACCACACCGTCACCGGGCCAGCCGCATCAGCAGTTCCATCCGCCGCCACAGCCCTCCCCCGCCGGCGGGGGACCACAACAGGCGTATACGCCACCAACGCAGGCGACCACTTACCAGCTGATGTGCTTGCACCCCCAGTCGCTCATAGCCAATCATTATTTCCCGCCGCCGACGCCGCAGCATCCGCAGCAGAATCAACAACAGTATCAGATCGTGATGCAGCAGCATCAGCCGCAGTGAGACAACGCCAGCTGGGCAATGGCGCACGGGAAGGTGGCGAGCTGGAAGGCGGGGGGAGACGGAGGCTCCTCCTTGTTAATGTCGCCGTAGTGAGTGGGAGCTGTACGGACAGCCGTCATCAAGCAACAGTTACACATATACAGACATAATACACAACATGAAGCACTCTCACCACATCCACATCCGCAACTTCACCTGCATATGCATCCGAATCCGCATCAATCTTGAGTAAACGCGCGGCTTTCGTTGTCGCTCCAAGCGATTTTCGCCCCACAATAAAAAAAAAACACATGCCACACATCCACCCACATCCTTATGCCATGTGCACGAGCGGCTCATCCTGTAGCACATCTCCTCCTACAGACCGAAAACACCAACAACAACAACTAGGAAATTATAAAATACAATTAAAACAAAAGGAAACTAGTAAATTTTTTGAAATTGCAAGACTTCTACAGCGCACGGAAGCCAAACACAACAGCAAAAAAACAAACAAACAATCACTAAAAAAAAAACACCAAATGTATGAGAAAGCAAATGCAAAACAAGCAAAAAAAAAGAGAAACAAACAAATTTAGAAAGCTAAAAGCAACTGTCGAATCAATTATAATACGAGAACAATGAGCGTTTGTAAGGAGCGTTTCCTGCCCCGCACAAGTCCTGTAAACCGAGGCGTAAATTCCAAAAAAATGAAAAACTGATTGGCTACCAAATTGATACAATCACATTGTAAACCGAAAAGCAAATGAAGTAGAATCAAAAACTTAAAAAGAAGAGTTAAGATAAGTGAGCGAGATTTTGTAAAATTGTTTTAAACATAATTCTTTGATGCACTTCTGCGCTTCTGCTATCTATAGTTTTATCCGCTTTGGCAATCGACCGGCACATACACACATACACGCTCCCCTCCAGATCAGCCCCAGAAATCCAAACTTCCAGCCTCGCACAACCAATATACACGCCCGCGCCCGCCCCCAAAAAACAGCAAACACAAACCCCTCAAAAGCAAAGCGACAGCGACAGACACTAAAAACCCAATAATCATCATTCCAAGTTAGTTTTTCCACCGGTGCAAGGAAAGATCGCCAAGCTTCATCTGGCATTCCGATTGTTGTTAACTTACTTTAGCATATAATGTGTAATCGGTTCGGGAAAAGATGACCAGACCGAAGTAAAAAAGCTGGATGGATGCTCTTTGCTTGCCCTGCGGGAAATGAAAAACGAATGTGAGTTTTAAGAGCGCTTCAAATTTATTCTTTTCGAAATTCGGTAAAAAAACTAATCGATTTTTGTTTAAATTGAATTTTGTTTTCACTTCTCCGCCTTTGTTACACTTCTTTCGCTAGCATTTAACAGAAATGTTTGACGTTGCTTTAAATTGTTGTTTTAATGTTTCTCGAACAAAATTTCCTTGCCAAAAGAAAACTTTACAAGCAAATAAGCAAATGTAATAGCAAGAGCGAGAGCAAGAGCTTTAGTCAGGCTTTCTTTGGGTTTTAGTGCCTCCGTTGTCCATAAATTAATGAAAAAATTAACGAAAAGCAATCCGTATTACTACTTTGCCCGTCATAAATCAGTTTGATTATATTTCGTATGATCTAGAAGCATCTGTTGTGGTCTGTTTTGTTTTGTAAACCTTCAAGTTTCCTTAAATGAAAAAAAAAAGAATATAAAAATAACAATTATTATAAATTTAAATAAAAACAAAAACTACAAAAAAAAAAAAAAAAAAAAAAAAACAAAACATCTAAAATTTGTGTGTATCATTTTATTCGAATTATTACAATTTTCAGATGGTTCTTGGGCGTTGACGTCGTCTGGTCGATCTGAAAGTAACTCTCATAAATGGCGCTCGAATGTTGAGATTTCTTTACCCAAACTCGTCAAAATGGCTGTGATATGATTGCGAATACATAAGGTCACAAACATTTTAACGACATGGTATAAGAAAGATGCGAATAAATCGGTTATGAAATATAATAACTTTGACCAGATGCCGAAACTCGCACGAAACTCATCAAAATGGCTGTGATATGAGTAGATAATAGGCAACATTTCACAACCCTTTGAGGAGTTACGTAAGAATTATATATCGGATCACAAACACTTGTTGGTTTAGCTCTCAATCGTTATTTTCGCGAACTGCTATTATTATGTAGATTCGCTTCGAGTGAGGTCAGAGGTCACACAGTGCTATCGATGCTCATTGCAATGCCCATCAAAGCTGGCTGTGATACGAATCAAAAGCAGAAATATCTTTTTTCAGCCCTTTTTGATGACATTGAAAGTAAGATACGAGGAACACAAATACACTTATACACACACACACACAATTACGCACCGCGCACACGATGTAATTCACGTAACCGGCGACTACGTAAGGCGTTTAGGGCGTAATAACGCCATTTACATGCCGCTAAACGCACAACGTAAAGTAACTAACGTAACACATAAGCGGCTTTCGCTTGTGTGTATGTATATGTGAGAGTATCTGTGTGTGTGTGTTTGTGGTGTGGGTAGGTTGTATCCTGTAGTTTTTCCCATTTCCGGCTTCTCGTATAATTCTCGAGTCTGAGTGGGGCGGTTGCCGAGGGAACTGGAACTGAATTCAACTGAGCCATAGGATTAAATTAGTCTCAAAGAGTATGCTTGAGCTTGCATTTGTGTGTGTGCTTGTAAGCCTGATTGTGGCTATGTGTGCGCGTGTCCTTTTGCGCGCCTTGCGCAGGCTTATCCTTCCCAGCACGACTTTCTTACGTTTCATTTTTTCTGTATCCTCCTTTGTTCTGTAGGTTAAGTAGCCGAAATTCGTTGCATGTTGCATATACGTATATGCATCGCAGGATATGCCTGCATATGTGTGGCATTGCATTAGCATAAGTCTGGGTTTACGCCGGCGTTGACTGCGACTGCGACGTCGACCACCGCCCTCTGTCGCGGCTGAATCGTCTGCCATCTAGTCTAACTGTGCTCCCCGCTGTCTGTTCCGTTCGTCTGGCCGCCGGTATGTATGTGTGTGAGTATGGTGCCGGTTCACCCTTAACATGCCCTTCCCAGGATTCAGGATCAGGCGGCGACAGGAACAACAACCACCACCACTCCGCCGAAAACGGACGAATTTTTCGAAATTGAATTTGAGTAGCTGCGGCCCAAGGCATATTCGATTTTAGATACATTTCGAGACATTTAGGGGAAGGACTGTTCTAACCCCATTCATTGCTAGTAAGAATCTCTGGTAATTGAGTTTAAATACACACGGAGAAAATGTGCCTAATATTAGATATATTAATCTTAATTGCATGTCTTTTAATCATGCTTCAAAAATAGTTTTTCTTCAAAGTGAGGAATTTTGTTCAAAATTTGAGATATTAATAAAATGTATAAACAAAAATTCTATAAAAACCAATATTTAAGTACAACGGAGTAATATTATAAATTAATAAATTATAAAATAATTCAAGAAACATATTTAAGAACTTTTAAGATTGGCTAAATTGCACTTTTAAAATAATCAACTTGATTGAAGACAAAATTATATTCGAATATGCCTATTAAAGCCAACCTATTATTTTGATAATATCCAAAATATTCGATGATTGACTCGCATTTTGTCGCTGTGTAGGGTGTTTCCCAGTCGGCTGATTGATTTGTGGCCAGTCTCGGTTTGTTGTTGCCGCTCCTTGGCTCCTTTTCTCCTTCCTGCGTCTGCTGCAGTTTTTGCAGTCGAGTAGTACAATACACATAAATGTGTATGAAAAGTAAGCGGTGAGTCGACCATCCCTTATGCTCCTCTCTCCCGCACACACACACACGCACACATAGACACCCTACGCTCTTTCTCTTTTTCCTCTTCCTGTTGGCACTCTTTCTCTATACGCCATCTGCTGTGCCTGTGTGTGTATTACTACTCGTACAATCGCAGACGGACTTGGTGTATGGCCACCCACCCTTTTGCTTTTTCTTTGCCTATTCCTATTCCGAATCCTATTCTTTTTCCATTTCCCTCTGCCTTTTCCTCATCATCATTGAAATCATCATCGTCATCCTCGTACTGAAACTCAAACTCAAACCCAACGTTCTGGGTCTTTGGTCCTGGCGCTAGTCGGCGTTTGTCGTGTGTATACCGAAATACGTAAAATTCATTTATGGCCAGGGCTGATTGTTGTTGTTCAGCCACTCCCGCTCCTTGATCCTTCGGCTTTGTTCCTGTTTCAGGGCGACGGCCGCCGACGCCGCCGCTGTCGTTGTCTTCACCTTCAGAAGCATATCCTTTCTGTTTTTTTTTTCTATTTATTTTTTGGGAGTTCCCCCCATCGGAGAGATGAACTCAATGCGCTTTTAATTATGGGATTCGATTGAAGGTTTGCTATCCTGGTTTTCCGGCGTGGTCCTTAGGATACCATATTCATGTGTAGCATCCTCCACTTGCGGCTCCTGCTGGCTCATCCATATACGCTCCGGCTACATCTGTACTCGGTATCCTTGGGACACAAGCATATCACTTGTGGTGTAGCAACTTTTCATATCCGCCTCCACGTATCCTTTGCCTTTTGCGCAGTTTCTAAATGACCGCAAAACAATGGACTACCAGAAAAAAAAAAATGAAAACGGAACGCTAACGCAAACGTACGTTGTTCCGTGGAAATTTTCACCGCTTGGCTTTTCACTTGGATTTTTCACTGCTTTCGGCCTTTCTTACGACATTTTCATGCACACTTTTTGTGGCCAAGCAGTTTCTTCGATTTTTCGGCTTTAAATTTATTTATTTATTGTGATTTTTTTTACCATTCGTTTAGCAATAATTTATTAACCGGTTTTTCCCGTGACGTTTTCGCCTTTTTACAACCACACACAGAGCGGAGAACAGAGAACTGCCCCGGCGGCGGTGCTCGTTCGCTTTTCGGCATCGTCCTTTTCGCCTTTCGTCCTTCGTGCCGGCGTGCGTTTGTGTGTATGCGTGCGCCCGAGTGCGCCGTTTCTCGTGCTCCAGTGTGAGTGTGAGATTTGGGCAGGACTTCGGGCCGCCTTCGTGCCGCTGTATAGTTTTCAATTACAACAACTGGGTGCGCGCGCGAAAAAAGGGCAAAAAACGGCGCGCCCCCACCCGCCGACCGCCGAAAATACACAAAATGTATTTCGTCCTTGTTTCTTCCTTTTCACTTTCGACGGCACTGCGCCGATGCAATGAGAGAATTAAACCACTCTCTCTGTTCAGAGAGTTCTCTTTCGTTGACTCTCGTGAAAGTGTGGCAGGGATGCCTGCCAGAGAGAGAGAGAGAGAGAGAAAGTGAGTAAAAGAGAGTAAGCACCCGGATCCAGAGGGTTTCAGTATATGGGTGAGAGGTACAGGAGGGTCTCAATTTTGATATCAGGATAAGAATATTTTTTACAGTGTATCGTAGCTCTTGAGGTTCAAGGATCAGGATTAGGTGATCCCTTACCAAAATATTAATTAAAGTTCCCATTACCCATAAATAAATTAAAAATCAACATGATATTGAATGTGTTGGGTTCTTTATTCATTCATTAATTCTTTTACAATAAAAATTGTTCAACAGCAAAAAACATTACACAAGTTTTTGTATTTTATTTTAAATGTAAAGAAGTTGAATAAATATTGTACGAGTTACACTGTGCATTGTTAATTCTGGTTGATCTGCAGCTGAGAGGGGCTCGTGTGTTCGGTCCCCCAAATATCGTATAATTTGGGGGGCTGGGTTCCAGGCACATATGGACATGTACAACAATTAACAAGATCCGGAACCGCTTCAGGGTGAAAGTTACGCGTCGAGTTTAAAAACGATCGCATGTAACCGAGTTATCTGAGTGCTCATTCAAAAGGTCTGGCAAGTTAAAACTAAAAACGAGATACATATATTGTTCCTTCTTTCTTCATTTTGATCCTTTGTGGATGTCGCCCGTTCCATGTGGTATATGATGTACATACACATACATATGGATGAACGGGGACGATGTCATTACTATACTCATGGGCATAAAATGGTGCAATGTATGTATGTTTGTATGTGTATGTGAGGGGTGTTTATATGCATGCGTGATTCGTGTTGAGATACATTCGTCGTACGATATGTGTGTGTGTATGTATGTATAAATAATGTAAGAGCGTTTAGCGTTAGCTGAAAATCGAAAGTGCTGCTGGGGTAGGGAAGCAGGGGGATATATTATTCTACAACATACTGCTCTACACATACATAATTATTAAACGATATCAATATGTTTAACATGGGCTTAACTCGTATTGCAACAGGGCCAATTTCCAAAGTGCTAATATTAAATTTGTAATTTCGATCAGCAATCAGCGATACGTTACGTTACGTTACGTTACGATACGATACGTTAATGATTCGTGAGTCTTAGCTGCTAGGGATTCTAAATGATGTGCTGGGAGAATTCTAGGCCTACCAAACTAACCAATGTTCATGTGGGGTCAGGTCATTACAATTACATTAACGATATTAAGTGGTATAATAAATAACTATAATTAGCAAACATAGATTCCATTCCCTCTCTCTCTCTCTCTCTTTCTCTTTCTATGTTCTATTTAATCAAATGCATAATTGTCTGGGCTGTGGTTGGGTTGCACCCACCATCGGTTCGCGGCGAATCACTCGGCATTCTTGATCTCGCTGAGGCTGCGGCAGGCTTCTCGTTCTCGCTCCCTTTCCCGCTCCCTCTCGCGTTGCTCCTCCTCCAGTTTAAGGACCTTGCTCTTTAATCCGCACAAAATCTCCGCCGTTGCTATGTTTTTGATGGTGCTCAGGTCTAGGTGTTGGCTGTGATTGTTGTTGTTATCGTCGCTGTTGCAGTTGTTCCCGCCATGATCCGCCTCCTGTTCCTGCTCCAGACTCCTATTGATCGCACTCAGTAACTTGTGCTTGCCCAGCGCCAGTGCAATACCATTGTTATTGTCCGTTTGTCCTGGTTTGCTATTGTTATTGTTCGAGTCCGTTTCCATATCCAATCCGCGATTATTGTTATTGTCATCGTACTTGCGATCGTATCCTGCTGCAGCCAACTCCTCGTCGTGTCCATTGTTGTGGGCAGTGGTGTCTGATGGTGACAAGTCCGTGTCCACTTCCCGCTTGATCAGTTGGATGTCGGGCGTGGGCGTTACGGATGTGGGTGTCTCTTCGCGATTCCTGCTCCCGTTGGCATTGGGTATCTGGACCAGATTCAGTGCCTCCTCATCGTTATCATTGTGGCAATTGTTGTTGTCGGATTGCGGACTGCTGTTGTTGTTGTTATTACTGTTGTTATTGTTATTGTTGTTGTTCTGGTTCTGGTTGTTGTTGGTCAGCTGAAGACTCTCCACCAGGCGGATCTTGAAGTTGTTGTTGTGCGTGGATGGTGGCGGCGTCTGTGGCACAATCGTCGTGATAATGGGCTCCATAATGTTGTCCTGGGCGTGGCTATGGTTGTTGTTCAATGCGTCATCATGCTGCTCGGCACTCGGATACCGATCCCTTTCCATCTCCTTCATCCGCTTCTCGCCACCCAGCTCCGTGTTGTAGTGCATCAGGATTTTGCGTTTGGCCAGATACTTATGCTGTTTTCGGGCCGAGTCCAGCATCTTCTTGCTGTTTGCCTGCAAGATGGCAAAGGAGTTGCTCTCCGCCTCTGTCAGGTTGAGACTTCCGTTGCTGCCACTCAAATGATTGTAGTTATTGCTGCTGCTGTTATTGTTGTTGTTCCTGTTGAGATTCTTCATGAAAGCCTCGGCCAGCGTGGCCTTCGACTTGATATGGTCCCGGAAGCCGGCGTAGTTGGGATTGCCAGATCCACCGCTGGATAGGGGCGTGGGGCAGCGGTTGGGTCCATTTAATGAGGGCGACGGGGACGAGGTCTGCTGGGGAGGCGGTGGACCACCATAGCCAGCGGCATGACCACTCGTGATGTTTACACTATGCGTTCCACGCTCGTAACGGCACTCGGTGCCGTCGCTTTCGTGCGGTGAGCTTATGTCACTGGCATCGCTGTCCAGGTTCTTCTGCAAACGAAAGTTCATGATAAAAGTTAGAAAAATATAAAAAAATTAACCATTTTAACTTCTTTCAGTTAGCAGACTCACCTCTGTGTGCAGCCCCTTGATTTTCATGGCCTCGGCCACTTTCAAGAAGACGGGCAGATCCTCGTACTTGACGTTCACCTGGCCACTGTACATAAAGTCCAGAAGACCGGCCATATGACTGGCCTCCACGTCGGCCATCAGCAGGATGGGGTGACTCGATGGGTTCTCCAGGAAGATCTGCTGGAAGTAGGGACTGCAAACGGACAGGACCTGTAACGAGAGTGAACCAAAAAGAGGATGCATGGCATGAGTATGGGAGTTCCTGTCGCTGAGCCGCTAGTTTACCAGTTTGTGGGCCTTGAATATCTTGCCGCCGGCAGCGATGGTAACGTCCACCATCTTCTCGTCCTTCTGCAGGGAGTGGAAGCCGCGGCACATATTTCCATGGAAGTTGTTCCATGACAGCAGGTACTGGTCGATGGTGTTGGGATCCGTGTAGGATTGCTGCTGCTTGTGAGGGGGTTGCTGCTGTTGATGGAACTGCTGCTGGGCGGCCTGGTGCTGGGTGGCCGTGATGTGGATCTGTTGCGCCGTGGTGGGTGGCGTACTCGGACGCGGTGTGTGCGGCTGGTGGGGATGAGCGAGTTGGTGGTGCTGCAACTGCTGTTGGTGTTGCTGCTGCTGCTGTTGCAGCTGTTGTTGCAGATGTTGCTGTTGCAACATGTGTTGTTGTTGCTGCTGCAAGGCATGCTGCAAGCCCGGCGGCGTCGATGAAGACGACAGACGGTGTGGATGCGGCGATAGGGCCGGTTGGTGGCCCAGGAATCGCTGTTGCTGGGCCTGGTGGTGTTGCTGTTGCTGCTGCTGATGATGTTGTTGCTGCTGCTGCTGCTGTTGCTGCTGGCGTGCGTGCTGTTTGATTTTGACCATATTCTCTTGCTGTTCCTGCTCACGCTGGCGCATCAGCTCCTGCTTGATCTTGTACTGCTGCATGGAGAGGTCATCAACGCTCTTGGAAAGCTTGGCCATGTCGCTGTTGCTGTTGAACTTGCTGTTCGAGAGCATGGGCTTTAGCTCGAATTTGTAGTCACTGCTACCTCCGCTGGCGGCGGCGGCCAGCTTCCGCTCGGCTGCCAGAGCGGCTCGCTCCTTCTGCCGCCGGATTAGCTCATCAATGTCCATGTAGGCTCCGCTAGTGGCTGCTGCAATGGCCGAGGCGATGATTGGATCATCCTCAAAGACACTGTCATCCAGAGTCTCCTTTAAGGTCTTTGTGGACGAGAAGAGACGCAGCGAGGGATCATTAACCTGGTCGCTGAAGTACACATCCATGAGGGTGAAGAAGGGCCACTCGCGTCGCTTGGGCTCCTCGGACATCTTGATGGCCTTGTACTCCTGCAGCAGATTGTTCCATTTCTTAATAATCTTCGACAGTGGTAATGGAACATTAAGCTCCCGTTCCACCACGCTATAGAGTAAAAATCGAGAGTTATTAAGATGTTACGCAATGGGATTATTGATTACTTACGCCCAGGCATATTTGGAGGCATTTCGTTTGCCCGTGAATAGAGGCGAGAGTTCCGCCCGCAATCTGATCAATGATTTAACTTTTTCTGCCTCCCCTGGAAATACAAAAAAGGAGGTTCACCATTATGATCAGTTTAAATGTCGTTTAGGGCATTGAGCAAGAATGGATGATGGATTGGCACTAGGCAGTTGGATAGACAAATCGAAGGGGCATTGCTCTGGCAGGCAGCCACTTTCCACCTGCCAAATGCAATTCAAGTTTAAGCCGCGCTCCATCGATAAAGACCTCTGGCCATAACGGCGGCAGCAGCATTAGCGAATTATATAGAAAACTGCACAAGGTTTCAATGAACCCGAGTCGGGAGTCGGACTTGCAGTCGGAATCGGGTAATCACTGCAATCATCTGGCAGCGGATCGGCATCGATGTCTGCTTGGCCATTTACGACTTTTGTGTGCCTTGTGGTTAATTGCTATAACGAATCTAGCAACTTTTACCCGCTTAGCCCGCAAACCAGAGCCAAAAAATCAAAGCTGCATCTCAAGTTTTAGCCAAAACCAAGGCAGTAGCTCCTGGCTATTGCACAGCAAAAAATTAGAAGGTCTATTAGATAATAATGATAACTAACTTGTTTATCTATAATCATTCTTAAGTGGTATATGATGGAGAGAAACGTAAAAAGGTATATCGTTTTCATTTTATCAGTATCAGTAATTTAACTCAGAAAAGATCATCAAGTCATATCAACTTTTCTCTCTGTGCAGCCATTTCCATCTCCGTTACCAGTTGCAGATGCGCAGGTCCGCCAAGTGATCGCTGGAATGGAGGAATGGCTGCCTGTACCCAGTTACATGGCTCTCAGGCATACATATACACTTCAAGTATCAAGTATACGCCACATACAACGGCTCTACGTACACTCAACGATGGCCATAATGACTGAAAACTATTCAACGTTGAAGAATTCATTAGCAGATTTCACTTTCGCTCATGACGACGACAGCAACGTTCGAGTTCGCGTTCGCGTTCGCTTATTTCTCTTAGCCGTCTTTCTTTATTTATTTATTTACCGTAATTTCTACTCGTTCACTTTTTCCGATGGCTCCCCTTCGGGCAAAGTTTTTCGGCTTTTGGCCATCGGCTTTCGTCGCTTTAGCTCGGTGTTGGGCTCTTGGTATTTCTTCCAACGTTTCTTGACTTTGGCTGCGGTTTATTTCTTGTTTTGTGGCTAAGACTATGGCTGCACTGGGTCCAAGAAGTCGCACAAGCGTTGCTTTTCAGCCTTGCTGGGCTTTTCAACGTGTTTTTCCCCGAGAGAAAATCCATCGTTTGCCGATGCAGTGTCGAGCATTCGAAGCCGGATCTAAGAAAAAGCTTACTCGGCGGCAACCGCTTTGATTTGGCTGGGAGCAGCTTGAGAAAAGTTTGGTCATTGGATTCTGCGGATTACACTGGAGAAAAATGGGGGATATAGACCCAAAGTTTATAATTTCACAGAGTAATGTCAGTTAACAAATAGTTCCCAGAAATCTATGAAAAAAAACACTAAAACAGTGGGAAGTTACCCTCGGGTTTTTGAAGAAAAACCACACTTTTCTTTCTGTGTAATCGAAAATGGTTTGGGTTTTCCTTTGATTCGATGGTAAGAATGCCCGTGCCGATGCATTGCAGTACTTTCTAATTTTGGGTCGCCTGGGGTTTGCCTTTGTGAAACTCTATTACTCACTGGCCTGGTCTATGTCAAGGCAAGGGTATCAGATCGACATCGGTGAGCTGATGGTTGAGCAATTCCCAAGCCCCCATTCGATTCGTTTAATGGTTTGGCAGCAGTCATAGCAGCAGCAGCAGCAGCAGCACAGGCAGCATTATAACCTAGCCCAACCCAAAAGAGTGCTCGTTAAGAAATCTCCGTTTTAGAGTCAAGAAATACGAACGAAAAATTGTTGGCCAGCCAAATAAGTAAACATAACAAGTCGAAAAAAAAAAAAAAATTCAAAAATTCGCTGGCAACGTCAGCTTGCAAAACAACCTCAACCTTCTGCGTTGCTCTACGCGCTTGATCGTGACACGCTCAAGTTCCACGCTCCCCTTTCGCAGACCGCTCACAATGGATATATATATATAATATATGTATATCCAGGGGTTTCTTATAAGGGGGCAGGGGCCAAGGGGCAGAAGACAGAAGACAGCTCTGGCTCACAAAAGTTTCACTTTCTTCGCAACAAGTTTTATGCGTTGATCGTACGCGCGTGTTTCTGTGTGTGTGTTGCATGTGTGTGTGTAAGTGTGCTTGTAAGAGTGCTTGAATGCTTGAGTGTAGTGGTTTTGGCCACTTTTATGGTGCCTCCGGGCTTACTTCTCGCTTCTTTCGGTTTCTACTTTCCGTTTGCGCCCTTTTATGTAACCCAAATCCTCGGATGCTGTGGTCGCTTCTTGCTCGCAGACAATCCAATTCGCTTGCCATCTTGCCGAAGAAACAACATTTACCGTTAGTTTCTCTTTTGGCCTATATTTCTTGTCGAATGAACCGAACACATAGCCAACGAAGTCGACGAGTCTTCTCGCCCGTTGACGGTTCTTTATCTGCCTCTCTCCATCACTATCCCCTCTGTGTTAGCCAAGCTTCACTTCCGTTTGGAGCACTTTCGTGGGTCGAGAACCGGTTCTATGGCTCGGAAATGCAGGCCCATCTTATGACTTACGAGATGGGTTACACGGAAAGAATGGGATCTATCTTAAGCTAGGTATGATATGATGTAGCATAAAGAACTTGGTGAAGCTTAAATCTTGATTATACAATATCTAATTTTACAAGTCTAGACCATTATTCCTTCAGGATAAGTTTAAAGTAGAATATTCTGAGTTACCTAAAGAAGTTCTTGATCAGATATTACGAAAACTATATCTTTGTAACACCTTTAAGTGTTAAATAGAATCTAAAAATAAGTAACTAAAACCTCATAATTTCTCTCTCTGTGCATACTTTGTATGGGTCTTGGGTCTTTCATTTTCTTTTCTCTACTTTCGGGGATCTTAATGATTCTTTCGTTTTCGGGCATGTTTTTGGGGGTCCAATCACGTTGCTTTTATAATTGGCTACTACTTCGAATTCGAATATTTTTTTTTATTGCCACGGACTATGGCTACTTAGAATGGCTGGCCATGTTGTTGGCCAGATAGTTGGTAAGCTTCTTTTGGGCCGGTTCCATTGTGCTGAGCTGAGCATTCGTTTAGTTTCGTTTCGTTTCGCTTGCTTTCTTTTTGCCACGCTTATTTGGCTTCCTGCACTTTTCTTTTTCTTTCACCAAACAAAACAGGCAGAAATGTGAAGGCGATGGCAAGTTTTCTTCTTGCTTAATTCTTTGTTTGTTTGATTAAACGTGGAATTGTTAACCGTGACGTTTCGTTTTCTTTCTACTTCTCGTCTATCAATTCTTCGCTTTCAGTCTCCTCTTTGCGTGAGAATTTCTAATTGGGTCAGGATTTGTATGAGTCGAGAGAAAGAGAGACTTCATCCGACTGCAAGCGGGAATTAATGAAGCATTTGACGTGCCCTACTCCCGATATCGGAATACTGAAAGTGATAGGGAGATCACTAAGGCCGGAGAATGGAATTGGATTGGATTAATCGAATGGAACTCTACTCTAGATTGACCGGCGATAAGGTCTCTTAATCGACATTGATTGATGGAAGCTGGATTGACAGTGTAAGATTCTTAATAGCTTCAGATTCCCCCAGAAAATTTACAATTCCAAAGAGCAAAGAATGGGCATTAGAGAGTGCCGACTGCGTTTCAATTCGAATGGTTTTGGAATTCTAAAGTTATCTTAAAACAACTTTTTCCAATGTTTAAGCTTTACCTTTTCCATAGTCAAATGTACCACCTGCTTAGTTTGGAAAATGCACTGCAGTTTTCCTTTCGCTAGTTCAATGCAAAGTTCACCATGAACTTCAAAAAGTCTTTCGTTGCCAGTCACTGGAAAAATGCATACAACCTGAATGCGATGGCCAAGCGAATGCCAGAATTCGTATGGGTCTCAGCTTGGGCAAAAGCCTCGGTAACCAGACTCCCAATTCCAAACCGAATCCGATTGCAATGGAATTGTAGACCGACCAACATATAGCTTTCCATCAGATGCAGTTACAGTTCGGTTTTCTTCTGCCGCAGCGTTTCTTTCGGTATTTTCACTCTGCACGCCAGAGACCAGCGGCTATAATGCGCATACGCCCCGTGTGGCAGGCGGTTGCGGCTGCACTTAACGTGTAAGTCATCGACCAGGCTTTAGCTTCAGCTACCCAGCTACCCAGCTATCCAGCTTCAACCTCAGCCAACGGCTAGTGGCATTTAATTCTTGGCTTTTACTTTCTCCCAAATGATGCACAAATGAGTCTGGAGATAGCAGTAACCACCGGGGCGAACGGTAAAAGAAACACTCTTGTTTGTTATGATTTTTCCAGCGAAAGAAAAAAAAAAAAACCTAGAAGAAAGTCAAAGCCAAACAAAGGCGAAAGATGAAAGACGAAAGACTAGAGACGAACGACGCAGTACCATAGTTGCTAATAGGCTGGAAAAGCGGGAAAGCATCGGATGATATAAACCGAAAACTGACAGAGAGTCGTGGAACCAAGCGAGGCAACTTGTTGCGGGGAATTTTCTATCTTTCGCCAGCGGGCTTTTCTCTTTGTGCTTTCTGCTTTTCCATTTTGCAGTTGAATGTACGCTAACCAACTGTGGAAATTCCGCACTACATATAATCATGACCAGCAACATCATCATCAGCATTACGATCATCATAATCAGCATTGTGGCAATTATCATTATCCTCGACATCGTCAGAAGTAATTTAGGAAAAATATTTTTTATGCGCCCGCTTTGTGCATTTCTCTCTCTATTGCCGTGTTGCTTTGGGAAAACTTTTGGTTTAACTTTTCATGTATGCAGTTTGGTCTTTCGGTCTTTTCTTTCTTAGCTCTGGCTTTTTTAGCTGATTTTCCAGCTGCTGACTACATTTGCAGAAGCCAAACTTTGTATTCGTTGTAATCTCATTGTTTGCGAGAAGGTTTATGAACTTTTACAAAAGATTTTTCTCTCCTCACCTCTATTTGTCATGCACTTCGAGTGCTGCATATTTTCTATCTTTCCCTCCTGCTTGATTTTTTCGAAAGTGCAACACGGCGGCTGAGCGATTTCTGGCCGAGGCTAAGTGCAAACATTTACCATTTGCATGCTCTTTCTGTTTTCTAAGTAATTGGCCCCTGTGATTTAACGCCTTTGCTAATGAGTCGGCCATTATTTGAAAGTGAGAAGCTAAAAGACTGAGACAGACAAATGTGTCACTGAGAAAATCACTTTTGATTTCAGTGCCCCTCGGCATTAATATTCTTATCGAGACTGGCTGCGATCGCTGGGTACAGATATAGCCACCTGATTTCGGTGCGTTCGCACGATTCGTTGGCTTAGCGCGTCTTAACTTGGCTCAGCACAGCACAGCACAGCTCACCAGTTACAGCCGAAAACTTTCACTTTGTGCTGTCAGAAGAGGCAGCAGCATAAAGAAACAAAAAAGAAAAAGAAAAAAAAAACGCAGCCGTAAACCTAAAGCTCTAATGTTAATGTAAATAGCGGTAAGAGCCAACATACACACCTACATCGGGTGTAGTCGTATGTATACGTACGCATGGCATTACGTGCTGCCGATACATCGGGGCAGATATTGAAACAAAGCTAAAGAAAAAGACTGAAGAAAAAACCCAAAAAAACAAATCATTTATTAAAACTATTGTTGATGTTGGCGAACCTCAAGATATCTTGTCCGCCAGCCAAGAAAATAATAAAAATCAAATTAAATTTTCGCATCTTACATAAAAACTTAACCTTCCCCACACGATAGCCAAAATTTATAGTTATTTTATATTTTTGTTGTTTTTTGTTTATGATTTATTTGTTATTTGAAGTTTCTTGATCATATTTCTGCGCCCTCACTTGCAATTATCCACTCGAAATGAGATGACTTGTGGTTGTGGCTTAGTAGCTCGGCGAACTTAATTTGGTAACTTTCTATCGAGGGTCCAAGACAGCCCACTTAATGTTGGGAAACTATTACTCATCAGAGCACTGATTGGATATCTCAGCATCTTCACTTTCTGGGTCAACACTACTACTACTTCTTCTTCTTCTTCTTTGCGCCACCTATTATTCAATTCCAGCCGAAAAGCAAGAAAAATGAAACACAAAAACAAAAAGAGCCTCCACTGGTGAAGCCCAAATTGAAGCGGACCTAAAGTGAAAGTTCTAATAAAACAGCGCCGCCAAGAAAGAAAGAAAAAATATGCAACAAAGTGCGAAAGAGATGGCTGCACAGAGGGCGCCACTGTTGCGGTAGTCCAACGGTGCAAAAGAAAGGCAAGAAAACGAAGCAACAGCCGATGAATGGAGGATGTAAAAATAAAGTTAAGCATTTCTTTTGCCAGTCTTCTGTGTTCGTGCGAAATACAAATGGTTCATTTATATTTCTTTTCTTTTCCTTTTTTTTTTTTGGCCAACAATAATGTCTGCGGTGAGTGCGATTCTATCATGGGCCGTTTCCACAGGTAATTTCGAATTAATTGCAACTCCAGTGGAGAAATGCTTACTAACACTATCGATCAGTGGCTTTGAGCCCCTTGGGCCGTTACGCTAAACCAAAAGAGTATTTTGGACAGATTGCATAAAAAAGCATTTTGGCCTGCTCACATCTGCCTCCAGCTACACACATTCAAATGTTCGACGTACATCTGAAGCGTTTCCTGACTTCCAGCAGCACTTCTACTAATTTTCGCTGGCACGTCGTCGTCGGATGGCCAATTAAACGGCGGCCGAAAAAAAGAAACACTACAAACCCACAAAAGCAGGCATTATAAAAGAATTAATAAGCAATTGCATAACGTTGTAGGTTTGCTACGTGTCGGACTAGGAAGTCGGCTAGACCGAGAAAAATGTGAGAAATTCACGCAAGTTTAGAGTAGAAAGCCTCAATATCTAATAGGGCAAGCGGGCACTGAGGCCACTCTACGTTTTCACTTTCAAGATATGCAGAAGTGGCTATTGGCATTGGGACGATCTATCTGATCATCTGCCGATCTGATGTTGAGACCATCTGAGACCATCGGTGACTTTCCTCTACCTTCGAGACGAATGACAAGATACAAGCTGGCAGGTTGCATAATAATAACGTACGAAAACCAAAATAGAAAACAGCAAAAGAAGAAACAAAATGGAGAAATAACACTAAAGAAATTGATGTATGTCGGTGGGTAAAATAATTTGTAGCGGTTTATCATCTAACGGCATTATTGGGCAACCTCCACTCCAATTCCAAACACTCCAACAAACTCTGCTCGCCAACGCCAGCATTTAAACTATTTTCTTGTTATGTACTTCGGCGTTGTTTTTTGGCAATCGATTTTTTGGCCAACAGAAAATCCGATGCGTCATTCCCAATAATTGCGCGTGCCAGAGCCACAGACATAATAAATATATTTATCAAATGAACTATTTATGAAAATAAATGGGTATGTGTGTGTCTGTAGAGCAGAAATCGAAACCGAAACCGAAATCGAATTCGGAATCGAGTTAGCCCTAGAAATATTGCGTATACGCCTTCGAGAGAGATCCACACGCGTCGCGCAGGAACTGTTGCAATCTGCAGACCCAACGAATGGGACATTGAACTCGAAACGCGAACCTGCCCAGCCGAGTTTGTAAACAAACTTGGCTTATGTAAGAGCTTAATTATAATGGAAATGAAAATGCCAAAACGACAGAAAACAAAAAAACACAAAATACAACAACAACAACAACAAGAAAACTGAGCTTTGGTGGGAATGGTTAATGGTAATGGTAAACAAGCTTGAAGGCTGCGCTTTTAGGGATATGCATTTCTGGTTTGCGATCAAAGCCATTTTGCATGGCAATGAAATGTGCCAAAAAAGTGGGTCAACTTATGACAGGACTCAAACTCAACCAGCAACATTCACCAGCAGATAGAGAAAATGTAAAAAGTTATGATTAACAATTTTAAGGTGATAATGAGAGTGCTATGTTAATAAATTTGTTCTCTAAAGTTGGATTTCTAAACTATAATGTTAAGTAAAAAATATAAAAAAAAATGTAAACTATTTATTTTCAGTAGAAGTAAAAACTTGGCTAACTAGCAGTGAAGAGAAATTACTAAATGGCTTAAAGGAAACATAAATTCTGCACCCCAAAAAGGGATCTTTTTCTTAAAGCTGTAGAAGTGGCAGCGACGTTAACAGAGGCAGCGACTGCGACTTCAACAGCGACTGCGACTGCGACGTCAACGAGAAAGAAAAACGAAGAAACGAAGCAACAACTTTCACCTATTAATATTCGTGTCGTAGCAGCGGCAGAAGCGAGCTGCCAAGCCAAAGCCAAAGCTAAAGCCAGGCCAAAAAGACAGAGACAGAGTCAGAGTCAGAGGCAGCACTAAAGATACAGATACAGATACATTGCCAGCTTGAAGATACAGATACTGTAGAAGCAGAAGCAGCGCTCTGCTAGTTGTTGCCGATGCTTAACAACGGCAACACACTTCGCATACAGCAGATAGCATACAGCATATAGCATATCGCATAGTGCTGGGCGACTTTGGACTCCAAACTGGCTGCAACTTCAGCGGCAACTCTTGGTGGCCCCTTCCTGGGGAAACTTTCTATAAAAAAGCAGCTTTTGCTTTTTGTTTTGAAAATTTCTTTCTTGCTGCGCAGGTTGCCCGAATGTGCACGGTTTGTTTGTTTGTTGCTTTCGCTAAGCATTCTCTATGCTCAAACTTAAACCCTCTTTTGTTAGTCTCTTCTAATTGGTAGAATATGTTAGGTTAGTAGATAGGATAGCTTAAGGAGAGATAGTAAAGCTGTACAGTCGAACTTCCATAGAGAGAAATCATCTCATAGAAGTACGATTCTTGTTAGTATATATTCCAAAGCTCAGGCCAACTTACAACAATATCTGGTCGAGTATTGACAATTTGCATTGACTGTGGGTGTCATAATCTCGTTGGCAGCCATATCCAAACCCTCAAGTTAATAGATAATAGATGTATTCCAATCCCGTTTGGTATCCTTGAGCTTATCGGGAACTGATCCGTAATCCAATGGGCACAAAACTAATATTAATAAATGTATTTCTTTTTGATAGTTTCTCTTCTTCGACGCTTATTTGGCTGACTGGAATTGCCTGGTTTTCATTGTACCAACATATCAATATTTGTCATTCAAGAGGCACTCACGCACCGAAACACCGAAAAATCACTTTCACTTTTGTGCGTTTTGATATTCAGAGAACACAAGGTAGTTAATACAGATTCGTGATATTCGGAATCGTAAAAGGGGGGAGAGAAACTACTCAAAATCCAATTGTAAAGTCAAAGGAAGACAACATTTTGATTGCACTTGGGCAGCATGATGCTGTGATCTGCACTTGGCTTTTCCACACAAAATATTTTTTCTTATGATCTTGTTTGTTGGGTTTGTTGTTTTGGGGTTTTTGGGTTTTTCTTTTTGTTTCTTTTTATGTTACTGTCTAGTTTCTGCGCAGGCGCGACTTTCTACGAGCTGGAGATGGCGATTCTTGCGCGCCGAACGTTGGAACGTAACGTCTGCCTCGAAACGCGGTAGACGTCTGTGCGGCAGCGCGCAGTGAAACCAGCGCTTATCCTCAAAGATCGCTAAGAAATTTCATGCCATTCCATTTCGTTTCTCGTCGGCAGCGACGCTTTCGCTTGCCGCACTCACACCTTTACACAAACCATAAAATGTAAGCTCTGCAGTTGGTTCTTCGGTTTAAGAGTGCTTTTACCATTTCTTTCTCTCCTTTGTATATGTATATATGTTTAACCAGACGACACACACACCAGCGCAGACTCGGGGCCCCACGTTCAAGTTTGGTTCTTCGTTGAAGTCTTTTGTTTTGGTTCGCCGTTTGTTTGCCATGTGCTCGGAGTAAGAGTTTCGCCTTGGGAGCCCACTCTCGCACACAGTTACGATGGTTAATTATTTACGGCTTACCATCGTTTCGATTCCAGTGCGTTCCCAAAACTGCTTTTATAACTTTAACTTTCATCGCTGCCTTCTAAGACAGCGCTTCGGGTTTTTTTTTAGTTTTCGGTTTTCGGATTTTTCGGCATTCAGCTTTTCTCCCTCTACCCCCTGCCCAGCATTTCTCGTACAGCGGCTCTGCTGCAAATTACAACTTTCGTCTATTTTTGTCAAGATTTTTTTTATAATTATATAATTTAAACGTTTTTTTTTCCTTTTTGTCGCACATTTTTCGGCCTCTGTTTCGCTGGCAATCTTATTCCGCTTGCTTTTCTTTCCATTGTTACTCCGACGTCCGTCGTTTTTACTTTTCTTTGCATAAACCGCACGGCTAATTACGCACAAGGAGAGTGAAACTCGATTAGATTCTTAATTATAGTTTAATTGCCTGCAGGGAGAGAGAGAGAGAGAGAGAGAGAGGGAGATAGTACGGAGAAGCAGCACCCAGCGAGCCGGGGCGAGAAATTAACTTGAATCATCTTGGCCAGCCAGCAAAGTTGCATTTGGAAATCTTTCACCGATGCATTTCTCATTGTTGCTGCTGCTGATGGTACTCGTACTGGTACTGGGTCTGGTGTTTCTACCACCAGCCGCCTATCCATGCTCAGCGAGCGTTGCAAAGCTCTGTCAGCTCGCCAGGCTCCATTTGGAGTATCTTGCTCAGAGGGGTTTTGGGTGCTTTTCTGGCGGGGGGGTGGTGGTGGTTGGGGCTCGGGCTCTCTGTGCACTTACAGTTGTTTCTTTTGTCTTACACTCGATGCTGCCCTGGTGGTTGTAGAAAACTTTCTAATGTAGAAGATGTCTGCAGCAGTTCCCCTACCCATTGTACTTGGATTGAATTGCCCGATGCCCCTTCTGCTGCCCGCACAGTAGTAGGCCTCTATTTACACGGCATTTGTCAGCTTTTTCTTTCTTTCAAGATTTTCCCAAGCTTGATAATTTCGTTGGCGCGAGAATTTCAATGCTGTAAAGTTGTAAAAGGCAGGGAGAGAATTCTAAACTTGTCAGTTCACACCGTTGCCGATTGATCGATTCTTCTGCCTTCGCCCAGCTGGGTGAAAGTTGCCTGATAAAGCCACCGACTGTTACATATATAGCGATGTAAATCCATCTTGAGGCCAGCACTGAGAGTAGCCCACATGACATAGGGATGCAGAACCCGTCTGAGATCCGTTTAGTCATGCAGTGCTCAATCATGTGTTGCAAGACTGCGACACCGTCTACGACTTTCGACCCTCTAATAGGCCCAAAATTTATATTTACATGCTAATGAGCAACGGAATATTTTTTGTTTTTTGTGTTTCTGCTGAAAACGAAAACGCATTTTATTGCCAAATGATGATCATTGTCAATGGGAGAGCTAATGGATTTAATTGGATGCCCGAATCGTTATATAAATCTCAGTCGGGCCAGAACCGTTTGCACTGCTGCTGGAAGAAAAAGAGTTAACAAAAAGAAAGAGACGTATCGCGGCCAAATGATTAATGCAGCCAAAAGCCGAGACCCCAAAAAAGCCAAAATCGTATTTTCACTTTTTAATAATTAACATAAAATTATTAACAAGACGACGAAGAAGCTGAGCAGAGGGCGAGGCAGAATCAACAAAGATACCAACGAAAAAAAATGAAGCCAAACGCATTAAGCGCCCAGTGCCAATGAAAAAAAGAATAAGCCAAGAAAGTTGTAAAAAAAAAAATAAGATCCGAGGAGAGGAGAGATCTTGTGTATTTCATAAAGTCTCGTAAAGAACAAGAGCCAGCTGCCGCATGACTAACAGCCCGCGAGCGCGGACTAAATATAAGCCAAAGAATTTTAAGTGAAATGAGTTTGAAAAGTTTTTCCCGAAAGCGGCCAACGCGGCGGCCTGACCCAATTACCCATTTAAGCCCAAAGCCCAAATTGATGGTAGTATGGAAAGAAGAAGAAGAAGTGGCCCAAAAGAACGAGAAGATGGTGATGGAAATGGAAATGTGGGGAAACCGAGGCACAAGACGAGTAACAGTTATGTGACGGGCAGACAATCGAAAGTTTATGTCATGCTGCCGGCAGCAACGCAGCAGCAGCAGCAACAGCAACAGCAATAACACAGCACAGCAGCACAACATCTACAGCAGCAACGGCTCAACATGTAGTCAAAAATCCGACAACCATGGATGAGCAGATGGTACGTTCCTTTAATTCTCAAATCCAGATTGATTTTCCGTTACCTCTTTAATGAGTAAGTTAAAAATCTGAAAGTAATATCTCTTGAGCGGACTTTTCCCCCGCACAGCAACAGCGAGTGAAATATAAAACAATTTTTTGTTTTTTTTTTTCGAAAGTCATGCCACGAAATAAATGGTTCTTGTATCTACACACGTATAAAAAGATATCTCGCATAGGCCTACAAACCAACAGCCCAGCAGCATGAACAATGAGAGCAGCAAAGCCGCAAGAAAAGAAAAAGTAACTTTACTCACAGATATATATATATATAGAGATATACATACATATATAGCTAGCTGCTGACCAGCAAATCGAAAAGATACACGAAAAGAGAAACAGAAAATAAAATAATAAAATCGAAACATGAAACATTCTGATTGTATGGGCTCAAAAGTGGGTCAAGCAGCGCTGCCACGGCGCAGTCGCAGCCTCAGCCGACGTCGTCATCGCCAACGCGTTTGTGGCTCAGGTTTTGGTTTTAACTTTGCCTCCGGTGGTGATGGTGGTGATGGTTGTGATGGTATTGTAGTGATTGTGGTGGTGTAGTGGCTGTGGGTCTGGGTCTCGGTCTCGGTCTTGGTCTCCAGCAGAGCCAGCTTTGCCAGCTCTGCCCGTGAAACCAATACAGGCGCAAAGAACAAAATGTATAAAACGAAATAAGAAAATAAGAAAAAAAAAACCTCGACAACGCTGACGGAATACTTAAGCATCCGCGTCCACTTGCACTTTCTTTTTCGAGCAGCTCTTATTCTGTTTCTGTTTCTGTTTCTACTTCTGCTTCAGGTTCGGGTTCGTGCCTTAAGTCTTTCGTTTTGGCCGGGGAGCACGTTTCTTTCGCTTGGCTTTCGCTTTGCGCTCTTTCACCGCCTTGGTGCCAGCGGAAACGGGTTATGCCGAGCTCTTTTTGGGGGCCGGTGCTGAATGTCTTGAAATGTTTAACAAGACTTTGCAAGTATTTAATACTAGAATATCCTTTTATTTCTTTTCATTGTAATAAAATTAAAGATTTGTTTAAAATTCGAGTTCAATGAAAAAGATACGTTTGGTAGTGATTTATAGCGCCATCTATTAATTGCTTTTGGCAACGACCAAAATAGCTTCACTTAAGCCGAAAAGTATGCTTCGTGTTAGTGCTTTCAGAGAAAGGTTTATGCCTTGGCTTAAGCATATTTAAATGTGTTTGCGATAGCAATAAGGAAAACCTTTATTCTGACCTATCTTTTATTTGTTTTAAAAACCAGTATTTTTCGTCCTTATGGCTGTATACCTTGTTCTGAACAATTTATTCTTTGACAATCAAATATTGTTGGTTGACATGTTTGTTCTGATTTTTTAATCTCATAATTGCATTCGCAAACGACTGGCATTCAAAATAGGAAAATTTAATTTTTTGTTATTTTTCATAAAAAAGACGATGTTACCCCTTATCAAAAATGCGAAATTTGATTAGTCTTAATTTATCCCTTAAAATGACAGTATTTCTGCCATAACTTAACCAATAATGGTCGGAATATTGAATCTAATATCTCGTTGAATTTATATTTGAATTTATGATAAATCTGCATTCAAGCCCGAAAATGTACATTTTTTGTAATTTTTTACAAATAAAAGGACTTTTTGGAAAATGAGAAATTTTGCTTATCCCGATTTTCTCCTAAAAGTGACAGTGTTATGTTTATTACTAAGTCAATAATGGACCTCGTTTAATTTGTTTTCTAATTCCTAGTCGAACTGCATTCACAGTGCAAAATGTCAACTTTTGGCCATTTTTTTTTGCAAAAAAGACGATGTTACCCCTTATGGAAAATGCAAAATTTGGCTTATCCCCATTTTGTCATCAAAAGGACAGAACCGTGATCATAACTTAGCCAATAATGCCTGGAATGCGGAATCTATTACCTACTTGAGTTTATTTTTTAATTTAAAATAAATCTGCATTCAAGCCTAAAAAAGTAAAATTTTCGCCATATTTTGGAAAACAGATAAGTTTACCCCTTATCGAAAATACGAAATATGGTTAGTTCCAATTTATCCTTTCAAATGACAATATTTCTGCCATAACTTAGCCAATAATGGTCGGAATACTAAATCTAATACCTCGTGGAATTTGTATTTTAATTTATGATAAATTTGAATTCAAGCCTAAAAAAGTAAATTATTTTGGAATTTTTCTAAAAAAAGTCGATGTTACCCCTTACACAAAATGCAAAATTTGGTTTATCTCGATTTTCCCCTTAAAATGACAGGATTCTTATCATAACTTAGCCAATAATGGTACGAATATAGAATGCCATACCTCTAAAGGGTTGTTTTCTGATTTCCAATAGATCTGCATTCAAACCTTGAAACGTAAAGTTGGTAAATGTTTCTCAAAAAAGAATTAAAATTCAAAACTGTGTTAAAATAATAAAATAACCAATGACCCGACAATTCCGCCCAACGCCACCATCCTCTTGCCTAACCCACGATGACAATCAATGAAATGACCAAATAAAACACTTTGGGAATGCCACGAATTCACTTCCGAACAATCAGAACTTATTTTTAGCCCAACCAAATACGATTGCACATGTGGGCAAGCAATCAAAGTGTAAATAGAAAGAACTAAAAAATAATCAAATCTACATAAAAGGATAAATACAAATCAATTGAGAAACCAAAAATAAAAAATGTAAAACAAAAAATAAAAATTGCCGAAATGCCGAGCGGAGATGCATTTAACATCGGTCTGGCTGGCTATGGTTAATTGCTCTGATAAATGGTCGTCGGCACGGCCATTTCGCAACTTCGGGTGCCGCAATTGCAACTGCAAATGCAGATGCTGATGCTGATGCTGCAGCTTCCTCGAGCACCGCGCGCGGAGATCTCGATCAACCTTGATGTTGATTTATAGGTGCCGCTCTGCTTGGCGCGTCTATTTTGGTTTTGCCTCGCTGCGTGCCCGTTGAAATGTCCCATTCTCCCAGTCCCTGGCCACGGATGCCAATTGTCTTGCGTCGGTCCTTCTAAGGTCCGTTTCTATTTCTATGAACTCTCACTGTTGGCGAGTGAGTCGTCCGCTGATGCAGTGGTCGATCAGCAGGATCGGGTCTAGGGACGGGGGCACTAATTGGCCACTCGAGAGCACTGATTGCCGCCTGAGGTGGCCGAATGCTCCGACTGTCACGCACATCTGCTAATCACTCGGCTATAACGTTCTCTTAACTTTTTCGGCGTTACTCTCCGGGATAAACGCCCTACAATGAATGATGGGTGTCCTAAAAATGATTGCTAACTTTAGTATTTAGCTATGGAAAAGTATTTAGTTCAGTTGGGTATTATATTATCATACATCATAGATAAGCATGAAATGAAGAATTTCATTTTTAAGATATAGATGGCTCTTTTTATCAAACGTGAATTTATAAATGAATGGAATCTTCAATTTTTTAGTTTATTGTTGAAATGTTGATTATGTTTTCCTTCTTCTTAATCACCTTTATGAATATATCATATTAAAAACGAATAAACCTGATTGATAAAACTAAAAATAAATCACATCTTCGTATAAGAAAACCACCCAAACTTCTGTCATGCTCAACCCGAAACAATGAAAACTGCTTATATGGATCGATTCGAGTTGATTGTTTCGTCCAACTTTCGCTCAATTCTTTCTCTGAGTAGCGCCATGGCATCCAACTCAAATCGCTTCGTGCGAGAGCCCTGATATAAAGGCAGGACAGACCGCACGGCGTGCCATTTGTTGTTGAGTCTAGCCGTCAACAAGAATCGAACGTGCGAGTTTAGCCAAATTACCTCCTTTCGTTGACCTAAAAGGTGTGTGTTTCAGTGCGACCCCAATGTCGAAGGAATCACAGGATTATCATAAAGCACAGTCATAAGGATTAAGGATATTCAATTTGAAATCCAAAACAGTTTTTTACTTATAGTGTTAATGGGTTTTATAATCCATCTTCCTTCTAAAGTTCAAATTATATTTTTAAAGTGAAGAGCAATCGAAACGAAAGGAATTTCTAATTAATTTGATCAGCTTAATTTGAGTTCTATGAACTGCTTTTTTGGGATATTTTTAGAACACGATTAAGTGAAGTAGTAACTAGAACGAGTGATTAGAAAATGGAACATTCTCGTACATCTGAAATTTTAGACTCATTAAGAACTTCTAAGTTAAAAAAATATAAAGTAAAGTCCATAAAATCTTCTAAAAATCAGTTATTAGTCGAATTAAAGTGGGTTTACGTTAGTTTTTAAAAATTTAGTAATATATTTTTTACAAAAGAAGAACGTTCAGTCACATAATGATCTTTATATTTCTCATAAGACAAAAAGGTTATAAGGGGTAATTCTAAGGGACTTTAATACAGACATAAAAATAGTAACTTTTATCATAACAAGGCCATTTTGTTGTTAGGGCAATCAAAAATCTTAACAGAATAAACTAACAGAGGCTTCCACAATTTCCCCTCAACCAGATAATCAACTGCCAAGATGTGTGACGATGATGCGGGTGCATTAGTTATCGACAACGGATCGGGCATGTGCAAAGCCGGCTTTGCCGGTGATGACGCCCCCCGCGCTGTCTTCCCCTCAATTGTGGGCCGTCCACGCCATCAGGGTGTGATGGTGGGTATGGGTCAAAAGGACTCATACGTGGGTGATGAGGCCCAGAGCAAGCGTGGTATCCTGACTCTGAAATACCCCATCGAGCATGGCATCATCACGAACTGGGACGACATGGAGAAGATCTGGCATCATACCTTCTACAATGAGCTGCGCGTGGCCCCCGAGGAGCATCCAGTATTATTGACCGAGGCCCCATTGAACCCCAAGGCCAATCGCGAGAAGATGACCCAGATCATGTTCGAGACCTTCAACTCACCGGCCATGTATGTTGCCATCCAGGCCGTGCTCTCGCTGTACGCCTCCGGTCGTACCACTGGTATTGTGTTGGACTCCGGTGACGGTGTCTCCCACACTGTGCCCATCTATGAGGGTTTCGCCCTGCCCCATGCCATCCTGCGTCTGGATCTGGCTGGTCGCGATCTGACCGATTACCTGATGAAGATCCTTACCGAGCGCGGCTACAGCTTCACCACCACTGCCGAGCGTGAGATCGTGCGCGATATCAAGGAGAAACTGTGCTACGTGGCTTTGGACTTCGAGCAGGAGATGGCCACCGCCGCTGCCTCCACCTCGCTGGAGAAGTCGTACGAGTTGCCCGATGGACAGGTTATCACCATTGGCAACGAACGTTTCCGCTGCCCCGAGGCCCTGTTCCAGCCCTCGTTCTTGGGCATGGAGTCCTGCGGCATCCACGAGACCGTCTACAACTCGATCATGAAGTGCGATGTGGACATCCGTAAGGACTTGTATGCCAACTCTGTGCTGTCCGGTGGTACCACCATGTACCCAGGTAAGTTAAGGATGCTCTCAAAGATAAAATATATGCTAAAAATTATCCCCAATCAGGTATTGCTGATCGTATGCAGAAGGAGATCACTGCCCTGGCCCCATCGACCATCAAGATCAAGATCATTGCGCCACCTGAGAGGAAGTACTCCGTCTGGATCGGTGGCTCTATCCTGGCCTCGCTGTCCACCTTCCAGCAGATGTGGATCTCGAAGCAGGAGTACGACGAGTCCGGCCCCGGCATCGTTCACCGCAAATGCTTTTAAGTCTTTCGCTCGTTGCGAAAGCTCTTCAAAGGCAACAACCAGCAGCGACCAACCAACCAACGAGCTTTTCACCAACCATGGCTCGCACAGTGATAGACAAAAGCAGCGAACCCATCGCACCAGAATTATCATCCAATTCAGATTCACGATTACACAAAGGCAACCAACAGTTGTCGGAGCTCATCCTTCATGGCCACATCATCATCATTGGCAACAGCACAATGGACTTTTACTTTGAAGAACTAGTCGTAAGAGTCTTGTCCTTTGGACTGTGCTCCATGTCGTATAATAAACACAATGTATATGAAGAGCTTTTGAGACCCTAGCCAGTGAATTGAAAGCCAAATATATCTTCCATTAAAACTATTAAATACTTTAAATAAAATGTAAATTTTTTCTATTACCCCGCCACGTGTACTGAAACAAAAGCCCTGAAGGTACGAACGAAGTTTGGTTGGTAACAGCTTTAAATTCCTTTAATTGACATTAAAACGTAATCGTAAATGTTAACGTTGGTGTGTGTTGGGTGTGTGTTTTGCATTAGCCTAGCTAGTTAAAATGAAAATACAGCGAGGATACTTGGTACTTGGGTCTTAGGCGATTATGGATTAGGGTTTTGGGGTTCAGGATTTAGGGTTATAATGATGGTTTTGAACATTGAAAGTCTGGCAGTGATTGTTATAAATCAAACAAAATGTTCCTTCAGCAGTGTTAATTATTATGAATGAATATAGTTTGGTTTTGGCTTGTGCGGTATCGGGGAGGGTAACCTAAATAATATGAGTATTCGTTTTCTTTTTTAGTTACACATACAATTTCTCCGAAACTCTCTCTCTCTCTCTCTCTCTCTCTCTCTCTCTCTATTTCTCTTCCTTAACTAAGCTTAGCTAATACAATTATTGTACAGACCGGCATTGCACTAGTTTAGTCGAGCTCTTCATTTTCGGAAATTCTCAGTGATGGAAAGGTTAATACCATTTCCTAAATCTAGAGATTCGGTTGAAAAGGAATTATAGTCATAATGATAATGGGTAAAAGGAAAGTGTAAATATAATATATGTTAACTTAGAGTTCGTATATTTTATGGTAAAATCATCAGTAAAATGCATTCCTTGGTAGAAGGTAAAAAGAGTTCTTAACATTGGTCTTTACCTAGGTTAAGTTAACAAGTACCTGGGAACTCTTCCCATCACTGCATATAGTTAGCATAAATACGGTTTAATCTGAGCGGTCTTAATTACCTAACGGTCACCGTTCGACTTATGGATTGTATTTTGGTCAATCAAATTTAGGTTCTATCCATATCTTACATCATCATCGTTATGAACTTTCCCCAGTTAATGCAATGCAACCCCCTAGAGATGATGAGGTAATATATGAACAGAGCCTTATTCGCTATCATCAGGATCAGGTCCTCTAGTATTTACAATACTTAATACATTACATGGCAATAATATCTAGTTACTAATTTCGGTTGAGAAATATATCATTATATATACAGAAGTCCTTTTTTGATTTTGTTCGGGCTACTTCGAAACGATTCCTAAAGGTTTTCTTTATATCCTAACTAATATTCGAGAATACTTTTAACCAACGACATTATGGTTATGTCGGTGCACTCAGCCCTCGAAAACTCGAGGACTCTTGGTATTGGTAATGCTTGGCTGGGGTAACCCTCGAATGCTTGGATGCTCGGATTAACTTAACCCTTGGTCCTTCCCGGGACGTAGACCCGATTACCGTGGGAAGGTCAAACAAACTTTCCCGTTGACTTTTCAGGGGCTCCTGCCATAGCACGTCCAGGTAAATACCCGAATTTGGCGCTATATAGCAACCGCCGCAGTATCCCCCACAGAATCCCCTCCGCATCATCGAAGTGGTATCAAACTGAAAAGGTACAAAGATATCTTGTAAGTATTTTCAAAGTTTAAAAGAATATTTAAATTCAAAACCTACATCACTGCTTTTCTTCATAACCGAGAATTGGCCATGCATTCGCCATACAGTACCCGGGCGTATGGTGAAATCCGTGTCCTTCATGCTGATGGAGAAGTCACCCTGTGGACACTGGCCATTCCGGTTGTAGCAGTCACCCGCTGACCCCAGCTTCTGTGGCGATCCTCTCGATTCAGCGAACTGAAAGTCGTTATCCAGAATTCGCAGATCGGTGATGTTCACCCGCAGCTTGCTGAACTGCGTCCGTCCGGAGTTCTGGTCATTATAGTACTCGTGGTTACGTGACGCCGGGGGACAGCTGTTGGTCAGCTTGGTCCTATACTCGTAGTAAATGGAATAGTTTTCCAGCGGATCCACGTTGATGTATTCGCTCGGTGTCCTGCTGCTCATCTGGTGGCAATAGATGTTCACAATCCGTGAACGAACCTCCAGCTGATAGTTGCCATCCTTGTTGTAGCCATGCATCTCCTTCAGCTCCGCACAACTCCTTGGTCTGCCGCGACTCCTTGGGCTGCTGATCGCATTCAAGCTCCGGCTTATTGTGTTAGCACTACTGCCTCTGGGTCTGCTGCTGATGCTGCTTCCGATGGAAGCACTTCTCCTCCGACAATGGGCCGGCGGAGTGCAGCTGTGCCTCTCCACCCTGGATCGAGTGGGGCAAGTGATACGACCCTTGTGGGAGTTGAAGCACATGTCCCGTCGCTTCTCGACGCCATCGCAGTTGCACTGTGCGATGACCTTTGACGTTCGGCGTATGCAGTGGTTGCAAATGCGTCGCTTGGATGGACGCTTCTTCACATCGCAATGTCGGTCCTCCAAGCCGTGGCCTTGCTGGGTCTCGCAACGAACATCTCGCGTCTGGTACTCCTCCGAACAGTCGGCCGGACATCGTCTCCAATCCGAGGCGTTCCACTTGCAGTTGATCTTACAGGTCTTGGTTGTGGTTCGCAGCGTGTGCTTTTTTACCTTTCGACTAATACAGAAGGACTCATCAACGTGAACCTTTCGCTTTGGTGTGCCGCGAACCTCTGGCTTGTAAACCCTCGAGCAGGTTTGCTTTTTCGTCTTGATGCCCACGCCACATTGCACCGAACACTAAGGGAGAAATATTGTTTATTTAAATTTTACTAAGATATATGTTAGACATCTCACCTCTGTCCATTCACTCGTGTACTTGATATTGCAGCATTTCTGGACCTCTTTGGGTTTCCTCCTGCTCGCGCAGCCAATCCCATAGGGATTTGAGCAGCTCACAGAGCGTCTCGCCTGACACCAATCATTGCACTCGCCCCACTCTCCAACCTCCCAGTTATTAATTGCATTCTATAGTATAAAGAAACCTTTAGTATAAAGAATTAGTATTTGGATATCTCGAAGAACTTACAGGTGATTCAGTAGTGTATGTGGGACAGGACTGAGGGTTGCAGATCTGGATTAGAGAACTTAAATCGGGCTTGGTCCGGGGATTACAAAGATTGTCGCTGACCCGGGAACTGCGGAGATAGCAGTGAGCTTCACGTTGCTGAGAACCGGTGCCACATGACTTGGAACACTGTAATGGATAAGAGATCGTAAAATGGTTCCTGGGTAAAGGTATTTTCCACAGTTCCAACTCACCGATGACCATTCGGACATCATCCAGCAACCCTCTCGACACTCCTCGTGGTAGGCCACATCGAACTTCAGTTTGCAATAGGACATATCCACCACATTGGAACGATGCATATTGGTGAAGGTCTGAACGCAGGCGTAGGTCTTCTCGCGGGTGCCCAATTCTCCACAGGATGCAGAGCACTCTGATATGCTCGTCACTGTGAGACTGGATAAGTAAAAATATAATAAGTACTTCATTCTAGTTACTCTTAATTTTTGAACTTACTTAAGGTGGCAGTCTGTGTTGCAGGCACGATCTTCGACCTTGGGCATGGCGGACTTGTCACAGAACTGCGGGGCAACCTTCACACCCTGGGTAATGCTGATGCAGGCTGGCAGGCGATGACTTCTGCCCTCGCAGAGGGAATCACAGTTACTGGATGCCTGCATTTCCCAGCGATAGATCTCCACCAGCTCGGTATTTACTGGCTTGTCAATGGTATAGGAGTACGACATCAGTACGGTATCCTGCTTCTTGGCCAGACTCACGTCAAGGGAGATGATCTGTAAGTGATTATAAAGACTTTAACTTGCTAAATGTTAGTTCTAACTCTAAGAGTTACCTGTAAAATGAGATCACGTGACAGTTTCCATGAGTAGGTTGTGTTCACCTGCTCCACCTTACTGCCAGATCCCGTGTACTGCATCGTAACTCCGGCATAGACAAACTTCATTGGATATGACACAAGCATATTGCCATTGAGCAGGTTTTTATTCCTGTCATCGCTAAGGACTATGAAGTTCTGTTCATGATAGCCACGCTGAGTTATCATGATGTTAGAGGCACCTGTGGATAAGTCAATGGGAAATTGAAAGTTAATAAATATCGGAATTATTACTATATACTGAACATAGGGATCTAGCTATCATCCTATAAAAATGTTTTAATTGAAAAACTGCATTGCAATCTCTCAAGTACACAGTACTTATCAGCAGAGAAGATAAGGAATGGCGAGGCCTTGTGATTAAGAAAATGTTTATAATGCAAATCTAAAATCAGAGATGATTTCAAGATTAACGCTGGCGCCAGAGTGCATACAAGGGGCTCAGCATGCTAATATTCCCTTAAACACATTCATTAATATATACTTAATTGGTTTTCGATTAACAGAAGTACACTAAGGGTAAAGCTTCTAGTTAGTAAATGGCAGAAGGCGTACTGATAGCCGTAGAATCGGTAAAAGTGCAATCTTGGGGAACGTGATGCGGTTGTTGTTCGATCACCTGGCGCCAGTACCTGGTGATCCGGCGACATCTCTATCACCCTTTTCGCATGTCACGTGCCCCAAAGCTTATAGCTCACACGTAGCCAAGTGATTTGTCCATTAAGCCCGAAAGGCACAAAAACAGATAGCATTAGCATTCATTGAGGAAATTATTAGGCAAAAATTAATTAAAGAAATCTATTTGGACAAGCGAATACCATGTGCTGTTAGATGAAGATACATGATGAAAAGAAATACACACCTTTTGGTATTCTCGCCACGAAATAGAGTGTCTTGTTCGGATCGTTCCCGTCATTCAGGCCCAGGAGATCGGCAACGAGCAGGTTTCCGGTATATTCTTGGCATGTGTCATTACGGCCCTCGCACACGCCGCACTTGTCTGCAAAAACCGGAAATCAATTAATCATTATCATTATTTCCATTAAGGCTTAGATTTGGAAAGAAAGGGAGAGTGAGAGGAAGGGAGAAAGAGAAGAGGGAATGTCTTTACCCAGCTTGGCAATCGAGTTGAGCTCATTGTCACATCCCGCCGGACGGCAGATACCGTTGACGCACTTGTCAAAGCTGTCCACCGCACAGGAGGTGCCATCGGTGACCATGTTCTTGAGCTTAAAGTAGGTGGGCTGATTCTCCATGCGGCAGAAGAGCTTGCACGCATCCTCTGGGGGTGGTCAAGAAAAACATGGTGGATGATGGTTAGCCTAGAGGTTCATTGGTGATCTCCCCAGCCATTCGCAACTTACTTTCGTATTTGGGTACCCATTTGGTGTCTGGGCTAACGCCCTGAATGTTCAGATTCTTTCCGTTCATGTTGTAGCATTGCTGTTCGCGTGGTTCCATGCTGCCGGGCGGACACTGTTGTACGTTGCATGATCGGAATTTCTTGCGGCTGCCGATGCAGTACTTGCCACCGTTCTCGGGTACCGGTTGGTTGCATTCTCGTCGCGATTCCTGTACTCCGCCGCCGCATGTCAGACTGCAGGGGGTGTAGGGTGTCCATGGACCCCAACCGCCGTTAACCGGATGTCCGTAGCCATGCTTATTGGACACACATTTACCTTTTAGGCACCAGTGGCCACTGGTGCCGCAGGGTGTGCCGTCAGCCCATGGTAGATTGCTGGAGTTGCATTGATCGTTGGCGTTTCCCAACGTTCGATTGCACCAGAGTCGTCGACACTCCTCGTCCGAGGGACAGAAGTTGTAGTCATTGCCAAAGCTTAGCTTGCACTGTTCGTCCAGGGAGTATATCTCTCCGGGCAGACGCTTGGTGACATAAGGAATGGTCTCACCCACAGAGGTCTCCAGGCATGACTTGTCGGCTTTCCTACGCGAATCATCAATAATAGTTATTCACCTGAACAGGGCATAAGGGCAGTGAGCAACTTACTCGAGAAACTCCGAGACAAAGTGACGGGAGCACTTCGACCAAGACCACGGATGCATATGGATTCCCATCACGCTGGACATGATGTGGAGCACCTTGTTGTTGTTCTGCCTGGTGAGGTAGGGCAAGCACTTGTCGTCGTCATCGTGGTTCATGTTTAGGCTGGAAGAAATTGAGTTAGGAAGGAAGTTTTTTGGAAGTTGATTGCAACTTACACGTGTCCCAGTTCATGGGCCATGGTAAAGGCTGTGGGCAGCCCGGTGTCCTGGACAATGGAGCAGGAACTGGGATTGCAAACCGTGCCCAATTCGGCCAGGCCCAGCATGTGGCATATCTTGCCTGGCACGCTGCCACAGATTGGTTCGCTGGATTTAAAAAGAATTGATTCCATTAGCAGATTGAAAGGAAGAGATCACCTCTTACTCACCGTGTTATTAGCATGGCAGTGTCCCTCTCGTATCCAGATCGGTCGATGAATTGGCAGAATTGTTTTAGCATTTCATGACTGGAGTCCGGTTGAACATCGAAATTGGGAAGCCTAATCAGTTTTACCAAAGATATACGAATGGAGTTACCGATACTAGCATCCCCAAACAGGCTGGACACAATGGACATGAGGATTAAGATGTAGGGCTTCAGGTCGTCGCCATGAAAGCGAGCCATGCTAGAGTCCACGGCTATTAGCACCTCCAACGTATACAGCTGATTGTCCACATCAGCGTAGTGTCGCTTCCGTCGTTTCAGCGTTCGGGATTCGGGTTTCTGGTTCTCTCGATCTCGTTCCTGCTCCTGCTCAATCTGGGTCATCAGAGCGTCCAGGCCGAGCTCTAGCTTGGAGACAGCCTGTCTGGCGTTGCGATGCGATTTCCTATAGACCCGGTGGAGAACCTCATCGCTGCTGGTCTTGTTCACCGGCTCAATGAGCAGCGCGCCGAAACTCGTTTTGATATAACCAGTCTGGAGCCAAGAACGGGGGAACGCGTTATTAGTAGTCATATTCGGCGGCATATTGATAAGCATAATTTGCGAAAATGTAAATGCGAAATGCAAATGTCTAGAAACTGTGCCCGAAGGTCAGTCGGCGACACTTGCTGGCCTTACCATGCCGCCGCAGAGCGAGACGGACACCATCGAATGGGGATCGTCCTCAACGTAGCCAGAGTATAAGCAGCCTAGGTGACGCTGATCTGTTTCTGTCTCCGGTCCAGAGTTCTCCTCTTCTTCGCTCAATATCCGGATGTGGGGCATCGAGTGGTTATGAATAAATGAGGCATCCTGTCGCAGAACCAAATGCAACTGGCGACCAAACACATTGAGATTGTACTGTGGATGGGGATCCCAGATCTCATTGGACATGTTTCTGTACGTTCCCGTCATGCTAAAGGCTGATGCAGAATCTACATGAAAGTGAGAAATAACCAAAAAGGTTTTACCTCAATCAGACATAATAAACTAAATGTGAACTTACCTTTTAGAAAACTATTGATATCGCTATTCCGCTTCGATTCGTAGAGTAGATCGCCTTCGCTGAGCCTGTAGTTGTAGACTTTGGTGGGCGTTACCAAGGCGCTGTGCGCTTCCTCGTTGAGTTCCTCAAAGCCATCGGAAGGATCATGATCCAGCGAAGTGTAGTTATCATTTTTTCTGGGATGCAGCGTGACTGGTGCTGCTGGTATACTTATAACATTATGGATGGGCAGCGATTCGTTGCTCTTTGGCAGTTCCTCTTTAGCTTTATGAACACTCGGTATACCGTGGATGAACATGATAAGCATGGCCAGAAGGAAGGCGATGCCGCAGGCATAGAGACAGGCATGCTGCCGCCAGTGGGTGGACATCTTTTGGCTGAAATCGTACCTGTAGAACCACCATTCACACCTCTTCTTCAGCACGAGCTAGAATGGAGAAAGGGGGGATCCGGTTAGCTGGTAATATTCTACACAGATTATAGGCTAGCAGATAGGCCAGACTGTTCGGCATTCTCTCACACCTTGGACGCGGATTTCGATTAGTGGGGGCGGCTAGAAAGCTGGCCAGATAAGTACTTGGGCACGTTCCACGTAAGCCCAACTGCCTATCGTGGCGGGGGCCCGATGTGAGTGATTGACTTTTGAAAGAATTATTGATGAACTGCCGCCGACGACGCCGTCGGCGGCTAGATACCTTGACCACCTGTGAGATGCTTAGTTGGCTCAGTGTGCAGAGGCCAAGATGCGGAGGGAGGAGAAGGAGAAGGAGGATCATACCCGGCGGCGTTGGCCTTTGGCTGCAGTCAGACCATAAGAGAACCTGTTGAAAACACTTCCTCGCACCGCGAATTTTTGCACATTTTGTTTAAAATAAACGCTTAAACGCCGAGGTGTAAAGTGTGCCAACGGCAATTTGTGCTCGAAAAGATAAAACAAAAGCGAACCGAAGCCAAGAAAAAATGCGTATAAAAAGTTTCAGTACCCATGCCAGTCAGCCAGCCAGCCAGTAGAAATAAGTAGAAAAAATAAAATTTAAATACCTCTAATTTATAAATTAATGTGAGAGCTCTTTGTTTTGCACCTCACAGTTGAAATTGCCTTAGCCAATTCATACATCATCGCAAATGAATTAAAATTCCCCCCCCCACATCCCACTAACAAAAACGAGAAATTAGCAAAATTAATGCCGCTAAATGATGGGCTGTTTTACATAATTTTATGGCAGATCTGTGAACTCTGCAACTGCCGACACATTCGTTATGCTCATTGGCCATAGTGTCGCCTTAAGAGTGTCTGCATTATTTGGCCTGCCAAGAAAGTCTATGGATCACTGGCGTGCCGTGTGATTCCGGTGATGATGATGATGATGTGATGTTGTGGTGGTGGTGATCATATTTCCGGCGTATAATTAAGCATTTTTGCGGTTCACGCGCTGATGAGAATTCAAAACCACAAAATCGAGAAACTATTCTCAAAAACTTAAAATAAACTATATAAGTGAGAAGCAAATTCTGGGCCATAAAACTTGTCCTTGAAATTGTTAATTGTTATTGACCTTTAACAGTGCCACTGAAAGTTACAAATTAATTATTTTCGACGGAAAATAGCTTAGAACGTTGGGCCATAAAATTCTCATTTGGTTTATAGTCGTCGCCCTGTGGCACATTTAAAGGCTTTTTAACGATCAAAAAGATTATTATCTCAGATGGAATAGTTTTTCTAAAGCTAAGTGGTTAGCAAATCATTCAGTTAAGAAAATAGTTCTCTTAATGCCAAACTAATTGCTAGCCTACTTATAAGCGCAGCTGTTCTTCGATCCCTATATCTGTATATATTTGCAAACATCTTCTTAAATCTTAGTTCATTAAACTCTGCATTTAATGACTTATTACCGAATCATTCACTGAGCTTCAATCTTAATCAACATGTTGATTAATGGCCCGGCTTATCATCGTATTACCCGGGTTACCCAGAATCATTTTTATCGGTCAAATTGTTCCGCAAAAAGATCGATGGCTTGGCAAATCCGGTGGCCAGAATCTGGATCTGACTTCGGCTGGTGTGAGGCTTATCATAAATTTCATCCCATACTTAAATGCCTGTGCACGATTTGCAATGCTAATCACGCATGCCGCGATGCCCCCAAAGATATATCCATATCCATATACACCGCCCTCCCCCCCACTCTACGATTTATATGCACTTAATTAAAGCGCCATTCTGGCGATCTGCCGACGTTATCTCTCTCACTAGCTAGTTAGTTATGCATGCGTTGGGAGTGCTGCTTATTAACTTGTTTCCAGCTGCCTTATAAATATGCTAATCTACTGCGTGCCTTCATATTTAATCAGCGGAGTTAAGTAGCCTGCTGCAGAGGACCGTTTCGTTTGTTCTTCATTTTAGGGCTTTCATTGTTCTCTCCCTTGGTATTTTCTTGGTATTTTTCTTAATTTATTATTTTTCTCTGACTAATTGACCAATTCGATGGGTTGCCAGCAAAGAAGAAACTTCTTTTCCTCCGAAAAAAACAAAGAAAAAAACAAAAACCGAAATACAAAAAACCTGTTTACACTTGACTGGGAATGGAAACAAACAAGCGATTTGTGTGTCAGTCGATTGCTTTATATTGCCGAGTGCCATAATTTATGCCAATGGCTATAAGGTTATACGATCCGTGGCAGCCGACACTCAGTCTGCAGAAAGCCATAGTCGTCGCCATTCAGTCTGTCCCCCGTGAAGGCCGCAGCTTCGGTTTCTGATCCCTCGTGTAAACCACCTTTAGCTCTGACCAATGAATCGGAGGTGTTAACCGACGACGAATGCCTGGCCAGACAACGCGGCGTATGCTTAATTACATGCCTGTGGTATGGCTTGGTATTATGGCCAATGCCCGAGATGGTTGCCAGCCAGCAATTGTTTGCTGTTAATTTGTATTTAATGACTTAATTGCAGTGCTGGCCGACTAAACTGGCGCCCCTTTTGCCGCATTTGGCCAACACGTCGTATACTTGTCATAATTGGCATTTGCGCATGCGCAAATGGAAAATGAAAATAACCCACCGTAACTGCAAATTAACACATTTGCAGCTACATTTCTGGCACAAATCATAGTGATTTGTATAGTTTTTGAAGAATCCAACGAAAATTGTTCGATTTGAATTACATTTTCGCACTCAAAAGTATTTATATCTCGACCAATCGGGCCTTATAGGCGATATTTGCAACATGCATTTGTGAATTCTTTTGGATTATACTTTGTATTTTTCGGAAACTTTTCCACTTTTGTAGAATTTGGGGCGCGTGTGTTTACAGTGCCTGCTGGCGAATGATAAATAAACTTGTACACTTTATGGGCGTGCGCTTTTTGGGGCCGTTATGCATGCCCGATGCGTGACTGCCACAAACAAAATCCGAATTGGTCTTAAATAAATAGCCAACTGCCTGAGCATAATACGATTTTATAATTACTTTATAATTACTTTCTTTGCAGAAACCAAGCTAAATAATCTAAGAACCAAAGATTTATAATAAATGCTGAAAAAGATTCTTTCAAACGAAAAGAAAAATCGATGATTTGCTGGCAAAGAATTGCAAATATTCTGGAGAACCAGAATTGCAGTCAAGCAATTAAAAGAAAACACAGAAATTACGCTGAATAAGTTTGGTCAGGAGTGGGGAAAGTATTTGTAAATATTTTTAATGTGCCGCCGATTTCAGTTCGTGGAAATGTTTTTCCCATTTTCCTTACCATTTCGTTAAATGACAAGGGGAAGCACGCTGTGGCATGGCCCTTGAAATTCACCAAAAACGGAAAATGGCAAAACGAAAACAAAAACCCCGGTAAACAGCCGGCGAAAAACAGAGCCATTAAAAATCATTTTCTGCGAGTTTCCCTGGAAAAGCGTGGTAAACTCTGGTCATCCGGTGAATCCCCCACGCGCCAAGCTAAAACCAAAATTTAAATCTATCTATGACCGCATAGACCGAATGATTATATAGTTCATGGAAATGCATTTCGACTGCATTCGGATATCTAAATTGAAATCAGCCAGCTGAAGTGCATTTGCAACTTCAAATTCCCAATTGAAAGCCATCATCGCAAATTCAATCAATTAACCTTGGCCAAAAACGAAAAATGTGCAAAGGAAAAGCAAAAAAAACAACGAGGAAAATTTAATTGAAAATGGGCTACAAAATGCATTAGACAGAATCGAGAATCGAGAATCAAGAATCGAGTGAATGGCAGCCGTCTGGCTTTTGGTCGCCTGACTGGCTGGCTGGACAACGCCCGCTTTTGCCATATGTTGGCCGTTGCGTCTCAAGAGCATTTGCTCCTCGAAATGGAAATCTGAAGATCTGGAGGGCAGGGATGGCTGCTGTGTTTGTTTACTGCCACCTTAGCTGCTCAAAGAGCACATGCTGCCGGTTTAACCTTGAATTCGCATGATATATCTATACATACATTTCGCCCATTTCGTTCGTTTTTGAAAACTATAAAATAATCAATTTTGTTTAGCTTTCGTTCCATAAAATTTGTGCAAAAAGAAAAAAAGAGAGAGAAAAAACCTGATCGGGCGACCTCCTACCGTCCCTAGAGATTATCTTAAATAATTACGTTCATCTATATGCCGGATTTTGCAACTTCGATCTGTTTATTTTGGAACGTGGGAAATCGTGGGGATGACTCAGTTCAGGCTTCATGCAACATTGCACTTGTCTCGAAAGCGTCGTAAAGATTTTACTGGCCATTAAATCTGCAACCTGGCGGCCCATTCCGAGGTTTTTGGGGTTTTGTTTTGTCATTTCGATTAAAGCCCGTTTTGTTTGTTTACTCGGGTTTTATTAAATACACGGTTTAATGGGTTTGCTTTTGATTTATTTGGCACACTTTTGCGAGTGGCGTGCAATATAAAAGCGTAGACAGGCCAAGCGCACACACTGCGTATGAGCAATGAGCAATGTGCGAACATTTGGCAATTTGTTTCATACACTGCACCGCAATTACTTGATAAATTAATGCATTTTTTTGAAATTCCTTCCTTTTTTTTTGGTTCTCTTACAAACTCGTTATGTTCATTTCCTGACTTAAGCCTTGGCTGGGCCGCAGTGCAGTGTACCAAAAAAAAAACAGAAGAAAAAATCTCATTCTCACACCCGATTTATTTATTGTATCTGCGGTGTGTTGCCCACGCGGCCAAAAAACATATAAATTACAAATATTTATTTGCTCTCCGAACCGCTTACAAAGTGTGTGCGTGTTTATTTGGACAGCTCGAGATGAAATCCCCGCGGAGAAGGAAGGGGAAACAGGCTCTGCAGCACCTGGCACACCTTCCATTCGAAATCCGAGCCTCAATCACAGGCTAATTAAAAGCTGGGGGTGTAGCAGGGCACCCGGTTTCTTGTTTCTTTTTTTTTTAATGTGA